CCGTCCATAGAAACTTACAAACCAAAACTCACCCCAGTCCCCAGTATGAAACCCAATAACACACAAAAGTAAAAACGCTGCAAACCGTTACTCTTTCCCAGTCTTGCTCATCATCAGCGTCATTCTCTTCAGCCTGTCGTACGGCCATATTTGGACATCTGTATTAACGATATTTTTAAACGAAATGAGAGACAATGAATGAAAGATGTCAACTACAGTGTGAATGAAAACTATTTGAAAACAACCATAAACATGTTACTACTTCATATCCCATCATATATTGCACTGACATTGCCCAGTGTTAGATATCATCGGATATCATTTCGTATCCCATTATGTATTACACTGACAGTTAGTGATAATCATCAAGAAATATATATTTGTATCCCATCATGCATAGCACTGACACAGTCAAGAGTTATTCATCAAACATTATCTTTTTCGTATCAAATCAATCATTAGGGAGTTTTAGCAAGAGTACGACTACGACAACGAGTACGGAGTTTGACCGTGTAAGGGAATGGCACGAGGAAGTTTGTTGTTGTTGTCTCTTCGTCAAAATTTAGTTTCAGCTGTAAACAACAGAACGAGCCTTTTTATTGTGTAAAACACCGACGTTTGCGAAGCAGCTACGGCTCTATTTGTCAATAATGATATCAACTAATCGGTAATACTGATTTTGCGAGAATATAGGACTCTTTAGAGTGAAAAATCTTCACTATTTTAAGTTTTATGTACAATATATTTGTACTATTTTATTGTTTTGTTTATAGTTCAATTTGCGTACGAAATACATGAAAGTTTTCCAGGTCATATTTTCCTTTCCGTCGTAAATATACCTACTTAAAAAATATACCGGCTACGTGTTGTTGTTGTCGCAACAATGTTTTCGCGCCAAAATGACGTAATTCGTACTCGTAGTCCTTGCTAAAACTCTATATTGCACAAACACAGTCCAGTGTAACTGATCTAGTAAACTACACCTGCGATTGACACAACATTGCTTGGCACGTCCGCTGCCACCAAATTTCTTCATATCCCGGCATGCTTTGCACTCTCCACAGTCAGGTAGTTGACATGTTTCGCAGACTCCACATCGTCCACGACGTTTGGCTGAGCCATCAGTCTTACCATCAATCTCATTTTGAAAGAAAATATCGAAAACGTATCGGACCAATGGTGTTGTCGTTGCCTTGATTTGTAAAGTGAAATGATTTTAATTTCAAAAACGGCGGTTGTAAGTACAAGTGTGAAAATGTTCACAACATACTTTAGTCGGTCCTTTTTTCAGTTTTTTTTCTGGTCTTACACGGATTCCTCGGGGATTTCGCCTAAAGATCGTAAACAAAAATGAAACGTACGCTTAATACTTCTCTGGAGATTAACATAAACATAAGAACAAAAACTAGAACTATCTCTAGAACTAGGGGCTGTTTACACGAGCCCTACAGGGAGGGCTGGCCCTACCAAACGAGATCTCGCGTGTGATTAAAATTCCATATAAAATCACTTTTCGTTTACATGAGAGAAGGGCCAGCCCTACCAGCAGAGATTTTGCTATTGTTTACCCGAGATTTCGCCATGTAGGGCTGAAAATTTCCCATGTGAACTCATTCGGTAGGGCTAGCCCTCCCTGTACGGCTGAAAATTTAATGAATTTGAATGCGATAAGGTCTCGCTTTTCAGCAATGGCGACAAGAAAAGGCCTCAACATGAGCAAACAAACTAAGAAAGCGTAAAAAATCAAAAGGCGACAACAATATTGATTTGTTTTCAGCTATTTTGCATTTTAGCGCCGAAATTCGCAGTTCATATTGCATGTAAAAAAGAGGTAAAATACAGTCCTAAAGAGAGGGCTAGCCCTTTCCGTAGGGCTCGTGTAAACAGCCCCTAAAATTGGAAAGATGATAGTTTTACTAGTTCTCTAACCACTAACATCGAAGTAAACTATGCCCTGAGAATTAAATCAAAATAGGAAAAGACGATAGTTTCTTTGGTTTTCTCCTTACGAACTTTAAACGTAAATTATGTCTAAAGAATTAGATCAAAACTGGAAAGACTAGGCGAAATTTTGAGTTTGAAATTCAAATGTTCCCACCTCTTTCCCAATGTTACTCCAGCAAGTTTGATGAAATCTCTCATACATGGAGTGACAAGAAGCGGTAACTCATCTTCATCACCAGCTGAATCATAATTCTCAATCTGAAATAAACATACAAACGCGTTATTTAACTATTATACACCAGTGACCATAAGACAACAAAGCAAAAAAGAGTCTTCTCATATTCGTCGCTAGCAAAGCAGTTGTATCAACACAAAAAACTGCTATCAAGTACGTTTATGCAGATTAAATGTCGACACAACGAACGAAAGTACGATTCTTCACTATGAACAAACCTGCTCAACAAGAAACTGCGCATGTTTTAGTAAAATATCTTCTGTCAAACTTGTGATGCCTTCGGGGGGAACGGACGTCTGAAAAGATTAAACATCATAAGTTGTGGTAAATGACGCATCGTTTAAAAGTGAATGGTTTAAACCAGGGAGCCAGGTTAGTAGAATCCTGAGAAGGACTGTCGGTGTTGACGTTGACCGACGTTTCGATACATTTTTAGTTTTGCCCAACAAGTTTTCATTTAAATTACAACTTGTCATTTTAGTTTAATATGTGTTGATGATAGTTTTTCACCTCGATTTTATTTAACAAATCTTCGTAGCGAGCATCAGGATTGTCCAACAAAAACTCAATAACAATCTACAACATGAAAGAAGGAATCATCTAAATGAGCGATTCGCCTGTGGATTTTCCTTGCTTCAACGCAGACAATAATTGAGGCTTTACAAAGCATGTGACATATAATGTGCGTTAGGGTAACTCAATCTGAAGCTGTTGTTGTTTTTCAACGTCTCTCTCGGCAAATGCACCAACTCAAATTGTGTGATCCATAATTTTTTTAAAAAAAATTTTTTCAGAAACTTTCCGTTTACTGCGTAAGTCGTTTTCAACAAGCACCATACTCGGCGAAGTTTTATACGAAAAAAAAGTAATAAAAAATAGATGAACTAGACAAATCAACACGATTCAACACGTCATACAAGTACTTTCGAAGTTTCTCAATGGGCAGGTTCTATTTCAGAGAATTTCCCATGAAAATTAATGATATTCTTTAGAAGAAATCACTTGCGCAACATCACAATTGAGTTGACGTTGAAGAATTAATCTTTGCATACGTATATCACAATAAGCAATGCATGATTTGGGTAACCATCTACGGTAATGTTGTGGTGAGTACAAAGAAATATCACACTAAACAATGCATGATTTGGGTAAACATCTACGGTAATGTTGTGGTGAGTACAAAGAAACGATGAACTGAAACAATTTGTCACTTTACCTTGCTAATGTAAGTCTTCTCTTTCATTGCATTCATAAATGGTTGGTAATCAACGGATGGCGCCATTAAAACGTACTCAGCAAACGCTGTGAAACAAAAACATTCCTCAAAAATGCCACAACCTCGGGAAATTGTAATAAAACATTATGTAGACATCGTACCTGTAGTGACCCCAATTACCACACTATCACCCCCATCGAAACCTGTAGTCCACCACTCGTTGATCGGACCAATTGCTTTGGCAGGAACGCCACCTTAAAATATTTTGATACTTCACCCACAAGGCATCAAAAACATTTCATTGTTGCGAAATATGACAATATGTACAAACCGTCGGCATTAACATTGTCGTCATATATTGGTTTAACGTATCCAGAGATGAAAAGTTCTTTATTCTTCTCAATTAATCCCGTGTCAAATGGACACAAGTGAGTACTTTTATCATAAACACTATCAAAGATAAATATAAAGTAAATGGTTTGAACCCGGGAGTATCGTTACATGTTTGTAGATGTAGATCGTCCAGGTTGGTATAGTCCTGAGAAGGATTGTTTTTGTTGTTGTTGACTGACGTTTCGACAACCTTAGCGGTAGTCATTTTCATCATCACTTGACTACCGCTAAGGTTGTAGAAACGTCAGTCAACATCAACACCAACAGTCCTTCTCATGTCTCTACTAACCTGGACGATCTACATCTACAAACAGATAAATATATGTAAAATTTTCTCAAAGACTACAACCCATCCTAACTTGTCATAATAATTCACCTAAATTGCGTGATCTTATGTTGTGGTCTGTCCACTTCGTAACTTCCAAATGTCGTCTCGTCACCAGTAAATAGTGACAGTTTTGGATCCACCAACATGACAAATTCCTCAACCTGTTGAAGGCGCACAATAATTTCATAAAAATGTAAATGCAAATGTATATAGATGGCAGCTGAAAGAGAAAGGCAGCTATAGTGAAGCGTATAAAAAGTACTCAACAACTAGTAAATACTTTCCATCTCACTACATAAGGCTTGCTGAGATGTTTTTGAGAACATTACTCTCTTTTTTACATCCTCAGCCTGAAGAACTACTTACTGCATCTTCAACATCACCAGAGAAAAGCATGAGGTTTGGACTGTCCAGTAACTGACCACATTCTGAGCATTTTGTAGGAATCTAGTGGTGTAAAATTGTTGAAAGGACATCAACCAATAATAAAGTGAAAAGTTTCAACTTGGGAGTGATGTTAAATGTTTGTAGATGTAGATCATCCAGGTTAGTAGAGTCCTGAGGAGAGCTGTTGATGTTCATGTTGACTAAAGTTTCGACAACCTTAGTGGTAGTCATCTTAAGAGTCAAGTGACTTGAGCTAAACATTAATCAACATTAACACCAATAATCTTCTCAATGCAACTAACCTGCATGGTCTACAGGCCTTGCGTTAAGGGGCGCTCACCCACACGCACCCTGGTTGACTGAAGCGCGCGTCTTAGTGAATCCCGTCCAGTCACCTGAATTTTTCAGGTACATGAGACAATTGCTTAAATTGTCCAGCAAAGTGCGAAGATCATATCTTCATTTAAAAGAGCGAAACTGTCGTGACAAATATCAAATTACTGAATTACATCCATTTGCAGATAGTTGCGAATTTTTTTGATAGCATGACAAAATGTATAAATGAAAACTATTAGTAAGAAATAGCTTTAGGTGCACTTATGCAAGGAAATCACGAGCGCCTTAACGTGAAAATACGATCTTTGACCGACTTTGGCCATCACTTGACCTTGATCTAAAAATTTAATTTTTTAACAAATAGCGAGTGCTTATAGCGAATATAAGCTATATGAATAAATAGTTAAGCACATACTGTAGTCCAAGGTGAATTAACTACAAAGTAAAAACTACGTCGTTTATACGTATACTTTGAGGCAGTGCTGTAGAACTAAATTTATCAGGGGGGCTCTCTTGACGAAGCTGAAGCCATGAAATTATGAAAAATTACCCATTTCAAAGGTAGAAGGGGGGCTCCTCCCCCAAGCACCCCCCGCCCCACTTCTACAGCACTGCTTTGAGGATATTTAAGAAACTTTAAGCGTCGAGCGCGTGATCAATCACTCGCGCTCAATTTTCTTACAGCAAGGCCTGGTCTACATCCACAAACATACAGAGAGATTAGGTTGCAAATAAATCTCTATCATACATGCAGTTAAGCATCATACCTTACGATCAATATCCATCGCCTTTTTTGATCTATTTCTAAAAGAAAAATAAAAATACATTCCTGACAGACAAATATTTTGAAAATTAAAGTAAATATGGACTATCACCTTTTGGAGTTTTCGCACACATTTTCCTTTCCCTCTTCGATTTTTAACCTTTTGCATTCCTGCAAATTAATTACGCATCACTTAAAAAATAAAATATAAGCTCTCTCATAAATTTGCAAGCAGCATAATTGTAATATTAAAGATAATCTATGACAATTACAACCACAGCCCAGAATTGAAAGCTTGTCAACTGAGCACCTGAGATTCAAAATTTGCACACATAAAAGACTAGTTTTCACAAAATTCGACACCCAAGATCTTGGATGCACAGTAACAACTTTCCAGTCTAGACCACAGCAATACCCTAACGTACCCCAATGTACTAAAAACATTGCTAAATTATTAATCCGTATTTCCAACTTAAACACTATCAACTGTAACAACAGAGCCAAAATCCTAATCCTAGAACTACTTAAACCTAACACAAAAATCTATGGAGGAAAGATTCACACAAGAAATCTTGGCTGAATCTTGGCAAAATCATGACATCAACTATTTAAGATTTTGACAAGAAAAGTTCTTGCCACAGAGTAGGAGAGATATTACAAGATCTTAAAGGATCTTAAAAGATCTCACAAGATCAATCAGGGCTTACACTACTTAAATTTAACATAAACAAAACTACAATTACAACCCTTCTCATCAACATAACGCTTACAACTTTTTCTCCTCCATTACTCTTCAGTTCTTCTTCTTCCTCAACACATCTTTTCCGTTTGACAGCCCTAAATCATAACATCTTAATCAACATTCCACAAAACTTAAGATTTAGTAATTTCATTATGAAAAGGCTAGTGCAAGGCGTAACATACTGTTTTGCAAACAAATCCTGAATGTTCACTTGAAGCTTTTTCTTCGTACAAATTGAACTTCCCTGCAGTAAATTCTGATATATATATATTGTTTAAAAATAAAAGTTTCTCCAGATTTTATAAATAATTTTACGGAGAAACTTTCTTTAAAACAATATAATGCCTAGATTACCAATCTTTAAACATATAAAACTGATGCATATATATATATATATGTAAAAGATAAAAGTTTCTCTGGATTGAAAGTGATTTTTATTGAGCTTTCGACTCGTTGCTTCAAGCCTTCATCAGAATGAGGAAATTTATTTACACGTGCTTTTTAGGCTCGAAGCAACGAGTCGAAAGCTCAATAAAAATCACTTTAAATCCAGAGAAACTTTTATCTTTTATGTATCAAATGCCTGGATTACAAATTTTCAAACTTATATATATATGTATACGAGTCAAAAGCTCAATAAAAATCATTTAATGATCCGGAGAAACTTCTTTCCTTTATATATATATGTATATATACATATATACTGTTATATAAGTGAAAGACACACAATAAAGCCAGACTAACTTTATCCAGGCCATTTTTATGACAATTTCTTGTTTCATTTTTCACGTTCCTGTTGTTCTTCTGCTTGTGATTTGCAGCTAACTCGTTAGAGCTATTTATTCCATGCAAACCCTAAATCAACACAATGATAACAACATAACTTACACATAGTAAATTGCACATTTTCATGGCATTATGCTGCACAAGATGCTTGGAAATATCTCAGTTCAATAATCCCAGAATTGAGCAGTGCAGATAGAACATTACATAGATTAAACAACATCAGTTAAATACAACTGACAATAAAACCAGTATTTCTTTTACAAATACAATGAAAATCATTGAAAATCTTCATTATTATGCTGTTTGTACATAGTTGTTCAAAATTAACTATAAACAACCAAGTTTTCAGTCGAACAACAAACTGATGTCAGATAGTAAACGTTAGCAAGTTTTTTATATTTTATCCAATATACTGTGGTATTTCACATGAAATTCTCTTACCTTTTCTGCTAGGTCAACACATTTTGAAATCTTTTCACAGTTTCCGACACTATAAAAGACGTTTTTTACAAACAACATAGAACAAGACAATATTTTAAGCTCATCTCAAAAATACCTTGAGAAAATGGTACTTGCAAGAACGTCCTTGGTCATTGTGAAACGAAGAGAAGCTTTCCAATACAATATATATAAATTATTTTTCAACACAACACATCAAAGAGGAAATTTATAAAATATTTATCATCAAAATAGAAAATTTCAACGTTTCTGCTATGAAATCACGCAAAGCATAAATTTCCCGCCTAAGAGCGCCATTTTACGAATGTTTCCGAAGTTTCTCTCGGCCATAGTTCGGTAACCTAAAACAAGCGGACAGTTGGACAAAACATAGAAATGTAAAATTTACGATTTTTTTCTATTATTTTAATCTGTTTCGTTTGAAAAGCTATGGAAACTACAGAAAGAAAGTATTTCTTACCTAAACGTGAAATTTTATCGCCAATGGATATCGCCAAATGGTTGAAATCTCAGGTGGGTAATTAACCGAATTCTAATCCACCCCTGAACAATTAATATTGAAGTAAGTTTCCCGGGGGGGGGGAGGTAAGCAAGTCTACTTTCCATAGTAAAAATATGAAACTTTTGTACCATCACTTCAAGGCGTACCATGAGTTACTTGGTTTTATAACAACACTTAACGATGCAGTCAAAGGAAAAACAATGAAATGTGTTTATCCTAAATCTGAGGTAAATTTCATCATCTGTGCCAGTTCCTATCCTAGTGACCATAGCTTGAAGAAAACTTTAAAATATACTGTTTATAGAACTGTATGAAAATTGTTCACATATTGGATGTACTGGACACATGGATTAATGAGATTCCACCTGTAAATCAACCTGTTCGCTTTGGAAATACTGCCTATCGCAGTTGGTTTGATAGACTTGAAAAGGTAATTAAATCCTTGACTGGAGCGTTTGTTCTAGCAAAGGATTTATACATTCCAGTTTGTAAGCTTTCCCTATCATGTTTTCAGGAAAGTGAAAACATCTTGATAAACCTGATTTCAAATGAAGAACATCTGAACGCTTTGCTAGAGCTCAATGCTTACTTTAAAGGTTATTTACTATAGAAAGATTGAAATAATTAGCAGAAAATTAGGAGCAATTATACAATATCATGCAACAAGCATTGAAAAACTAGAGCACCCTCCCCTCCCCCATTACAAAATCATCTTGAATCCATCCCAGCTCTAAAGAAATGGTAGTTTCTTTAATTATACCAAAAGTTTCTTTTGACCATTTTTCTCTTCTATCACACTGAGCAGACAGCTTTGGAAACAAAACAAGAATTGATTACGGTACAGGTAAGAACTTTGCACGTCTATCCTCACTTACATTAAACTTAAATACTTATGACCAAATGCAAACATCAATTTTCCTTTAGGACACGAGGTGACATTCACAGCTTTTCTTTGCTGCTTATTTAAGTTGAAATTTTTACAAGAAAATGATTACATAGCAACCGTGTTCACTATTTTTAAAAGGTACATAATTTATCAAATAAACACTCTGCCTTTGAAGTAGACTTTCGAAAATACTGATAATTTTCCTTTATCAGATATCTTGATTTGATGAGACGTCTCCAACACGTCTACCGTATGGAACCTGCAGGAAGCCATGGAGTTTGGGGACTGGATGATTTCACCTTCTTGCCATTTTATTGGGGAAGCGCTCAACTAATAGGTTGACTTTTTTCTAATGTAGCTAGTTGGTTTGTTGCAACATTTTTTAACGTTTATTTTTCTGTAGATAGCAACCACAACCTTAGACCAGACTCTATCCCCAATGAAGATGTTTGCAATGCAAGCAAAGAGGAGTTTTTGTTTTTTGATTGTGTCAACAATATACATAAGGTCTTTATGTTTTATATGACCAAACTGATGTGGAAATATTATTGAAGAAGGTCCAATGTGATTTTACTTTATGTTCAAGGTTAAATCTGGACCTTTCTTTGAGCACTCAAACACGTTATGGGGAATGAGCAGTGTTCAAACTTGGAATAAAGTGAACAGTGGTTTATTAAAAATGTACAAAGTTGAGGTAATTAATGCAAAATAAACATTTTTCTTAATCTCCACATATTCAATGACAATAATATACAATCCGTTGACAATCATAAACAATCAAATCCGTTGACAATCATAAACAATCTTAATCAAATCTGTTGACAATCTTATATAATCTTAATCCTATCAAATTCTTAATCCTTACAAACCCATTTATAATCATTAAAATTTCACAGGTTTTATCGAAGTTTCCTGTCATACAACATTTCGTATTTGGATCAATACTCTCAATTCAGTCTGTTACCTAGCAACCAGATCAACTATAACAACGTCTCGAGGGCTTCAACATAAATATTGAGAATTTATTGTAATTTAGACAATAGACAAAAAACTTTTAAAATCATATTGTGTTTCAAAAGAAATACTGTGCTCAGAGTTGGACTTAGTTGAAAAAAATGTACAATCTTCTCTGTTTTTTGCTGAAGTGATAAACAAATACATAGCACACCATTCGCCAACCTTGAATTGCATTTTAATGATAAATTTGTAGATGTTAAATTTCCCTCTCTTTCTTGGATGAGTAATTATTGGTTTACGAGCAACTACTTCTAACATAAATATATTACACCTTACATAGTTGTCTGTCTATCTGTCTTAATATTTCCCAATTTTATCAACAAAGACCAACAATGCTGACATCATATTATAACATAGTAAATGCATAGCTGTTTAGCTGCCTATATCCCTTTCTGTATAGTTAGAGCAGATTTATGTACCATCCAAGGGTATTATTTCAAGTTGTTACCATTTAAAAATCATTGTAAGGCATTGCCCAAAATACCTCTGGTAAGATCTACTTCAATTGGAAAGACATCTGCCTGCTTTAGTTGTTGAAAACAATCTTGGTGATATTTTGACATGGCTTGTACTAGACGTTGCAATTGAAATACTATGTCTTGCACTACAATAAAACAGAGATTTTGTCAATAATGATGTGGTCTTTAGACATCAGAGATGTTGATAAATACTTTTATAGATTTTTGTTGAAAAAGATGTTGTCAATTGAGATGTAGTCTATAGAAATGTTGTCTATAGAGATGTTGTCTATAGAGATGTTTTCGGGAGATGTTGTCTATAGAGATGTTGTCTATAGAGATGTTGTCTATAGAGATGTTGTCTGTAGAGATGTTGTCTGTAGAGATGTTGTCTGTAGAGATGTCTGTAGAGATGTTGTCTGTAGAGATGTTGTCTGTAGAGATGTTGTCCATAGAGATGTTGTCTATAGAGATGTTGTCTATAGAGACGTTGTCCAAAGAGATGTTCTCTATAGAGATGTTCTCTATAGAGATGTTCTCTATAAAGATGTTCTATAAGGAGATATTGTTCATAAAGATGCAAAGTCAGCAAAAAGTCTCCATGTTTTAAGTGTATCCAAAAATGTTTTAAGTGTATCCAAAAAGACATCAAGAAAGAAGAGACCTCACCATGTTTATTGTCCAAAAGCTCAAGTTTCACTAAAACATCTGAACGAAGACGAGCAAACTTTTCCCGGGCCAACTGTCGACAACGCAACACAACTCTAAAACAAGGTGAACACAAAGATTTATGACAATTACAAATTCAACAAGCCACATTAATTCCTTGATAAGGTTGATAGGGCGACAAGCACCTGTAGTCATAGTTTCCAGTCTCCACACGATAAAGTGCCTCATGCAGTGCCTACAAGCATGAAGAAAAACTGCTTAAACAAAGGTCAAAGAAATCAGGAGGTAAAAAACATTTTCAAAACTTACTGCATAAGCATATTCCTCATCATCTAATTCCTTGACTTTTAAACAATATGACTTGTAAAATAAAAGAAAAATGATGTGACAAATGAAAACCAAGTTTTAACTGTTTAACACTATCCATTATTGAACAAAAAGTTCTTGCAAGTTTAAAACAATGTTTGAATCTTGAAATAAAAGAGAAATGTACAGAAAACGATAATGAGAACTGTAATTGTTGAATTAATATTATTGCTAGCAAAGAGTTTTTAAAACAGCGACTTAAATAACAAAAGAGAACTGAGTTTTTAAGCAAAAAATTCTACCAAATCACTCACAAGATATTCAAACTTTGCATCAGCATATCTCTTGATTGTTAACTTTGTGTCCGGAATTGCCTATATCAATCAAAACTTTCAGACATTTTCGTGAATTTTTCTTTCTAACCAATGAAAGCAAAACCAAAATATACCTTGGTTAAGTATGTGCTAAGATCACTTAACATTGGTTTGACTTTCTTTAAAAATTCTTGTCCAATCTTCTCGAAGGATCTATGATACAAAAGTGCAAAAGAAACGCTTCTTTAGTTATGGCAATAAAAGTTGAAATTTTGAATGATCAAGTACAGTAATGCTTGCATATTTGTTAACATAATTTTGCGTATGATACACGTATTGTTCTCCTATGATATGCATATCAATTCTCATATCATACGCATATGTTTTTCGTATCATACACATTTCATATGCATACCGTATGTTAACAAATACACGAGCTGTACTGTACACAGAAACCTGTGGGCTGTGGCGAAGATTGTGAACGCTTCATTGGCATTAGGTTGAAGTTCTCTCACGCCAATGGAACTAAATATACTCCCAAGTTCTACACAAAACATTAACACAAAGTTAGCCAGACTTATATAAATGTAAGAAATAACGGCAAGCAGCTCATCAGAACTCAAAATTCATTCAAAATCATTAAACCTTTGTGTGTTTGTGCCAACTGATAAAAACTTTGAAGATATCGTTTAGTGTGATCAAAAAGTCCTACATTGGATAAACAAAAAATATTGTTTGACAGAGTTTACTAAGGATAAGAAAGACAAATGGGGACTTAATACCTTTATATAAATTACTGTTCTGTTGTAGCTCCTCTAACTTTTTGATTAAACCATCTGCAAGAGGACAGATTTATCATCAAAATTTACCAAACATTTGCAAACAAACTAATTGTAGTATCTTGCTAAAAAATTCAAAAAGAACGAAGCTAGCCTTTTAATGCAATAGCCTGAAATAAAATTATATCATTAACCTAAGCGTGCTGTAACTGAAAACACAAAGGGTAACATGGCATGAAGAACCACTGAACAAAAAACACAATAGATAAAAAGGAGTTTATTCATGAACATACCGTTACAAAGAATGGCTCTACTCAAGCCAAGCGCATCAGCCGTTCCTGAACTCATGTGTTCGACAACACGATGTTTCATTTTCTTCGTAACTGTCGCAAAAACAACAAAAAATAAGCTAAACCAACAGTTGAAAAGAGGAAAGGATGTTTCTCAGACCTATATCCAGCGTTTTTCCCAGTTTGGGGTCAGCGTGAAGTTTAACATAACTGATAGTAACATCCGTCTGCACAGAAAAACAAAAATAAAGAATCGTACATTTCATTGTTATTAACATCTCATAAAAAGAATTCATCCCCATCTTATTTTATACTTTCAAAATGATTATGTACAGCACATTTTTCAAACCTTTACGGCTTGAATGGCCTTTGCAACATCTACTTTTGTCTTTCCTCGCAGTGATTTACCATTAACTCCGACAATTTCATCGCCGGCTTGTAGACTACCGTCCTTTGACGCTGGTGTATTGTCGAACACTTGTACGACGTAAAGGACAGGACAGAGCGGAGCACCACCTCCAATTGAAATCCCGATCAAATTCTGTTTATCTTTTGAAAGAGTCACAGATCCAGGTTTCCCCTTCAAGCCTCTGGAAAAATAAACCAGACAAAATTTATTGCATCTGCTAAACTTACAACACCTAAACAATTGTATATGTTTATGAGTATACCAACCTTGGATCTACTTCGAATTCAAAGTCCATTGTAAAAAATCTCGCTTTAATTTTTTTGTTAAATCTCGTTCCTCACAAAATACCACCAGTCGTCCTGTCGATCGCCATTTTGAATAATTAAGCTTTTAAAATATAAATAATTTATAAAATATAAATAAAATATAAAGAATAATATTAATAATTTATTATTTACGTTCATTTCAGAGTCACGGATGACAAACATATTTACATGCATTTATAACCGAATTCCTGGAAGAAAAACTGCGTCATTTGAAGCAATATCGCAGAAACTTAAGAGTAATTTAGCGTGTTTGTTTTTTAGCAGTACGAAGTGTGGTACTAAATGTCTTGGAATCAACGACCACCTGTATACAACCAACCTTATGCAGTAAGTGTAAAACAAAATGTAGCTTCCTTTAATAGCGTTAATTATCGAATAACGTTTTCAATTAAACAAGTACAGAACTATCAGAATTTGACGCCAATCTCAATGTATTCTTGAACGTTTGAATTGCTACTGTCGACATTTAACATTTAATCACATGCTTTTTCAGAACCCACCTTCTTATGCACCAGGATATGGCCAACAGCACCCTCTTCACAGACCTGGAGTACCATATCAACAATCCTACAATTCTTACGGTGCTTCAGGAGGGTACAATACCAGCTATCCATCATACAATCCAGTAAGATCTTCAATTGGTCCACCACCCGGTGTGGACATGGCTTTATGGCAATGGTTTCAGGTATATGGTTCTGGTTTAACACTTCATTCAATATTAATGACATCAACCGTAAACTTTTGGCATTTCAGGCTGTAGATCAAGACAATTCTGGGAGTATTAGCGCTGATGAGCTACAAAGGGCTTTACTAAATGGCAATTGGTCGCAATTCAATTCAGAAACATGTCGCTTAATGATTGGAATGTTTGATAAAGATCGGTTAGTGAACCTTGGTAAAAATTAATTCGTGTTGAAAAACTTGTGATGTTTATATTTTCTGTTGTCATTTAGATCAGGAACAATTGATATTCATGAGTTTTCTGCATTATGGAAATACATACAGGAATGGCGAAACTGTTTTAATAGGTACGTACATAATGAAATTTTGAATTATTATAATCAAATATGTCTACTAAAATTCTCCTTGTTATTTATAAGGTTTGATACTGATCGCTCCGGTACAATTGATTCAAGAGAATTGAACACTGCATTTACATCATTTGGCTATCGTTTGTAAGAAATGCTTATTGACAAGATTTTGTTTCTATAAAAACTCAAACTTTATTGCTACCATTGTATTTTAGGTCACCCCATTTTACTGATCTTTGTGTACGTAAGTTTGATCGAATGGATACACACAGCATGAAATTTGATGACTTTATTCAATGTTGTGTCATGCTGAAATCTTTGACTGATGCTTTTCGAAAACATGACACTACACAAAATGGTGTTATTCAAATAAACTATGAACAGGTACAGTGAGGGTTGTTGTTTAACAAGTACAGTGAGGGTTGTAGGAGAACAGGTACAGTGAGGGTTGTAGGAGAACAGGTACAGTGAGGGTTGTTGTAGAACAAGTACAGTGAGGGGTTTTGGAGAACAAGTACAGTGAGGGTTGTAGTGGAACAGGTACATTTAAGGTTGTAGTAGAACAAGTGCAGTGATTGTTGTAGTAGAACAGGTATAACATTTAGTAGAACAAGTGCAGTGATTGTTGTAGTAGAACAGGTAATAGGTAGTAAACAACAATTGGGTGCAGGAATAAAGTTGTAGTAGAACAAGTGCAGTGAAGGTAATGGTAACCATAGAAGTTAAAGTAAGATGATTTATAATCAAGGGGGCATATCTTTAAATTTATGTTCCTTAGTAATACATTTCTTTCAAAAGTGAATGTATTAGGTTATTTGCTATCAGTTATCCCTATCCAATCATCCAATCATGAGCTCTATTTTTTTTATTTAGTTTTTGGAAATGGTCTTGAATCATACCTTAACAGGATTGTAAACAACCATACAAACATTCAGGATTTTTAAATAAATACTTCAATATACTTATGATATTTAGTATAATCAACTCCTTGTAAACTGAGCATTATCACCCAAGTTAGCATATCATGACAAATGTAGTTTGTAGATACACACTTATTTCAATTATAAAAACAATGAATAAAGTTAAAGGAAAAACCATTAAATTCTCATTGATTGTTCTGCTTGAGAAACTTTTAAGGTACAAGCACAACATATGGTTAATAAAGACAAAGTATATTGGAAATTCCAGTTAGTATTCATACTAGGTCCAGATGGTTGAAGTGCAACAATATTTTCCAAAGTACTTTATAATAGCTTCCTTTGATATACAGAATTTTTACCATGTTGAGTGAGGTTGCTATAGTCTTTATAATACATCTGATCATTCCCAAACATGCTACATATATACTGGGGATTAACATAAGCATCATGTAGAAGCATGTAATCTATCATCTTTAAGCATTTGCTAGGAACGGACATTCCCGTATCTACAACAATGTCATTAATAGCTTTTGTCATTACCACACTGATGTGACAACACTGATGTCATTACCATGATATGTGATTACCATACTGATGTCACAACCATGATGTCATTACCACATGTCATTACCACACTGATGTCATTACCATGATATGTCATTACCATACTGATGTCACAACCATGATGTCATTACCACACTGATGTCATTACCATATGTCATTACCATACTGATGTCACAACCATGACCATGTCATTACCACACTGATGTCACAACAATGATGTCATTACCACATGTCATTACCACACTGATGTCATTACCATGATATGTCATTATCATACTGATGTCACAACCATGTCATTACCATATGTCATTACCACACTGATGTCACAACAATGATGTCATTACCATGATATGTCATTACCATACTGATGTCACAACCATGATGTCATTACCATATGTCATTACCACACTGATGTCACAACAATGATGTCATTACCATGGTATGTCATTAATAACACACTGATGTAATTACCATGATATGTCATTACCATGATTTGTCATTACCATGATATGTCATTACCATGATTTGTCATTACCATACTGATGTCACAATCATGATGTCATTACCATGATTTGTCATTACCATACCAATGCTATTACTATGATGTATTTAGCATGATGCCATTCTCAAACTGATGCCATTTCCATATTGACATGAAGTCAAGTGACGTCAAGGTGAAATCTTCATGTCACTGATGGAATTTAGTGAAGACGTTGGCAGAGAGTCTGGTGATTTTCCTAACTCGACATGGTCGTCAATTTCTTCTCCCTGTTAAAAATGCCAACTATTCTGTCTTACATGATCACACATCAATAAACTTGCACATCACTTACGTCTGAAATATAGGTCTCGGGTTCAATCCCATCCCATTCACGATAAATATCTTTGATAAACAACCGAGATCTAATAAAGTAGATAATTGATTTTTGTTATTTGTCATTTATCTTAACTGGGTGTACAACAACAGAACTGAGTTATCAAAATTCAAAGAATGGTTGTCAAGGGAATATAACGTATAGTTGCCAAGGGAATATAACGAATAGTTGCCAAGGGAATATTACATATAGTTGCCAAGGGAATATAACGTATAGTTGCCAAGGGAATATAACGTATAGTTGCTGGGAATATAACGTATAGTTGTCAAGGGAATATAACGTATAGTTGCCAAGGGAATATAACGTATAGTTGCCAAGGGAATATAACGTATAGGTGCCAAAGGAATATAACATATAGTTGCGAGGGAATATAACGTATAGCTGCTAAGGAATATAACGTATAGTTGCCAAGGGAATATAACATATAGCTGCCAAGGGAATATAAATATAGCTGCCAAGGGAATATAACGTATAGCTGCCAAGAGAATATAACGTATAGTTGCCAAGAGAATATAACGTATAGCTGCTAAGGGAATATAACATATAGTTGCCAAGGGAATATAACATATAGTTGCCAAGGAATATAAATATAGTTGCCAAGGAATATAACGTATAGTTGCCAAGGAATATAACGTATAGTTGCAAGGGAATATAACATATAGTTGCAAGGGAATATAACGTATAGTTGCCAAGGGAATATAACGTATAGTTGCATGGGAATATAACGTATATTGCTAAGGAATATAACGTATAGTTGCCAAGGAATATAATATAGTTGCCAGGGAATATAACATATAGTTGCCAAGAGAATATAACGTATAGTTGCCAAGGGAATATAACGTATAGTTGCCAAGGGAATATAACATATAGTTGCCAAGGGAATATAACGTATAGTTGCCAAGGGAATAAAAAGTATAGTTGCCAAGGGAATATAACGTTTTGTTGCCAAGGGGAATTAATATTGTCTACATTTTCACAGCAAAATACAAATAAGAACTCGCTGATTTTTAAACGCAAAATCCTTACCTTTTCAATAAATATGGTTCAAAAGGAAAGAATGAATCCAACTGATTAAGTTGACTATGCTTCGCAACAACCGACGACGTAAAAGAAGGTGCTGTCATAGGAAGACTTCTGTTGTTTTTCTCAATGATTGTGTAGCAAAACACAACTTCGTTATATCTGTCAATCAAACCATATATGATATGATGTTATAAAAGCATTTAAATGAAGTTTTCTTCAGCTTTGAGACACACTTCTGTATTGATGAAAACAGCCGACGTTTTACTCCTGCGTATACAGCAAAATTGTCGTTCATTTCTTGAAAAAAATTATCTCGTTCATTTCTTCTTCACATTGAATGAACATGAAAATATTTACATTGGAGTAAATAAGAGTAAAACTCGGGCTTGCTTCGTTAAATACTGCGCAACCTCGCTACCAGATAATGACTTTCAACTCAGTCGGGAAGAGGTGAATAGCTACATAAATCTTCACACACAAACACCTCTAAGTTCTAGCTTCGCTCCAGGATACAGTACGCAAGTACAACATGATTAAAACCGCATAACAAACACCCGTATTCCAAAAGCTAACATTCTCTCTCTCATGGAGTTGGGTTTCAAAATCAATTTTTATAATTACACGAAGACGGAATTTTTGCTCTATTGATTGCTTGATTTAGCAAATATCTTGCTATCGATGGTGAAATGAGTTTGTCGTTAAACAATGGGAGAGCTTGATTTTGATGTCGCATTCGGTAAGTATGAGCAACCTTCATTGTCATTTTAGGATGTTAAAGTTTACTGAAATTACGTCAAATTAGGCAGTGAAAATCAATTTTCTTTTATCTCCTTCCAGAAAATTCCTTATTTGACATCGTTTCAGCCAGCTTCAACAGCAAAAAAAACAAAAAGTTTTCCAGAAACGAAATAAAGTTAAATTCATATTTAATGATCTTAAAACTACTAGATGAAAAAACGTCCTTCCTTACCTTGTTACATGGGCGAACATCTTCACGACATGAGATAGACATATCTAAAGTAAAATGACACAGTAGTTTTATAAGGGTGTTCATCGTGGGTGTGATGGTAAGGGTGAAAGTCATGGTAATGACTGATATAGTGTGGTTAGGAGTAATCTGAGTGGGGATGATAGTGAGGGTGATAGTGAGGGTGATGGTGATGGTGAAGGTGATAAGGTTAGAGATGATGAAGGGATGGTGGGGAGGAGTGGAGGAGGGAAGGATGGTGGAGGTGGAAGGAGGTGGGGGAGTGGTGAGGATGGTAGGGGTGAAGATAAAGGAGTGATGGATAGGGTATGTGAAGGGTGATAATAGTGTGGGTGATGGTGTGGGTGATGATGTGGGTGATGGTGTGGGAGATAGTGTGGGTGATAATAGTTAGGGTGATGGTTTATGCACGATTTCTTAACAACAATGTTTCCCGCCAGAAAAAAAACTAAAATTTCGATGCATAGATATTACAGTTGTAAGAAGACATGTATAAAAAAGATAAAAGATAAAACCAGCGGTGTAAATGTCCACCATTTAACGTTGTGGCGGTAAAACAACAGGAAAGTATTTACTTTTTCATTGACAACAGTTGTTAAATTATTGTCGAAGACGTTAACTAAAATATCACATTTCCAAAGCAATCACTACCGGAGTTTTTGCTTGGAAATAGAACATCAAAATACAACAAAAAAGACAAACCTTAAGGGGATTGAGTTTACAAGTGACAATCCTTTCAAAGTTTAAACGTCGAGCGAAACCCATCCCTTGAGAAAAAGAAGAAACACTTTTTAGAAATAGTAGCACAAATGTTAGTTATCTTTGATTTAGTTTTTGATTTATATTTGTATGTTGTAGTTTATAATTTTAATTAAATTTTAATTTTTTCTCTCTAAATAGTAGCATAAACAGGTCGACGATACTCAGAGAATAAGAAAGTAAAAAAGTTTCGAATTTCGCTATTTTTAAAATATGTGTTTTATTTACCATCTTTCTCCTGTAGCAAGCAAGAATGACGATACACATATATGTAGAAAACAGCCTAAAACACAAAAATACAAATATAGAGGCTTGAAAGTCCCCATGAAGTACGACGCGATGCTACAACGTTTATTGGTTATTCCCACCTGACACAGAGAGTAGAAAGGACCGTGTTTATCGACGTCAGGATAAGCAAGCTCACAATTAATATTGTCAATGTATCTGAAATAGAGAATTCAGGATATCTAGGTAGGATGTATGAAAATTCAGGATATCTAGGTAGGATGCATGAAAATTCAGGATCACTAGGTATGATGCATGAAAATTCAGGATATCTAGGTAGGATGTATGAAAATTCAGGATATCTAGGTAGGATGCACGAAAATTCAGGATATCTAGGTAGGATGTATGAGAATTCAGGATATCTAGGTAGGATGTATGAAAATTCAGGATATCTAGGTAAGATGTATGAAAATTCAGGATATCTAGGTATGATGTATGAAAATTCAGGATATCTAGGTAGGATGTATGAAAATTCAGGATATCTAGGTAAGATGTATGAAAATTCAGGATATCTAGGTATGATGTATGAAAATTCAGGATATCTAGGTAGGATGCATGAAAATTCAGGATATCTAGGTAAGATGTATGAAAATTCAGGATATCTAGGTAGGATGCATGAAAATTCAGGATATCTAGGTAGGATGCATGAAATTTGATAAACGCTGATTTCCATACGTCCGGTTGTGTAAGAGTTTATATTATACTGGAGTGATCTGTTGACTTTACACAATTAAATATATGAATTGATAACGCAGGTGGGCCTTTCAGTGGAATATGTTGAGTTTCACGATCTTGGTTTGCTTATTCACGGTAGGGCTTATGTATGTATAGGGGAGCTAATAGATGGAGGTTTATGGTATGAAAAGCAAGTTTAACCTTTACCTCAAAGTATGTAAATAACTCTATATAATTCTTATTAACTTCCTTATTAGTCTGAAGATGTCTTGAGTCAAGACGAAACGTCACTATTTTATTAAATTTCATAAAACTAAATTGTTTATGACTATGTTCAAAATTATTTGTTGGGCTCTAGTATTTATATTGAGAATCCGTTTCCCGCCTGGCACTTCATTGGCAACAATATTAACCTTTAACTCTGCGCAAACTGTTTATTTTAACTACACTATATGGTAAGTTAACCAAACCACAAACGAAATCTTTACAAAATATAATTACTTAGTATGAATACTTGATACACATACCGATGGATCCACGAGACGAGTAAATTCAAGCATTTTTTGATCATGCTAAGAAAAACAACAAAAATAACGAAAGTCGGTTTTAAGATTTTCATGATATTTTCTAAAGCAAATAATCGTTTTCAACCGTCAAAAATTTTACTGGACACTTTTCAAGGTTTACACTAAGATACGTCAAAAATTTTACTGGACACTTTTCAAGGTTTACACTAAGATACGTCAGAAATTATGAGAAAATATGAAGGTAAGAAATTAATATTATAAAACATTAACACACACTATCTTTCAATGGACAATTCCTCATCAATGATCCTCATCCTCACCTGATTTTAATATATTTTGCTCTCGCTATCAGGCTCCCAATATACGCTGCAGCCGTTTGACGTAATATAACTGGAGTGTTGGGATCTTGAAACTTCGAGGGAGAAGATTATTTAAATAATGTACTGTTTTTCTTTTAAATAAATAAATTCTTTCAAATGAAAAAGTAAAAGCCGAAGTACCTTCATCCAACACACTTCAAGGAATCTTGAGACCATTTCCTAGAGGAATCAATTCGCAGTTCAAAATTTTATGTACGCTATTGAAGTTCGAGAAAGTAAAAAATAAACCACAAACCTCGTCAAAACTGCAAATATAAAATAAAAAAAACTGTACGTGACAGCAATCATGCGTTGGAAACACCACTTTTAGAAAAACCTTTAAAGAAAATGTTGAAATATATTAAACAATGATGAATAATAATGAAAATAACGATATTGATAAGTCTGAGCATAGCGAAAGGTAATATTATTCATAATTTCGTAAAAGCACTATTGCTAATGTGCATTTAATATAGACGACGAGTTTTGAGAATAGATGGATTCATGATGCCATCTTCAGTATGAATGAATAAACACATAAATGATACAGAGTTTATAAAAGTAACTATTGCCACTGCATTATATTACTTTTACAAAGTCTGTATCATTTATGTAATTCTTTATTCATACTGAAGATGGCATCATGAGATGTCGAAACATGTCTATTTTCAAAAATTTCGTCGTCTATATTAAATGCATAATATTATTCAGGGATGGATTCTGGACAAATTTGCACAGGGAGGGAGGAGTGCGCTCAAGTTTGGATACGATTTCGGTTACAAAATGTTTGTGGACGTTGCTGTACCTTGACAATCTTTTTGTTACGAATTATATAGTCATGTATACCAAACCAAGGTTGGGACTGGGACATAAGTGTTGCTTTGGTATAATTCGTATATTTGTGTTTTGTAGAGAAACTGGCAACCATCCTGTAGCTCCTCTAGCCAAGGCTTATAAAGTTGCACATTCATCAATCCCTCCCCTCCCCTCCCTACCAGTAAATCCATCCATGATTGACTTAATGATTTAAACAATGGATGATCAAACCTCAAGCACTTTATCAAACATTGGCCAAGCATACTCCTCGCAAAATACATCTGAAAAAAATCAAAAATATCAAAATAAAAAGCACTGGTTGAATTTTTTTAAAAGTTTTCTCTATGACAATATTAACAATGGAACAAAACATGCTCGTTGCCCCAGATGTCAATTCCTACCTTCAACATAAAAAGAATTTTTAAGAAATTCAAACATCATGTTCATAAGAATGTCTAATTTCTCTGCCATGTCATCGCCCGTACTCTTAGATTTCTCATTTTCTTTCTTGCTTTCACACTCCTATGAACACCATTACTACATAAGCGGGTCATCCATGATGAAAAAAATTTCAACAAAAAAAGTCCACACAGCTTACCATGTCTAATTCAAACTGTGTGATCTCATCCAAATCAGTTTTTTCAAGGGAATACTTAGGGATTTCAACCTACAACATGTGTACACTATGTATTATTATAGGTATACAGTACCGCTCGCGTATTTGTTAACATAATTTTGCGTGTGATACGCGTATCGTTCTCGTATCATACATGTATCGTTCTCGTATCATACATGTATCGTTCTCGTATCATACATGTATCGTTCTCGTATCATACATGTATCAGCCTGTATCATACATGTATCGTTCTCGTATCATACATATCGTTCCTCGTATCATACATGTACGTTCTCGTATCATACATGTATCGTTCTCGTATCATACATGTATCGTTCTCGTATCATACATGTGTCGTTCTCGTATCATACATGTATCGTTCTCGTATCATACATGTATCGTTCTCGTATCATACATGTATCGTTCTCGTATCATACATGTATCGTTCTCGTATCATACATGTATCGTTCTCGTATCATACATGTGTCGTTCTGTATCATACATGTGTCGTTCTCGTATCATACATGTATCGTTCGTATCATACATGTATCGTTCTCGTATCATACATGTATCGTTCTCGTATCATACATGTATCGTTCTCGTATCATACATGTGTCGTTCTCGTATCATACATGTATCGTTCTCCTGTATCATACATGTATCGTTCTCGTATCATACATGTATCGTTCTCGTATCATACATGTGTCGTTCTCGTATCATACATGTATCGTTCCGTATCATACATGTATCGTTCTCGTATCATACATGTCGCTCGTATCATACATGTATCGTTTCGTATCATACATGTATCGTTCTCGTATCATACATGTATCGTTCCTCCATCACATGTATCGTTCTCAGTATCATACATGTATCGTTCTCGCATCATACATGTATCGTTCTCGTATCATACATGTATCGTTCTCGTATCATACATGTATCGTTCTCGTATCATACATGTATCGTTCTCGTATCACATGTATCGTTCTGTATCATACATGTATCGTTCCTGTATCATACGCGTATCGTTCTGTATCATACGCGTATCGTTCCCGTATCATACGTATCGTTCTCGTATCATACGCGTATCGTTCGTATCATATGCGTATCGTTCTCGCATCATACATGTATCGTTCTCGTATCATACATGTATCAGTTCCTGCATCACATGTATCGTCTCCGTATCATACATGTATCGTTCTCGTATCATACGCGTATCGTTCTCGTATCATACGCGTATCGTTCTCGTATCATACGCGTATCGTTTCATACGCGTATCGTTCCTGCATCATACGCGTATCGTTCCGTATCGTACGCGTATCGTTCCTGTATCATACGCGTATCGTTCCTCGTATCGTACGCGTATCGTTCTCGTATCGTACGCGTATCGTTCCCGTATCATACGCGTATCGTTCCTCGTATCATACCGTTCTCGTATCGTACGCGCGTACCATTCTCGTATCATACGCGTATCGTTCTCATATCATACGCGTATCGTTCTCGTATCGTACGCGTACCATTCTCGTATCATACGCGTATCGTTCTTATCATACGCGTATCGTTCTCGTATCATACGCGTATCGTTCTCTGTATCATACGCGTATCGTTCGTATCGTACGCGTATCGTTCTCGTATCGTACGCGTATCGTTCTCGTATCATACGCGTATCGTTCTCATCATACGCGTATCGTTCCTATCGTACGCGTATCGTTCTCGTATCATACGCGTATCGCTCGTATCATACGCGTACCATTCGCATCATACGCGTATCGTTCTCGCATCGTACGCATCGTTCTCGTATCGTACGCGTATCGTTCTCGTATCATACGCGTATCGTTCTCGTATCGTACGCGTATCGTTCTCGTATCATACGCGTATCGTTCTCGTATCGTACGCGTATCGTTCTCGTATCATACGCGTATCGTTCTCGTATCATACGCGTTTCATACGCGTACCGTATGTTAACAAATACGCGAGCGGTACTGTACTGTACCACCATGACACTGAGTACATTATATCAATACTACTGTTTAGGGATTTCAATGTACAACATGATACTACATGCGTACACCATGTGTTCTCATAGGTATACTGTACCACCATGGCACTGAGTACATTATATCAATACTACTGTTTAGGGATTTCAAGGTACAACATGATACTACATGCGTACACCATGTGTTCTCATAGGTATACTGTACAACCATGGCACTGAGTACATTATATCAATACTACTGTTTAGGGATTTCAATGTACAACATGTGTACACCATGGATTATCATAGGTACATATACTTTATTAAAATGATACAAGGTACCTACATCAATCTTAACAAGGTTGTTACAAATCACTTCCAGAAGATCCAGATGCATGCTGGGTCTATATTCTGCAAGTTGCAGGAGATTTGTCACGTAGAATTCCTTGGGAAAAAAAAGGAAAGTTAAGAAAAATGCCTTTGTTAAATTATACAACATACACGATGACATACGTGATGGACAAGTGACATCTTTATGAAAGGATAACCATTCACTATGGCAGGTAACATGTGGGCTGAAGCTCTGAAAACAAGAAATCATAATACAGCATAGTTTGATTTTGAATTTTTCAACAAAAACATATTGATTCAAGATTTAAATCATCATACGTGGGGACAATTTCCATAATAGCTTGCAAAGCTTTTTGGGTGTTTTTTGCCCTCTTCAACCGCTCTAAATTAACAATTGAAAATTAAAATAAAAATTTATAAACTTATTGGTAAGCGACTTCATCTCTCACCTTTTTCATCCAATTCCATCTTTTTTGAACCCTTTACTACATCTATGACAGAACATATTTGTTTAGAAAAGCAATAAGAATTGGTTTCGATTAGGGAATTGATGAATATTTCATTCAGTTTAAGTTTTATCAAAACACTTACAAGGAGAAAAATGTTTGATCAACATCTTTAGACATGCGTGGAGATAACATGTTTGGGACGACACAAGATTCACCAGGAAATCAATAAATTCATTTACAATTTCATCTGGTTTATCCAACCATGGTAACAGCTACACAAACATTAACATAAGCTAAGCTACAGAAATTTAAAACAGGGGGGGCAGTAAATGCTTTGGACTTACGAGGACGGCACCAACCAGTGTCTCGCATTCTTTTGTCAGACTAGATATACAATTCTTAAGTCCAAACACATATTTTTTCATGATTTCTGGCTGGAAATGCACGATAAACATGAAAATTTAAATAAACAATATTTTTACAAACAACTTTTACATGTTAAATCAAGTCACTAGGAGTATTTAAATTGACAAAAGTTACAATTTTGGTGATTTTGCTAATTTGAATGTAGTCAATGTACTCAATATTTTTGATTTTTTTAATAAGAGTTATTCAAAATTTGCCATATCACAACAGCCTACCAACAGCACAAAATAAATTATGACATTACAGATGTTCTTATCTATTCAACGACTGTAGATCACACTTTCTCCAAATAGTACAAATATTTCAACAATACTTTTGTGAATACCATTCACATGACATGCAGGTATCAAAGCATGGCTTGACAGCAGCTTCCGCTGAGTCAGCACTCAGCAATGTAAGATAAATTTTATAATCAGGAAATTTTATAACTCACATCACCCTGACAATTTAAAAGATTTTGAACCAAACAGTCGTAGTCTTTGGTTTCACCCTAAATTTGAAAAGAAAATAAGATAAATACGGAGAACGTTCCTACCGAATAGACCGAGTCGCCTCTCTCTATACAATAATACAAATGCAAAGTGTTTTAATTAAAAGTGCTTCGAATAAAGAGCTTTGAAAACGCGTAATTAAGCGATCTAAAAAGTTATTTTTTAACACCTTTTACATTATAAAGCCAATGCTTCATCTTTTAATGTAACAACAACATTATCTTACCCGTGACTTAGCCAAGAGAACGTTATTGACATAACCTCCGAAAAGAACTTCGCCTCTCAAATCCTCACTCCTCTGCCTCTTTTTCCCAACTTTCATCGCTTTTCAAATAAATCTAACTCTTTATAAAACATCTTATATTAGAAAAACGGCGTAAATACAAACAACGTGACAATTATGGTGAGTGAAATATCGAAATATTGAAATCCCACGCCATATTTAAAGCTCGCCCTAGTCCACCGGAGATCACTCGCAAGGCGCAACGTAACATAATGGTTAAAGAATGGTGCAATACAAGTTATACAACCTAGGGTTGCGTGGTTGTATTGCCATAACCACCCGGTACTTAAAAATTCCAAAGAACATTCCACAGTTAGGTAACATTTGTGAGATATTGATAATGTGTCATAAATAGAGTTTGGTGTATTTTGAATGGTGAAGGGTTAGGAGGGGTGCCTGCCTGGTGGTCTTAAAGTCGTTCGTTATCAAAAAAAAATTTCCAAGTAGTATTTTCAATTTTGTGTATGCATTAGAAATCAAGATAAAATATTTTTAATGTCCACAGTTAACAAAATTGAATTTTGAGCCTTTAAGCATCTAGTCTGTATGCCTCATTCGAAGTAAATAAAATTACGAATTCACAATCAGCTAATGACCAGTAAAGTATAATATTTCATGCCAATCCACAAACTTCTCCTTCCATGTCTATTTTAGATCCATTTCTGTCTAAAAATTCAAATAACCCAAGTATCACTTGTACCAGAATGCATTCAAACATTAAAATTGTCAATCAAAAAAGTAATGTGCGCGTTGAAGTGCTTCCAGCTTTGAAAGACAACTATATGTATTTGATTGTTGATGAAACAAGTAAAGATGCTGCCATTGTTGATCCAGTTGAACCACGAAAGGTCAAATGGTCTTATGCATTAGAATTTTGCTTTCGATGATATCAATGTTGTATCATTTTTGTCTTTCTCAGGTAATTAAAGCTGTTGAAAAGGCAGGAATTCGGCTTAAGATGGCCTTGACTACCCATCATCATTGGTTAGATTCCGTTGTTCATGTTTTTTCTCCTGACTAATGACTAATTGATAACAAGAAGAATATTTAGGGATCATGCAGGAGGAAATGAAGAACTTGTCAAACTTGTTCCTGGGCTACCTGTGTTTGGTGGTGATGACAGGATAGGAGCATTGACCAATAAAATCAAACATAATGACAAAATCAAGGTGAATTATCTCTTTAGGTTCTAGATCAAAAATCATTTAGATAACATACCCGTATTGTTTTACTATAGATAGGAAATCTTGATGTGAAATGTCTTTTTACACCTTGCCATACAACAGGACATATCTGTTTCCATGTTACTACAAAAGATGACAAAAATGGAGCTGTTTTCACAGGTCTTGGTTTTAAACACAAAACATGAAAAACCATTGTGTAATGCTGAGAAATTTTACCTATAATTTCCCTTCTTAGGAGATACTTTGCTTCTATCAGGCTGTGGAAGGTTTTTTGAAGGAACTAAGGAACAAATGTATCACGCATTGATAGAGGTTCTTAGTGAACTGTCTAATGACACGGTATGTTGTCACAAAGCTTGATGCTTTTGCCAAGTATTATCACTCCCTAAGGAAGAAAGAATTCTATGAATAAATTTTAGTATGCATATTTTTTAGTTGCTACAAAGTTAGTAAATATAGAGCTAAGAGAAACACCTCTGTGACTTTATTTTACTACATTCATTTCCCAAGTGAAGACAGCTTTTTGAAGGTGTCAAAACATGTATATATGACTTTGTGTTTCTGTAAGTATGCATTTTTGTTTAGCTGGTTTATTGTGGTCATGAATACACTGTTAAATCCCTGATGTTTGCTGAACATGTTGAACCAGATAACGCTAGGACAAAAGAAAAAATTAAATGGTGTAAGGTAGTAAAACATTTTAATGTTTTATTGAAGAATGAAACCACGCTTGGATTCAGAAATTTTTTGTGTTATGTAGGAGCAAAGACAAAAAAATGATCCCACTATCCCATCAACAATTGGTGAAGAAAAACAATACAACCCATTTATGAGAGTCAGGTAAGGAAATAGCTTATCAAAAGCTCGCTCATCAGATTACAACAACATACCAACTCTCAAAATTCTTTTTATCTTTTTAGAGAGGCGTCCATTCACGAGTTTTGTGGGACAAGCAATCCAGTTAACGCAATGGGTATACTTCGCGAAAAGAAAAATAAATTCAAAGGATAAAAATGTAAACTTAATGTTTAATGATGATTACAATAAAAATACTTAATGTAACATCAATAAATGTTTAAATGTTTATATCAAAGCAAGATATGTAAATAAACCACAGTAAGTTTCTATGAGCGATAATAAAACAGCAAGTACGGTGTTGAAAACGTTGATGAAGATGATGATAATATACAACTCATTTCATCATCGGTAATTTCTGTAACTTCCGAATCATCAAATTTTAACCAAGTTGATGTTGAGCTACTTTTTGAATTGTCTTTAGTGTAGCCATTGGATGTGAATAAAGATCTTGCTTTGGTGTTGCTCTCAAAGGAGCATTGAAAGTTATCAGTTTCATGAGTCAATACTTCCTTACTTGGTGTAGTTTTTGAACCATACTTTTTCTTAAACACACTAAATGCTGAACATTTTCCAATGTTGATGTCAATATTATTGTCTTTATTCATCGTAGGCAATACACGATCATTGTTTTGTTTCACTTTGTCACCTTTATCGATGAAAGTTTTACCAACATCTTCATCATGAGACATTTCTGATGATTTCTTTCGTGGTAATGGTTTGAAAAACTTTGTGATATCCATACTTCGAGGAAAGTCCTCTTCCTCTTCAGAATCTTCCTCTTCACTAAACCTCAGGTTGATTTTGTATTCAGGCGAAACTTGGCATTTCCTTGTCTCATTTATGTCCTTGCTAATGTTGTGTTGCTCAGTGCAATCTGTATTAATCCCATGGTGGTTTTTGTCATCATTTCGTTTCATTTCCCCAATGCTTTCATTTTCCAATGAAGGAGAACAAATCTGTTCATTTTTCTTCGAGTCAATGACCGTGCTCGATGAAATACTCATATTACCATCTTTAACACTACCATCCCGATCTTCATCCGATAAGCCTTCAGTTAATGTTTTACGCTTGAATATTGAAGAGACAAAAGGACTTGCCGGAGAATCCCTTTCTTTCACTTCAGTCGAGCCACTCTTAGATGCAAAGCTATTTGCACATTTGTTCAAAATATCAACATTAACATAACTGAGATAATGACCACTACACGAAGACATTCCATTGTGCATGACAACTCCAAACAATGTATAAATTTCATCACTTTCAGCACAAGTCTTACTGCACCATTTTCTCAAGGACAATTTACAAGGTGTGTGTAGATTCTTAGTAACTTTGGTAACCCAGCTTCCGGAGAACAGACCTTCCTTGCTACAAACATACAAATCAAGATGAATTGATTGAATTTTCACCTCATCAATAAAGGGCTAATGCTTTGGTGTAAATAATCATTAAAATACATCATGAAAACTTACCCATAAGAAGTCTGGAATCGCTTCAAGTGAATTGTTAAGACTTGTGGAAGTTTTTCAAAGTATGTACTTATATCTGCTTCAGTCAATCTTGCACATTTCTCACAAAAATATTTATTATCTCCGTTGAGTCGTTCAACAGAAGCAAACATAGAGATAGCCCAAGCAAGCTTGAGGCTTTCTTCACTCTCCTCATCAGAAGAGGAGAGATTCTTTTCTTCATTTTCTTTAGGCTCCGATCTTGTATTTCTCACAGGAACACTGATGTCCTGAAATGGTTCATAACGTTGATGGACTTCTTCACAATTCAAGCAACAAGTCTGTAGCAGTAATGTTCCCTCAAACAATCTCTTCACAACATTAACATCCTCAAATGTAGTCTTGACACACTCAGAGTCAGTCTTTACTCGAGGTTGAGCTACATTCAAAGTTGACTCAACTGACGAACCAACTCCAAAGTCTGCATCCTCGTCCATCTTCATTTGCTCATCACATTCCAAAGACCTTGGTGATGTTGCAGTATCAGCGATTTTGCTGGTGATTGTACTTGGGTATTTGCAGCCCCCTTTAACCTTGGACATTGTTGAAAACGTGTTAGTAGAAGAACCATTTTGTACATAGCTTCCACCCACCAATCCGCTGCATTCATCTTCGAGCACAGCAAGGAAAGATCGTAAAAATTCTTGAGAATCATGCTGTTGGTAGTCGCTGAACATTGGACAACAGCCGCTAAACATAGTAAACTATCATATTAACATACATTCATCTGTTGACATTCTAGTACAGCTGATTTTAACCAGCAAGTTTATCTGACTTAATTCGAAAAATAAGCACTTTCTCTATTGCAATAAAAGTTGAATTTTGTACGTACCTGAAGGCATTGACAAATTCCTTAGGTTTCACAGCAAGAGTAGTTAAACCAGAACGAATGCTAACGTTATTTGCCTCCACACCAAACTTTCTGTAGTTTTCTTCAGCACACTCCATTTGACTTGTGAGTTTATCCAAGCTAGTAATTATACCATGTTTACCAGAAAACGAGAAATCAGGTGAATGCGATTCTGGAGCCCAACCATCCTATGAATAATGATATAAACGATGTAAATTAAATCCTGTCGTTAACTGTCAACTGAACTTTAAGGTTTTGAGCTTGGTCAGTCATATAGTTACGACTTCCACGCTAAAAGAAACGGTTTTCATTGACAAAGAACAGCAAAGCTTGGTTATTTACCTGTCTTAGCGAATCCATTGAAAAATTCTCAATATACGCTTTCTTTAGATTTCTGAGGGAATTTAAGAACTGTGGACAGTATCTTAGGACTTGCAGCACGGCATTCATATAGCATGTATTCCCAAGATTTGACAATCCTGAATATGGCAATGGCGGGTTCACTGCATCCTTCATCATCGCGTTTGTTTGGCTCGTTGACAATGTTGTTGACGGATTACAAATCTCTTTCTTGTCAGAAATTTCCGATGGACTGTTCAGTTCATTCTCATTTTCTTTCTCAATAACATTCTCAATTTCATTTTCGGGGCATTTTTCTTTTCTCTTCGCTTTTAACTTCAGCGAAAATTTGAATTTCTTTCGTGGCGGGCTTTCCATCGCCGAAGGACTATGAGCCATGAGGATAGGCATTTCCCTTCTTAATAAACCACTGATTATGAACTCTACACCAAAATCTACCTTTTAAACAGCGTAATGGAAATCCTCCTTGTTAATCTTCATGAATCTTCCGCAAAATAACTCAAGTATGAAGAAATATTCACTAATCACATTTTTACTTTATTCCCGCCAAAAGAAAGCGGCCATTTTAATTACAAACTGCGCATCGCGCGACCACATGCTCATGTTTTTACAACTCAACGTTGATTGACAATGATTGTTAAGCAGGGACGACTTAGGATATCTGGTGATTTTACTTAAGTGATTATCCTAATCCATCATTATAAGTGCTCATCCCAATCAGTGAACTCTACAACAACAAGTTGTTATGGAGTTCATTGATCCCAATAGAGTCCTTAAGTGGTGACGTCACGTTTCCATGGTGTTAAAAATCTCAGTTCCAAACAAGCGCCCATTCGATTCAAAATGGAGACATTATCCATCGCTTCGCTTTTTTTTTCTTCTCAGAAGAAAAGAAATCTATAAAAAAGGGGGAAAACCACTTACGTCAGATCACATTGAAGCATTTACTTATCAGCAGAGTGTTTTACGAGGAGAAGTACACGCAAGAATGAAACAAAAGGTTTATAAAGTGACGGTGAATGCCAAATGTCAAGATTAAGTTTTACACTGTTTTTGTTGCCCAAATGAACACGAGGGCGTGATTTTCTCTTGTAGTGAAATAAAAAAAGGCTTTTTAATGAACGATTTGTTTTAAAAATAATGATACTCGCCGGTTTTCAGTCCTCAAATTGACCTACCACAACTAGTTTGGTGTGAGGGAGTTGTGGTAACAGGCTATACATATATTTGCATTTTTATTAATAAACACAAGGATAACATGGTATTTAAAAGACATGGAAATATGGTACATCATTTAATGTTGTTTTCCTGGGGGGAATGAAAATTCCCATATAAAAGTGATGGGATGCTCATGGGAAATGTTCAGAAAGACCCCTCAAGGGTAACTGTGGGCAGTACTTGCTTTTATTTTTATCCCCAAAAAGACATCCATTGTAAAACATATGTCAAAACTTCTTATAACTTCTGTTCTCCTAAACATGATAAAAGAATTCTCGCAGTGATCTAATTTGACACCCTATCTACATCCAGGCTGTACCAGATGATAAATATTGTAATTCCTAGGAGGTAAAATCATCCCTTTACTGTTATATTAGAATGCTCCACCCCCCACACCCCTCTAGCTGTATTTTCTTCTAAGTAAGCCTCAGTCTACAAATTATTTTATTTCTATTTGAACAACAAAAATTATTAAAAAACTGTCCAATGTAGTCTTCGAGCATAAAACTACTCAAAAACCATATCTTCGCATCCCTCTTTGATGAGAGGAAATTGCAAATTTACAAGTGTTGCACATAACTGAAACAAAATGTCAGCATAGCAGTGCAAATACAAAGGAATGACACCTAAAATTTTGAAGTCTTTCAGCCTAGCATTGGCTCTTTCGACATGAATCTGTGCTTTAGCTATGGCTTTTGTTTTCTTGACCTCACTCTCTGTGAAAGTTCCATTATTCAGAAAAGGTGGAATATTGACACAGACACCATGTGGTACAACATCCTGGATAAGAAAACCCTTGTCCGCCAGAATCATATCTCCAGCTGTCAAGTGATTAAGGAGTCCAGACTGTTGCACAATGGCTTGTCTGAAACAGAACCTGGATACAGCCAACTGACATTAGTAATGACTCCATTTGGTGCAACACCAACTATTACCTTAAAGGAATTCATCATTCTGTATGATAAATAGGTTGCATTTTGCTGACTCATCAATCCCAGAGCAGCAACCTCAATATCTGTGCAGTCTATAACAATCCGACAGGATTCAAATTGCCTGAAAGAGGAGGGTGCAGAGATCTTGTTTTTTCCTCGGGATGGAATCGACGTCATTAGGTCAAACAAAATTTCATGCAGAACATGAGTGAATGTTATAACAATGTTAGAAATTGTGGCCACACCACAATGAAACAATTGGGTTAGGTGAAGCTGTGTGTAGTTCTGTCGTACTTTCATTAAAGTGATAAAAATTTGATCCTCAAAATTGATGGATTCTACCTTCCAAAACACGATGAAGCACTCAGATTTAAGGTTTTGGCTACGGAAAATACGAAGCGACCGTTAAAAAGACAACTAGCTGAAGCTTCTATAATTCAGTATTCGATGATTCTCCCTCATGTCCTGATGTCAACTCATCACCTGAATAGAGTCCGTAAATCTCACTTAAAATCACGTAATTCATCAAATTTTCACCCATCAAGGAATTCTTTTTGAATATCAGTTCATACCTTATGAGTCAAATCCATCTCTTGTACTCGTCGTTCTGCTTTGTAGCGCTTGGAAAAGCGAAGAACTTGCAAGTGTTGCTCTCCGACGAATGGCCACATGTAGGAGCAAAACAGTAAACCATTTTGCTCGTTTGACCCGCGTCCTTTACACTTCTTCGACGAAAGTTGATCCCTTGGATGATCCTTTAACCTTTCCGGTTTTTTTTACCTGTCTTTTGTGGGATTACACTGGATAAATAAAGCTTTAGACATTCAAAACAAAGGAAGCGTGTCCAAAGCGCTCGAATAAGATATTTTGTTTAGAACAGCATTTTTTGGCGCCATGGTAACGTGACGTCACACTTAAGGACTCTGACCAATGATTCATACCACATGGTTAATGATAACATATCTATGGTTCATCTCGGAGTTTATCCAAGTTAGATATTTTGTACAGGAACGTTCTGCGAAATTTGTTGCCATTGTCATTTGTCAAGTGTCGTCGCTTGCCTGCTTCTCTGTCTCCTTATATATCCATTTAGTTTGGTGAAGCAAAACATTAAAGTTAAACATCCCACCAGCTACAAAGTTGTGTCATTCCTCGGTTATTTAATTGAAACTTGAAACTTCGCATAGCTTCGTCTACTGCACTGCAGCTAACATGGCCAAGAGAAGTGTGGTTAAAACGACTGTGAAAAGTATTTCTTTCTTTTCCAAACCATGGGATGAAAGCGATGTAGTATTACGAGTTGAAGGTAAAGAAATTCATGCACATCGCTGCATTTTGTCTGTGCAGTCTAAGGTTTTTAAAACAATGTTCAATGGTAATTTTAAAGACGCGTTGGAAGAAACCATTGAACTAAAAGACGACAAATACAAAGCAATGATTTCTTTCTTGATGTTGCTCTATCCAGCGAACATGTTGGGTGAACATGAAGCCATTCTTAACGACGATAATATTCTTCAAGTTATGGAACTTGCAGATAAATACGAAGCAATGAATGTCATCAAACAGTGTATGAAAAACGTAAGGAAAATTCATCCTAAAACAGCAATGTATCTCTTACCGTTTGCTGAGAGAAATCGATTGCCTCTTGAAAAAATAATTTATGTCATTAGAAAGCGTGTCTCAGCAGATGAACTAAGCAGCATTTCGCAAAATTTGAGTAGCGAAGTCTTCGCAAGGGCATTGTTATCTAAGTGTAAACATTTGGAGAAGATTGTGAGGAAGTTAAAAGATGAATTTGACTTGGATGACACTTTCTCGGAAAGTTCGTAATGTCGTACTTCGTCAAGAACTTCTAAAGTGGGAATAATGTCTAACATTTGTTACAAATTATAGGACTATTTGTATTTTTTACAAAAGTTGTAAATAAATAAACAAACAAGAAAAGTATGTTGCTCTACTGCTTGTTTAATCATAGCCTACAACTCAAATCATTAGCGTGCAAATTGACTGAGTGTTGACCAATAAAACATTATGAGGGCCGTATAATCATATTCGTAATACGAATTCATAAAAGTAAAGTTATTCTTTGGGCCAACAGATGTGTCCCTCCAGGTACAAACTAAGGTCCTTTCTTGGTTGTTTATCGTCATGGATAAAACCGAGAACAGGTAAACTGTGCTAAAATCCTCAGGTTTCCATGACGTGCACAAGACCAATCATGTAATATGATATTCTAGTATTTCATAATGTTTAGATTAAGTATGTCAGTTAGGATTTCGCGAGGATTCCAAAGAGAGCATTATAAATTGTTTTACCATTGAGTGCAGATGAAGATTTTTTTCATACAACTGGTCGATCTGTTATCTGTTTATTATGATGTTGTTCGTATTCCATTTTGAATTCTTATTGTTGTGTATTATAATGTTTTCCTACATAGAAAATATACATAATTCAGCTTTTTTTGCCAGCAATATTTATGTGAAATAAAGCATCCCATCTCTCTATCTGTTGCATCCCATCTCCATACAGTGCTGCCACTCTGTGTATGCACATTTCACCTACCAAACTTTATTTACCCCCTACTTCCCCCTACTATTTTTTTCCTTGTTTTCCCCTACTTTTCCCCTACACAACAACATATCCTTCTATTATATACCTACGTCGGGTCGGACCATTGAATTTTTTAATCTGTTTTAAAAAAATGCATGCAAAAAAAGGTTTATCGAAAACTAAGAACATCTAGACGGCAAAGTTAGTAATTTGGAGTAGGAAGTAATGACATGCAGGTGGCGCAAATGACACACCGAGTTTATGATAAGTTGCTGATCTTCTATTGTCATATATGGTCACAAAATGTGCCAAAAGAAAGATTCTGTTACAATCACTTACTAAATGGTGAGAACACAGGAAGAAAAGAGTATTTTGGGCAAAAATGAGGCTCATTTTTAAACGATTTTCTTTTCTCCCTACAATCCTCCTACATTTTACAGCTTTCCCCGTAGGTTTCCCCTACCACACACAAACCACTAAATCCTTCTACTGTATAGGATTTCCCCTACGAGTGGCAGCACTGTCCCATATCTATACCTCATGCTCCTACACACGCCCCATCGAAGAGGAAAATTTACGGCAACTTTTCAGCTGTTTCAACTTTCAACATACGTTTGCCGCTGCTGCAATGGCCAAGAGCAAAGACACCGGTGTGTTTTCTTTGTTTTCCACACCATGGAATGAAAGTGATGTAGTTTTACGAGTTGAACGTAAGGAAATTCATGCTCATTGCTGCATTTTGTCTTTGCAGTCAAAGGTTTTTAAAACAATGTTCAATGGTAATTATAAAGACGCGTTGAAAGAAGCCATTGAACTGAAAGACGACAAATACGAAGCAATGATTTCTTTTTTGATGTTTTTATATCCAGCGAACATGTTGGACGAACATGAAGCCATTCTTAACGACAATAATATTCTTCAAGTTATTGAACTTGCAGATAAATACGAAGCAAAAAATCTCATCAAACAGTGTATGAAAAACGTAAGGAAAATTCAGCCTATAACAGCAATGCATCTCTTACCGTTTGCTGAGAGAAATCAATTGCCTCTTGAAGAAATAATTGATGTCATTAAAAAGCATGTCTCAATGGATGATCTAAACAACTTTTCACAAAATTTGAGCAGCGAAGTTTTAGCCATGGCAATGTTAACTAAAGGTAAACATTTGGAGGATATCATAAAAAAGGCTCAAACGCAGATCAATGAATTAGGAAGCGCAATCAAAATAATCAGTCAAAATCCAAATTTATCTGCATACCATAATAAAATTCTAAAAAGCTGTACACAATATGACCAATCTCCTGGACTATGTGACATTAATGACATTGTAAAATCTTTAAAATAGGACTGTTTGTAATTGTAACAAGTAATGTAATGAAGTATCAACTCGTGATCTGTTCTTGAAGTTTAAAGTATTTTACTTGATGTTCTGTTGACAATCCAGTTATTTCTTTTTCCATGCTACGTAATGCTGATGCCAAAAAAATTGATACAATAAATTAGCCTGAGGAAATGATTTCTTATAAATCCAGTTGTGTTGGCTAGTTCAATTAAAACCTACAAAAACTCAAATTTATTCTGCACAATGATGGAGTAAAAAACACTGAAAGATGTTTTGCATTGAACAACCACGGATTCCTGTCTGTCTACAACAAAAATTACCTTTAAAACAGCATATTTGAAAACATCCTTGTTAATCTTTGTGGATCTTCTGTTTCTGCTAAAAGAAAACAGCCATTTTTTAATCACAGAATGCTGCAGGCCAAAGACATACATGCTCACGTTTTAACATTACCCAACATTCATTGCTAAACAGAGGTGACATAAGATATTCAACTATTTTAAAAAGTTAATATATTGTAATCCATCTTCAACCAAATATTATTTCATCAAAATGATTCAAATTTACAAATGAATTTAGAAAGATTAAAATTATATGTAAATAGTACATACTATATACGTTGGTCTATAAAATTTCCTATCTCTGATTTGTCTTATAAATAATGTTTTATTTACAGTATTTCAATTAAAAATTTATTTTCTGGAACCCAGTCCACAATTCACACACTATATACATCAGGTAAAACTGCAACTCCTGCCGCAGCTCGACATGTTTCCATTGGCAATACTTCCTCCCATGTGTTAGTCTTTGGATCAAATATCTCAACAGTACTAAAATAAGATCGTCCATCAATTCCACCAACAGCATAAAGTTGGCTTCCATAGTTCACCATAGAAACACCATCACGACATGAGTTCATATGTGCCACTTCCTGCCACATGTTCATACGTGGTTCAAACATTTCAACCAAACTCAGCCTTGCAATACCATCAAATCCACCTACAAAAAAACAAGTTAACTCCATATTAAAAACTCATATTGTGTATTCCCAGTTCAGAGAAATGTGAAACAAATAAAGCACCTGCTACATATAAAATACCATCAACGACAGCAGCACCAATGCCAGCTCTAGGTCTACTCATTGGTGGAACATACGACCATTTATTTGTAAGTGGATCGTATCGCTCACATGAATTGAGAAAAGATGTACCATCGTTACCACCAATAACAAACAAACTGTTACCCACTTCAGCTACACCTAAAACATTCAATGATCAAATAGTTACAATTATATCTAAAGAACAATGGGAAACTTATAGCAACCTGGAAAACTTCATGTAACATTCAATGATCAAATAGTTACGATTATATCTAAAGAACAATTAGTTCTAAAGTTATTCGTTGGGCGAAAAGATGTGTCCCTCTAGGTAGAAAATGAGGTCCTTTCTTGGTTGTTTATTGTCATGGATAAAACCGAGAACAGGTAAACTGTGCTAAAATCCTCAGATTTCCACGACGTGCACAAGACCAATCATGGAATATTAAATTTGAGTATTTCATAATATTTGGATTATGTATGTCCAGTCAGGATTTCGAGAGGATTCCAAAGAGAGAATTATGAATTGTTTTACCATTGGGTGCAGATGAAGTCTTTTTCATACATCTAGTCGATCTGTTATCTGTTTATTATGATTTTGTTCGTATTCCATTTTGAATTCTTATTGTTGTGTATTATAATGTTTTCCTACATAGTAAATATACATAATTCAGCTTTTTTTGGGAGCAATATTTATGTGAAATAAAGCATCCCATCTCTCTATCTGTTGCATCCCATCTCTCTATCTGTTGCATCCCATCTCTCTATCTGTTGCATCCCATCTCTCTATCTGTTGCATCCCATCTCTCTATCTGTTGCATCCCATCTCTCTATCTGTTGCATCCCATCTCTATCTGTTGCATCCCATCTCTCTATCTGTTGCATCCCATCTCTCTATCTGTTGCATCCCATCTCCTTACAGTGCTGCCACTCTGTGTATGCACATTTCACCTACCAAACTTTATTTCCCCCCTACTTCCCCCTACTATTTTTTTCCTTGTTTTCCCCTACTTTTCCCCTACACAACAACATATCCTTCTATTATATACCTACGTCGGGTCGGACCATTGAATTTTTTAATCTGTTTTAAAATGAGGCTCATTTTTAAACGATTTTCTTTTCTCCCTACAATCCTCCTACATTTTACAGTTTTCCCCGTAGGTTTCCCCTAGCACCTACAAACCACTAAATCCTTCTACTGTATAGGATTTCCCCTACGAGTGGCAGCACTGTCCCATATCTATATCTCATGCTCCTACACACGTCCCCATCGAAGAGGAAAATTTACGGCAATTTTCCAGCTGTTTCAACTTTCAACATACATTTGCCGCTGCTGCAATGGCCGAGAGCAAAGACACCGATGTGGTTTCTCTGTTTTCCACACCATGGAATGAAAGCGATGTAGTATTACGAGTCGAACGTAAAGAAATTCATGCACATCGCTACATTTTGTCTATGCAGTCAAAGGTTTTTAAAACAATGTTCAATGGTAATTTTAAAGACGCGTTGGAAGAAGCGATTGAACTGAAAGACGACAAATACGAAGCAATGATTTCTTTTTTGATGTTGTTCTACCCAGCAAACATGTTGTACGAACATGAAGCCATTCTTAACGACAATAATATTCTTCAAGTTATGGAACTTGCAGATAAATACGAAGCAACAAATGTCATCAAACAGTGTATGAAAAACGTAAGGAAAATTCAGCCTAAAACAGCAATGCATCTCTTACCGTTTGCTGAGAGAAATCAATTGCCTCTTGAAGAAATATTTGATGTCATTAAAAAGCATGTTTCAATGGATGATCTAAACAACTTTTCACAAAATTTGAGCAGCGAAGTTTTAGCCATGGTAATGTTAACTAAAGGTAAACATTTGGAGGATATAATAAAAGAGACTCAAACGCTGATCAATAAAATGAGGAACCAAAGCCAATCAATCAATCGAAATAATTTTACTTCAGGAACTCTAACCTTTGGTGGAATACCGCAAACCCATTACACTGTGTTCGGCGACTGTTTACAATATGACCAATCTCCTGTACTATGTGACATTAATGACATTGTAAAAACTTTAAAATAGGACTGTTTGTAATTGTAACAAGTAATGTAATGAAGTATCAACTCTTGATCTGTTCCTGAAGTTTGAAGTATTTTACTTGATGTTTTGTTGACAATCCAGTTATTTCTTTTTCCATGCTACATAATGCTGATGCCAAAAAAATTGATACAATAAATTAGCCTGAGTTGTGTTGCCTAGTTCAATTAAAACCTACAAAAACTCAAATTTATTCTGCACAATGATGGAGTGAAAAACACTGCAAGATGTTTTGCATTGAACAACCACAGATTCCTGTCTGTCTACAACAAAAATTACCTTTAAAACAGCATATTTGAAAACATCCTTGTTTAATCTTTGTGGATCTTCTGTTTCTGCCAAAAGAAAACAGCCATTTCAATCACAGACCAGCCACAGAATGCTGCAGGCCAAAGACATACTTGCTCACGTTTTAACATTACCCAACATTCATTGCTAAACAGAGGTGACATAAGATAATCAACAATTTTAAAAAGTTAATATATTGTAATCCATCTTCAACCAAATATTATTTCATCAAAATGATTCAAATTTACAAATGAATTTAGAAAGATTAAAATTATATGTAAATAGTACATACTATATATGTCGGTTTATAAAATTTCCTATCTCTGAATTGTCTTATAAATAACATTTTATTTACAGTATTTCAATTAAAAATCTATTTTCTAGTACCCAGTCCACAAATCACACACTATATACATCAGGTAAAACTGCAACTCCTGCCGCAGCTCGACATGTTTCCATTGGCAATACTTCCTCCCATGAGTTAGTCTTTGGATCAAATATCTCAACAGTACTAAGATAAGACGGTCCATCAATTCCACCAACAGCATAAAGTTGGCTTCCGTAGTTCACCATAGAAACACCGTCACGACATGAGTTCATATGAGCCACTTCCTGCCACATGTTCATACGCGGTTCAAACATCTCAACCAAACTCAGCCTTGCAATGCCATCAAATCCACCTACAAAAAAACAAGTTTAACTCCATATTAAAAACTCATATTGTGTTCTCCCAGTTCAGAGAAATGTGAAACAAAGATAGCACCTGCTACATATAAAATACCATCAACGACAGCAGCACCAATGCCAGCTCTAGGCCTACTCATTGGTGGAACATACGACCATTTATTTGTAAGTGGATCATATCGTTCACATGAATTGAGAAAAGATGTACCATCATTACCACCAATAACAAACAAACTGTTACCCACTTCAGCTACACCTAAAACATTCAATGATCAAATAGTTACAATTATATCTAAAGAACAACGAGGAACTTATAGCAACCTGGAAAACTTCATGTAACATTCAATGGTCAAATAGTTACAATTATATCTAAAGAACAATTAGAAACTTATAGCAATCTGTAAAACTTCATATAACATTCAATGGTCAAATAGTTACAATTATATCTAAAGAACAATTAGAAACTTATAGCAACCTGGAAAACTTCATATAACATTCAATAGTCAAATAGTTACAATTATATCTAAAGAACAATTAGAAACTATAGCAACCTGGAAAACTTCATAACATTCAATGGTCAAATAGTTACAATTATATCTAAAGAACAATTAGAAACTTATAGCAACCTGGGAAACTTCATATAACATTCAATGGTCAAATAGTTACAATTATATCTAAAGAACAATTAGAAACTTATAGCAACCTGGAAAACTTCATATAACATTCAATAGTCAAATAGTTACAATTATATCTAAAGAACAATTAGAAACTATAGCAACCTGGAAAACTTCATATAACATTCAATGGTCAAATAGTTACAATTATATCTAAAGAACAATTAGAAACTTATAGCAACCTGGAAAACTTCATGTAACATTCAATGATATAATAGTTACAATAATATCTAAAGAACAATTAGAAACTTATAGCAACCTGGAAAACTTCATGTAACATTCAATGATATAATAGTTACAATAATATCTAAAGAACAATGGGAAACTTATAGCAACCTGGAAAACTTCATGTAACATTCAATGATATAATAGTTACAATAATATCTAAAGAACAATTAGAAACTTATAGCAACCTGGAAAACTTCATGTAACATTCAATGATATAATAGTTACAATAATATCTAAAGAACAATTAGAAACTTATAGCAACCTGGAAAACTTCATGTAACATTCAATGATATAATAGTTACAATAATATCTAAAGAACAATGGGAAGCTTATAGAAACCTGGAAAACTTCGTGTAACATTCAATGATCCAACAGAACTCCAATAATCCACTTGAGGATCATATCTTTCCACAGTCTTTAAACAAGTTCGTCCATCATAACCCCCTAATGCATACAATGCTTCCCCAAGTGTACCCACACCAACTCCCGAACGAGATGTGTTTAATGATTTTGTGTAAACCCACCTATCCAAATCTCTATCATAACGTTCGACACTATTTAACCTTGAGTATCCATCAGAACCCCCGACTGCATACAGTGAATTACTTATCACACCAACACCAAGTTGCTGACGACAAGAATTAAGGGGAGATGCACGTTGCCATTTATTTGAATACATACTAAAGGAAGTCGAAAAAGTTTACAACATTTAGAACTATGGTTTATGATCATACCTGAACAATTATTTTAGTAAAAAGTACTCACTGAAAACATTCAACACTATTTGCAATAGTTTCTCCTGCTTCTTTGCCACCTACAGCAAATAACCAACCCACCGTAGATTTTCGTGGCTTTGTTCTTTTGCTACGCATCAGAGCTCGGCGATCCGGTACAAGATGGAAATTTTTTGCTTCGTCGAGTAGATCCCTGCAGCACATACTCATACGAATTAAAGGTTCGTTGTCAATCTTCGAAAGTAAGTATTCTTTAGAAATAAGCGGGAGGCGAACATTCTCTAATATTTGTGGAAGTAACTTTGATCTCTCGCTCGCATTATAACCGACCCACTTTAAAACGGATTCATAAACTTCTTCTTCAAAATTCACATTTAAATCATCGCTGGAAAGGACCTTTATCAGTAATTCTCCCGGTAAAAGATAATACTCGTCCGACTTGACTACGTCTTTAAATTTTTGTAAAACAAACCCATCTACAGACTCAAGAAAGCTTGTACAGCCGTGGGCTTCGACAAATTTCCTTATACCCAAACAATTGGATGGATCAAGTTGCGTTTCAAGAAATTTACAACACAATTCGCCGACCTCGTGAAATTGGATGAGCGAGCTTGTCGCTAAAAGCGCCTGGACGTTTTCAACTGTTATGTTAATTCGACCAGTGTACGCAAACTCCACAAGATTGTCCATTATGTCAGATGGAATATCTTGCATAACGACAACTTTCGCGCGGCTCTCGACCAATTCGCCAGAAAACATCGCGAAGAAGTATGGTGAACATGCCGCTAAAACTGCTCTGTGTGTGGCTATATCACGTCCGGAGACCCTCAAAATTACATCGCATAATTTCTCCTTTTCTCTGCGATGTCTGTTCATCAATGAAAGCACTCGTGTAGCGTGAGAACAGGCTGTATGTGATACAAAGGGACTTTCAGTCTTGAACAGAACACCCGCCATGTTGTCATGCCAGCAAATTTTGGCGCCTACGAAATTTTGTTAAGCGGTTTACCGTTCCGCATACTTAATATTAACTAAAATAAAACGTAACTTCTTATTGACTCAACCCAGCATAATGAATGAGAACTATATATATTATAGTACAAGTACTGGCAGTCTAATAAGAATATAAGAGCAGTATAAACTCACTAAAATAGTAACGAAAGAAACTAGAAATGCATGATTCCTTTGTCCAACAGGTATCCATATCTCATTCTTAAATTTTATGGTGATTTTTGATGCATACCATCGACATTTCAATGCGTAGTTATCTTTACAGGGATGTTCAACTTGACCAACATTCTCTGTTTCACAGTCTTGTAAAAAACCTGAAGTACACATACAAGAATAATTAATACTTCAGCAGACAATTACCATATTAAAACACCATCAATTCACCTTGGCAACGAGAAAAGATTTTTTGGGATGGAATATTTAACAAAACATAGCGGTCATTGCCTTCTACTGGAGCTTGATAACGTACATGAACAGGAAGGGAGTACCCAGATTTAAACTCTACATAACTTTACAAAATATTATGATAAACAATATTGAATAAACACAGTATAACATGTGCACTTATCAGTCTACAGTTGTGTTTGAATTAGCCTGCACAGCCTTATGAATACCTCCAAGACGTTTTTGAAAACTCTTGAGCAGATGCAAACCTTTATTCAAACATTATTCACTGATCTGCTCTCAAGTTCTCCAAAAGGTCTCCTCCATTTGCATAAGTATGTGCTGTTTGCATTAACACAGTAAACATCTTTCATTTCTTAAATATCACACCTTTTGTATTTGTTGATGACAACTTGTGGATAAAGAAGTACTGTCAAGTCTTTGGAAACTTGAGATGGAAGTTCTACGTTAAAATCACTCAAATTTCCTAACAATAAAACCTGAAACATTCAATGGATTAATAAATCTTTTGAGAACCCAAATTTCAACATGAAGTTATGTATGATAAAACCTGTAAACCTCGTTTAAATCCTTAGATCGAATTTCATCAGGATCCACATACATCCCTCGTGGTACATGTTGAACCAACAATATCTCACAAGTTGATATATCCTTGTCAGATTCAAGGATCCATGATATATTAGTGACAATCTCTCTTTTAAAAAACAAGAAACATGATTTACATTAAAAACCACGACAAGTCGACAATTTAAAGAACTATAATATAAAACAAATTCTGAAAAAGGAAGACATCTCAAGATTGCAAAACATGAATCAAAACAAGACGAGAAGTAAACTGTAAATTTTCGATTTTATTTCAAAGTCATCCTCAGAAAGAGTGAGGCTGACTTTGAAATAAAGTCGAAAATTTACAGTTTACTTCTCGTCTTGTTTTGATGCATACTTTGCAATCTCAAGATGTCTTGCTTCTTTGGAATTTGTTTCATATTATGATTTACATTATTACCAGAGAATAAGCAACATATGCAAGAACCTGGTGTGCATTTTAAGCTTACTACTACATATTTCCTACTTTCAACAGTTACATACCATACCCTGCCACTTAAAGTACCACAGCACAGGTACATGGCTATATTGAGTAAAGCTAGTGCCAATACTAAAGTTGAGGTTGGCAATCAAAGAAGTAGAAGCTAGTGAAGATGTAGAGCAATTACATAGGTCTGAAGAAAGATCATGATGCTATAGACAGAACAAGATGTTGTAATTGACAATTGAGATTGGTAATTGAAAAAAGGTCGGGAGAATTTATTGTATGCTCGAGACTTTGTATTTTATAATGGCGCCTTATGGTCTCTTTTATTTTCACCTATGAAAGCCAGATTTAAGCACTTCCGTTTTTACTGACACAGGTGATATAATTCCACAATTCGACGATACTACAAACAAAATGAGCAAAAAGATGAAATTCGCAAGAGTTGAAATTTACAATGAAAACATCATAATACGCACCATAAGAGAACAGAGTTAATGAAAAAACAATGCAGTGGTACAAATTGGTATTTTCCATCAAAAAGTTATGGATTTGTTTTGAGTTGTTTGATTGGATACGTGGAAAGTATATGCGTAAAACGTCGACTTTTCGACGTAAAACGTCGACTCACTTAAATTATTTAATAAATAATAAGATTAAAGTCTCTTGATTTAAAATGGTGAATTCATTCCAAGTTTTGTCCCAAATTTTAACTTGGCTCGTCTTTGATAGCGGATGTAGAATCTAGGAAAAAGAAATGAATTTTTGACTAAAAACAATCTACTACGTTTAACTACGTTTAACCAGAGCCCTCTATTATTCTATGGAGGGCTCTGCGTTTAACTACTTAACCGTACATTACAAAAGAATTAGCACCGCACAAAGACTAAAGTTCCTCAGATGCGGCGATTAATCGGGAGCGGTGCTAAATAACTTTTCTGGATTCCGAGTGCGGCGCTTAATAGAGAGCGGCACTTTAGTGAGAATGGCACAAACGCGAGCATTCACGGTATAGCTACGAACGCACATGCACATATGAAAACGACTCGCTCGCTTTATATATGATGTTATAAGCCAGTATTACAGAGTAGTTAGCCTGCGAACAGGCTACCCACAAAAACTACTTACTTGATGTATTTACGTTTACATAATTCACAAAACACCAGTTGAACGAAAGGATAAACAAACACGACGCAATATATTGAATAATGCAGGTCCACAATGGAGTATTTCTTTTCCATTTCATTTCGCCACCAAAATTGAGAAATAGTTGTTATCAACAGTTGTAACACAAAGCTATAAAAATGAGGGGAATTTTAATAATAGTGGATAGATTTATGAAACCATAGACCAGACTAGTGTCGCACAGAGAAAATGGGGGACTGGGGCAAAATTTTGCTCAGTTTCTTGTGACGTCATGACTATAAACATTTGCGACTGCGTGGAGTATGTGTAACAGGTCTTGAAAGTCACAATAAATATGATTGTCTTAATTTCAGGTCTTTTTTCAAATCGGGGGCATTCGTATATGTTGAGGGCCTGGGGCAAAGTGCCCTGCCTTCCCATTCTCTCAGTGCGGTTGTCATAGTTACACGTACACAATAATAACAGCGAACATCCATGGTTTGTTGTTGAATGGCGACCGTTTCCAAAGATGAGAAAGATGATGAACATAACTTGCAGATATAAACACTACAGAAACGATCAAATTATATTGAGATCAGTGAAGAAAAAAAAACACAAAAACTGAATAGACATGTATCGAAAAGGAGCGTTAAAGAAAAGAAAAATTTTTTATGCTCAACCCTTTACATGTCACCTTCTACCAATAATTTAGAGCCCAATCCTCTAGATGTCAAACTACCGTGTAAAAGTCACTGAACTAAAATACATGGAACGCTACCTGAAGCAAATAATTGAAGCCAAATCTTACACCAGACACGCGAGACTTTACCCCAGACACGCGTGATTAGTGTTTCGACATTCTTTCGCGGAGTAATAATTGATGGACTACACACGCGTGTCTGGGGTAAAATCACGGCTCCAAAAAATTATTAGGGTTTTGTATTACAGGTATTTACTTCAATGGTAAAACTGAGGCAAGGACGCCATCTTGAAAGATGGCAAAAAGCAAAACTCAAATTAAAAAATAAGTTAAAACAAAGTTTAAAAAACCCTTCCTATCAAACATTATAAGAATCAAGTCTAAATATCAACTTTGCGACTCTATATCAACTCAGCAAAAGTTGTATATTTAGTTCAATGGTCTCAATAAAGTTATTTCAACGAGTAAGATTTTGATGGAGATTAAGACTGCAATCGAGTTATACGTAAATTGAGTGATACGCAAATCGAGTTGAGCCCACGATGACAAAAAATTGACGGCTAATTCAGTATTTAGTAACAGAACGAAAGACGTTAATTCATACAGCACGAGACAGAGCTTGAAAAACAAAACATTTATAACTTTCATACCGAAACACAACATAAGGAAGAAAGCAACTATATCCTGAGCCAAGGCCAAATGGTAAGTTCCAGCCAGACCATTCCAATCATTGACACGACTCCTGAAGAAAAAAGAAATAGACTTGACTTATCAACAATCTCTGCGGGCATTTTGAATTTAGTCAGCAAGCTCGTTTTCATGATTTAGAACAATTTATGTTGATCAAATATAAAATTACTAAAGCAGTAGCATATCCGGCCGGTAAGTATGTAGATATTTTGTTATTCATTTACTGTAAAAACTAAAAACAATAGTTTGTAAAAACAATGTTTAATGATCTGAAATTTACATTGCACGACCAAACTTGCATGGCGACTACTTAAGTGCATTGAACTAAATATATCTGGACGGTTACTTCCCGCCAAAATTTTAGGTCAGACAGTTATCTAGCCATAATCTTTCCACGCAAGGCCCAAAGACAGTTCACTCACAAGAGTAAGGTAAAATGCATGACTATGCCCCCAGACACGCGCATTTATTGGTTTCGTGCATACATATACAGGTAAGGGTGGCCTGTTGTATATTTGATTCAATGATGCAAATGGACTAGTCCCAGTATTGTTATTCAGCACTAAAAATTCAAGTTCGTTATTCTACTCGCGGTCACGTGTGTATTCCTCTTACCTGTTACCCAATAAATAATGACAGTCGTCGTTAAATGACGTGGTGTTCTCGGAACAGATCGACCAGAGAATGAGAGGAAAGATTACGGCATTGCAGACCAAAATACACGGCAGGAACGGAAGGGCATGGTAACGAACAAACGATGACACGTAACCCTGGTAAAAAGGAAGTTGAAATGTTAAAATACACAGAGAAATTTACACACACACGGGGGGAGGGGAGGATGACAGCCGCCATCTTTTATCATATATGTATAAAAAGTCCGTTCATAAACTGATAGAGGACGAAAAAAGTCGGTCCGGTTAAAAGTAAGAGCTTTTTCTTTCAATTGTAAAAATGTGAAGTGTAAATAATACTACGAAGTTAAGTCAATGAAGGACACGTATTTTATTAAGGAAATTAAACAAAACAAATGTATATAAAAACCATGACCAGCCGACAATTTAAAGAAGTATAATATAAAACAAATTCCGAAGAAACAAGACATCTTGAAATTGCAAAATATGAATCAAAACAAGACGAGAAGTAAACTGTAAATTTTCGACTTTATTTCAAAGTCATCCTCAGACAGAATGATGTTTCAGACAGAACGAAAATTTACAGTTTACTTCTCGTCTTGTTTTGATTCATATTTTGCAATCTCAAGATGTCTTGTTTCTTCGGAATTTGTTTTATATTATAAATGTATATAAGTAATAAAGTAAATGGTTTGAATCCGGGAGAATCGTTACATGTTTGTAAATGTAGATCGTCTAGGTTGGTATAGTCCTGAGAAGGACTGTTTTTGTTGTTGTTGACTGACGTTTCGTATCTAAGATGACTACAGCTAAAGTTGTCGAAACGTCCGTCACCATCAACAAAACAGTCCTTCCCAGGACTCTACTAACCTGGACGATCTACATCTACAAACAAGTGTATACAAGTACGTTGGACAACAGAGCGTATATAGGAGAAATTAAAAAAAAATAAAGTTGACTTTTATCAAGAGTCTGGCTTGGTGCTTTACACAAATATAGAAATTGAACAAGACAGTTCTAGGAACGTTCGTCCCTGTGTACACTACTTATCATAAGGAAACATGCGTCAATTTTCCTATTTTGCTGAACCAAATCATACTTCGAAGTCTTAATTTCACTGTTTTGCTGAACCTAAATCATATTTCGAAGTCTTAATTTCACTGTTTTGCTGAACTTAAATCATATTTCGAAGTCTTAATTTCACTGTTTTGCTGAACCTAAATCATGTTTCAAAGTCTTAATTTCACTCCTTTGCTGAACCTAAATCATATTTCAAAGTCTTAATTTCACTCTTTTGCTGAACCTAAATCATATTTCAAAATCATAATTTCACTGTTTTGCTGAACCTAAATCATATTTCAAAGTCTTAATTTCACAGTTTTGCTGAACCTAAATAACATTTCAAAATCTTACACTGAATTTTTTGTCGTTTTTTCCAGTAATTGCGGTCATAAGTTGTGAATCGTTTTCCGTGTTGATGAGGGGAACACTGAGGACTGGGACGAGAACACATGTGAACCACAACAGATGAAATCCAGTAAGAACAGGTGGCAACAAAAATAGAGATGACGTCAGCATTACAAGCGAGAGAGTCAGTTGGCATGCCAACATAAACGTCATACAAACCCTGATACCAGTACAAAGACGACGGGCCTAAAGTAGAACACAAAAGTAGATAATTTATCACAACGATATTTTAAAACACCACAAATAAATTAAATCACATAAACACCTTGATATTCTGATCAGAACAAGCAATCTGAGGCCGCTTGCACGAAGCTGGGCGTTATCCATTGGATAGCAATTTTTTTAAACTTTTATAAAACCTTTCAAAAAGCAAAAAGTATAAGATTCGAACTGGGCAACCACTGAAATAAAATATTGTTTCGAAGATTACGAGATTTCTTTGTCGTAAGAAAAATATAACACCTTTTTTACAAGTTTGAAAATTTTTGCTATCCAAAAAATAACGCTATCCAGGTTTCGTGCAACCGGCCCATGATGGTTTTTTTTAATATGTCGTACAAAAAGTCAAATTCGTTAGCTAGCTGGTAGAGCAAAATATCAGTTTGACTTCTGTTGCATTTTGCAGGAACAGTGTAATGTTCTGCGGAAGGTAGGAGAGCAAAAAACTAACGAAGTACCCTAGTACCACTCATATCCCTAGCACTATGGGAAGAACTGACATAGCCACATGTACCCTAGTACCACTCGTACCCTAGCACTATGGGAAGAACTGACATAGCCACATGTACTCTATAACCACTCATATTTCTAGAAGTATAAAAAAACTGGTATAGCCATGTGTACATCAGTACCACTTGTAGCCCTAGCACTATGGGAACAATTGGTATAGCCATGTGTACACCAGTACCACTTGTAACCCTAGCACTATGAGAACAATTGGTATAGCCACATGTACATCAGTACCACTTGTAACCCTAGCACTATGGGAACAATTGGTATAGCCACATGTACATCAGTACCACTTGTAACCCTAGCACTATGGGAACAACTATGAGCACAATTCAAGCAAAACAACAATCTAACAATAAATACAACACCAATCAAAAGTGATCTGATTGTGAACTGACCTCTTTAAGATTGTGGACTGACCTCTTTAAGAAGAGCGACAAGTTTAATGTCGCAATCTCGATGAAAGTTTAATGAACACGAAATACCATTTAATGATGAACTAACAGAAAGCGGAGAGAAATTTCCACCTGGAATTTAAAATGTACACATTTTTAAACTCATCGAATACAGCAATTAAGATATAACTCAGTGTTAAACCATTCCCTTACAAAAGAATAAACTGTCGTTTTCATTTTTCAGCAAACTCGTGTTACATAAAGTTTCATCTCCCGATAACTGATAATAATTTGGGTTACATGACGTATCTTTCAGACAAACACGAGGAATGCTTGGGCGCACGGCAATGCTACAATTGAACGAGAAATATATCCACTTAATAATTAATAATCAAAAAATATTTGAGGGAAAAGTAGCAATTTCTTAATACAACAGTTGCTTTGCCACACAATTCACAATTTACTTCTTTCTAACAAGCCATAATGAAATGATGTAACATTTACCTTACGTCTGCTTGATTGAATATTTCAACATTATCGACATTCAGTGAGCTACCAACACAACAAACAACTTCTCCATTCTCCTGCATGATTGAAATCATCTCACGTACATCTGTAAGGATATAGAGAAACATACATAACCCTTTGAGTACTACATAACCCCTTGAGTACTACATAACCCCTTGAGTACTACATAACCCTTTGAGTACTACATAACCCTTTGAGTACTACATAACCCCTTGAGTACTACATAACCCCTTGAGTACTACAAATTAGTGATACATACATAACCCCTTGAGTACTACAAAATAACTTGAGAGGTGGAGTTAGTAAAGACAACAATGACAAGCCTTGAGTGATGGAGTCAGTGGAGAGAACAATTACATACCTTGAGGGGTGGAGTCAGTGGAGAGAACAATAACATACCTTGAGGGGTAGAGTCAGTAAAGAGTGGCACCAATAAGGGCACGTTGTCAACATTCTCTAAATGTGGTCGAATATTTTTTACACCTCGAGGAAGTTTTGCCTAAATAAAAAGATATATCATAATTATTAAGTATCAAATAAAAAAAATTAATATAAAACAGCCTACAATGCCCTACAATGACCTAAAATGTCCTACAATGTCCCGCATGGTAGATGCACCTATTTTGACGTAGTTGTTAACCCACTCAAAATACTCACGTGATTGCCAATTGGAAACCATAATTCACCATCGCGATCCTTGTCATCAACGTCAGTCGTTGCCGATGACGATGTTGTCACACTTAACTTCCGGTCACGTGCTATGGTAAAAGTAAAACATCGAAAAGAGTTTCGCTTTCGTTTTGACATTAAAATCAGAAATAATCGATATTTTGATTATCAAACTATTAAAAAGAAGTAATGGTTATTAAAAAGAAGTAATGGTTATTAAAAAGAAGTAATGGTTTAAGCAGATGAAGAACCTTGATTTATTGAAGAAAGGAAGCGAAAGGAAAAGGAATCGAGAAATGAAGAGGGAATAATCAGGATAATGAAATGATGGATGAAGGATGAATCAATGGAGGATAATGAGGAAATAATGGAAAATCAGCAGGATAATGGAAGGATGAGGAATGAAAAGAAAATGAATGAAAAAGAATGAGGATAAATCTCAAAATCACTCAAAAATCTTTCGATTCTTCCTCCTCCATTCCTTTTTTCTCTCTGTTTACCATCATTTTAACATGATCCACAATTACCCCTGATGATACTCCTTCATAAATATCATCCTCATCATTAGTGACTTTGTCAACATCATCATCACAAGTGACGTCAAAATCCATATATCGATCATCGTGAGCCGGTAGTACGTGAGACACTACAAACTCATCAGCGGTATCTTCCATTTTCCCATCCGAGCCTGCAGTCACTGTACTATGCTCATCAAAACCAGCGTTTTTCTCATTGAATGAGATGTGACAATTCCAACCAGTCTCTAGACCCAATCTTTCGGCAAACACTTGACTTTTTATTTCGTTCTCGCTCGAGAAATGAACAAAACGAATACCAGCCCTATTTAAGTCCTCTACCAGAGGAGGGATGTCCTAAAAATACGAGGAAATATCTGTTGTTTATTATATGGCAAGCGTCACTTTCGGCTAAATGGCGCGCTTTGATTGCCTCAGAAACATTTTCCACAGTCCATTTTATTTTCCCATAATGCGCCACGGTCCAAAACACGTAATTTTACAGTTTTCAAATGCAAACAAACTTCGTAATGCAAACAGAAAAACGGAACAAAAAAACGAAACAAAAAAACCATTTACGAATGTGATTCGAAGGAAAAACACTTGGAAAACAGTTTAACTATCCAGACGATACAATTTGAAACGATTTATTTTTTATGAACGAAAACTAGAAAAGTGAAAGTCAACTGGTAAAAAACAGCAAGGACGAGAAAGAAAGCAAGCTTCGTTTCAGGTCAAATAATGCCATATAATAAACCTTTTAATAACCTCGCTTTCTCGGTCTTCACTGAGAAATATCGTACCTCTATCTTTTTGTACAAACCTCACCCTATGGTCTCAGTCTGAACAATAAAAAACTTCGGTCGGATATTTCTACTTAAAGACCTCGAGCTCGATTATTAAGAGCTTATTATCACAAAATTGAAATAAATCTTGAAATTTGTAACTACCTGTTTTGCTTTATGTTTTAAAGTAATCATTCCAATGAAGATTTGACCAGAGATGATTCTAAACAAATCGGATCAGATCATATGACAAATAGATCGGATCAGATCATATGACAAATAGATTGGATCAGATCATAAGACAAATAGATTGGATCAGATCATAAGACAAATAGATTGGATCAGATCATAAGACAAATAGATTGGATCAGATCATAAGACAAATAGATTGGATCAGATCATAAGACAAATAAATTGGATCAGATCATAAGACAAATAGATTGGACCAGATCCTACGACAAAGACAGAAATATCACGATGAGTAAGCAATGAAGCTTGTTCTTATAACCTTTGGTAGCAGTCTGTGTCTAACTTGTTTCCATCCTTCAACTGTCCATCACACTGTTGGAATACAAGAGATGACGATTATGATCCGAAAACAAATAAACATTAATATTTATTAAAAAAAAAGAGAAATTTTGAATCAACAATCAAACCTGCTCTTTCTCGTTGGACGTTTCCGACATAGAGCTTGACCAACTATAAGTTATAAACACCACTTAACTATGTAAAAAGACGCGGGGGGACATCAATGGATAGAATTAACTAAATCCACCTTCCATTATCGCTATCATTGTATATCCATTCCACGTTTTCGGGTATTTCAAGAAATACATCGTGATTCAAGCCTTTCCAATTCTGAAAAGAGATTAAGATAATTCAGTTTAGATTAGGATAATTCAGTTTAGATTAGGATAATTCAGATTAGATTAGGATAATTCAACTCAGTTTAGAGCGTCACAAAACGTAAACATTCAACGCTCTAGTGCTCTTCCTGACTCAGGCTAACGGAAAGCATTGACCGAAGACGGGATTTTATGCATATGAAGTTAATATAGAATGCTCTATAGGCAGAAAGTTGAAATCAGAAAGCCGACAGATATACGTCAAAAATGTCGGACACCCGACAACAAAAAAGTTAATTTAATCTAAAATGTACCTTTCCTTCTCACATATATCTATTGCTCCACACATAACACTGCAAACTTAGAACAACTTTGCACTAAAAGGTATTGTCAATAAAAAGCATTCTATAGTAAGATCTAGCGTACCTGCATCAATGGACGATAGGACAATGCTATACAGTTGGATGTCAGGCTCGTACGATGAAAAAAATCTTGAATTCTTTTCCTGTGAAGATTGAAAGCGATTAAAAACACATCGACACAACAACTGTCCTCTAATATGAGACGGCAAACCTTTCTAAAAATGTCAGCGGATGAACTTCGGTTCCATCCCAGAAGTCAGTGCAGACGTCAAGAATGAGATCAGCAGATCCTTGAGACAACAACTGATGAAGACCTGTAACGGTAACCATGACAACATAGACAACGATTACGTCATATGTCGAGTTTGAGTACACGTGATATGATAAAGCATAGGATTGAATGGACATTCAGGGATGGACACAGGATAATTTTGTACGGTACGGTACTCTAGTTCAGATTGAATTTCATTTCTTTTTTTATAGCGCGGTTGGGAGACAACTTTTAAAGGGCACTCCATTTAACATATGTCCCGCGAATGCTTTTACTTAATTGCAGGATATATAAATATTATATCCTCCTCCCCCTGGTTTAAGGCTTGAACGGGTGCACACTCCTGTTCACCTCCCCCCTGCAGTAAATCCACATATGCAAAACACTGAACTCTTCCTGAGTAGACACCAGAGACGGACGCCTGTCTCAAGTAGTTAATAAACTTGGTCCAGATAGTGTCCACGTCGAGTTCACTGTTTTCACAACTTTATGGTAATCCCCACTGATCTCGAAAAAAGTCCAGTCTTATTTCGAGATCAGTGGTAATCCCCTTAAGTCGCTATGGTTACCTGACTTTTTGTGTTCAACAACTACTGACACCAAATATGGCTTGGAGATTTCTTTTGAGTAAAATGAATGAGATTGAATTGAAGAGTCATTTAACTATATAAGAAAATGCATACAACATGCGAATACTTCGTGTAAATAAAACCAACGCGACTTTGAATCGAAAAGAGTCATTCAAATTTTTAAGCAGTAAAGTCGACAGACACGAGAAGCGAGTACTTCATGTAGATAAAAACCAATACGCTCATTAACTCACGTTTGTCTTAAAGGCAAATATATTACACTTTCGTTCAAATTCATCAACTGCCGAATCAAGAAAACCAATTTGCTTTCCAAGACGACATAAACATCTAGACAAATGAAATATTTAACTATAATCAAATAAAATTTAATAACCGTGTCATATGAACGATCACAGTGGTAAAACCTTGTTATTTTGTCACCCAATATGGATCCAGAATGATTTTAAGGGGTGGTCTATGATGGACTAGGTTATGGTAGCTCCTTTCTGGACGTCACCGAGTCATGTCAGATTATTTTTCGTTAATTTTTGTTAATCTACTACAATTACACACAAATCAAAATTTCTTATCCTTAATTAATGGGTACATAGTTCGCTTGGAAATTGACACACGCCCTCTAGCCAAGGCTAGAAGGTATGCTCGCGCATTGGTTATTGCTGCTGTGTTATATTGTTAGCAAGACATCAGAGACCTTCTCATAGAGTACCGTGGAACGTCAGCCATGTATAAACCGTTGTCACCATCATTATCCTTTACAACGTTATTTTTAAAGCATGAGAGACATGGTGTATTGAGCAAGACATTGAGACCCTATTAATGAAAGAATGAAAAACGACGACAATGTTTAGTATTACACGCGTCAAGGACGTTTTCAACTGAGTTCTTTAGATAACACACAAGCGAAGTGTAGCGTACCAAAGGTTTTAAAGAACTCAGGTGTCGACGCCATCGAATGTCATCAAAAACAACACCAAACTCGCTCTAAAAGACGCAACAGAAAGTCATGAGAAACGACACCAAACTCGCTCTTAAGGCCAATTTACCAGGCTAGGTGAGATGAATATTTTCCACATAAACGCATTAGCCAGGTTTCTCGGCAAGACAAGAAGACTGTATTATTCAAATGCATACATACTAAAGATTACTTCTATAAACAACATGGCTTTTATATACGTAACACACTTTATTGAAGAAAAATGTTTAGAGGTGCTAGCCGAGTTACCCTAGCCAGGGAACTCGGCTAGCATATAAAAAGGCCCCTAGACATCCTAAAATATCATCAGATTGTAACAAAGCGGACAATTGAGCAACAGCTTATGGGTTTTTTAATTACGTTATGTTATACAAACTTTCCGCTTTAATAAAAGCAGAGACTTCAAGAAAGATATTGTCGGATGTCATAACAACTTACATTTGGATCAGCAGAAAGAGTTAAGACCTCTGGATGTGCAACAGTTGCATAATCTGCAAAAAATGAGAGTACATATTATAAAAAACAACAATGAAACGCGTGCGCTGATTGGTCTAGAGCTGTGTTCTTATCAGCCTGTGCAAAACACATCTGAGCTCAACCAATCAAATCAATCTAAACAATCAATCAGTCAAAGAGAATTTGCAAATCGATCATTAATACATTTTAGAGGACAAATTGAAATGTTTGTCTTTTTCGCATTATTGTTATTTTACAAAAGAAATAAAAGATGTTTACTGTGTTTGCACAGGCTTATCCAAACCTGGAGAGGTTTGTGAGAACTCTCGAGCATGTGCAACCCTCGACCTTCGGTCTCGTACTTGCACTGATCTGCTCTCGAGTTCTCCCAAAGGTCTCCTCGGTTTGCATAAGCCTGTGCAAACACAGTAAACATCTTTTATTTCTTAAAAAAGCATGTTAAATCCACTTTAAATGCAATAAACGAGAATAAAAATAACCTCTGTGTTGTGAATGTTGCATATAGATCCCAGAATTCTCTTCATCATTGCTTGAGTGGGGAATTTGGATTGTCGGACTAACACTGGAGTCTTCATCTTCCTCAATAACGTTTGTCATGGTCGAAAATCCATGCTTGTAATCGTCCCCTCGAGGTTGACTGTGATAAGACGTTTTCTTACTGCGCCTTTCTCGTCGTTTTCGAAAGAAAAAAAGTTTTTCGGAGTTTTCATTCGGTGATGCCAAGATACCATCTTTGTTGACGCAACACAAAATCTACGAAACGATGAATTTTTATACTCTGTCATGCGCATTAAGCTATAACATCACTTTGACTAATAAAGCAAATGGTTTGAACCCGGGAGTATCTTTACATGTCTATAAATGTAGATCGTCCAGGTTGGTATAGTCCTGAGAAGGACTGTTTTTGTTGTTGTCGACTGACGTTTCGACAACCTTAGCGGTAGTCATCTTCAGAGTCGAATGAAATATTTAATTATAGTCTTTGACTCCGAAGATGACTACCGCTAAGGTTGTCGAAACGTCAGTCAACAACAGCAAAAACAGTTCTTCTCAGGACTATACCAACCTGGACGATCTACATTTAAAAACATCACATTGACTAATAATACAAGTGTGCTTTTGTCACAAAGTCACACGAAAAAAAATTAAACATTTCTCATTTACTACAGTTCGCTATTCTTTAAGCAAGTTTCCACTACTCCTTTCACAATGGACACGATGATGGACTTAGGGGAAAGGTGAAAGAAGGGTGGACATGATTTCCTTAGGAAATATTAATATGCCAAAAAATTCAACAAAAGAAATTGTGACTCGTGTTTATTTCAGCACATTTCAAAAAATCTCCCAATCTTCATAAAAAGATGGCAACAGGCAGCCACGCAAATCAACTTACACTGATGCTTCCAAGGGTGTGAAGGAGATTGGCAGAACGAGGCAGAGTATCAGAGTCTCCATTCAATGTTTTCCACAAATGATTCCTCACTTCTCTCGATAGAAGGGAAAGTTTCTCAGAAACCTAGAAAATACGGGAATTACCCGATTTAAAGAAGATATTTCAAGAGGAAAAAGAAACATAAGCAACAACCTGAAGTTCTTTGATTTGAAACAGAACAAAAATTCTCGCTGTTCCATAACATGTGATTATGATCCAGATCAATGGGAACATGAAGGGTAACAATGGGATCATGACATCAGCCTAGTAAACAATAAGATTTGGGATAGAATGGGATCATGACATGAGCTCAGTAGACAGGAACATTGAGGGTAACAATGGGATCATGACATGAACTTAGTGGACAGGAACATTGAGGGTAACAATGGGATCATGACATGAGCTTAGTGGACATGAACATCGAGGGTAACAATGGGATCATAACATGAACTTAGTGGACATGAACATTGAGGGTAACAATGGGATCATAACATGAACTTAGTGGACAGGAGCATTGAGGGTAACAATGGGATCATAACATGAGCTTAGTGGACAGGAACACTGAGGGTAACAATGGGATCATGACATGAACTTAGTACAGGAACATTGAGGGTAACAATGGGATCATAACATGAGTGGACAGGAACATGAGGGTAACAATGGGATCATGACAAGAACTTAGTGGACATGAACATTGAGGGTAACAATGGGATCATAACATGAACTTAGTGGACAGGAACATTGAGGGTAACAATGGGATCATAACATGAACTTAGTGGACAGGAACATTGAGGGTAACAATGGGATCATAACATGAGCTTAGTGGACAGGAACACTGAAGGTAACAATGGGATCATGACATGAACTTAGTACACAGGAACATCGAGGGTAACAATGGGATCATAACACGAACTTAGTGGACAGGAACATTGAGGGTAACAATGGGATCATGACAAGAACTTAGTACACAGGAGCATGGGATAAGTTGCCAGTAACAGATGTGGCATATGTACATTGATAATTGTCAATTTTTCTAAGTTTAAACTACAAAATTTAAGTCTCACTTGAAGCAGAAAAATCATTTCAGAGAATGATCCAAAGTCATCTCGTGAAATCTTATATCTCAACAAATTAATGACAAACGACAAAATCTACAAAATATACAAATCACAAGATATAAACATCACAAATACTAACAAAAAAGCTCTAAAACTTCTCCAACCTACAAGAATTAAAGGTATGATTCGTAACTCCAATGTTGACTTTGTAATGTAAACTCTCTCATTTTCTAGCAAACTTGATGGACGAACCAAACAACTTGTAAATATACTCCTGTTAAAAAATACATGTTGTATCCCACATTCAATTTGATGAATTATAACATGAAGTACATCTTTTGAATAAATACCGCAAGTGATTATGAAGAGGAGCTTTGATTACTTTTAGCTTCCGACATGAAGCTGGTTCACAGGATAAACTCCTTCAGGAGCTTTTCATTGCATTCTAAATATTATAATTAAATCATCAGTTCTAAATAAATCGAACTGAATTGATTCCTACAGTTGAATTAGTAGTCAAATATTCAAAAGGTATATTTAGCCTAATGTACCAAACCTCTGACCTTGTGGCTCATCAAATTGAAAATCAAATATTTCCCCAGCTTCATATATTTTTTCACTGGAACAAGAGACCTAAAAAAACTTTATTTCACTTTTCTATTTAATAAATCTTGCTTTTGATATGCCATTGGTCAATAACAGAGAAAGGAGTGACTGACCCCCCCCCCCAAACACAATGTTTTTGCAAAAGTCAGGCATTGCCATGTGAGGAGAAATTTGATCAATACCTGTTGAAGTTGGGCAGGGCATTCCTGTCCGGGCCACAATAAAACTATATCTCCTTCAACAATCAGGTTTGCAGGTAATCTGACTAGTCTCCTGTTTCGATATGTCAAAACTAAAGAAAGCGAATCAGATACAGGTGTTGCAATACTTGGAAGCATCGTCTCCGAGAGCAAATCTTGTCTATCTTGCGCTATATAGAAAGGATCCAATTTAAGTATAATGTTGCTACGTAAAACATTTTGGAACATCTGTAAAATTTAATAAAGTGAACGAGAGTCGTTTTTTTAACAATAAATTAATCAAATATACTGGGGTATTGAGCACATTTCTAATTAATATTTGTTCGTGTTGTCTAATGTTGTATTTCATCTATAGAAGGCTAACTTCAGTATAAATACAAAGTTCGGTGCTACAATAATTTAGATTCAGTCACTCACATTGGTAAAGTTTTAAAAATCTTGTCATCTTTTCAGGGATTTCTCGTTTCTTCAATCTCTCCTCTCTTACACCAAGAACTGTGTTTATTGTAGTCATTATCACCATGACAACCAACTCAACCATAGGCAAGCTAGTTCTAAAAGGGTTTGGATGATGAAGACAAAGGATACAAAAGGATCACAAAGGATAAAACTTGGGATTGTGACAACCATGACAACCAACTCAACCATAGGCAAGCTAGTTCTAAAAGGGTTTGGATGATGAAGACAAAGGGTAAAAAAGGATCACAAAGGATAAAACCTGGGATTGTGACAACCATGACAACAAACTCAACCATAGGCAAGCTAGTTCTAAAAGGGTTTGGATGATGAAGACAAAGGATACAAAAGTATCACAAAGAATAAAACTTGGGATTGTGACAACCATGACAACAAACTCAACCATAGGCAAGCTAGTTCTAAAAGGGTTTGGATGATGAAGACAAAGGATACAAAAGGATCACAAATGATAAAACCTGAGATCGTAGATACAGCTTTATGTACAACAATGTACATGAAGGGATCAGAATGGATACCTTTTGTCTTGAAAAACAAAACCAACAATAAGAAGGGATAATTGAAGCAACATAAGGACCAAGGAGATCCAATTGAGACATGCTGAAGAGCTTTGTAACATTTTCATAAAGTTATTGGACCATCTATCATCAATGCATTTCAACGTCAAAATTTCTTGATGTATAATGTTGCATGTACGATCAAACGCTTCAGTTGAAGATAGGCCACAAAATGAGGACTAAATAAAAATACAACTATATTTGGACAAACACCACAAATTACGTAAATATCAATTGCGTAAAATTGTAACTATGTTACAAAATAAAACAAACAAACTTACTATAATTAAATAAGAATAATTGTATCATCCAGGGGAGGGAGGGGGGGGGGAGGGGGTTGAAAGCTTTTAAAACTTGTGAGAATGATGAAACATTATGTGATCATGCACAATGGTTGAATTAGTAATGAAACTGCTTCATATTAGTTTTGTTTTTTTCTCCTTTTAACTGCATCGTGTGCAAGTAAAAGGTCAATTTGATCTTTTTTGTTTTGAAAATATTTAAAAACTTTAAAAACCTGTCATGCATGTCATAAAAGTTTATAGAAACGTGTGGGTATTAAGGGTCACCCTCACCCACGCTCAAAAACTGTGGGCATCCTCCAGGCACCAAAGAGTAGTGGGGTACCCATTGCTCCCCAAGACCAAGGATATCAACATGTAATACAAAATTTTTGTATATTAAGTTGACCTCTTTTCCAATTTGAATATTTTCTAGTTCAATTCCTTCATCGTCGCCAACCTTCTTCTAAAAATGGTAAATACTATAAAAAGAAACATCGTTACTAATACTGGGGCCAATCTTTTATATAAAATACCGGAGTGTTTTCTTCTCCGGTAAGGAGTAATGCGGCTTCCAATAAATCTTCTTCACATCTGGTAGACATCTGGAAAGCGGGGAAGTAAAGCAAGATAATCAAACATTTTTAAAACTTGTTTTTCCATAACAGTCGTCAACATCCGCCATTATTGGTCACCCGATTCGTCATTATGAGTAAACTTTTACAAAATGCCTTGGAAAATAATTTACTTATCCTTAAGCTTATAGTAAAATCCCATATAAAGTTAATAGAGTAAATATGTACTTCCAGTAAAAGAGGATAAAACGAATTGAACATTCATTCACAAGAAAAGAACAGGGTAGTCGTGTACACCTTTGTATATAAACGTGTAGTCCGAATGTGATGTGATAACTTTCTTTGAATTACTAAGATGTTTTGACTTTTTATTTAAATATCTTCAGCAATTGAACGTTGTTAAAGAGTATGGCAGACGACGCCACGGAAGACGTGGCTTTAACTTTTGGCGAAGATGAATTATACACGAAAAACCGACGACTGAGGTTTGCATATTTCTCCCACCTTTAATGTGCTTGAAAATTTTAACATGCTTACGTTCAAAATCTCCGTCATTCTCACAGGCATCCAATGACAGTTGTGTTTCATCTTGTATTTCGTATTCTTTCCGTCGTCATCTATCTCTTCTGCGGATTGTTCAATATTAGTTTTGTAATGACTTTCGTCATTATTGTCATCCTCTTGTCTATTGACTTCTGGACAGTAAAGAACATATCTGGTAGACTATTGGTTGGATTAAGATGGTGGAACTATATAGATGAGGATGGTGAAAGTCACTGGGTGTTTGAGTCCCACAAGGTCAACTCAAAATTTACTTTTATTGTTTTTGATGGTATTTAAGATTTCTGACTTTATGCATTTTTATAGAACAAGACGGTTTCGTCTCTTGAATCTCGGATATTTTGGCTTGCTCTTATAATCCCCCCACTGATATGGATATTTTTGTTTGTAACTTCCCTTGCCACGCTCAAATTTCAGTGGATGGTTTGTATAGAAATCTCCATCTCTCGGTTTGGTTCAAGAAATTGTGACAATAATGAAATATGTCTATTTTAGATCACAGTTGGTGTGGCCATAAGCTTGAATTTTGCAAATCTTTTTGGTTATGTGAAGTGCAAGAAAGACGCATCAAAAAAGCTTAGAAACATGGCTGGTACCTTCATTGGCCAGCAACTTTTTAAACAGGTTCTGTATCCACTTTGAGAAGGCCAGTGGCATAAACAGGCAGCTTATTTTGTTTTGCAATTTGCATTGTTTGTGTGTGTACTACTTGAAGAAATGAATTGTAACATTCACGGCTGGAATAAGATTTGGAGGCTGGCTTCAACACTGGGCATGATTTATGAAGTAAAATATTAATTCAATTTCATTTTTTATAGGCCATGTCAACTTCCGCTGAAGAGAATACTTCAAAGACTTAAAATCTGTTGATATCTTCGATGAAATATTTAACGTATTTATTGTTCTCGTAGTTGCAAACTCCATTTATAAAAATCTGAAATCAAACATAACCAATATAAGGTGCTTTATCAAACATAAATTCCTTTGCTGTATAACAGAAAATGCATACTTAACACTTAAAACAATGTGTAGTGAGTAATAATTCAGTAACATTTGAATGAAAAACGATTTTAGGTTTCTCATGTTCATCTTACGATAAAAAAACCTGATAGTAAGAAATTATTCCATCTGCATCATTTAAATCTTGCCTCTAAAGGTTTTCCATCAGAAAGAAGTTTTACTTGTACAATAATTGCAAGGAAATCCTTTCAGGGAATTAAAACATGCAACAACATTAAATTAAGATTTTTTATAAATAAGACATGTTGATGTGTTAAAAAGCTTGCCATTTCCCCAATATAGTGTCTTTAATGGCATCAACGTACTGTGCTGGAACCCAGTATACCCAATATCGAGATGCTTCTGTTGGTCCAAGTTGTATTGCCTGAAATACGATATTACGTGAGAGGAGAATGATGTAGTAATGAGGCAGGTCAGCAACTTTAGCTGGTTTAGCATTATTTATGCTTTGAATATTAATTGTTGTCGAGGTGAATGGTAATAAAAATATTTACATAGCAGGATCATACAAAAGAGTGAGATATGATGCAAAGTATAGAAAACAAAATGTAGTCCCATTTCACAGTGCTACAAGGTGCTCTATATTAAAATTGCTGAATGCAATTAGCCAACTCAACGTTCCTATTGGTCAGAAAATGCAATTTACTGGTTGGAATTATGGTAATCACATGCCATAAGATAATATGCATCAATCTAAGTAAAAAGCCTGGAGGAAGACTAAATCGAGGATGTACCGTAAGAAGTCACGAAGTTAGTTTGAGACAAGAGGAGACATTAGAAAGAAATTGATGAGATGATTTTGATGCAACAAAAGAAAGAAAGAGATGGATGGATGCTGTGAACAGTGGTATGAAGGCGATGGGTATAACGAGAGATATGGCGAGAGATAGAGACGTTTGGCGTAGAAAAGTTCATGGACCGGTCAACCCCCCTGGCGGGGATTGATACTGGCCAGTATACAAATGTTGTTTGTTTTGTTTTATTTTGATGCAACAATAACCCAAGGGACTGAGAAGTTAAAAGAATGAATTCTGAAGAGAGAGAGGGAAGGACAATATGCTGGCTGGCAATGCCTGTGACATGAAGTAGAATAATGCTATTTGGTAGACATCAGGGACAGGTTGCACAAAGCCTGGATAGCTATCCATTGGATAGCAACAATTTTCAAACTTGTATAAAAGGTGTTAATATCTTTCATACGACAAAGAAATTTCATCATCTTCAAAACAATATTTTATTTCAGTGATTGCTCATTTCGAATGCAACATTTTTGTATTTTAAAACGTTTTATAAAAGTTTAAAAATTGCTCTCAATGGATAACACTATCCGAGCGTGCAGCTGGTTCCTAATCCACAACTTACAATGACATGATAGTCTTCATGTCCTTCTATTGGCTCTGAAAGAACTTTCTTTATGGATCCCATAGATACTTTTTCTGTCCTCTCTGCTCATAAAATATCTGAGTATGTTAATATTACCAACGACTTAACAGTGTCCTTGCGAGCTTTCACAATACAAGAATACCTTTTGTTCCAATCCATAGTTGATCAAGTTCAAGTTTAAAGGTGAGTCTCACTTTCCCAGCAGCTTTATTCAGCATCCCAGAAATTGGTGTTCTAGGTAATGGTTCCTACAGCATCAGTGAAATATGTCAATTCTATTGAAATGAGATACGTTGGAAAAACAAAGTGTTGTCACCTTTTTACTCTTATCTCCAGGCATGACATCTTCTGGTTTACCTTTATCAAGAATCTTTTTATGCATCTTGAAGAAAAAATGGTTCATCATACCATTATTGATACATTTCAATACATTGAACATCAATGTTTAATGTGAAAAAATGATGGCAACAACAAAGAAACAAATTCATCGAAACTGAGACACAAAACTTTAGTATTCCTGTGTTGTACACAAACACCAATATTCATTTGAAAGTTGTCTTACCTTCTGCTTTGACCAAGGTTCTTTTGACGTGACTAGAATGATCAAACTATCATTAAAATCTACCACAATCATTATTACTCAACTATGATGAAGCATTTCAATAGTCAGTATACCTAAGTATCCATAATCATCCCATATCACTACCTAATATAGTTACCTACATTATGACTATCCAAAACCCACAATATATCAAAGTATCCATAATCATCCCATATCACTACGTGCCTTATATAGTTACCTACATTATGATTATCTAAAATCCTCAATATACCTAAGTATCCATAATCATCCCCAATCACTATCTAATATAGTTACCTACATTATGATTATCCAAAACCCTCAACATACCAAATTATCCATAATTATGACAAAAAACAAGTGACATATTTAATGCAAGCATCCCACGATCACCCAAAACAGACAAAAGCGAAATACATGTATCCACAATTTTCCTAATGGCACTTAAAATCACCCAAACCCAATAGCATATTCAGGGTTTGGTAAAGTACATTAAAACTACCTAATATTTATTAGATACAATATGTTGGAGCTTGTAATGAGCCAATGTTATTTTAACAAACATATTTTAAAATATAAAATAGCAATGATAATGTACTTACCGTATTTGCCGGTGTATAAGTCGAGGCGATGAATACAAAGTTGAATTTCATGACTCGGTGTATCAGTCGAGGTTGATTTTTTAGGTCGATATTTGATCGAAAAGGTCGACTTATACACCGACAAATACGGTTGTTTAACCCTGAATCTGCTAGCATACTTAACTCCCTTTACATTCAAACAGTAAATGCTTCACAATGTCTTCATACCAAAAGATGAAGTGTCTTCTTTTAATGACTTAGCAGACGGCTGAATATTCAGGATATCTTTCATAGTAGAACCAATCACCATCATCTTTGTATTATTTGTCACTTTTAAATCACTCAATGTCTGTGTGTCATCTTTCACAAGACCTAGGGGTTACATTTAGTGTATATATAAATATAGTAGTATAAAAATAAATGAATCTTTGGATTGTATAAAATGATTTTTTATTGAGCTTTCGACTCCTTGCTTCGAGCCTTCATCAGAACGAGGAGAATCTTTTATTTCTATACATTAAATATGCCTGGATTACCAATCTTTAAACTTAAATATAGTAGTATATAGAACATGTGCCTATAGGCGACAGGCTTATATAAGTGCTTAAGCACTTTTCATGGTCTTATGCATGAAGCGGGGGGAGGGAATTACAAGCAAAATTTTACAGTAAATCAGCTATAGCATATAACCTAACATCAACTATAGTAAGAAAAGCTTATTTCACTAATAATATGTGAAGAGTACCAATCAAGCAACCATTAGATCAAAAAAGATTTTGTCACCACAAGCCAGCTTTAGTACATAAAAACATGTCATTTTGAGGTAGCAAAATTTGTATCAAGCCATGATGCAAAATGAAACTGTTAATTTAATGGCTTTGAAATAAAGTCGAAAATTAACAGTTTTATTTTGCGTCTTGTATTGATACAAATTTTGATACTATCTCAAGGTGACTTGATTTTTCGGAACATGTTTTTTGCTCAACTTTCTTAAATTGTCCGCTGGAAATGGCTTTTAATACAAAGAGATTGCAATATTTTATAATCAGTTTTTCCGTCAATGTAGCCAAAGATATTACCTTTAAACATCAATTTCTGCATTAAAACTGGCAAACCTTTATAAAAAAACAAAACATATTAACACATTTTGACATTAAGAAAATATTTCCGCTCTTAGAAGGTGTTTCATGTTTCCACAAACCTGTTAAAGTTTCAATATGTTTCTTTAAGTTTCTGACTGTCTCATTGGGATCAAACGTAACATCATAGTTCTGTTTGTTCCAAATAATACGAAAGTGAATCATGTCTACTACAGCTTTGCTTTCATCTTCCAATGATTCGTCCATTTTTTTCTTCCGCTATACATTTGCTTTCTATTGGGAAATTAGGTGACAACTGATTAAAGAAAGACCTCTATTTATGACCACTCAGAAGCAGACTCCTCTTGTTAAGGGAAATTGCTTTTGGGCTGTTACCAGTATAATTCATTAACTCTCATAAACTCTCAAAAGCAGACACATTTCATAACACAATGTGGTGCTCCCAAGGGTGTCCATCTGAAGGAAGTTCAACTCTAATATCATTATTTAGACAATATAAACATACCATCTTTATTGGTATCTTTACTTATGTCTTTCTCACCATTGAATGAGCAATCTCTTTCGCTTATGATACCATCTTTTTGTTCTATGATAAATTCAAAAGCTTGATAACAATTCTTTAAATTTTCATGGTCATTCGAAGAAATATCAATATTTTATATGTACATGTACATATTGCCTAGATGGGGGAAGATGAATTTAGTTGGGAGGGGAGTGCACCAGGAGATTTGGAATTGTGTCCAGGGGGGAGTGCAGGCTGGCTGAGAAGGGGGGCAACACGTGAACATTTTGCTCCCTTGTCCTCAGCCCATAAATGGAAAACAATGAGTATCTTAAATTTAAAAACATGCACAACCAATTCCATGCAGTTGCAAATGCTTAAAATCATGACATGATTAGATAATGGAAACCACATCTACTCTTGGTAACGCTGGGAAAAAGCATTGTTTTCATTTAAAGTATGATTTTGAAAATTACAATGATAGGCTACAACATGAAAGCAGTTTCTTTCTAATCCTTTTTCCCAACCCAAGATTTTTATATGGATTAGTGTTCATTTGCTATGAAGCAGATAACATGGCGATATTTCATTGGACAATCCAAAACAAGATATATATTGTTCATTTAACTTAATTATGGCCAGTTAACAGGCAATTCAACTATCAACGCTCAATCGTGCGATCAAGAAAAGTACTGGAAAAATATTCTCTTAAATACTGTAAAACTTAGCCACTCAAATTATTTCTATTTTCCATTTATTATCGCCAGTACCTTGATTTAAACTTTCACTTTCTCCTACTAAACATTTTTGCTTTTTCTCAGTTGCTTCATCTCCTTGTTTGTCACCAGCTAAAAAGCATCAATATTCAACATTCTTTTAAATTTTACTTAATCAATCATAGAGCTATGGACAAGAAGATTTTATAACAACTCGCTTACATTGATTTTCGTCTGCCATATTGGACTGACTGGCGCCAAAAATGTCGCCTTCGAAGTAAATCGACAATTTATGCGGATATCTGCACTGCGCACAATGACTGCGCACCACGTGGTCGTTAACGACCAAACAAACTATGACCCAACCGGCCAAACCGAAACTTGTGCATGTATTGATAAAGTCGTACGAAAAAATTTTTATTTTTGGTCTTATGTACCTTCTACTCGAGCGTAAGAGAATTGTTGCACGGTATGCAAATAAATATATTTCAAAAGAAAAAATTATAGCGTTTTAACCATTGAGCTCTATAACCATTATACCATTGAGCTTTACGTTTATACCATTGAGCTTTATAGAACTCAATGGTTTTAACATGTGTTCATGTGTTATATATATATATATAACCGGAAGTAAAATTCCCATGAGGTCACAGAATAGAAATATATCTATTCTGTGATGAGGTGATGAGGCACCATGGGCACATGGCGATGTCACACATACGTGAACTGAAAATAAAACTTTGACGTTGATTTTTTTGGCTCTGACAAAAATAAAAACACAGAACCGATAGTTGTTGGCGAAAGCATTACTCGATTTGATCTGTCGGTTAAAAATCATATCACACCTGCACAATGACAATCCCGGTAGTGCATAAATCAAGAAAACAAAACAGGTATTTCTATTTATCATGTTTTCATATTCCTCTCCCTTGGGATTTCCCTAACACATTTTAAATATTAATACAATTTCAATATTTATGAGTATTAAGACGAGTCGTTTCAAACCTGTTTGTCTCCAAGAGCTGTTAGAAAGGGCTCGATTATTTTCTCATTTATCCTGTTCTAAACTTGTTTGATCGCGGCCCCGGGCATCGCTTAGTTCAAAAAACTTCCTTATTTACGCGTCTTTCACACTCTGAATTTTTTATGATCAGCTTGTTTTTCATTTAGACATGCGTTTTGGAACAAATTGTCCGATTTTGCAAACATTTTCAAGGCATTTGTTGGATGCAACTATCTGTCTATACCATTTGCATTTAAACAGAGCGGTTTGGTGGTATGTGTTTGTTCTTCTTCAAGTTATATTAACTATAAAATTTAAGCCTGGTTTTCACTAGCCATAAGAACAAGCAAAGACAAAAGAAAACACAAAAGAAGGCAATGAGGCGACTGACTCAAGCATTAACATAAGCACAAGCACAGCAGTTTTACACAAGCATAAGGTCGAAAAAAAATAAATTGAAAAGAAAATTCCTTTTGTTTTGTTTCCTATATCCTTGAGAGAACATGCTTTGCTTTTTTTTCTTGCTTGTGCTTATGCCACATGTGAAAACTAGGCTTAACAAGGTATCAAAAAGAAGATCTTTAGAAATTAACCTAACTCCTGATCACTATGTTAATCTCACTGGTGCATTACTTAGCATGTCTTGCTGGTAGAAGTTACCTTACATTCCCTGGAGCAGAAAAGTTTTGTGCTTGAAACAAAGAGATGTATTGTATGCTAACAATACTTTATGCCCCTGGGCTTAGTATAGTGGTTGGCAATGAAATTGTCTTTTAAAGCTATTTTCTTGTTGATAGACAGTATTACAACTTTACATTGCATGCAAAATTCTCAGTTTTCTCTTGAACCAATTCCTAGACACAATTATTTATTCATAAATTTTCACATTATCACTTTCCTCCAGCAACTTTTCTTTCGTATTAAGTTTTATTGCTTTTCCTGACACCTGCTAAACAAGAAAATCATGCAAGAAAAGGTTGATGGCATTGTACTTGCTACCATCTATATCTGTATTGTGTGGCATGGGACAGAAAATTTCTTTATGTACCTCTTTGCAATTTGTGCCCACATCACACAAGATTTAATGATTGTATTGGTTGATATAGATAGTTTTTATGATTTCATACTGTCTTCATGAACCCTTTTTTGCATTATTTTTTCCTTTCATCAGTTGAGTTTCATTGTATGTAATGATTTTTGCTGTGGGAGAGGAACATGCACAAAAGAGCTCAAATAATCTAGTCTTTAAATCTAAGTTACAAGCAAATATTGGGTCATTCTTAATGAACATGCACTAAAGTGGTTGACTGTTTGAAATGTGTTTGAAGATGAGTTCTGAAGCATGTTTTGTAGCAAGTATCTCTTATTAGGGATTCAGTTTAATATACAAAACCAGTTCTTTGAATGCTGTATTATGTTGTTAATATTTTGTAGTCTCGGTAATATGATTTTAGACTTGTGTTAAATGTGCAATTCTCTCATGTCATAGCTTGGTATCATTGGCCTTGTCATCATAGCCTACATAACCGACCATTGCTGTATTTTGATAGTCAAATGTAAAAAAGCTGCAATTGATAACATAATGAATTCAACTTACGTTTGTCCATATGACGAAGATACAAAGGAGTTTCAGAAAATAGAAAAAAGAAAATCAAAACAACGCAAGAACTTGGAATTGGCCATTACTTATGGTGATCTTGGTCAAATAGCTTTAGGAAAATTGGGAACATTTATTGTGAATACCGCACTTATAATCACCCAGTTCAGTTTCTGTGTAAATTATTTTATATTCATTGGAGACACCATCACAAGGATGTATCCACCGGTCTCAAACAATACAGAACATGCTAACACATCTTCAACAAATATGGCCTCGGAGGTCGAACATGATGGTGTGCCGAATATGATATTGCTCATGTTGATACCATTTCCGATCTTTCTACTCCAGTCGTTTGTGCGGAAAGTTCGGAATCTTGGTCCACTCAGTGCCATAGCTAATCTCTGTGTTTTTTTGGGATATTTTTCAGTCCTTGGATTTATCTTATACGGTATTGTTAATCAATTTCGCATAGTTGCAACCATGATGTCTAATTTTGTTTTCTCTTTCTTCCGCTTTTAGGAATAAACTTTGGAAATGTGCACAAGATCAACCTGTGGAATTTCAAGACTTTTCCAATTTTCTTTGGGCAAACGATTGGTGCATTTGAAGGCATTGGAACAGTTTAGTATTTCAACCTTGTTCTTTGACAAGCCATCGTTGTGCTTTTGTTGCAGTAAGGAAAAAACCAGCAAGAGTTGGGCAATTTTCTCATTAATACTTTCTTTTCCTTTAGATCATTCCCATCGAGGCGAGCATGGAGGAAAATCGTAGAAACTTTACCAAGTATCTTCATGGAGCAATTTTTCTTATAAGTCTTATACTGGGATCATTTGGGATACTTGGTTACATTCATTTTGCTGACGGTGTTGATCAAGTGATCAGTGATAATCTTTCGTACGGAACTTTGTCCATTATCGTTCAAATCATGCTGTGTATTGGAATTTTATTCACGTATCCGCTTCAAATTTTCCCCGTCATTGAAATTGTGGAAAATTTCTTATTTCAAGAAACCAAACGAAGAAGTACGCTTGCAGCAAGTTGTCGCGCTGACGGGACGAGTTGCGCACCCGAAACTACCGTCCAGAACAGTATAAACGCGAGTCAAAGTTCCGAGAGTCTAACCTCCGAGGAGGAGAATAATGGGATTAACGATGAAGAGTTCGCAAGCCGGGGGAACGGGGGATACACTCTACTAATCCGTCGACCTGGGGGCATATTTTCCTGTGACTTGGTACGTTAAGAGTTGAGCTGTTTTGGGCAAATTGATATTTAAATTGTAAGAATTTTATTCAACAAAAAGAATGATAGCATAATGCTTTAACCAAGAGGAGTGGAAGGTTAATTTCTCAAATGTTGTTAGATAAGGTCATTATTGTTTGTAGTTGTTGGTTAACACATTATGCTATCATTTTTTATATATAAATTCTTACAAGAAATATAATAAAGTAAATGGTTTGAACCAGGGAGTATCGTTACATGTTTGTAGATGTAGATCGTCCAGGTTGGCATAGTCCTGAGAAGGACTGTTTTTGTTGTTGTTGACTTTCAACAACCTTAGCGGAGTCATCTTCAGAGTAAAAAAAATTGATTCTGAAGATGACTACCGCTAAGGTTTTCGAAACGTCAGTCAACAGCAACAAAAACAGTCCTTCTCAGGACTATACTAACCTGGACGATCTACATCTACAAACATGTAAGAAATATAGTCTTGCTTATTTTGTCGGTTTTATTTCAATGGGAAAAGCCTCAACTGAAGCGGCTTTAATTGTTCTCTGTTTGTTCCTAAAAATACCGTAGAGATTGTTGCTAATTGATCCCGTGGAAGAGGAAACCAAACTACTGGATAGCTCTATAAATATCTTGTACAAAGTAACTCTTATTGATCAAGTGTTATCACATAAAGAAATCTTAACTAAACTACTGGATAGCTCTATAAATATCTTGTAAAAAGTAACTCTTATTGATCAAGTGTTATCACATAAAGAAATCTTAACTAAACTAATGGATAGCTCTATAAATATCTTGTAAAGAGTAACTCTTATTGATCAATTGTTATCACATAAAGAAATCTTAATAAACTACTGGATAGCTCTATAAATATCTTGTAAAAGTAACTCTTATTGATCAAGTATTACCAAATAAAGAAATCTAAAATAAACTAATGGATAGCTCTATAAATATCTTATAAAGATCCCTAATTGATCCAGTGTTACCATTGGCAAAACCTGAACTAAACCACTGATAAACCCTAATTGATCCAGTGTTACCATTGTAAAAAACCTAAACTAAACCACTGATAAACCCTAATTGATCCAGTGTTACCATTGGCAAAAACCTGAACTAAACCACTGATAAACCCTAATTGATCCAGTGTTACCATTGGTAAAAACCTAAACTAAACCACTGATAAACCCTAATTGATCCAGTGTTACCATTGGCAAAAACCTAAACTAAACCACTGATAAACCCTAATTGATCCTGTGTTACCATTGGTAAAAACCTAAACTAAACCACTGATTAACTCTTAATTGATCCCTGGCGGGGATTAATACTGGCCGGTATACAAATGTTGTTGTTTGTTTTTTTTGTTTTAACTCATAATTGATCCTGTGTTACCACATGAAGAAATCTAATTGAAACTCTATGTAGCTCTAACTCCTTTCGCAAGATTCGTGAAAGTTATTTTCTATTTTTTACGAAGTACATCAAACGTTCGTAAAAATCTCTTTTTGTAACAGGGTTGGTCAACTTGGAAGAGAAATCTAGTACGTACACTACTCGTAATGCTGTCATTTGGTGTGGCTTACGCTGGAAGACATTACTTCGCTTATATTTCTGCTTTATCGGGTTCCATTGGTAGCTCCTACTCGCGTTTATCCTTCCTTGTATCTTTCATCTCATCATAAAGCGCGATTTACTCTCCAATGGTATTATTGCTAAAGATATACTTTTAATTTTATTTGGCACGATTTCCGGCATCGTGGGGTTCACTGTGACAATGATTAAAATCTTGAAATAATTTTTTAATCCTAAAAGATACTTTGAAATTTTATTTATTTAAAATCTTTTAATTTTTTAATAAGTTTGTTGTACTCGAAGGCACTAGCAATTAAATAAAAATGTAAAATATTATGATTGATAAATTAAATGAAACTGCACTCAGAAAAAGTGTTCTTGATCCTTAAATACTGGATGAATAGCACGTGAAGAGTTGTGGGAGAAAAACTTCTCAGTAACTACGACTATAGTACCATGTCAATGTTTGTCAGTGACAAAGAGACACCACTATAGTCCCTAATTTAGCAGTTTTGGCGTGCGAACTCATTGCCTTAAAGTAAATGGTTTGAACCCTAGAGTATCGTTATATGTTTCTGGACGTAGATGATTCAGGTTGAAGATAACTGATGCCGAAACGTCAGTCATTACCAACACAACAGTCCTTTTGAGAGCTTCACCAACCAGGACGTTCTACATCGACAAACATTTAATTCATATACCAAATCCATAGAGTTGACAGTTCGACGCCCTGTCTTGTCACATCTTTAACGATGAAGCGATAGTGTGACCAACATAAACAAATTTTAGCACTCCATACTTCACCATAAAACAGGCATAAAAAGGTTTAAGTCACTAATAGTTTTCCAGCGCGTCCTCATTAACAGTGATGCAAGTGAGTGCAAGCCAGTGACGCTACGAACGACGCGAAGACTAATTTGATGACGTCACAATCCACCATGGTCGATACCAAATGTTCCGACTAAAGGTTCATAGAAGAGTTCGTTTTGAAATCAACCCACTTGATCTGTACTCCAGTAGACCTTACAGTGGCACTCGAGATGACGTAGTCGATGAATCCGAAGTTTTGGAAGAAGATTTTTTTGATTCGTATAAAAATAAAGATGGCGGCGACATAAATGTCCTTAATGAAAACGATTTCTGGGATTACGTCTACAGTCGTGTTTGGTCAGGGAGGTTGAGGATTCGAGAGGAAACCTTTTGAGGACACTGATACGTGTAAGTTGAATTGTGTAAAACATTGATACGTGTAAGTTGAATTGTGTAAAAACATTGATACGTGTAAGTTGAATTGTGTAAAAACATTGATACGTGTAAGTTGAATTGTGTAAAACATTGATACGTGTAAGTTGAATTGTGTAAAAACATTGATACGTGTAAGTTGAATTGTGTAAAACATTGATACGTGTAAGTTGAATTGTGTAAAAAAAAGAGAGTCCATGATTCACACGAATACATCTTCACGGCACTTCAACCACTGAAATTGTGTTATCCCAAATAACTTTAAAATTCTATTTAAGACATTTGATGATTTGGTAATAAGTCGAAGGTTGGGTGCAGCAGACTCAGTTCAATATCACGAAGAAATTCTTTTGAGGGGACGTCACAGCCAAAACACATTGTTTCCCTCTCGACCCCAAGATACGACAAGAAGTATTTCGCACAAGATGGAATCGAAAACAAAATACCCTCAAAAGAACTCGAATTCAGTAAGTGCGATGACAAAATGTTTTTAAACAACTTATAAAGAAGTGATGAATCAATTGTACAACAAACAGGGTATATCTTACATCTCATGCAAATGTGAAGAAAATACAACATAAAACTACGTTTATGGACGATATTTTCATCTCGACATAAATGTCTAAAAAATATTTTTTGCCGTTTAGAAAAGACCAAGTGCACTCAAAGTTATCTTAACCTTCTATGGTGGTGAGCCCTTGGGTCGCCGTCAGCGGGTCGCATTTGACATGCGCAGTAGCTTCAACACACTTCCTCGCCTGACACGAATGCGCTCAATCATGAAAAAAAGTCGTTTGACGGAGAGAAGAAAGGCAATAATAGACAGTACAAAAGAACAAGAGATGATTACACAGACATTTTATGCGAAAGAGCTTCAATTCTTCGCAACCCGCACGCCTGCAAATTTTACCGAACGCTGCATTCAGGCAGCCAAGGATTTCATCATCGTCAAGGAAACGATTGTGAACAGTAAAGATTGGAAAACTCGCTGCAACTTAACCATTAGCCGGAAATTGGAATCACGTTACAAGGTGTTTCAATTTGGGAATAGAGTACCGTTGTATTATCAAACCAATACCATGCTCATGATACATGACTAGCACAAACTAAGCACGTGATCATAACGTGGTAACCAAGAAGTTATCACGTGCTTACCATGCGAGCGAAAAATGTTTTGCACGTGTGTTGAACGTGTCCTCACTGCGTTTCATCACAACACAAGACAAAAAATAGCTTTACAAGCTCAACAACGCTTTTAATCATTTTAAGACATGATCTGATTTTGTAATACGTTTCAAATAAATTATTATATATTCCAGGTGAGTATAATCTTAAGGAGACTTTACCAGGAATGATTTATGGGCGTTTTGTCCATCTTAAAATAATAATACGATAAAACAACAAAATCGCCGTTTTATCGAGTTTTAAATTAGAAAATATACAAATTGTCTGATATAAATCTTCGGATGTAAAACGCGAAAGATAATTTCAAACAAACAAATATTTTTGTTTTGCCTATGAATTTACCTAATTTTGTCTCTCCATCTCTGATCTGTTTCGCATTTTTATCCTCTTGAAGACTGGTCCTCCTCACTTGCAACATAAGCATAAACAAGATTATCCTAACTCTCAGTTCGTCTTGTGTTTATGCTTAGGTCGCGAGTGGAAACATCATCGTCCTCACAGCAAAGATGTCCAATAACTACGTTTGAAAATCGTGTTGTAAAGAGACAGACACGAATCCTTCACATTTGAAGGATTTTATCACATGAAAAAACTGTGTCTCTGTTTCTTTTAACTTATTAAGGATATTCGCCTCCTCTGAAAAGTATTTTCAAAATGGCTTTCAAAGAACGATAATCTAACGATAAATCAATCAATAAAATGATGGCGTATATACTCTACAATAAAGACTCTGATGATAAATTGGCGAATACCCCTTTCGTTCATTCCATCTTGCTTCACCTTTTTAGAACACGACAAAAAATTACAAAACGTTCGCATTTTTTTCAAAAGATATTTCATTTCCTTTGAGTTCAAAGAATAATGAAATTATTTGATATAAAGAGACGCGACCTCGGGATAAGCTGCTCGATAATTCATGGGCTGCATTGACGCTTTTTAAGACAAAAACTAAAAAAACGTTTCGTCGTTGTACATTGCTATCCAGACATCTGTGTTTTTGCTTCACTGAGATAACATTTAGGGCCATATATTGACGTCTGCCATAGTTTAGGCACATAAAGTGAATCTTTAAACCTCTCCTTCATTTATACACGGCAAAACTCTGCTCAGTTAAACACTTTACGACCAAGAAAACAACAGACGTCTTCATTAACATACAATTTACGACTACGCTTTATCGTCCGAACAAACCTTGCTCTTGTCTTCCAAAATGCCATTTTCGTCCATTTCCTTTGAGCGTTTCTCTAATGGTTCTTCTTCGTCGATGTTGTGTAGATTACCAATGACAAATGGTCGCTTAACACTGTTCATTACCATATTAACAGCAGCGTTAGTTGCTGCGGGGGAGAGGACGCCGAGTGGCGAAGTTTCAGGTGTAAGGGTCATCTCCATAGGTGGAGGTCGTATTTCAAGTTTACTTGGTCGCTGTTGATCTGTGGTGACCGATGATCCCGAGGTGAGAGTAGTGGGGGTTTGTACTGGGGTAAGAGGAGCTTCTAGTGTGCATACGAGAGAGATAAAAAAGGATAAATATGAGCTGAGTGAAGGTGCTTAAACTAGAGTTCATTCAACTTAATTCAATACCATCATGTTTACCATAAATGATCCAATAAAAGCTCCAATTGAATAAACGCATTGTATCTACGTATTTGTACTAGTAACCTTTCTCAAGCAAATGCTTCCTCTCTAATAAACGCCCTATCTCTAATAAACGCCCTATCTCTAATAAAAGCCCCATCTCTAATAAACACCCCATATCATTACTTCAAACTAAGGTAATAAAAAATGATATGAATGCCTGTATTAATTATTAAACACCTCTCATCATTAAACACTTCTCGTTATTTATCTTCATACTCCACAAGGACAACTATTTATTAGATCATTTACATTATCCTTAAAAAAATAAAAAGGAGAATAATGTAAAAAACCTACCTGTTATTAAAGCAGAAGATGATGCAGCAGGTATAGGATGCTTATTATTGACAATAGCTAAAGTTTCAGCATTCTGTGCGATAAGTTTGTCAGTCATTGGAATACGTCCCATCTCAAGATTTGCTGATGAAACTTGCACAACACCCGGTTGTAAGGTAACCGTTTGAATATTACCAGCAGGTGATGTCACCGGGGGAACCATGTGTTGTACTTGGGGTACATTGGTATATGTAATGTTTACTCCAGCTGTTTTGTTAAGTAATGTTGTCATCGGGTTGTTTGGTAACGAGGGTGGTTGAAGGATATCAGGTGTTAAGGAAGGTGTGGTCAAATTGGGTGATTTTCCTGTTTGAACGGGGAATTGAAGTCCATGTGTAGGAGATGCAGGAGCAGATCTATAGGAAATGATGAGAAAGCGATAACTAGATGTTGTCTTTATGATTATCTAAGCAATAATACACATTCACTAAAGTCAATAGCAGTTTAAATACATAAAAATAATGAATTCATTGCTGGCGTTAATCTGAAACAAATGCTTTATGGTTTCCATGTTTCGTTTCCATTAGTCCATCGGATGTTTCCATTAGCCCATCGAAACATTTATGGTTTCCATGTTTCGATGGATCTTTGGGAATGTTGTTTAAGTAAGCAAAGAGGTGCAAAACACTCGTCTTTGGCTTGTGTTTCGCACACTTCATCTTGACTCTTCTTGCTTTATTCACAGAATAGTGTGATGGAAATACAAGTTATAGCTACATCATGTGTTATATTAATGCTCCTTTGCAAATAAATGAGGAATTAATAATAACGAACATCTCAAAGAACATTAATGTAGAAGAAAAAACTATGAATTGACATGAAATATTTGAATTTTCATACCTGGATGAAAGGGTCCCAAAAGGATATCTGAAACAAGGCACTCCTCTCTGCCTTCGTTTACGAAAAGCTTGCTCAGCTAATTTGCCCTCGCAATTTGGATCAATTCTCCAAAAAGATCCTTTACCTGGGTCATCTTGTGTTCTGGGTACTTTGACAAAATATCGATTTAACGAGAGATTGTGACGTATGGAGTTCTGAAAAAAATTTAATTATATAGAAATAATCTTATACAAAAGCAATAGTCCGACTACTTAGCCAGAACTATGGTATATGGAATGATAAACACCTGCCATCCTTTGTCTGCAGATCTATAATAAGGATAATTCTTTGTGATGTGATTATATATTCCACTCAAAGTCAATTGTTTCTCTTTAGCTGACAGAATAGCTTGAACTATCAATTGTGCATAGGAATAAGGAGGTTTTCCGTCCTCTTTACCAGAAGTGTTCTCGTTCTTTGGTATACTTGGCTGTTCCTCCAGCACCTCGGTGGTCTCCTCAAGATACACAGGTGTAGAGGCAGTGCTGTTACCTGTGCCAGGACTAGCAGGACAAGAGTTTGGAACACTATAATACAAAAGATACCAATAAAACAAGTGTATTAGCCAGAGTAATTACTGGTATTAGTGATGATTTATTTCACAAGTAAAACATTTGAACAGTATTAATGTAGATTTTCAGAAATTTCTTCAAAACAACGAAAAGAATCATTCCACAGAGAGGACCTGGGTATTTATTTAATGTTTACTAATGACGCTCAAGTAGTTAATGATAATGACGCCTCGTCGGATTTCGCAATTCTGTACTGTTGCGTTGTTGATATGCGTACATATATATCTTTGACAAAAATAACAATATTTAATTATTCTTATAATGAAAGGCAAAAATCCACGACAATTTGTATGATTTGCTTTCCTCTGAGATTTTTTCGTCAGTAAAATCTAAACAACATCAGGTTGCTACAAAATCGCTGCCTCATATTAAAAACAAACATTACACATAACATTACACCATTGTTAGAAAAAATTGTAGCACAAAAACACATCGAAAGTTCACCTTATTGTTCCGGTTGGCGAGGGAACGGGAGAATTTGGTGTGGACTTCGTTTCTGGTATCTTGATCTTTAGTGACGAATGATTTTTTGTTGCTTTTGGTGGGCTAGCAACACGACGTGGAAGATTGTCATCCAGCAATGATGTAAACCATATTTTAACGTTCGTCGATGGAAATCTTAACACGCAGCTAAGGCAAATAACATTTTCATTAAAATACGAATAGATACACATTAGCTAACTCTTACAAGGTTCTTACTTCGAGGGTAACTTCAGCGTCGAGTCACCACGACGAAAGAATGAGCCGTCAACAAATACTCCATTCTTACCATTACATTTGAGGAAAAAATGTTTCGAATCAAACGAAATTTCCAAATGACGTCTTGATACAAAACTAGAATGGCCCATGTTAACATCGACAATACCTAAGCTGCTATTTCGGCCTATGGATATATGATTTTGACGGACCAAGTATTCGAACTCACGGCCCTCCAATTTGGCAATGGGTTTGATTTCATTAACGGGAGACCAAGTCTTTTTCTCACCGTTATTCATACCAGATTTCAATGCAAGCAAGGCTAATGCATCGTCCTCATGTTCACCCGTGTTTGCCTCCATGATCTTCACCAAAAAGAAATAAATTCTGCGATGAATTGATAGTAAGTAAATCCTACAGCTCAATTCTCTGGATGAAAACAACAACACACGAGGTCCGTAGCATCCGGGAACACGCAAAAACAATAACACTCGCCATATTTGGAGTTTAACGGACCTGAGCCGGGCCACAACCACGCACATAAAGTGTTCAGCGGATTTTTCATAAATTTGGTATTGGTTAGATTTAGGAGTTAGGGGAGTACCACTCTTTAAGCCAATGGTTTAGCTTTTTTCAGCTCGAGTTCTAATGATAACTGAAACAAACTATTTGAGAACCACTCCATATTCTGACTGCCTGTACATTTGTTTTTTTTGTGCAAAATAGAAGTAAGCTCCAGCGCAGATTAACAGTGCAAAATAATATATTTTGAGATATTTCTCGACTGTGATTGGCTAGTTGATTGCAATGCAGTTAATGTGAAAAGGCAGAAAAGCAGTGAAAGCCAAACAAACTTCTTTTCAATTCAAAAAAAAACATGGCGCCGGTTGAATGTAAACGTAAACAAAGATTTCCACTATTGCAATCGTTTGAAGTTCGAGAATTATAAAAGAATGCAAAGAATAAAAGCAACAGGATCAATTAGGGTTTATCAGTGGTTTAGTTTAGGTTTTTACCAATGATAACACTGGATCAAGTTAATGTGAAAAGGCAGAAAAGCAGTGAAAGCCAAACAAACTTCTTTTCATTTCAAAAAAAAACATGGCGCCGGTTGAATGTAAACGTAAACAAATATTTCCACTATTGCAATCGTTTGAAGTTCGAGAATTATAAAAGAATGCAAAGAATAAAAGCAAAACGGCAAGTACTGTTTTTTGGGTGAATGTTTTTAAGAGTTAGGCCGCGTAAAGAAGTTTTATGAAGCGATAGATATGAACGAAGCAAGACAGAGTTAGACGGTACAGTCAAGAAATATCTCAAAAGTAAATATTAAGCCTATATTAACCGAGCTGGGGTCTTTACGGAGAAATGTCCGACCGGAGTTTTATTGCCTAGACTGAGCCCGTGTTTTAGCACTGGTTGTTTGTTTGCATCATTGAGTTCTATATATTGAGTTTTATAGAGCTCAATGGTTTGCATATGGTAAAATTAAGCGTATTGGAAATTGGATCGTGGTCCATTACCGGCAAAAATGTTTCTGAGCCAATCAAAGCGCGCCATTTTATGGCAACGTCACAAAATTGCGCGCTTTTCAGATACATTTTTCAGGCATGTTATTTTCCCGTAATGGGTATGGGACCACGCTCCGATACCAGCAAAACGAAAAAAAACGAAGCAAAAAAACGTATTCAATGCGTTTGACGGGAATAATAAAAGCCGGCCAAAGTGATTTTGGCAATTTAAAATTTTTGTGGCATATTTTTTCTATCATTATTCATCTTCATGAAAATAGGTAAGATGAATGATTAGGGGGGGGGACTATATTCATAAACGCACCGTAAAAACAATGATTTCAAAGGAGCTTCATACGGCAGATCATGTACACATTGCTCCCCTTCACTCGTCAACGGTCCTACGTTCAAACCTAACACCCAGTAGACACAATGGTACCAACTAGTTCATTATTTTGTCTTTTTTGTCGCGTATTTAGTGGTTTAAAATCTTCGTTGTTTTGCACTTTCGCCATTTTCACTTCATTTTGGCCGATTTAGATTTGGTCAGAGAGCTTAGACTCGCCCACCTTCTCTATATAGTTGCAAAGTTCTGGACAGGAGGGAGTGCAGGCTCGTCCCACCAAACCTAATAAAGCAATTTGCTGGTCACACTGCAATCAATTTGGCCGGTTACGTCAGGGGCGATATGGTAACCATGGTTACGACTGGAGCGACATGGTAACTATGACCGGGAAAAAAGTTAAAAATAAATGAAAAATATTCTCGCGACTCGTGCCCAAGAAAGTTTTACATAATTTTTATATAATTATTTGTGCTGTATTTACAACATTTAAATATTGTATATACATACTATATTGTACATTGCAATACTTAGTTCAAACGAACAATACTTTGCCATCTTGTGGTCTCAATATTATAGGCAACATGACGTTCTTCAGATTTCATATAATTTAACTCCTGTTCCTGACTGCAGTAAACACAATTTTTATGATTCCACTTATCTCGAACTAATTTGTTCAGCGATTTTAATTTCAACCAAATGCGGGCGGAGTATAACAAGATCAGCGAATGCCTGACTGCAGGCAATCACAAAGTGCAAGAACTCTTATCGGTGTCTGGTTGACGATACGTCGGGGAAAATACGGGGGGGTAAGTTGTCAACGTAGGTGGGGGAGATGAGTCACTTCTTCTGTTCGGGGAAATGTTGGAGTAATTTGTAGAGGCTTGTGTTTTACCATGAGATGGATTTCGTACAAGAATACCCTGATGTGAAATTTTAATAAAGAAACTTAACATTTATAGTATGGAAGCACGAAAAGAATGTTCATTTTTGAAACGTGGGAGGGTGCGTTGGGGGCGTTTCAAAGGTGATGGGAGAAGAAATATAAAAAATTGTTTTACTGGAGTGTGCTGTGAAAAAAAATACTGAAATGCACGAAACAACGTTTTGATAACTTAATCTCTTTATATGAAGTGCGATCTCGCTCTTACCCTTTTCAACTGCTCAGTTCGAAAGTCCCGAAAAGCCAAATACCCTTCACGCTTGCTACACATTGATGGTGGTAAAGCTATCGTAGACATAGGATCAACAAGATCATCTTCGTATGATAATAAACTTGTCTCTGGATATGATTTACTCCTATCTATACTCGGATATCTCTTGATATCCTTACTTTTCCCATGAAGTTCTTGCAACCGCTTGCATTCCTGTTTGTACACATCAAGCTAAAGAATAAAATTAGTAAATCTTGCAACCCGTCCGAGCATTTTTGCCAAACTAACAGTTTAAATACCTCTTTGTGTAGCGCTTGGAACCGTTGTTCACACTGCGTAAGTCTTTCCTGTAAAGAGTTTTTCTCGCTCTCGATTTTTGCTTTGTCTTCATGTTCTAGTTTAAAATCCTCACGATACGCTGCTAGCTAATTAGGAAAAAGTACAAAACTGAAATCATATTCGATGAATTGTTCGAATCGTTTCGAAAACACACAAATTCCAATGCCATACAGTTTAAATACAAACGACAAGTGAAATAAGAAGCGGAATATAAAAAAATTAACATACGGAACATTCAAAGAACATTATGAAAAGGTTGTAATTGGAATATACAAACACAATAGAACTAATTGAAACTATTTTAAGAAACGACTCCTTCCTTTTCAAATTTCTTCCTGAGCAGATAACAAAGAAAATAACGAGACAAAATTAACAAAGTCGATATTACCTGTTCTTTCATCAGTTCTTCTACATTATGATTTCTGTTGCACAATTCCTGTCTTTTATTTTCATGAGATAAGAAGTTATCGTGTGAAGTGTCTTCGTGGACATTTTTAGATGAACGTTCGAGTTTAGTTTTTAACGTTGTTACTTCAGCTCGGAGAACTTTGTTCTCCTCTTGAAGAGCGCCTTTTTCTCTAAGGTATTTTGTCTTCAAGAGATCATATTCGTGTTTCCATAGACGATTGATTTCCGTTAACTGCACAAGAAGAAATTAAAGATGACAAAAAATCGAATGAAAATTTCAACATTGCTAGTTTGGCACATTCCAAAAAACAGATCTTCGCACTTTCATTCACATAGCAACGGCTTAAGACGCAATAAATAAACTAGGTTTTCTTTAATAATACATCAACTATCAAATTAACACACATAAAATTCAACTTATGACATGCATTCGCTTTACGAAATTTGAAGAAATACAAATGAAACCTGCCTGTTTGATTTCCGTTATTCGCTGCATTAAGCAACAGAAAAGCTCACTTCAAAATTGTTTTGCCAACTCTTTAAGAGAAACCGCATAACGCATAGAAAAAACCGACACAATGCAATAAAGAAGATTCGAAATAGCGGTGTTATGTAAGTCGAAATTATTTCATGAGAAATAGCTGATATATTCTACAAGAATTGATCCCCACACCGCTCAACTCAACTACAGGAAGTTGATCTGCTGAGATGCATTCACGTTTTATAAGACAAGGAAGTCAATGACAAGTCTGCACTCGAAAAATACATCTCAATTCCAAAAATAGGTCAACAGAAATCACAAACGATAATGTTTTAAGCGAAAATGAAATATACCACAAAAAATTCATAAGGAATCAAATCTTGAATACTAGAAATATGAAACTTGATATGCATTCAACGCGGAAGTATAAGCAGTGAACCTCAAAGAAAAAATCTTTGAATTTGGTTAATATTAACAATCCAACCACCTGGCACAAAGTGCCATTAACACGATAGAAGTATCTGCCAGGCAAATCGTCCAATTTCTGAATTTGTCTTTCGTCTAACCAACTGAAGCAAAAATATTCACGTTTTGTATAAACGTTCAAATGAAGAGCAGATGGAAAACTGACATTGCATGCAGTTCAACATGGTTGGTGGTATATTTGAAAATATATACGCTTGCATTAAGAGATTACTTTCGTGTTTCAAACCGCAACGAACCAAAGAAGTTTTAAATTGAAAAAATAAATACAGCCTAAATAATACGGCTCCGTTACTCGTTTTTACGTTTAAAGCAACGATATCAAAATACTCGCATCCGATTGGAGGAAACATTTCCCGCGAAAAAGCTGCGAACACGACGATAATTTGGCAATTTGTCACAGCACTTAAAACAACTTTCTGAAATCATATTTTTAATAAAATTTACTACACTATGTGGTCAGTGACCATTTTATTACATGATCAATGGACTTTTTATCACACAATGTGCATGCATTTACATACGTAAACACATTACAGTTTCCCCGTAAGAAACTGGAATAACACGCGAACGACAGTATCGCGAAACCAGTTTGATGCAAACAAAGGAAAATTTCATATGAGCATAAAGATATTTCATACCTTGGTCAAGTTTTCATTTGTGGAACAACATTCTCCACAGCTTCGACTGCGTCCACAACGATTCATTTTGAAACTAAAGACAGTAGGAGAGACATTAAAAGATGAAAATATATATCCGATGTAGCTTATGAAAAATGCTATTCAAACTTTCAATTTCCTCCGTTTCCAAGTATTTCAACAAAAAAATTTTTAAATCGTTCAACCTGACGTCAAAAAAAACGAAAAGTGATACATAATATACTCAGAACAGAATTCAGCAAAAGCCTATGACAGACTTCTTGCTTGTATGTGGCCAAACTGACAATAAATAGCCGTCGTTTAACCAACCGATTTGTGATAATAAAAATAGTCTTTCATGCGAATAAACGAATCTTTAACACAGTTTCTTCTAACAAAACTTTTGAAGATGGATCTCCTCTGAATCTCTCACAATTCCATGGACCGCAAACGAAAATATTGCAAAATTCATAATTGATGATATTCTGACAGACGAAACAGCTAAATGATATCAATAATATTATGCGATTTCAAAATGCCCACATAAACTCACAATAATTGTCTTTTGCTTCGCAGTGTTAAAAGGTACAATTACCATAGCAATTCGCCAACTTTTGAACAATTTCTAGTAAACATAAAGGTGTGAAATGAATTAAAAAGAAATATTTCAAAAGCTAAGTCTTAGCTTAGAAAGGAACTTCAAATCAGTTCCTTTCAGGTTATAGTTACTTTGTTAAGTGACGTGGTTTTGACGTCCATCATCAATCGCCCACATCAAATTACCCTCGAATCGTCGTACCTTTTTTCTCAATAAATGTGGATAAACTGCAAAACAAATTTTCCTCCGACATAAACCAATCCATTCTTCATTGGTCACAACCAAAACAGCGTATAATTAGGACTGTTTGATAGCCCAGAGGACCAACGATAAAATTTTGAGCGGAAGACTAACTGACAACGACCTAAATATTGCGAAGGCTTCCGGCATTAGTTAAATAATTTAAAGCTTTTTCAAAACGTCTTTTAATGAAACATCCTGAGACGCAAAGTAAATGATATTTTACAAAACTGAAAAGCTATGTTTACCATTCAACCGCATTTTGTAATATTTACATTTAAGAGAGTTTGTTTGAGTCTTAAGACGTGTAAAGTGAACTTCCGCTCGTATAGAATTCCTACAGTAGCGATAAATTGGCAAAATACATTATCACCACATGCTTTCCAATGGCACAATTAAGAAGTCCGTGTTCATATAGTTTTCAAAAGAGGATTCAGCAAGAAATTGGATACGTGTTTAAATGTTTAACTTACGATGCAACCGAAATACTGTTTCTTATTAACGATGGCCGGACATCGTTGAGAACACAAGCGAATGGAGAAAATTGCCTTTTTAGACAATAACATGAATGCAGGCAAGTTACGACTTAGGCATGGATTCACAAAAAAAATACTGCAAGCCAACGTAGGATAAAGCCAATTTAAGGTATACAACTTATGACATACTTTTATAATATTTAACCCACCTGTGACTTGTGTTGTTTATTGTAAGGTTGCTGATGCTATCTTCAATGAAAATTTATTGAAACCAAAATGAAATGTAGAATATCTTTTGCTGATTGACACTTCACCTAAATCTTTATAAGTAGAAGACGATGAAAATAGCATAGCTGGGAAAAGTTAACAAATCCACAATCTGGCTGCTTATGAAGCCATATGTCGGTATCCAAAGATTTGTTTGCAAATTGCATGAAACATCCTTGTAAGAACTAAACTCAGCTCAGCAACTGCATGAGAAAGCTCTGCAACTGTAACAACTTTGTAACAGCTAAATACAGCTCTGCAACTGCATGACAAAGCTCTGCAACTGTAACAACTTTGTAACAGCTAAATTCAACTCTGCAACTGCATGACAAAGCTCTGCAACTGCATGAAATAACTCTGCAACTGTAACAACTTTGTAACAGCTTAATACAGCTCTGCAACAGCATGTAACAGCTCTGCAACTGCATGTAACAGCTCTGCAACTGCTTCACATGGATTTACAACTGCTAAATACAGCTTGGCTCCCATTTAAACTTTACTACTAGAGCAACAGCAGAGTTTTATCAGACACGGCTACATAAAGTGCCTGCAAAATAGCAGAAGATATCAATGTAAATATACAGAGTTAAGAATATTCATGTTTAAATACACTATATGCGGGAGATCTTCACAACAAGCACGCATTTTTAGTACATGATTATGTGACATTATTTAGAAATATTTAGTGTAAAATACTTTAAGGTATTTCAGATGGTTTTCTTCTAGAGGATGTATTACCTCAAACGTGGTTAGAAGGTTAAGTTGTTGAGAAAAGTGAGTTAAAGTTTAGATATTATGAAGATTTATCAAGAGACGCTGATCTTCTGTTCCTCGAAGGAGAACCGTTTCTTTCAGGAGAGGCACTGCTTTTCTTGGGTGATGGCGATCTCGAACTGCGACGACGTTCCTCACGAGGTGAGCGAGATGATCGACCACGAGGAGAACGTGACCTGGATCTTCTTGATCGAGGAGACCGGGATCTATATGGAGTTAATTAAATTTCATACAATTAAATCATTATCGATTAAGACTTTAACTCATGGGATTGAGCTTTTCTGAGTTAGAATAAACACCTTCTTCTGGGTGAATACGATCTAGATCGTGAACGTCGATGTCGAGGAGAATAAGATCTATAAATATAGAGGAAAGATGTGAAATACACTTGTAAAGTAGAAATAATAGCAATCATTGAATTTGGTCAAATGGTTTTGAGCCAATACTAGATCATACACCTCTAAAATTACCAATGTGATACCCACCTTCTACCTCGACGTTCATAGCCACGATCTCTACCCGAGCGTGGCCTGTATTCACTTTGTGGTCTGCCATATTTTGCATGTTGAACTCGGAATCTCTCGTCCATCTCTAAAACTGTGCCATCAACTCGGTCCATTGCATCTTCGGCGTCTCGTCGCTCGTAAAAGCGAACGAAAGCAAAACCTCTGGACTGGTTTGTCCTTGCGTCTCGAGGAATGTAAATGTCACCAACGTCGCCGTATTCGCGAAAGACTTTCTTTAAATCATCCACCGTTGTACGATATGTTAAATTATCAACTTTTAAACTCGTCATTCCTTCGATACTAGGAGGTCCTCGACGACTGTCGTAACTCATGTTTTTAATTTGCTGATTAAATTAACGAAATCTTGAATGAAACAACAGAAAATCGGTTAAATTTCTTGCAAATATTGCAAGGCTTTTCACAAAATGAAACCGACGCTTTTCAGCTCTTCGCACGTGACACAGCATGTAGCACACACAAGTACTCCTATGTACCTAATTGTTCCTATGCTACTCTAAGGCAAATGCTAAAGGCAAATTTAGGAGAACTTTGGGTGAACTCGAGAGCTGATCAGTGCATGGTCGACGGTTGTACTTGCAGCCATTGATTTCTACTATACATGTCAGAGGTTGCAACTGCTCGAGAGTTCCCACAAATGTCTCCAAGATTGATTTGTGTTTATTTTAAAACCCAGATTCATCGTTTTCTCACAAGCTATTTAAACCGTCTGAAAGAAATTTAAAAATATTTTGTTTATGTCATCGAAAGGAGCTTTGGAATTTTACAAAAATCTCCCATAGCAATTGGGTACACCTATGGTACTATGAAATACACATGTGATCAAATATGATCCATCCCCCCTAGTAGACACACATGCTGAGAACATCAAAGCATCAAACCCATATCAAACCGGTAGATACGGTCTGAACACAAATATTCTCCTCCCCACTGGTAGACACTCATGCAAACGTTTGCTCCTAACTCTATTAGTTGGACATCCATATTGATAACTAACATACATCCCTAACTCTCCCTTGCAGATAGACACCCATATTGATAACGAATCAACAGATATCCCTAACCTTCATTGCGAAAACCAAAGAATATTCTCAAAGAAAAATGCGAATTTGCCAATGAAGATGAGATTATAGTTACTTATTGATTCAGAACCTCGATGGAAAATTGACAAAGTTTACTTTATTGAAATTAGAAAATGACTACAATCCTATTACTGGTTACATAAAATCAATGATAAAAATAAGCTATTCTTCACAATTCAAATACTTCATAAAATTGTCCAAGATAAGTTATCTAGATGCTATTCCAGCTGTAAGTATTTCAGGTAGATCTCCGTTTTTGAATCATTCAGCATCACTGCTCTGCGAGCCTCTTCGAGAACCCTAAAATGGACAAGACGATAAAAAATAATTAGCAAAATATATTTACCAGACATGTAAAATATTGCATTGCATAAAGTACATGAAACTTCATCCTCTTGGGACAGAAATACTTCCTCGCATTTTTCAAAATCTACTTAAAATAATTTATTTAGTTGACAGTCAAAACATATCCTTAAAAAGTATTTTCCGACGTCAATAATGCCTAATTTGGTCAAGAGAAGCTTATGAATTATGTCTGTCAAGCATTTTTGATCGCGTTTCCTGAATTATGAAAGAGTTTTAAAACTTCCGCAGCAACAATATCATAGTTCTTATCAAAATTATCGCAATTAAAAACGGAAGAAAAAGATGCATGTCTTGGAAATAAAACGATTAGTTTTCAATCCATTCCGAGTAAATACATTTCTATCCTAGGGGTCTTCAGCTTGTGTTTCGGTTTGAAATTACAAAAATTCTTGACATTTTTAAGGAATTACGGATGTTTGCATGTTAAGCCCGCCGCACACTGATGAACTTGCCGCGCTTACTTGTTATTCGTGACAAGTGTGATCGACAAAATTTCCTGTTGTGCGCGGAAGTTTTGAACAACATTTGATCTTTTACTCATCTGTCACGAATAACAAATGTTGTTCAAAACTTCCGCGCACACTAGGAAATTTTGTCGATCACACTTGTCACGAATAACATCTAAACTTTCAGCTTTTGAAATGTTGTTGCATTATTTTCTTTTCTTAAAACTTCGTGCATACCGTACGAAGCCTTCGTTAAAGACGCTCATTAACGTTACCAAGTTTTTGTTAAAATTCAAAGAAACTAAGTGAAACTAATGTTTGTAATTTTCAATACCGAGACATAAAAGGACATAAAGGAAGTCTTTTCATGTGATGTAAACACTGCATGTTCCACGCCAAAAAATTTATATATATTCTTAATTAAGTATAAAAATGCAAGGAAGTATTTTTTTAATTCTATCAAAGAGACATAATGTCGTTTCTGGAATTTGCTCATGCAAGTATATGTAATCACTAAATACGGCTTTTTATTCAAATGAGGTCAATGAAATTGGGATTAAAAATCTACTCGTCGTCTTCGTCACTATTCGTCACCTCGCGCGTAGATCGTGAAGGGGTTCTTGCTGCACTTCTCCCAGTAGAACGGCCAGCTGTAGGACGACGACGAGCAGCCTGCTCAGCGGCATCAGCTCGCTCCTCAGCTAGTTCAAGATCTGCTTGTACGCGACGAAGTTTGGTCATGTTACTGGCTGCTGTTTCTTCCTACAAAAAACAAACAATTTGACTCGTTTTAATATCTATTCATTTTATGACCTTACCGAATCTCGTCATTTAGAGTGTTTTCAATAATCGACATAGCGGTAGACAAATCGTTGAACTTTGAAGAAAATAAAATAAAATGGTTGTTGTATGACACCATTGAGAGACTTTATAGTTAACATTTATTACAAGTGTCCCTGGAAATGAATCAAATTTGTTCACAAAACATAAATTAGCCAATCAAGCATGAACATCATCACTTACAGCAAATGAAATACAAAATCCTTACTTTACAACCAATCAAATATGAGCATCATTACTTACAACCAATGAAATAGAAGCATCCTTACTATACAGCCAATCAAATATGAGCATCATTACTTACAACCAATGAAATAGAAGCATCCTTACTATACAGCCAATCAAATATGAGCATCCTTACAACCAATGAAATAGAAGCATCCTTACTTTACAGCCAATAAAACATCACCAACATACAGCCAATCAAATATATCTAACAGCCAATGAAATATGAATACCCTACATCCAATCTGATTTGATCATCCTGACTTACAGCCAATCAAATATAAACATCCTTAGTCACAGCCAATCAAATATGAATATCCTACAGCCAATCAAAAATGAGTATTGTTACTTACAGCTTCTTCGGCACGACGACGTAACGAAGTCATTTTCTTGTTGTTTCTTTCATTGGCATCTTGCAGTTTCTCGATTGTTCTGCGATCTTCATCAGCTTGGGCAACCATCTCCTTCAGCTTGCGATCATTCTTCTTTATTGCTTTCTGTTGTTCGGTCTTCGTACGAGCTTCAGCGTCCAAATCGTCTTCCAGATCTTTGATTCGCTGCAAAACAAGGCTCGGAATAAGCATTTTATCATTCATTTAACCTATGTGAAACATACGAATAAATATTTATTTAAACCTGTTCCAAAGTCTTGATTTTGTTCTTTAAAGCTTTTCCACCGGCAGCTTCGACTTCCTCAAGGCGAGCTTGAAGATCCTTCGCCAATTTGTCCGCGTTAGATTTTGCTTTTTCGGCAGCGCTCGCCGCTTGTTGAACTGAAGCGAGTTCGTCTTCGAGTCGGGAAGCATCGGCAGCACTTCGGCGGGCTTTTTCCTCGGCAGTTTTAAGATCACTTTCTAACTCATCCTGAGCATCACGCATGCTCTGTACATCATCTTCAGCCTTACGCTTGCTCGATTGTAATGATGAAACTTGCGCTTGAAGTTCAGCGACACGGTCGACAGCTTCAGCTCCTTCACTCTCGGCGTTTCTGCGGGCACGTTCAGCCTAATTGTAAATAATCACGTGATCAAATATCCTCATGTTTCCCCTAACATCCAACTCGTTCCAACGGCATTTGCCATATAGCTATAGTCTCGATAAGATTATCATACGTACACCTGAATATTTTTCCTATTTCCTAAAACATTCTACTCATTTCTTCAACATTTTTCATTTATCATCTACCTGTTCCAGTAAGGATCTAACTTCTTCCAGTTCAGAAGACAGCTTGTTGGCATTTCGTTCGGCCTTCGACAGACTTTCCCGAGCGTCATCGCGCGCCTTCTGCTCATCTTCAATCATAACTTGCAATTCTTTGATCTGTTGTTGCAATTTCTTTGCATTCTTAGCGTTTTCGGCGTTCTCCTGAAAATTTGTTAATGTTGCTATTACCAAAACGTGTAACTATAGATTTAATGTATGAAAAAGAGTTGAATGCTATCGACATGAAGTATTACCCTGTTTGCGCCTTCTAGAGCCAGTTCCAGGGCGGCAGCGTCCTGTTCAGCTTTCTTCTTCAGTCGTATCTGCCACAAACGAAAGGGTGAATAAAATGAATGAAAAAAGATGCGAAAGATGTTGATAAAGATTTGTTTTCAACCTGTTCATTCTTAGCTTTGCTCTCGGCTTCGAGCGACGCTTGATACTCTCTTGTTGGCGGTTGAAATTTTTTCTACATTGATCAAAATTAAAACATGATGGAAATTTTCCCAAATATAGTGTGAATAATGATAACGGGAGTAAATTAGATGTAGATATGATCTTCGCACTTTGCTGGACAATTTAAGCAATTGTCTCATGAACCTGAAAAATTCAGGTGACTCAACGGGATTCGAACCCTGGATTGGAAGTAAAATCAATCATTTTATTCATAGAAGTTACAAGCGACAGTTTCTACCTTAGACTTTCGGCATCCTCATCTTTTTCAGCAAGACGGCGTTCATATTCTTGTTTCAACTGAGTCATTTCCAGTTGCATTTTAAGAACCTTTGCTTCTTCTTGTTCCAATGCACCTTCTAGTTCCTGTAAGAATACAACACTAGGTGAGGTTATATGAAATCAAATTGAAGATAGAAATTGCTAAAGCTTTGTGCGTACATAATTACATCGCACAAATAATTCTGGAATTTCAAATTAGACTATACTTGACTGAACGAAATAATTAAAAAATTATTCGTTAAAGAATGAGTCCCACACAGAGAAGCTTTGCGCACTTTACCGGCAGACATTTACGCGCACCCAAAAAATGACAGCATTTTAGGTTTTTAGTGCTGTACTATGTCCACTTCTATTAGCAAGTCTTATCCATGAACCCCAAAACGTTGCTGGCCAAGAAACAACGAGAGTCAAATTTAAAAAAGACGTTATTTTACATTAGGTTAGTTAGAAAACAATCACTAAATTCTGTGTCAAAAATCAAAAGTTTATTACAAACCCAAGCGCGCAAAGCGTTATTATGACACTCATTCTTTAAGCTGTAGAAAACCCTCGTTTAGTGAAATATTGGTAAAAATGTTTGTAACTGGCAAAACTTATGGACAGAAGTTTTAAGCTTTTACCTCCATGTTCATTTGAAGTTCTTCTTTTTCCAACTCTAGTCTCTTTTTAAGTTTTTCAAACTCAACAACAGACTTTCCTCCTTCGCCAAGTTGATCGTAAAGATCTTTCACTTCCACTGCAATGCAAAATCTCCAATTTAGACGAGTCAAACACATCGACATTAACGTCATCAAACAAAAACTTAGAGCTTAGTTAAAGTATACCACCATTCAAAAACTTCTCAACATACCTTCCAAGGATTTCTTCTCTCGTTTCAATTGTTCCATTAGATCCTGTGCCTCTTCGAGCTGACCTCGAAGCTTGTAAACCTGAAAGTACATAGTTTTAAGTCAATAAACATCACTTCAGTTATACATATATAGATCAAGTTGCCTCGATAATATATATATATATAGAGAGAGAGGGAGATCAGGGGCCTGGATAGCGTTATCCATTGGATAGCAAATTTTTTAAACTTTTATAAAACTTTTAAAAAGCAAAAAGTATAAGATTCGAACTGAACAATCACTGAAATAAAATATTGTTTCGAAGATTACGAAATATCGTTGTCGTAAGAAAAATATAAACACCTTTTTTACAAATTTGGAGATTTCTGCTATCCAATGCATAACGCCATCCAGGTATACATACATATATATAGCTCAGGTTACCTCAGTGGAGTTGTTGCGCGATTCGCGTTGCGATGCCTCAAGTTCATCTTGAATCTCGTCAACTTTTGCCTTCCATTGTCCGATTTCCTGATCAATTTTCTTTTGTTTCTTTTCGTACGATGATGCAAGATTTTGAGCCTGTAAAAATAAACATTGGGCAGATATGTAATTACTTAGTGTAAGGGTCAATGATATGTTGAAAGAACTCCTAAAAATGATTGTCTACCTTGTCCAGTTCTACATTGAGATCTTCGACCTCACCAGCCAATCGTTGTTTCGCTTTCTCAGCGGAATTCGCCTTAGACATTGCAGCCGCGAGTTGTTCTTCTGTCTCAGCCAGTTTTGCAGCAAGCTTGCGTCTGAAAATACACAACAATGTAGGTTCACATACAATCTGTTCTTAGCTAGAACACTTCTTATCAAAAAAAAAATAAAAATGGACGAACATAAAGTGTGAACGAACGTAAAGATTTATGATGTACATGTTAAACATGAAGGGATGTATGAAAAGGAACTTACCTAGCCACTTCCAGTTCCTCCGCCTTTGCTTGTCCTTCCTCTTCAAATTTCCTCTTCCAGTTTGAAATCTCATTCTTTGCTTTCGCCACTTCCTTTTCCAAGTTTTCCTTCGCTTCTTCTAGATCCTCGTTGTCCTGACGCGCAAGTTCCAGGTCCGCCTCGAAATTTTTCATTTTGTCGAAGAAGTCGTTCTTTGCCTGTTAAAAGCACACCGAAGAGAATAAAATTAAAACAATTCAATATCTGAGCAATTGACTGTAGGAAAGGTCGTGTTAAATCAACCAATAAAATGCAGAAGTAAATGGAGATACCCACCCGACTTTCCTCCTCTAGTTGATTCTTCGTCTCTTCAAGTTGGATTTCCAAAGTTTTTTTGCTCTTCAACAAAGAAGAAACGCGTCCTTCCAACTCAGTCAACTGTGCGCTGAGAGAAGCGTTCTCGTTGCTTAGTGCTTGTTTTGCAGAAACGAGATCGGCATTAGCGAGACGCAGCTCTTCGAGCTAGATTTCAACAAAGACGAACAGCTAATAAGCTAAAGATGTTGCGTTCGCTTTTATTATGATAAAAGTAAAAATATTTGGTAGTAAAGCCTCTTACTTCGCTCTTTCGCTCAGACAATTCAGAATCCAAAGTTCGATTGGCCTTTTCCAAAGAAGACTTAGCTTTCTGCAGCTTTTCGTTACTTTCGGCAAGTTCGTCCGCTTCAGCTGTCAAAGAATTTCGTTCTTTCTCCAGTCTAACAAAGACAAGAGTGTTTTATTAAAGAATCGCTTCAATGTATGGAGGAGTACGGCCTTAACTCACTTTGATTTTGCCTTCTTGGAAGCTTCCAATTCTTCTTGAACCTCTGACAAAGCTTGTTGATGTTTATTTCTCATACTACTGATGGCTTGCTCGTGTTGAACATTAGCTTCTTCCACATCACGTCTTAATTTGCTAATCTCGGCTTCCCGTTTCTTGTTTAACTCGACCTGCAGCAAAAAGTTCAATTAATTTTGTGAATAAACTTATGGATAATCGTAGATAATGAAGGATATGAATTACCTGAGCTTGCGTGGCGCCTCCTTGTTCGTCGAGGGCATCTTGAAGATCATCGAGTTCTCTCTCCAAGTCGTTACGTGCTCGTTCAACCTTAGTGAGATTAGAAATTGAGAAAAAATGATTTAATACACTGAAAAGGGGACATTTTTCTCACCAAAGTTATACCAAAATAATCGTACCTTTGCTCTGAGACCTCGCTCGTTTTCTAACTCATCCTCGAGCTCTGCAACCTTAGCCTAAAGTTTTAACGAAAATTGACGATTGATCATTCACAGATAAGACCAACTGGCAAAGTCATTTTCCTTAATCATAAAACTCACAACAAACCTCAAGTTCCTTTATTCTTTTCTGTAACTGGGCAATCAAAGAATTATTATCTTCAACTACGTTGTTCAGTTCGCTGATTTCGGCATCGCGCCTTGGAAAATAAGGAAAATTTAAGTATATTTCGTATTTCGAATTTAATGATTTTAGATGTTATGATACAAACTTTTTTACAACTATTTCCAGTTCATCTCGTTTCCCTGTGATTTCTTTTATTTCGTCGCGAGCCATCTGATATTGCAAAAAGAAGATCAAAATGTTGTCAATTTGTGCATGTGTCATCGAGAACTGGGAATATGACTGGTTTTTTTTTTGTATTTTGTTGATTTTACATCCTTCAAATATACGACAGAGTTTAGCAGGTGAGTATGCTTGAAGAAATCCGACTACCCGGAAATTATTGATATATTAAAGACACCAGGGGGGTGTTGATTTCTTACTTTAGAACAACAACACTCCAGACAATGGCGGCAACTTACATCAACTTATCGTCGACAATCTATGAAATTCAAACCTTAAGATCTCCTTCTAATTTTCTCTTTTGTTTCTCTACTTCGCCGCGAACTTTCTTCTCTTTTTCAAAAGCATCAATTTGCTAAAAGTAAAACACAGAACACAGTATAAAAACAAAGATTTATAACTGTCAATGACATTGTCGTTTTTAAATTGCATTTTTACCTCATCCAACTCTCGTTCAAGTTTCGCTTTCGCCTTATTCAAACTGTTCACTTTATTTTCTTCTTCGTGAAGTTGTTCTTCTAGATCCTTAAACGTAAGCCATTTCACAGCATTAGTTCGTAAATATGTGAGAATATTTCTCTAGAGAATGGTAGTACATTAGCGCTAATTTAAATTCCCTTTACACATATGCATGCCATCGTGAAAAGACTGCATAATTTGGGTGAAGAGAAATTTGTTGCTGAAACATTCATAAGAGAAAAAGAATAACTCACGTTTCGTTCATCTTCCAGGCTTCGTTTCTCTTTGTTGAGCTTCTCCAAGGCGGAGTCTTGTTTGGCAATCTCATCGTTGAGTCGTTCAATATCTTGTTGCTTTGCTGCCTTCTCTTGTTCGGCCTGAAACAAACACAAATTTAACAGAAACATGTTCACTAAAGATGATCTCTTAAAATTACTGAATAGATCTGCTTACAGTGAAATCAGACATACCTTATCGAGAGCATTTCCAAGCTCATTTGCTTCTTGTTTTAAATCTTCGATCTCATCCTCAAGTTTGTTTTTCAATGCAGTCATTTCAGCATTGTTGTCTTCTTCATCTTCTAATCTTTCATTCAGTTCATTCAATTGTGACTCCATATCATCAAGACGCCCTCTGGCTTTTTGAAGATCTTCCATTGTGTTCTCTAACGTTTCGCTTTCCTAATCAAATAAAACGAGCGACACATTCATCATTGTGAAAAACTCCAGCAATTGAGTTGCGATGAAATTCATTCAAGAGGGTGAAGATGGGATTTTACCTTTTGTAGATCATCAAACAAGTTTTGCTTTTCTTGAATCAAATCTGTCTTTTCATTCTCAAGCGCCTGTCTGAGTTCTTTCTCCTTTGCCAATTCTTCTTTTATTTTTGCTAACTAACACAATAACCATAATTACTACAGGATGTTACAACACCTCTCCTCCTCCATCTTCTCCCTCACTCTCTCTTCACTCCTCCTCAACTCCTTTCCCTCCTCTTCCCTCCTCCTCTCTCCCTCCTCTTCTCCTCCCTCCTTTCTCTTTCCTCCCTCCTTCTTCTTCCTCCTCTTCCATCCCTCCCTTCCCTCCTCCCTCTTCTCCCTCTCCTCCCTCTCTTCTTTCCTTTAACTCTTCATCTTCTCCTTTAACTCTCTCCTCTCTAACTCCTCTAACTCTTCCATACCCTCCTCTAACTCTTTCTCTCCTCCTCTTTCACTCTATTCAATCATTTTATATTCACCTCTTCTTCTTCAGTACGAGCGACGTTTAATAACGGTTTCACCTGAACATCACGATAGGAAACAAAAAAAACAATTGTTATTACATCGGAAAAACTTGTTTTGATGAAGAACATTTTATAGCAAACCTTTGTGTAAAGTTTCCACCATGCCCAGTTCTTCAAATACAAATACTTTCTCACATTTCTCTGAATAACAGCAATACCAATTCTGCAAAAACGAATCAGGATGAAAACATTGCAAAGGGCTAAAAATTTTGTTTCGCGAAATCTTTGTGTGAAGGCAATTTAACTTACCGCTGGTCACACATCTTGCGGTATCGTCGTCGCATGAGGAAACCTTTAGCGTAAGCCTGGAACTGAGAGATAATCCTCGACAATTGTTCATCCCGCATATCCTCCAATGTACCTAGCACACCTGCTCGGAAGAACACCTAAACATGGAGAAGTGGATGTTTTGAATTGAATCAACCAATCAGAGCACGGTTTCCCACTATGAAGCAACGTGACTGGTCGATCTTTTTACCTTGGTTGTACCAACACGGTATTCATTTTCTTCCAACTGTAAAGCATCAATCAGTTTCTCAGCTGCTTTCTTGCCATCCATGAAGCCTTGTGGGATAGCATTTGGCGCAAGGATCTGGTACCTAACGATTGCATTCCAATATAACAGATTAATAAAGATGGCAGAATAACCGATGGCGTTTGAACCAGATGCAAGTTAAATAGCAATTTACTAACCGTTGTTTAAATTCATCAAACGGCATTCTGTTCGGGAATCCTTTTCTGCAAATTCGAATTCCTTCCAAGACACCATTACACCGTAACTGATGAAGGACAAGATTTGCATCAATTTCACCAGGATTTTTCTTCTCGTTCGGAATTATACAACGCACAAAATGAGGAGTGGTCGCGTATAACATCGTCATAAGTTTGTTCAATTGCTCTTTGTGTCTGTTTGAAACGGTTTGGAAACTTCCACCTTTCTTGCCCCCACCGCGCGCTTTACCACTACCTGAAAATGAAGGGGGGATGTAACACTAACACCATTTAACAACACTATCGCTGCCCGATCTAAGTAAAATATCATGAAGTATATTTGATAATGCAGAGTTTCATTATGACATCAGTAGTTGTACAAAATGGGAACATTGTAAAAGAGATGTACACTAAAACTATTTTAGAATATCCACTGTCATTTTAAAAGTTCCTTTCTGGAGTGCTATCCACTGTCATTTTAAAAGTTGATATCCACTGTCATTTTAAAAGTTCCTTTCTGGGTTTGGTAGCTCAACAGGTAGAGCGGCGGACTAGTATCCCGAAGGTGCGAGTTCAAATCTCGTCCAAGTCACATGTTTTTCATGTGCATATTAAAAACCGTGTTAGGATTAATATATTATATTTATTTTTTTGGAGTGCTATAATTTAAAAAGAAATATTTTTGCTTTATAAGCATTTCCATGATTAAGACGTCGACGTTGAATTCATATGAAGGATGGTTAGATGAAGTAATCCATCTCTTCTGATATTTGTTAAAAAACCACTGGTAAAAACTGAATCTTGTACAATTCAACTTGACTCCTTACACACAGTAAGTTTTTATATGCTTATAATAGCATTTTTATCGCAAAAAAAACAAACTAGTGAATAAGCCAAATAAAAACAGACAAACAAACAAGCAAAAAAAAGCAATAAAAAAACAAACTTACTTTCACCGCTATATTCTTTGAACATATTAGCAAAAAATAAACGAAAACAAACTTACTTTCACTGCTATATTCTTTGAACATATTAGCAATAAATAAACGAAAACAAACTTACTTTCACTGCTATATTCTTTGAACATATTAGCAATAAATAAACGAAAACAAACTTACTTTCACTGCTATATTCTTTGAACATATTAGCAATAAATAAACGAAAACAAACTTACTTTCACCGCTATATTCTTTGAACATATTAGCAATAAATAAACGAAAACAAACTTACTTTCACCGCTATATTCTTTGAACATATTAGCAATAAATAAACGAAAACAAACTTACTTTCACTGCTATATTCTTTGAACATATTAGCAATAAATAAACGAAAACAAACTTACTTTCACTGCTATATTCTTTGAACATATTAGCAATAAATAAACGAAAACAAACTTACTTTCACCGCTATATTCTTTGAACATATTAGCAATAAATAAACGAAAACAAACTTACTTTCACCGCTATATTCTTTGAACATATTAGCAAAAAATAAACGACTTACTTTCACTGCTATATTCTTTGAACATATTAGCAAAAATAAACGAAAACAAACTTACTTTCACTGCTATATTCTTTGAACATATTAGCAATAAATAAACGAAAACAAACTTACTTTCACTGCTATATTCTTTGAACATATTAGCAAAAATAAACGAAAACAAACTTACTTTCACTGCTATATTCTTTGAACATATTAGCAATAAATAAACGAAAACAAACTTACTTTCACTGCTATATTCTTTGAACATATTAGCAATAAATAAACGAAAACAAACTTACTTTCACTGCTATATTCTTTGAACATATTAGCAATAAATAAACGAAAACAAACTTACTTTCACTGCTATATTCTTTGAACATATTAGCAATAAATAAACGAAAACAAACTTACTTTCACTGCTATATTCTTTGAACATATTAGCAATAAATAAACGAAAACAAACTTACTTTCACTGCTATATTCTTTGAACATATTAGCAATAAATAAACGAAAACAAACTTACTTTCACCGCTATATTCTTTGAACATATTAGCAATAAATAAACGAAAACAAACTTACTTTCACCGCTATATTCTTTGAACATATTAGCATAAAATAAACGAAAACAAACTTACTTTCACCGCTATATTCTTTGAACATATTAGCAATAAAGTTATCACTGGATTTTCCAAGCAATGAAGCAACGGCTTCGTTGATCGGATCTTTATTTTTGTCTAGCCAGTTGGCGACCGAGTATCCGACATTACCAGCGTAGTGTCCAAGTTCAAAATCGTAAGTTGCTTTACTCCCTTTTGGTTTGGCGTAATTGGGATGTTTTCCATCATGTGTGTTGTGAAGTTTGCTCAAAAATGTTTGATCGGTCGCTTTAGGAAACATGCACTCTTCTTCAAGGATAGCAAAAATACCCATAGGCTGGAAAATAAAAAATGCAGAAATATTGAATCTTTGAAATCTTTAAGCGAGTCAAAACAAGACAATCGCTACGAGCCCGACACAAACAAGAACTTATGTTCGGAAGAGACAAACAATTGAAGGTTTACGGTTGTTAGTGATAAACATCTAATCATTGTTCACAAATTTCCCATTATTGCATTGAAAAAATAGAAAAAACGAGACGGTGCATTTCGTCAGCGAAGTACATTTAAATTTAAATTGTTTCAATAATGGCATGGTGCATAGTGACGATGTTTTTCGATTCATAATATTAGTATACCGTATCCATATAGCAACCATAAGGCCTTCATAACAAGAGTCTCACTACATGTTTGTAGTTGTAGATGGTCCAGGTTAGTAGAGTCCTGAGAAGGACTGTTGTTCTTGATGTTGACTGACGTTTTCGACAACCTTTGACTCTGAAGATGATTACCGCTAAGGTTGTCGAAACGTCAGTCAACAACAACAAAAACAGTCCTTCTCAGGACTATACCAACCTGGACGATCTACATCTACAAACATGTAACGATACTCCCGGGTTCAAACCATTTACTTTATTAGTCAAAGTGTGAAGTTTCTTCGTTCTTACACAACTTATACTCACAGACTTACCTTTTCTATAAGATTAATGCACGGTTCAAGATCCATTCCAAAATCAATGAAATCCCATTCGATTCCTTCCTTTTGATATTCTTCTTGTTCCAAAACAAACATATGATGATTGAAAAACTGTTGAAGTTTCTCGTTCGTCAAATTGATGCACAATTGTTCAAAGGAGTTATACTACACAATTGAAAAGTTGAAAATCAAGAACCTCACAATAGAATAATCATATTAGTTAAGTATTTTTCCAAAAGTAAGAATCTTTTAATTGTATTTACGTCGAAGATTTCAAATCCAGCTATGTCCAAAACGCCGATAAAATAGTTTCGTTTTTCCTAAAGAAAATCATCAAGTTAATCAAAAATATTTTAGGATTAACAATATTCGAACATATTAAACCTTTCTATCCAAGGTTACGTTAATCCTATTGACAAGCCAGAAGAACATTCGTTCGTACATGGATTTGGAGAGGGCACCGATAGAATACAGAACCTAAAACAGATATTTTTACATAATAACGACTTTAATACGTGTTTACTGCAAACATTGCAATGCTAACATAACATATATACTCCTCTCGTTAACCAACCAACCTAGGATTTGTACAAATCCATGGAGAGCGGTATAGTGCAATTGTACATTTTTTAAATAATTGCAACGTCATCTTTAATAAATTTGGTGAAAAACAAAACCAGTTGTATAAAAACAGAATAAACCAGTTTTACAAAAACAAGATAAACCAGTTGTATAAAAACAAGATAAACCAGTTGTATAAAAACAAGATAAACCAGTTGTATAAAAACAAGATAAGCCGGTTGTATAAAAACAAGATAGGCCAGTTGTATAAAAACAAGATAAACCAGTTGCATAAAAACAAGACTAACTAATTGTATAAAAATAAGATAAACCAGTTTTATACAAACAAGATAAACCAGTTGTATAAAAGCAAGATAAACCAGTTGTATAAAAACAAGATAAACCAGTTGCATAAAAACAGGATAAACCGGTTGTATAAAAACAAGATACGACAGTTGTATAAAAACAAGATAAACCAGTTGTATAAAAGCAAGATAAACCAGTTGTGTAAAAGCAAGATAAACCAGTTGCATAAAACAGGATAAACCGGTTGTATAAAAACAAGATAAACCGGTTGTATAAAACAAGATAAACCCGTTGTATAAAAACAAGATAAAGCAGTTGTATAAAAACAAGATAAAGCATTGTATAAAAACAAGATAAAGCAGTTACATAAAAACAAGACTAACTAATTGTATAAAAATAAGATAAACCAGTTATATAAAAACAAGATAAACCAGTTGTATAAAAACAAGATAAACCAGTTGTATAAAAACAAGATAAACCAGTGGTATAAAAACAAGATAAACCAGTTGTATAAAAACAAGATAAACCAGTTGTTTGAAAACAAGACAAACCCGTCGCATAAAAACAAGACAAACCTGTTGCATATTTCTTCCTTGGTTTACGTACTCATGGCCAACTTTGATTCGCGGTTTTACCAACATTTTTGTGAAGTCCGAATACTGAATTCCAAGCAAGAAAGACGTTTTCTCCAAAGCTGAATTGCAGCATCAAATATTTAAACAGATATTCATTAAGCAAGTTAGAAAATAGAACAGTAAAAAAGGCTTAAAAAACATAACATCCGTACCTTTAGAATCAGCAACATCTGCCTGTTCCTCCCTTGGCCTCTGTTTAAACTGTCCATTACCCCAATGAAGTATTCCTGCGCATGTTTTGTACATCGAGATTCGTTCTTCATCCGAAAAACCCAGAATTTGCGCAGCTTCTTCAGTTTCGTCCCACAATTCGTTGTCATCAATGCCTTGAGCAAAATCCACACTTTTTTCTAGAAACTTGTAGTCCTCGTGCGAGCGACTGTCAATCAGCAACTTTTCTGAGAAAGTCGAGAAACAGCCTCGTTAAATCAAGCGACATGTTTGAGGGGTAGAGCAAATTTTCATCCAGAGAGATTTGTTATATACTAAGCCGATTATATTTACATACTCAGCAGATCATCCGGTGCAGCTTTCAAGATTTGATAGAAGATGTGGTAGGATCTCTCATTTGGACCTTGATTTATGACACGTGACTTCTCCAGAAGGTCTAAAAACATCCATAATTTGTGAGTTTACTCGTGCTGCAATTCGCCGCGCGTTAGGCCCACACAAACACCTACATGTTTCGATATCGGCGCCAGCCAGTTTTCCCTGGGCGTTGAAATGACATCGAATGAACTTTCCCTGTAAAAGATGAAAAGCTGAAACTGAAAGTAACATCGTTTCCGTTTGAAATTTTAACTCGTTTCTAACTTACGAAACGTGAAGAGTTATTGTTTCGGATGGTTTTGGCGTTGCCATAAGCCTCGAGGATTGGATTACACATAACGATTTGATCTTCGATGGATGGCAGCTGAAATAAAGCCACGTTTATATAAGTGAGGATTCAAGAAGATCTTTGACATTTAAAATTGTACGCTTCCTACGTTGGAATTCTTTTCCTGCTCTTTCTTTGTCCCCCCCATTGAAACGTTAGCAAAATACTGAATGACTTTCTTCGTGTTTTCAGTTTTTCCAGCGCCACTTTCGCCACTAGAAGAGAAGTAAACAAAACCTCGCATAAGAATCTGAATGCGTTCCCACTAATCTTTACAGAGATACAGTCGACTTGACGGAAGAGACAATCGGAGGATAAGGAGGAACAACAGTTGATACACGATGGCTCTTACGTGATCAACATAGATTGATTTTCGCGATCCTGTAACATGTCGTGATATGCATTGTCACAAATGGAGAAGACGTGTGGAGGCATTTCACTTCTTTTCTTTCCTTTAAACATATGAACAACTTGTTGTGTGTAGATAGGAAGACGACGATATGGATTTACTGCGACGCAGAAGAGACCAGAGTACGTCTAAAATGAAAACAAAACTATTTTAATTGCTTCGAGGTAATACATTTTTGGATATTTAGCAAAGCTAAAGTAACAACTGTGGCCGAGGGAAGCACAAATTAAACTTCCGAGAATTCAACGAAAATGTATTTGACGATTCTTATGCAGAAATACAAAAACGGCACGGAAAAAATATTTTGAGCTTCAACTAAATTTATCATTATTATTGTTGATACAAAAATGCGATGACCTGAGACATCGCAAGGAAGGGGGGTATGGAAGGTAAAAAATCTCACCCCCCCCTTATGTAATCAATGGCTTTCTGCTTCAAATTCTTGGAAACTGATATGATGCTATACTTATGTTTTAATAAGAAAACTACTAAACTTTTTAATAATCAGGTTGCTGATATAAATATAACAATCTTTAAACATGTTTGAAAAATTGACTCTCCCGACGGGTAACGATACTCGGGCTTCGTGCATTGTACGAGCGTAACACAAGACATGTGACGGATGTGAAATGTGACTCATGTTTCGTAGGTCTTTAGGCACTTCACACCTCCACGTCATGTCGTGCTGTGCACGTGCGCAAATATGTAAATTGTCAATATTATTCAAAGTTAACGTTTCTGAAACGTAGGACTTTTACGAGCAAGATTAAAATCGGTTCGCTTTGCTTCTAAGTTCTACAAAGAGTCGGTTTTTTGGCAAGATTGCTGGTTGCATAATCATCAACCACAGCAAAGCGCATCTGATTTTTGTCATTTGAGAAATAACGACTTCAGCTAGTGCTATATGTAACAGAAAATAACAAATTTTAGGCAAGATTAATTGGTTTGTAAAGTCAATAAATTTTAATGTCTTTGTTAAGACTTGACAAACAGAGTATGTACAATCCTATTCTCGGTGTTAATAGTCATATTAATTGAACATGTTTATGATGTGTAATTGACGTAGGCGATGCAACAGTAAGAAAATAAACGGGTATTTTAACTGACAAACATAAATAGGTCTCGATTTTCGGGTTTAAAGGAGAAGAGAATAAAAATCTAACAATTGCGTTATTTCAAGTTGTTCACAAGGATATAAAATGTCATTTTACAAATATAAATGACAGAGACACAAAGATAAAAGAGATCCGACAATCCATTAGGAGCACTTTAAATCTGCGTAAATTACCTTTTTATTTTAAATCGCAGACAGCGTGACTTAAAGCACATCAGTGTAAGTCCCAAAGGTATGTTTATGTATTTATTATGCAAAATAACGATAAGAATTTTGCGAAATCAGAAGCAAATTATCATGACTGTATTAGGTAAAGCTGCCTTTAAATCTGGTTAAACAAACTTATTCCTTATTAAGGCACCATAGATGATGAAGCACGTACTGCAAACTTGGCAGAACCGTGCAACAAGCAAGTTGGTCACAGCACTCTACAAAAAAAGATTTTCTTAATCAGAAGCACTTACATAAATCAAAGCTGACGTGTAACGCTGTTTTAAATTGTACAAGACGCTGGCTTCGTTCAAGTAGGTTAGGCTGGCCATGTCTTCACACTTTTCGAATTTCGGTGGATTCATCTGCTGTGTGTCATTCTTGTTCACTTCCAGTTTCTACATAAAGAAATCAAACACGATAATGTCATGAATGTTGGTAAACAAAAATGCATACGAAATTTCATTAAAATAATCAATAAGATGGTTGCATATGGAACATATTAGCCGGCAATTATGCATTATACATTGCACATCGAGCAATTGTGAATTTTGAAACATATGGGAACAAAAATCGGGCAAATGAAAGATTTCTATGAATGATGTATGTTATACAGAGCTCTTCTGGTGGTATTAATTATGTAAAATTCCAACCAGAAAGTAACTTAATAACTGACATATCCCGCTAGCAGTCTGGTATGAACAATGCCTTGAATGTATTTCCAAATATTATAAAAATGAATGATTTTGCGTCATTTTTATATCAATCGATGCTAAATAGCAGCGAATACAAACCCACAGTAAACAAAAACATACATAAAGTTTGGCATTACGGTTCATCCCATGCACAGATGTTTTAACGGGACGGGATGGTTAGCGACAGAAATGTCAGCCCACTTTGTGTATATTTTGTTTCATGACTATAAAGTATCAGTTATATAGTGTTACCTTGCCAGCAGATGTCTCAACAGTGAGCATTTCGCCTTTGCTGGACACGACAGATGCGGCCAAATAACCCTCCTTTTTATCAGGTATCCACAGCCATTTTTTTGCATCAAACGTTTTGGTACGTTCGATCATTGTCGCTTTGTCCGTTGGACGAAGATACGGTTCCGGATCCTCCCCAGACATTTTGAACTAATGTTAAGTAGAAAGACGTTCGCGTTGGTTTAAATGGCAAAACAATAAAATGCTTGCTAGAATCTTGGGCAGAGAAGAGGCTGCATTGACAGTCAACCTCTAAGACAACTCCCCTATACAACAAATAAGATACATATAGATCTTTGGGGCATTATGATTGGCTAATGCGGGCTAGAGTCAAAGGTTGATAACAATCCCGCATCTTACCAAATATAGACAGATTAATCACCATTAATCGCAGATGATGAACGAAAAAGTACTATCGGCCAATCACGTTATGTCGTTCATTCTAAAGACAATTTATAATCTTTTTATGATTTCTATAGTGCAATGTTTTATGCCGTAAACGTTGTCTTAATTTATATTCTTAATAAAAGCAAAGATGTACGATTCACGATTGTGTTTTTTCTCAACGGGGACCATTACTTACGGCTGTTTATTCAACAACATTTACGACAGACTATGAATCACCCTGTGGCCTGGGAATTAATAAGTAACAAGCTGAAATACTGTCGATGTTTTCCCGTGGAAAAATCTAGAAAATGTCGACAAAATTACGAAAGCATTTTGGAGTTCGGAGTGAAAAATGTAAAAAAAAACGCCAGAAATGTTTAACTATAAGGTTTTCACTTAAAGTTGCAACAGATTTCAAGGGACTTAACTTGTTGACCCCTGAGGAGGCGGCTGATTTGTCGTGTTTATTTCGCGTAAATTTACGCAAACATCAAACGCAATCTCCATATTTGACAGTTGTGAGGTAATTTTCGCACAAGCTTTCTGCACAACTGCTTAGCTGCAAAAACTGTTCTTCGTTCGGCTGCATTCAAATACTTTGAAAACAAGAAAAGCCACAGAACCCATCTTTGTAGTAATACTTCCAAACCCACTCGCAAAGCACCGAACGTGATGAAATGTTTTAGGAAGGAAGTAATCGTAGCTTGAAATCGTAACGCTAAAATATGTTTCTTTTAACTGTTTTCGATGGGAAACCAGACATTCCTTTCGCCTGTTGACATCGTTATTCGTCAAGGCTAACATTTGCCGTTATCATATTTCAAATTCAACTTGACAGAAGAGAAAAACTTTTGCTAAAAGAAAATTAGCAACAATTATAAGGAAAAGAAAGTAGTCAAGAAAAAGAGCTAAATAACGATGATTTTTACGATTCAATTAAGTCATTTTTCGTTTGCTCCAATACTCCTTCCCGCCCACGTAAAATAAAGATATTTTAGGGCTTGGTAACAAGATCTTTCTGGTCAAAGTCGCTGACGAACAATTGTAATATTTCAACAAACTTGACTTTGGCGATATTTTACACTCCAAGAAGAACACGCAGACGGGGTGAGAGAGATGAAGGCTTGCTTCCATGTTTTTCTATAAGTAGATAGACAAAAATATCGCTTAATTCCTCATGGTGGGAAAATATCAATCCTCAAGGTGGAAAAAATGGTAGAGTGGGAATAAGATTGCAATCAATTGCATCAAATGCAAAGCTACTATGTGGGGCATAGCAGCTAAGGATCAATGAGGATCAAATGCAAAGGAGAAGGTAGATAAGTGAAGGGTTTCATATGAACACGAGGATTCTTGTGGGGCATAGCAGCTAAGGATCAATGAGGATCAATCAAACCATGGTCATTACCAGGATATACAAAATACCAAGAGTTGGTATTTGTTTTGGAGCTCCATGGGGCAAATATCATTTGAATAATATTCAGATTATTTAACCGAAATACAAATCCGATGATACTTTTACATTCCTTACGCTAAAAGCTATTATGATTTTTGAAGATGATCCCGCGTGTTCATCATATATCACTGAAATATCCCTCCAACACCCTTAGTGTATCCCTTATCACTATACCACCTTCAGTTCGTACATTTCTAACCCAGAAAACTAGTTTCAACTCTCTCATTCAAGTGCTGTACAAATATTGACTTTAAAACCAGTATAAGATCCAAGATAAGATATTGTTATCATAATTATGGCACTTTGGACAGTAGGAAGATGAGCGAAATGATGAGATTTTAAAGAGTTTATCTCAAGCTAAAACCCATCATCTCAAGGTCTTTAAATCAAAATATCCCAACATTTTAACGCGAAGCACATGCAACGAGACAAAAAACCTCAGTTTAGAAAACAACAGGAAAGCGTCTAAATTTTTGTCAAGCCAAGACTCTGCATGAGCAAACTTATTGAAAATCATTCAAAATTCAAAAGTTTAATGTCAAAATCAGTTTATAACATCGAAACGCTACCACGCTACCTTTAAGATGGACTCTATCGCACAGTCTAAAGCTTCGTTTACCCAAGACTTCAGCCATTATATAGCATTTTCTGACCAAAGAAACACTAAAATGGTAAAAAACAGCAAATAATCCAATTAAACATAGAGCAGCAAGTCTCTGTATGTTTACTTTTCTCTGCTATGCAGCAGTTTGATCTTCCGTTTAAACTTCTCTTATGGAGATAAGAATTTGTATCGAAGAAGCAAATAAATAAAGTCTTTACGAATAGCATACTGACTGTCTGTGGTGTAGTCACGAAGATTTTATGTCTTTGATGTGCTTAGTCAATTACAAATGGTGAACATGGTGTATTAAAGAGCTATTGTAGAAAATTCTATGCCTGATCACGATCCTAAATTCCCTCTGGTGCATTACTGCGTATACGGGTAATATTTGCAAATAGCTGATAATTTTTTACGCAGCTGTTGGCTTAATATAATGATAGACATTGAAATTATTAAAAAATTATTGAATGAGGTTGAGCAGGATATAAAAAATTATTTAGATCGAGTTCTGAACCATTCTTGATATCATGCGAAAGCCGGGTTCAGTAATTGTTTTATAAGGCCCGGTTCAAACGTCGCATTTTACATGCGCCGAATCAAATCTGCGTTTTAGTCGACTAAAATAGTTTAATGCGTAGTTTGATTCAGACGTCGAATTTAATAGTCGCATTTATTATAGTTATGCTTCCACTTTTTCATAGTTTATTCATTTTCTTGTACTAATTTCCTAAAATGGCGAACAGAAAAATGTTGAGTTTATGCATTTCAAATATGATTTGTGTTAATAGGAAAAGACGAATATTGATGCATGTTACAGCAAATAAACTATTAGAAACGAGACGGCAGCTTCTGCAAATTTCCATGTTTTTCTACCGTTAATTGGTCAAAAAAGCCTTCATACGTAGCCCTCCTATCGATCATGTCGAAGACAAGATAGAAATTCCGGCTGGTGGAAGAAAGTTTGGAGTATTTATTCTGATTCAAAAAACATTTCGTACTCGAGGAAACTTTCCTTGTACATATAAATTTTTGCACTTTAAACAAGTGTATTTTGTTAAACTTGTGCACGAAATACAAGGGCCATTACCATCTCGCCGCCGCCATGTTTTACAACTTTGCGCATGACATTTAGCATGGAAATAATTGATTTTGCCAGAAATATCTTAAAATAAATTATGCATTAAATTCGGCTCATGTAAAATGCGACGTTTGAATCAACATCGAATTTCCGTCGAATATTCGACTAACTCAGTCGAATATGCGACTAAAGTCGCATTAAATTAAAATCCGTCGAATTTAATTGATTCAAACGTCGCATTTTACATGCACATAATTCTCGCATTTGATTCGGCGCATGTAAAATGCGACGTTTGAACCGGGCCTTATTCACTTCAACTGACTGAACTATTATTAAAACATATCATTACAAAACACTTTTCAAACCTTCGCTAATTTCTTTTTGTCGTCGGACGGTTCATTCAAGTTCCTCGGCTTTAAATATGTTGTAAATGTGTTCAAAGACAGCTTCGCCCCTTTTTGTTATTGTTTTCCACACATCATTTTTGTTTAAAAGCTTTCACGTCGTTTTTAGAAATTATGGCGAACATCGCTGTCGTTTGATTTCCTTTTTTCAAAACCGGCACTTAAGCGGTTTCCACTATTAGTTTATCACGATAAAAGCGATAGCGATAACTTTAATTCTGTGATGTGGCGTCCATAATTGTAGGAACTATTATTTGTAGTCATGACGTCATATCTACAAATATGGAGAATTATTCGTAGGTAGTTGACCAATCAAAAGCGACATTGCTTACATTGTGGATAAAACAGTTTGAATTCAAATGTCCAATCTTCTTTTTTCCATACACTTTGTATAAACGCTATAGCATTATATTTTTTCTGGCAAAATAGGCAATTGTTGGAATTTCAATGCGTCGTATATACAAGAAGAGTGTATTATTGTACATATTTCCCAGTGAAGTTTAAATCCACAAAAGCGTTGTTAAAAGATATGTAATAATAGCATGCGAACCAGTGGTGGTGGAAGGGGGCCAGGGCCAGGGCCCCTAGCTGTTGATTTTGGGGGCGCTGAATTGAATACGAGTCATCAAGTTTTAAAATGGGCTATAAAATTAAAACGCATTTGAAACAGAACAGTTATTTTCGCAGTTATATATTCAGTGAATGAAGTTAACTTTAGGGAATTAGGTAAAAAGTAGACAGACCAAAATGAAACCTTGTAAGGGGGTCGAATAAAGAATAGGATATTGACGAGAATTCTATAATTAGATGTTTCGTTTGTGGCCACAACCTGCATAATTTGTCACGATGACTGTAGACAACATACATGCAGGGAAGAAACTAGAACTCTAATTGGGGGTGTGAATATTCATATATTCAGCTTTGCCCTGCTGATTTCTATTGAATTTAACATCGCCAACAAAAGAAATCAACAGCAAGGCAGAGCTGAATATATGAATATTTACACCACCCCCCAATTAGCATTCTAGTTTCGCCTATGCGTACACGGCCAAATTGTCCTCTTAAGGGACGCAACAAGGCCTAAAATGTGTAATTTTTTGCCTATCTTAATCAATGTTTTTTGCTTCCCTCACAGACTGTAATCGTTACTGGCATTGTATCTTATAAATCCGAGCGTAATAATATATTTTTCAAAAATGACAGTAGTGCAGTCATTGGTAAATTGCTATCATAATGCATAGTCTAAAATGAAGTAGCCCTTAATGATACCGCAGCATGTACTGCATTGTTTGTTTTGTGTTATTTACATTTTCATCGTTACGACGATTCATTTGTCATTTTTAGTAGTAAAGCAAGTTATTATACGGTAAAACTTTTTTAAATCACTTAAAGGTTCTTCGTAAATGTTCAAGATTCATTTATCAGCAGTTATCGAATGTGCATAACAGCATATATTTAATTGAAATTAAGATATTTCTTAAACAACAACAATTGAAGACCAATTACATTAATGTCTCAAAAAGCAAAACTCTCATTTTGAGCAGATGTAATACCGATGTAATTCACACAACAAACATTTCATTTGATAATTCCCTTTGTGTTGGGAAGTCTATTTTAATATTATTTAATGTACATCATGGATCATGGTGCAATGTTAAAGACTAACTGCAATGTCTAATTCTTTCAACACCACAAAGAGAAAAAAGTCGGGTGCTGAGTATCGAAGATTAAAGCTAGACAAGAAGAATTTTCAAAACTTGGGAAGTTTTGCTTGATTACTAAACCTATACAAAATGACCCACCATGCATTTTGTCACAAACAACAGAGAGTTAGAATTAAAACTCAGGGAAACGCCGAACATCAGCGAAGACCTTAAACAAGTGCATGCGCAAGAAAAATCTGAGTCGACAGATGTAAACGATCAAGATGAGCATATTTTCAAATCAATCAAAAGCATTGATTCTGTTTGTGAATGCCCTGATATTGACAGCTTTGTCAATTCAAATGAATGTAAGGAAGGCGAAGGCATCTCAGAATCTGCTGAAAATGAATTGAATCAAAATTTCTATTGATACGAAAGAAAACACGTTTGATCCTGGGACAGTTGTTGATCTTAATCTCAGCATTAGCGAAAAAGGCGTTTACTTAAAATGAATCCATGCCAACCATCCCAGTTTGTTTTGAAACAAAGGAGGATAGTACAAGGAGATCGCACTCGCTATTGCTCCAAGCAGGTTTTTCCACGATGATGGAACAAGACGAAAATGGATTTCCTATTCACTAAGTGAAGACAGCTTGTTTTGCATACCATGCAGTCTGTTTACAGATGTAAAGTCTAGGGGAGAAAATATTCGGTCAAATCAAGGAAAAGCTTATGCAAACATGGGTTTCTCCAAATGGAAAAAGCGGTATATTAGAATTCTGGAGCATGAACAATGCAATTCTCATCTAAACGCAAAAGTTGCAGAAGCTCTTTTCCTTCAAGAAAACTCAATATCGGATCAATTTCATCACCAGGGGAAAATCGAGTCTGAAAGACGTAAAAAGGAAGTTGTTTTAAACAAAACAGTTTTGAAACGTGTGATAGATGTTATTATGTTTCTTGGAAGACAAGGGCTTTCCTTTAGGGGTCACTGTTAATCACTGACAAATTTCTATGTTAATACAGGAAACTTTTTGGAAACGCTTAAATTATTGTCAGAGTACGATCAACCAATCAATGAGCATCTTGAGAAAGTTCGTGATCGCCAAGTGAAACAATCGACAAAGGATGGTGGTAAAACTGATGAAAAAGGAATCAAAGGACGTGGCTCATGGCTAACGTTTTTGAGCAATGATATTCAAAATAAGTTAATCAATATCATTGGTAAAGAAATATATTCTGTAATTGTACAAAAAAATACGCAACTGCAAAGCATGGGCATTGATTGCTGATACAACACCCGATATAACTCATACAGAGCAATTGAGTATATGCGTAAGGCTTGTTAATGAAACTGGCGAGTGTTCTGAACACGTTTTGTCATGCCAAAAAGCAATTGGAACAACTGCACATGACCTATACACTGCTATTACAACAATATTACAATTGCATGGAGTTTCATTTGAAAAACTTGTTGCCCAAACGTATGACGGAGCATCCACTATGAGCGGATGTTATAATGGTTTGCACAATTGTAAGAGAAAATCGGAAACCACATCATATTTGTTCACTGCTATGCGCATACACTAAATCACGTCTTGTCCGATTCAGCTTGTGTTGCTATTGATGTCATTACTCTTTTTGACTCTCTCGAAAAACTGCACGTTCTCTTTAATAATTCTCATAAAGTACACGAATTGTTTCAATTGGTTCAAAAGAATGAAAACCTCAAAATTTTTTCGATTAAACGTCTTAATACAGTTCGATGGAATGCAAGAGAATTTTGTCTAAACGTATTTCTTTTGAGATTCGAGTGCATCATGCGAGTGCTCCAAAAAGTAGCTGAGGAAAGATCGTTCACTGAAAGTCAGCGAGCAACAGCAAATGGATTGCAAGCAGCTTTTCAGACAAAGCAATTTGTTGCGACTGCCTGTCTTTTCCAAGAAATTTTTGGAATTACTGGACCTTTAAGTCGATATCTACAGAGCGTAAATGCTGACTTTGGAAAAGCAATGGATATGGTTGATAGCTCAATTTCTAGAATTCAAATCATACGTGACAAACCAGAAAAAATCATTGAAATGTCCGATTCTTTTGCATTAGATGTCGAATAGAGGTCTACACGACCTCGTCATCGACGACCAATGGACGGAGAACAAGCCAGAGATGATTTGGCAGATTCACCAAAAGCACAATGGAGGCGAGACACATTTTATAAAGTGCTAGATTCCATTCAATTTTCAATGAAGAATCGTTTTGAAAAGAATCGACCACTAATGAAATCATTTGCTTTATTCGCACCCAATCAATTTGACGAGTCTCGAGCAAGTACAAGACATCTTCAAAAGATCTTCAATCTGCAGTGAAAGCCTTTTGTGATGTGTATAAGATAGACCCAAAGATGCGCTACTGAACTGTTAAGCTTTGCAGAAACATTTAAAAATTTCACTGTACTCAGTTTACAACTCAAAGTGACCATGATCATAATGAGCAGAACTTTGAAACTATTGATGATGGTGATGGTGATGATGATGATGAAAATCATTCTGATACTGACATAAGTAAGCATTCGAATAATGCGTCAATTACCGAGAAGGCTAAAACTCCGTCATTCTTAGATGCCTTGAAGCTGCTTTGTTTTCCAAAGTACCATTTAGTTGACGCATACCCAACATTATGCAAAGTTTATTAAATTGCAGTGGCCATACCCATTAGCTCAGCAACTGCTGAACGTTCTTTTTCTTCGCTGAAGAGAGTAAAAACGAGGATTCGATCTACGATGGTACAGGAACACCTGGAATCATTGCTTTTAATGAACGTTGGAAGGGAAACTCTCATTTGTATCGACAAAGATAGAATCATAACTTTACTTGGGAAAACCTCCCCAACGCTTGCAAAGGCATTAATATAAATATATTTTTCTATGAAAAACAAAAAACGTAACAGACATATAATTGCTTGATGAAACTTTGTTTTTAAGTTACTTTCTTTTTATGAAGATTCATGTTTGTGTTTTATAAAATGAAAATAACTAAAATACTTGAAAATAGCAATAACAAAAGGTGAAAGGGGCGCAAAATTTGTGTTGGCCACCGCAGTAAAAACTATGCCACCACGCCACTGATGCAGACGAAAGGATTTTTACGTATCCAGCCATAGTGATAAGCTACGACTTTGACTCAGAAGATGACTACCGCTTAGGTTGTCGAAACGTCAGTCAACAACAACAAAGAGTCCTCCTCAGGACAATACCAACCTAGACGATCTACATTTACAAACACAAAGTGATAAGCATTGAAATTATAACAATATTTTTTTGATACTCCCCCTGTACGCAAAATAGATGCTTACACGGTTATCAATCACTAACCTTTCAAATATTCTCCGTTCTAATTACTTCAAACTTCACATTGTAGATAAAACGTCAAATTTGTAGCAATGTCGCCTCGGTTCATAAAGGAGGGACTCACATACAAAACGTCAGTATTTAGTAACTGCTTTGAAGAATAATTGTATGTCAAAACAATTTATATTACTCTGTTTAAAATATGAAAACATAACACTAAGGTCATAAAATGAATATGTGGTAGAAATACTACCGTTAAAGACAAACATAGGGTAAACAGATGGATAGATGCAAAAAAAGATGAAAAACCTAGAAGCAATCCTGAGAAGGACTGATTTTGCTGTTGTTGACTGACGTTTCGACAACAGAGTCATTTGTCTCTGAAGATGACTACCGCTAAGGTTGTCAAAACGTCAGTCAACAACAGCAAAAACAGTCCTTCTCAGGACTATACCACCTGGACGATCTACATCTACAAAAACGTAACGATACTCCCGGGTTCAAACCATTTACTTTACTAGAAGCAATCATCAATTATTTACCTTTAGTTAAGAATTATTCCATTCATGTTTTATGACAGAACTTCGTGTAAGATTGCTTCCCCCGCAAACACCGTTTTCAATAACCAACAATTCAAAATGAACAAGTTACAAAATGTGTACAATTAATAAATTTATTCTTACATAAAGTAATACACTTGCACCTCTCGGCGAGCTTTATAACTCTGAAGGGACATGCGTAGATTTATTACCAATAAGGAACAGAGTTGCATATTCAATAACTAAATCATGTATAATAATATTTTACACTGTCAATCCACAATATTTTCACTTTGGTTTCAAAAGAATATAATAATAGCACAATGGTAGAAGCATAAAGATTTAAATAACTTCTACTAGAAGCAAGATTATTTAAAGAAAACATTTCTAACTATATAATAACATTACATTACTAAAACTATTAGTATTTGCCCATATTATTGCCTAGGTTAGTGAAAACAACCACAAGAAACTTATGTTAAATTAACACATTTACTTCATCATTGCGAGCACAACAAACTTATGTTAAATTAACACACTTGCTTCATCATTGCAAGCACAAGAATGCGAATGTTAAATTAACACATTTACTTCATCATTGCAGGCACAACAAACTTATGTTAAATTAACACATTTACTTCATCATTGCTAGCACAAGAAAGCTTATGTTAAATTAACACATTTACTTCATCATTGCTAGCACAACAAACTTATGTTAAATTAACACATTTACTTCATCATTGCTAGCACAACAAACTTATGTTAAATTAACACATTTACTTCATCATTGCTAGCACAACAAACTTATGTTAAATTAACACATTTACTTCATCATTGCTAGCAGAACAAACTTATGTTAAATTAACACATTTGCTTCATCATTGCAAGCACAAGAAAGCGAATGTTAAATTAACACATTTACTTCATCATTGCAGGCACAACAAACTTATGTTAAATTAGTACTTTAACCTCAGTACGGGAACCTCGAGCCTATTTCATTGAAACATTCAGGTCGTCTCTAAATTATGTTCATAACTTTCCTAGATTTAATAACGTGGATTTATCTCAAGATCATTAACGCCTCGTTGATCCTCCTTCTTGTGTGATATCCCAGGTGCTTTAAATGTAGTCCCATCGCCATCACTTGATGATGGTGAAATCGACCTCACCCCCCTGTGGTTTTCCTAAAATAAGAGGAGATTAGTAACTCGACCTCACCCCCCGGTGGTTTTCCTAAAACAAGAGGATATTAGTAACTCGACCTCACCCCCCAGTGGTTTTCCTAAAACAAGAAGAGATTAATAACTCGACCTCACCCCCCGGTGGTTTTCCTAAAATAAGAGGAGATTAGTAACTCGACCTCACCCCCCGGTGGTTTTCCTAAAACATGAGGATATTAGTAACTCGACCTCACCCCCCGGTGGTTTTCCTAAAACAAGAAGAGATTAATAACTCGACCTCACCCCCCGGTGGTTTTCCTAAAACAAGAAGAGATTAATAACTCGACCTCACCCCCCGGTGGTTTTCCTAAAACAAGAGGATATTAGTCCCTTGATGAAGGTGTCTTTTCAAAATTTAAATCATCAGTAATCTTTCTAAAATAAATGAAATTCATAACTTGAGCCCACGTTCCTTACCTCCGAATGGTCACCATTATTTAATAATTCCTTATTTTGCGTAGTATTCGCCACATCGACTGTTGTGGTCTTTTTTGATTTGGACGAATGTCTCGCACTTCTTACCACAACTGTGTTCTCCTCGTGGCTCTCCACGATATTGGTGGTCTGGTGACGAGTCACGTGTTCATCGGATTTCGTGTCTCTGACGGAATTAAAATGTTTTCATTAAGTCAAATAACCGAGGTGGAGAAGAGCATTTGCTGGGGGGGGTTTGGGGAGAGAGAACAGCAGTTCCTAACGTAAAGTAGAGGTGAGATACAGCACTTGCACAACAAGAGGTGATGTGGTGGGGGAGGAGGGAGGAAAAGAAGAAACTAGAACTTGGTGTTGGGGCAATGGTACGATACTGGTAATACTGTCAATAGTGAGGGAACGCAGTTGATATAGCAGAATGATGTAGAGCTTTTACTTACCCTATATTTGAATCATCCTCTGCTTCATTTGCAGCACCTTCCTTCTCCTCTTCATCCGGTAAATTCAATACACAATCAGGGCGGACACTAAAATCAAATTCAACCGATTTGAAATCATCGAATGACAGTTGTAGCAGACGATAATATTTTAATGCTTTCAAATCAAAAATACAAATACAACAAGCTCCCGAATTGAAACTCAACATGGTGTTAAAAACGACGAATTTTATGAGTTTTTTTAAAAAATACAGAAAAGAAAAGGATGTAGCATTAGTTTGGTTAATGAAACGTCACGACGAAGGACATTACAACCGTAGATACTGCTGCATGTTTATATAGCATGACATAAACGGGAAAAAATTTGCAAACAAAAATAACTTCCCCTGCCTGTCATGCTGTTGATACTTTTAAGAATAACCAACGAGAAAAGCATTAAAGTATTTTGAGGCATTTTTGAGGCAAACTTATGCTTAAATAACGATGTTTATGATTGTAAGAACATTTTAACATCATTATGCAAAACCTAACTTTTGAGGCAAACTTATGCTTAAATAACGATGTTTATGAATGTAAGAACATTTTAACATCATTATGCAAAACCTAACTTTGGATATAATGTAAATTTAAACCGTCTTAATTCGTTTCTTCGTCATTTTCTAAAATCTTTTTCGCAAATATTTAATTCATGTAGTTTGAGTTGATTATCAATGTAAATAGTAAAGTAAATGGTTTGAACCCGGGAGTATCGTTACATGTTTGTAAATGTAGATCGTCAAGGTTGGTATAGTCCTGAGAAGGACTGTTTTTGTTGTTGTTGACTGACGCTTCGACAACCTTAGCGGTAGTCATCTTCAGAGTCAAATGAATCAAAGAGAAGATGACTACCGCTAAGGCTGTCGAAACGTCAGTCAACAACAACAAAAACAGTCCTTCTTAGGACTATACCAACATGGACGATCGACATTTACAAACATGTAATGTAAACAATCAAAAAACTCTGCTTGTCAATTTCAACTAATCTATTCTCTCTCACCTTTCCAAATGAAAATAAAACTTTTGTTAAGTTATGTATTGAACATATATATGGGAAAAAATGTGTACCCCCCCTGACACAACAACAAAAAATCGAAATCACCCCCCCCCCGCCTCAAACACGACATGATCATCTTACTTGTGAGATACAGCAAGAGAAAATCGTTCTAGCTGAGAAGGCGAACGTAAGTAAAATCCTTCACCCAGTCTTGTGAAGAGCAAGGATTGTATAGCCAACATATCTTCACGTTTTAAACAATTCACTTTAAGGAGTTGCCTAAGACTGGGCAAACCAAAGACGTTCAGATCTCCTTGATTGTTAAGACAGCCAAGACAAGCGTATGTTTCATCTGAGACATCTAAAATGAAGTACTACTTAAAACAGTTCTTCGGCAGCAAACTGTACAAAATGCTCGAGGGCGCATACCTTCACTTCTAAGCGATATTACACCAAGTTTACGAACTTTGGATCCGTCAATGGCGGTTAACTTTTCTTTGTGTTTAATTCTCAGCTGTGGTAGTGAGAGAACTTTGAATTGCTCCTCTGAGCATATGATTATAGAGTGATTACCGCTCATGTCCGCAGCTGAAAGAAAATTCATTTATATTTATAAAAGACTTCGACTCACAGTTATTACGGGAGATTATAAAGGTCTATAGCTGTGTTTGCATGCGCTGATTGGTCTAGAGTTGTGTTTGTATGCGCTCATTGGTCTATAGCTGCGTTTGCATGCGCTGATTGGTCTATAGCTGTGTTTGCATGCGCTGATTGGTCTTTAACTGTGTTTGCATGCGCTGATTGGTCTATAGCTGTGTTTGCATGCGCTGATTGGTCTTTAGCTGTGTTTGCATGCGCTGATTGGTCTAGAGCTGTGTTTGCATGCACGTATTGGTCTTTAGCTGTGTTTGCATGCGCTGATTGGTCTAGAGCTGTGTTTGCATGCGCTGATTGGTCTATAGCTGTGTTTGCATGCGCTGATTGGTCTAGAGCTGTGTTTGCATGCGCTGATTGGTCTAGAGCTGTGTTTGCATTAACCTGTTCAAAACACATCTGAGCTCAACAAATCAATCAATCAAAGAAAATTTGCAAATCAATCATGAATACACGCTAGAAGAATATTAAAAGGTATTGTTTGTTTCGCATTATTGTTATTTTACAAAAGAAATAAAACATGTTTGCCGTGTTTACATTGGCTTATGCAAGCCTCGAAGACGTTTGTGAGAACTCTCGACCTTTGGTCTCGGGCTTGCATTGATCTGCTCTCGAGTTCTCCCAAAGGTGTCCTCCGTTTGCATAAGCCTGTGCAAACATAGTAAACATCTTTTATTTCAACATTTCTTGAGGTCCTCTTCAGAAGCCATAAGTGATAGTACGTATGATAACAGTTGAGCTTTGCAGTGGTAATTATCATATATCGAGCATCGCGAAATATTGAAACATGTCTATTTCTGAGAAATATGTCGTTTTACTTTACAATAGTGTGTCTAATATCGTTATATTTATAGTTGTAGAAAAGTTTGAATTGCAGATGTAACAGAGAATTGTAAGAATGGAAACACATCTTGACACATGCTTTAAGGAGAAAGGACAGAATATTATTCCTTCTCTTGTCTTAGATGAGAAAATGTCAAGAAGATTTTGTCAACACTGCATCGAGATATAAACGCCTTAATGCAAAGTAAAGCAGAATAATTTTCAATTAACCTTTTTCTTCTCCATTCTTCACTAAATAATCTTCATGCATTGGTTGGCCATCTTTATCGACAACCAACATCGATATCACAGCTGCGTTGTGTTTTAGACGAATTTCGGGTTTCTTTGCAAAAGCCTGGACGCTAGAACTTTTTCTTTCATCATCGGGAGGGAGTTCTATCGTATAGGGGTAAATATAACCGGAGTTTGTACCCACCCATAGCGAGGGACCATGGTGAACACCTACAAACAAAATACAAAACAGAAACGTCACATGACATATATTATAACTATTAAAACTTTCCTCACCCACCATTACGTCATATGACATATATTATAATAATTAAAATTTTCTCAACCATCATTACGTCATATAACAAAGATTATAATAATTAAAACTTTCTCAACCATCATTACGTCATGACATATATTATAATAATTAAAACTTTTCTCACTCACCATTACGTCATATGACATATATTATAATAATTACAAGATATCACATTATAACTTGAACTTTCTTACCATCTTTCACAAACGTATCCACCATATATAAACATCTTACAAGGCCTTGATAACCTTCACCAATCTTGCTATTTTCGTCAATTAATCTTTGTACAGGAGCTTCTTCGCCACTGCTGGGAGACTGGTGCCTCGAATCTTTTCCAGTTCGGGTATTTTGTCGTCTTCGACCGCTACGTCTTCCACTGCGCAACCGTCTGAATGATCTTCGTAAAGATTCTTTCAGAGTTCGTCGTCGAACCAAAGTTCCTCCTTCACTGTCCATGTCTGCAAGAGATTATATTATAACATTAAGTAATCAAGCAATTTGATTGGTCCAGGGCAATGTTCTCCGGATGACGTCACATGAGTTGATTGTAGTTTTAATACGTAAACAAAATGGAAAATTTTTTAATGTTAGACTGAGATAAGCTGATTACGTACACACGCTGACCACGTGAAAGTTCGCTCATTTTCACGTGGAGCGTGGGATAAACGGAAATAAACGATATTATCACAAAAAAACTTTGAACTTAAAGAATTTATCCTTGCGTCGGATTGACGAAAATCTCAAAGAAGATTTGGCTGAAAGAGTAAAAAAATTAAAAGCATCAAAATACGTTTGGCTAATGTTACAATCAAAGATGTTTAACGTTTCCTTTTTCCGCTTCGTATTTTGTTCATAAAAATAAACTAAGAATCCAAAAATGATCCAAAAAACACACATGATTTAATAATACCAGAGGTCGGAGTTGTTTAATAAATTCCAGCATTCTAGCGATTCTTGGGGTGAAGAGCGTTTAATAGATACACGGCGTTTAATAGATACACGGCGTTTAATAGATACACGGCGTTTAATAGATACGCGGCGTTTATTGAGGCGTTCATATCTGTTCGTTCTATCGTCGTTGTGTAAACACAAATGAAAGCCAACCTACAACTTAATACACGATTTCTTACCAAGATCGATAACCCACTATTATAAAATTATCATGCTAATATATGGAGGCGTCTATTGGAGAGTGCGGCGTTGATTAGAAACAAAGCGATATTTGACAGGGGGCGTTTATTGGATGATTTAAGGTAATGAAAATTGAAAAGTGATCTAGAAATGGAAGTTTTGAAAATACGCACACACATACGACAATTGCTAGGCAAAACACAGATAGAGCACACATTAAGTAGCCATATTAATTATGCATGTAGCTACCAATAAATTAACATCATTTCTAATCGTCCGCATTATTGAAATAGACATTTTCAAAATGGTTTATACCAAATGTAGTAAATACGTACCATCAAGACTGACTGTACAACGTTGTAATGTTGCAACTTTCTGAATAAAATCTAAGATGAAGAACCCGTGGGTGCTTCCAACAGAGAGTCTACAATAAAATAAACAGACTTCGAACAAATAGAACAATGTATAAAAGACGTACAACATGAAGTACTCACAATCCCCATTTGGCCTTTAGCGCAAGCGCAGTGACACTAGACGCAGGTGTTAGTTGGGCAATCACGATCGGTTTGAATCCCATAGGGACCTTAATGGATCCTGAGTGTGGTGTAAGAGGTCCGTGACCTTTCCAGTTAAAATTCTCAAATTCTTTCACTAAGTTGACATCGATTACCTTGATAAAACAACAATTTATAGCTATAAAATAAATGGTTTGAACCCGGGAGTATCGTTACATGTTTGTAAATGTAGATCGTCCAGGTTGGTATAGTCCTGAGAAGGACTGTTTTTGTTGTTGTTGACTGACGTTTCGACAACCTTAGCGGTAGTCATCTTCAGACTCAAATGAGGAGTAAACGTCAGGTTAGCCGTATTTGTTATCTGGTTCTTACGTCATTGTATTGTGTGTACAGGAAATGTGTATTGTCATTGTGAATTAGTGTGAAGTGAAATATTTTATTTTTAGTTGTGCTGTGTGATTTAGGTGTGACGTTTTTAGTTGTAATGTGTGGGTGTCAATTGTCATTGTGAATTTATAGCTAAGTAAAGAATCATATGTTAAAGTTTACTATCAAATATATTCGTAAAAAGAAGTGACGCAGATCAGTGAACTGTTATATAAACAAATGAGAAAATTAGCATTTTCACACACAAGTCTCGGAACATTTGGTAGTCTCGCCTTTGACGGGAGGAAAATACAAAACAGCTCCGTTCTGCAGTATCTTTAAACATTGTCACGAAACAGGACGCATCCTCCCTCCAGACAATTTTCCATACTATCTTCCACTCATTCTATCTTCCAATCTCCAACTATTAGTTCGTGAAAGCTTACTTATCTCGAATCTTAAACCTGATCTCAACGAAAAGCATTCTTCCATTCTTTTGTCAATCTTCTAGCTGCCCTATGATTGGTTAATCTCTTCTTTACAACTTAATTTATTCGTAAATTGTAAATACTGTCATTTATATTCTTATTTTTTAACCTTATATCATCATTCTGAATTTCTGAAGATGTCATGCGCTGCGACGAAACGTCAATAAAATTCTCTTTTTTATATTTCTAATTAAAATGGCATTTCATATTATGGTAACAACCTAGGAATTAATGTTCATTATACGATTACATCGTAAACTGCAGAACTACATCACTACAAACCATCATTATACAGAGATGTACCTAACTATCCACATGCTGAGACAATGAGCTACGTTACAAACCATAGTTATACCAAAATGTACCTAACTATCAACATGCTGAGACTTTAAGTTACGTCACAAATCATAGTTATACCAAGATGTACCAACTACCCACATGCTGAGACAATGGGCTACCTCACTACAAACTCTCGTTATACCAAAATGAACCTATATACCTTTATTTCAACATCCTTTTCTTCATTCTGTATATCCATAACAACCACCTGACCTCCATGGCCTCCAACAACGAGGACTTTCCAAAAAGGGTCAAAATAAATTTTCTGGACGCCCAATCTTTGATCATCACAGAACGGATCATAAACGCCAACTTTACGAAGATGGGGCCAGCCTTCATCATCGCCGTCTAGTTGATCTGCGGGCTCATGATCTCCGGAAAAGAATCGGGAGGTCTGGATCGAGTGAAGCGGGCTCATATTAAGAGAAGAAACGTCCCAGAATTTGACGGAGCCATCTTCGTGTCTGAGGGAAAAGATAAAAATCGTTGTAATAAAGACGGACTTTTACAGCAGCAATACAAATTTTTTAATTCAAATTTCAGTTTTAAACTCTTTAAAGATAAGTCACAAGTTGTACGTCTTCGTTTTTATTTAACTTTGATGGAAAGAAACTAATTATTTTCGTGAGCTTGTCTCATATCATGAGACTTGTTTGTGTTTTTTTCTAAAGAAAACTGAATCGTTTGGTGAAGATAGAGACATTAATGTCTAGCAGGCTAAACAAAATCATTAAAGAATCGTTCTCAAGCACAATGCAACGCGCGCCAAAAATGATCTTTGCAGCAATTTTCCTGGTTGAATAAACAGACAAAAGTTGTATCAGTCGGTAATCCGTGGATATTTTATGCATCTTTTGTGGATGTATAAAAATTTATGTTGGATAAAAAAAAGTATTTTCAGAGGCATGCTAGTGATTACTTTTCATAAACGGATCTGTTTGTGTGGACAAATAATTATTCAAAACTATGGCAAGCTTAACGGTTGAAAACATTCCTGAACCAGGAAGACCAAAACGTGGTATGTAGGTAAACTTCGCACAACTTGTCGAAATTGTACGAAGAGTCTAAGAGAAAGATCGACGTGTTTTGGAAGGAATTGTCATATTTAGCACGAATATGAACAAACAATAGACGCGCGTTGCATTGTGGTTGACAATGATTCTTTAAATAAACAGACAGTGAAACGAACCACCTCAATCTTAAAAATTTCAAATGTAGCACTGTGTTAGGTTAGATAACAACTTATGTAAACTATAGCTTAAAATGTGAGTTATGTTTCCAGAGATATGTGAACTAACCCTGTGATTAAAATATCATGTTTGTTATTCTTCGAAAGTAACGAACGACCTCCTGTGATTGGCCAATCCTGAAATATAATCTTGCAAATTAATTCTCGGACAACGATAAGTGGAATACAAGCCCACAGCGTCAGTGAAAACACGACAACCAAACGAAAATTATGTTTCAAAACAACAAGAAAACTAGAAATAAAAATATTGCTCTGCACAATATTATTAGTCAGCAAACGTAGAAGGTAGCAATTTCTATAATCAACAGACTTGTTGTAAAGGCTCCGTAAAGCGAAGGCAACCAGAACACAGGCCTGTCTCTTAAGGGTCATGCATATTTACTGCAACATGAAGTAGCATGTTTATAACAACATGAAGTAGCATGTTTATTACAACATGAAGTAGCATGTTTATTACAACATGAAGTAGCATGCTTATTACAACATGAAGTAGCATGCTTATTACAACACGAAGTAGCATGTTTATTACAACATGAAGTAGCATGTTTATAACAACATGAAGTAGCATGTTTATTACAACATGAAGTAGCATGCTTATTACAACATGAAGTAGCATGTTTATCACAACACGAAGTAGCATGTTTATTAAAACACGAAGAACATGCAAAAAGGACAGTAAACAAACCTCAGGTGGATAATTGTTGCCAAGATGCTTTAAACCAGCTTCTTTTAAAAACTTCCACATATCTTCAGGACAATTTTGAATATGTTGAGAGCACGTGATTGACGACGAATGAATGCAGGATAAATATGGCGATGCGTACGTCCGGTAGCTACAAGTAAAGATAAACGATTTACTTTTATAAAATAAATACCACGCATGCGCTGATTGGTCTGTAGTCGAGTTTGCACGAGCCTGCGCGAACAGATTGGAGCTCAATCAATTTAATTAATCAGAGAGAATTTGCAAATCAATCATGAATACATTTAGGTGCAACTCTCGACCTTTGGTCTCGGGTTTGCACTGATCTGCTCTCGAGTTCTCCCAAAGGTCTCCTCGGTTTGCATAAGTCTGTGCAAACCATTGAACTAAAATACATGTAATAGAAAAACGCAACCTGTAATAGAGAAGCCTAATAACTTCTTGAAGCCAAATTTTACCCCAGACACGCGTGTAGTTCAATCAATTTTCACTCCGCGAGAGAATCTGGGTGCAATCTCGCGCGTCTGGGTGTAAGATTTGGCTTCAATTATTTGCTGCAGGTAGCGTTCCAGATGTATTTAAGTTCAATGGTGCAAACATAGTAAACATCTTTTATTTCTTAAATGAAGTACTTCGAGTGCCAGTAAAATTATGCCTTAAATAAGAGAAGTTATCATAAATGATATTTATAGATTTGCTTACCCATTTTCTTTGAGCAAATCAATGATAACAAACTCATGTTCACAAAGGACTGCTAAAGATCTTGGATTAGCTGCAAATTTGATACACAATCCTTGTATTAAATAAATATTTTGACAAAAAATACGTAAACAGCTCGATGTAAATATCACTTACATTTCTCAAGTTTATCAAATATAACAAAGAAATCAACGACTCTCGATGTAAAATCAAACGTCGCTTGCGTTGAATCACCACAAATAACGGAGATACAATGTCGATCTCCGTAGCTTGCTCGAGGCATTCCACCACTGAAGATAGTGTATGGCTCATTCCAACAAACCTGATCCATGGAAATATATCTGTTAGCCTTGAGAATTCTTAAATCGCAGAGCAAACTGCCTGCGTTAATTCTTATTTTATTATATCAAACCAACTATGATCCCTGATTAACTATGTATGTATGTTCCCCAGGTACTAAACCATTTATGATCCTTGGTAAACCATGTATGTTCCCCAGGTAATAAACTTTTTATGATCTCTGGTAAACCATGCGTGTTCCCCATGTAATAAACCATTTATGATCCCAGGTAAACCATGTATGTTCCCCAGGTAATAAACCATTTATGATCCCTGGTAAACCATGCAAGTTCCCCACGTAATAAAACATTAATGATCCATATAAACCATATATGTTCCCCATGTAATAAACCATTCATTATCCACAATAAACCGTTTATGTATGTTCCCCATGTAATAAAACATCAATGATCCACAATAAACCATATATGTTCCCTATGTCATGAACAAGAATAGAAATAAGGTTTACAAATAATGTAATCGTACCTTTGTGATAGCCTTGCATGGAAAAGGTCCAAATGGACATGGTGATTCACAAGGAGATTCACATTTTGCTTCTGCATCTTCTCTAAGATTCCACACGGTCAAGCTACCATCGGCATGAGAGCTGACAAATTTCTCGCCCGAATGATGAAAGTACAAACTCTCCAAACCTTGCATTGAGCAAAAGGACTCCTTTAGATCGCCAGATTGATGATTCCACAAAACCATTAGACCTTTTTTGTAGCCTATCAAAACCTGAGAAAGTAATGCAGAAATCATTAGACATAAGAAATAAAACAAGAGATATCACATAACACTCTCCCCCAGTCCCTCTCTATGAAATAAAGGTTAACGCAACCTGTTCCTTGTTCATGGGATTTTCTTGGATGGCCTCAACTGAACCTGGATTGACTGTCTTATACTCTTCAGGAACACTGGTATGAAAAAATATGAAGAAGAAGAAATAGGTTAAAGACAATGACGAATGAATCAACATACGCCAGAGTACTTAAACTAACAAACTCTAATATTAGCCCCACTACTAAGTCTTATAATTTTGATTAGCAGATAAAATGATAAAAATATTCTTTCTTAATTGACACACACACCCAGTATGTATCATTGTTGGTACCATCATACAACTGACTTTTTACTTGAAGTTTTATATTTTCAAATTATCAATACCTAATTTATCTTTAAGCTTGATAATCAACCTGCTGAATTTTGAACACTTGGATATTATAATAGGTTACAAATAAAATAAGAAAATCATAAAGCTTACAGTAAAAAATCAAATTTGAAAGGTAAACTGAATAATGCATTGATTGAGGTGATTGCTCACGATGACTGGTATGTGTATTAAATGATAAATTTATTTAATCCAAACCATACACATTCTAAATGAACGACAATTTTTTTACAGAAGCAAACACAACTGTCATTAAGAAGTCTATGACTTTTGTGTTACAACCTTATAACTATGAAATCCTAACTCAACCTCTAGCTGCAAATGAATCCTAATCCTATTGTAAGCTAATCCAATTTCATTTAAGAAATCTTACCCTTGAATAACAACATCTTGATAAATGATGTGATCCAAAAGATCAAATGTTATTATATCAAGAAGGTAAATATTTCCACCCTCCGTTCCAAGATAAAGTCTATTCGTCTTCATTGAGAGCGAGCAAACAGCTATCTTCTTCAATCTAAAAAATCAAAATCGATAGAGCTGCATTGGCTGTAGACGGTTGTATTACCTTATTAAATAGTTATTGTAGTATTTAAGCATATAGTTATTGTAGTATTTAAACATATAGTCATTGTAGTATTTAAACATATAGTCATTGTAATATTTAAACATATAGTCATTGTAGTATTTAAACATATAGTTATTGTAGTATTTAAACATATAGTTATTGTAGTATTTAAACATATAGTCATTGTAGTATTTAAACATATAGTTATTGTAGTATTTAAACATATAGTCATTGTAGTATTTAAACATATAGTCATTGTAGTATTTAAACATATAGTCATTGTAGTATTTAAACATATAGTTATTGTAGTATTTAAACATATAGTTATTGTAGTATTTAAACATATAGTTATTGTAGTATTTAAACATATAGTCATTGTAGTATTTAAACATATAGTTATTGTAGTATTTAAACATATAGTTATTGTAGTATTTAAACATATAGTTATTGTAGTATTTAAACATATAGTCATTGTAGTATTTAAACATATAGTCATTGTAGTATTTAAACATATAGTTATTGTAGTATTTAAACATATAGTCATTGTAGTATTTAAACATATAGTTATTGTAGTATTTAAACATATAGTCATTGTAGTATTTAAACATATAGTTATTGTAGTATTTAAACATATAGTTATTGTAGTATTTAAACATATAGTCATTGTAGTATTTAAACATATAGTTATTGTAGTATTTAAACATATAGTTATTGTAGTATTTAAACATATAGTTATTGTAGTATTTAAACATATAGTTATTGTAGTATTTAAACATATAGTCATTGTAGTATTTAAACATATAGTTATTGTAGTATTTAAACATATAGTCATTGTAGTATTTAAACATATAGTTATTGTAGTATTTAAACATATAGTCATTGTAGTATTTAAACATATAGTCATTGTAGTATTTAAACATATAGTTATTGTAGTATTTAAACATATAGTTATTGTAGTATTTAAACATATAGTCATTGTAGTATTTAAACATATAGTCATTGTAGTATTTAAACATATAGTTATTGTAGTATTTAAACATATAGTCATTGTAGTATTTAAACATATAGTCATTGTAGTATTTAAACATATAGTTATTGTAGTATTTAAACATATAGTTATTGTAGTATTTAAACATATAGTCATTGTAGTATTTAAACATATAGTCATTGTAGTATTTAAACATATAGTCATTGTAGTATTTAAACATATAGTCATTGTAGTATTTAAACATATAGTTATTGTAGTATTTAAACATATAGTTATTGTAGTATTTAAACATATAGTCATTGTAGTATTTAAACATATAGTTATTGTAGTATTTAAACATATAGTTATTGTAGTATTTAAACATATAGTCATTGTAGTATTTAAACATATAGTTATTGTAGTATTTAAACATATAGTTTTTGTAGTATTTAAACATACCTTCCTTGCAACATGCATGTTTTCACCTCTTCCAAAACAGCTTTTCCATCTCGCTCGTTGATTTCCAAAAGGTGAACACTGTCATGTGTAACATCATCGCAGACACTGATAATTCTTCCCTATAAATAAATAAAGATAAAGTATTGCTAGGAATTCATAGCTAGGAATATAGATAATAGAGATTATCGATGACTACCTGTTTAGGTAAGAAATGTAATTCCTGTATTCTGGTCTTGGTCGCAGGATAGGCAGTAAGTTCTACACAAGGTTTGCCAAAACTGAATATTTTGTTAAGGAAAAACAGAAAGAAATATCACAAAATAGCATGAAGCCAACCCCAAGGCCTCGAGAAAAAATCATCAAGTTTAACTACACCACTGAAAAATATCCTTAGGTTTGTTTATATTTTTTCAGCTGATGCAAATATTTTGTGTATTCAAGTGAGTAATTAATTATTAATTTGCATTAAAGTTTAACAGTGTCCTTTCCACAACTGTGACAGAAACTCTTCTACCATAAAATGATTTGGTAAATGAAATCATTCTTGTCATATCTTAACACACACGTGATTAAGATAACATGAAGCACAATTTCTTTGGCTAAAATCATTTTCATTATCGGCAAAAGCTGTTTGTGTTTTAGATGAAATATTCAACACTCATGACAGCTAAAACTGATATCAAATTATTGAAATTTCAACGAGTTTTATGAAAATTAAAAGTAATGCAATGTGTAATTCTAAAATTACATTTATATTAAAAATTATATAGAAAAATTTTGACCAAAGCCATAAAACTGTGAATAAAACACGAAAATACTTTAAATCATAAATTAGACCACATAAATAATTAATTATCTGAAGGAGCCTTAAAAATCACTCACTACTACAGTTTAAATACACCTGCCAAGTTGCTACAAACCCCCTTTAAACACTAACCACATTGATTAAACTTTTCAGAATTATTCATTTCAGTTTTGATCATTCAAAAATACAAGCCTAATTGCACGCCCAAAAACCACAGATAGCTATAGTATCACTGGTTCCATCATGATTCCTACGAATATAAATACGAGGTCACCAAGAATTCACGTGTAACTAGTAAATTTTTCCGGCAATTTGTTTCTCGAACCAAAAATTCTCGACTGCAATCATAATATTTCCCAGAAATTCCATTAATAAATACATCAATGACTAGAAAGTCAATAATAGAATCGACGACACTTTAAAAATATCCGAAAAGTGTTTCTACACAGAGTTTAAGCATACATATCGAGCTTCACCAATCCGCTTAGTAATATTTATTCTAAATGCTATTTTCAGATTGATGGTTTAATTTAACCTTGTGTCATCAAGCGAAACATTCATTTCAAGGACTTTTTCTAAGATAACGGAGACGGTCAAAGACATTTATCCCAAAGATGCATTTTACTTTGTAACGGAAAAATAAGCAAGCAACGACCCGTGGTCCTCTTTAAACTCTTTTAATAGCCCCGAATTACACCAAACATAAACACTACGACTTATAAAGAGGGATTTAAGTTTAAATAAACTTCACCGAAGAGCCGGAACATTAACGCATCATTTTAGACACGTATCAAACAAGAATCTTCGCGGGTATTTCAACAATATTGTCATTGCCGTGTGCTTGGATAACGATTCATGAGTATTACAGAATAGCAGTTACACCTGTTGTGAAGCTCCTAACATCTTAGCGAAGAAATGATAATCAATATCAACCGTATTTCACACCGAAATAAACGTGTGTCCTCAAGTTTACTGCTTAAGCGTTTTGAACGAATTGTAAACAATAAAAAGTAATAGACGAAATCTGTTAGCATTTATGAAATCCTCTATCTACTCAAGGATACATTTTGAGAAAGCCAGTCGATGTACCAACAGCTAAAAGACCAAGTTCTTTATCATAAGCGACAGCGGTGGGTTTGTGAGGAAAGCCATGTTCAGTTAACTAGGATGTTAAAATTTATAAAAAACCTTCGGGTCAAGATTTTAACAACAATCAACTACAGGCGAACATTCAAATGTACCTTGTTAAAAGCCAATAATTCCTGAGCGATTTTATCTTTAGGATCAGGTTTTCGTCCTCTACCTCGTGAAAACTTCAACATATCGAAGGGAAAATTCTACTATCGTTCGGCATAAAATTTTAAAACAAAACAAACGATCAATAAGAAATTTTGAATCAAAATGCCAAGGCGTGAACGACTAGAGCCCAGGCTAAGAATCAGGGCGGAACTTTGTTCCGGTGTCCCGGATACTGACCCCCGGCCACTGACAAAATATAGGGAATATTGAGTATTTTGTGGGAGAAACGGGGAGTTATTGGGATTTCTACAAAGTTATATAGGGATTTCAGGGAACATTCGTAATAATTAATGAATATTAAAAACATTGAGGAAAGTTTCCTTGTTCTTTTTTCTTTAGAAAATTTACATATCTAAATTTGAATAAACGATGAAGTATTTTATCATATTTGCATACTTAATTTTGCATTTTATTATTTTCATGTGCGGCCCATAAACGGTCAGGTTCTTTGCCAAAGACAGCAACAATCTATGGCTTTACTAATGAAACGGACTTCGAGGGACCATTGCGAAAAAACCCGATTAAACATTAAAGTTTTTGCGTTTGATTTTGACAAGACATGCACTATAGAACCAGTTCTTGATATATACAAGTCAAGAGAGGATTATATCAATAACAAAAAAACACTCGACAATACATGGTTTGAACTAGTTAAGTCGTACAGTAAATCAGTAGGAGAGGTCTTTCACTTATTAAAGAACGACACAACATTCGAGTTTGATGAAGTAGGTCTGCGAGAATTCTTGAGGCAAGTTGGCATTGTGGACAAGATGGCTATGGACAGACTTATCTCATCAAACATACTTAAAGGAATCACCGTTGAAGGCTTGCACATTTTTTCAAGAACTGTCCAACTTAAGCCGGATGTTTTAACTGTACTAAAAAACCTAATGGATTTTGGTCTACCTCTGCATTTGATATCGTTAAATTTCTCTGAACAATTGATTTCATTTGTTTTGAACCGTAAGACTACATTGCCAATAAAAATTCACTCCAATAATCTTGTCTTCCACGATGGTATTTGTACAGGGAATGTAGAGAAAAAGTTTATAACTGCTGTTCATAAGGAAGCTGAGCTGGATCAACTAAACCAAGTTGGATCTGGTGTGATTGTATACGTTGGTGATTCATCTACAGATTTACTGGCCCTATTGAAAGCTGACATTGGTATCATCATTGGTAATAGCCCTAGTTTACAACATGTATGTAAAGCCTTTGGAGTAGAAATAATTTCGTTGAACAAATGGAAGAGTGTTTACAAATATAACAATGAAAATAGTAGAACTTTATTTCGTGCAAATAGTTGGAAAGAAATAGAAGATTTTATATTAAGGACTAGTAATTATTGATTTGGTAATAATTTGTGAAAGTTTATGATGGCATTTAACTGGTTTTTTTTACAACTATAAACATATTTTAAACATAAAATTTAATGCACACATTAAAAGCACAAAATACACTTGGATCATGACAGTTAACTTTAAACATAAGTTTCGCGTCAGTGGTGATAATCATCATATCTTTTGTTACAAGCCAATCAAAACTTGACTATATTTTCAGTTGTTTTGAATGACTGCGTTGATTGATACCACACATATTTCAACCAATCAAAACTTGATGAGATGTTGCAGTTGATTTTGAAAAACTGCTTTGATCAAAATTAGTTTCCTCAACAAAACTTGTAGAATTATGCTTCCGTTCAAGATGAACCATTGACACGTTGTCATTTATGCTTGTTACTGCGGCAACCCATTTATTGGGATGAAACTGTTTTATGCAAGTGTTCTTCATGTTGATGGAAGAAGAAGAGAAAGCAGGGAGAGACAGGGAGTAAATAGGGATATCTGTGTGACTATGGTTCATATAGTACTTCAAAGAAGCTGGTACTATTTGTCGTAATTCCGTCATGACCTATATGAGCATAAGAGGCTGCAAGCATTACCAATGATAAAACACAATGCAGTTTTAATAAACTTTGCAATCTTTCAGCTTGGTCAACACTCTTTCTTGTAAAATAATCCAACATATCTTTAGTTGTAAGGGTCTGCTCGATAAAGAAGTTTACGTAGTCATTCTGAAGCTTGCAAATGCCAATATCCACAACGGTTTGAATATCTTTACATGCATCCCTAACTTTCATCTTCATACCGGCTCTTTCCTTTTCCGTTGTACAACTCATAATCTCTTTCATAAGGCTGGCAATTTCTGTTTGATTAGTTGCATCCAACACCGGCTGATAGTTCCCAAAGAACATCTGTTCAAATATCAACTCTAAGGAGAATAGCATTTCACTGGTAGATGCAAGATCTTTCAGAAACAACCATAAAGATTCACTATGATCCAAATTAGAACCACATTCAGTGTTTTGTCTATCTAATCCCTTGGAAATGTTAAAACCAAGTTTATTGGGTGTCACATTGAAAGTACTATTTTCATTTCCCTCCCAATCTAAGGTCTGTTGTTGTAACTCGTCTAGAAAGCTGATGACTTGCTTCTGTTGTTGCATCTTATCAAACCCAATAACTTCATCCATTTTGCCAAAATCATGCCTTGCTTTGACAAAAAGTTCACCTAATTGGTTCAGCTCTGCAGAAATTTTAGGCAAAATTGATTGAACATCTTCAGGATTGGCAAAAATGTTCATAACAGCATTGCTGGACGATGGAGGAGGACGAAAGATTTCACGGACACCATTCCATAGAAACTCTAAGGAAATATAGCTTTGAGTCATCTCGGGCTTTTCTGTTGTACCATAGAGATAGTACAGTGCGTACGCATGAGTTTCTATCTCCTTGACTTGATGCTGTGACATGTGTTGTTTTTTGATATTAGACAAAGTCTGACTAGACTTTTTATCATCATAATCTTCACAACGGATCATTATTGTTCTCACTTTTTGAGTACCATTGATAGCATCATCAGGCACAATACCTAAGTAACTAATATGTTGCGGACCATCCTGGTTGCATAGCAACCACATTTGAGGTAGATTTCGCTGTTTTTTCAAACATTGAATATAGATCGAAGCTATGTATCGGCAATCGTTAATGTTCAAAGATTCCAGCTCATTGGTATCCACAAAATTACGGGTTTTAACCATTTCGCTTTCATGAAAATTCTTTGACTGAAAAAGGTAATGTACTTTTTGGGATATTGGAGTACCCACATGGACATATTGTCTGGTGAATATTGATATCTCAGGGATGGTTGGTGACATGTTTGTTGTTTCCAAGTCAATACTTGCATCACTGTCATTCTGACAGGATTCGAGGGCATTAGGTTGTTTACTGACCAGGAAGAAAGTTGAAGTGATTAAATTAACTATATCTTTCAAAGGATGATGGAAGTTAGTTGGCACATAATGAATGATGAAGTCAAATCCACAGTTGTATGTTGCTGCAGGAATTAAAGTTTCAGTTTTATTGTGAACTAAATTGTTCAGTACTTCGCACAAACCTTCAGCTTGTCCTTGTAATCTGTTTGAAACACTCATGCTGTAATTGAATAAATGGGAAAGAAAATTTCGTACACTGACACAACTGCCCTTATATATTACAGATTCAAATATAAAATGATTATAAGAGTATTTGGTTTACAGTAAGCGCTTACCTATTGAAGGCAATTTTATACTATCCTGGAACATCGATTTTCTGTCGAACTTTAAAATAATAAAATTATTCAGCTGATTTCAAAATTCAAAGCAACAGCAAGTTGTAAAAAAATTTCTTTATTTTCCCGCTCAAGTTGCTTTACGTAGATATACGATTCACCACGGCAAATTCCGATAGCAAAGCTGTTGAGTTTTGACGATTTTACATCAAATTACTTGTGAGAAAAAAGCAAAAATCGTTTCAAGTTTACCTTTAAAAACATAGGAAAGTTTCTTCTAACAATATCACGACAAAAATGCGAAAGAACCCATGAAAATTAGAACTAAAATATTTAGCCTCCCTCCCCCCCGAAGCAAAATCAGCCTCAGAGCACGCGTGCGTATAAATGTTCTTTCTGATCAACAACTGCGATCTATCGAAGTGTCTTTTTATTTCTCGAAAGTGTACATTTATTGACGTTTAAGCCAGGTAAGGGACTACCCTTTTGTATTTAAGTAGTATTTAGTTTCGTGTTGCTCGTCAAGACTCACTGATAAAATATTGCAGCAGATACAATATATGCAATGACATCAAGTCCCGAAAAAGAGCAAAAATTAGCCAAAGGATCCGAGAAAGAAGACAGTCATTTTCTAGTGCCAAGTCCTATACCTACCAGGAGAACACGCACCACATCTCAGTTAGTGATCTGTTTTGAATATATGTTAATTAATGTCCGATGTCAAAATAATTGACCAACTCGTTTTGATTTATTTAATTGACCAACACCATTATTAATTTATAATGATATTTTTTAATTTTCCAGGTCTAGTCTTGCTGCCGATTCACCATTGGAACATGGTACATGCAAGAGATTTTGTCGTGAACGAGGTCATGGCTTCATCACTCCGGATGAGGGAGAAAAACGAGATATCTTTGTGCACATTTCAGAGTATGTTTCATATTCACTTGCTTCATGACCAGTAGCTCAACTCTCAAAGAAAGGAACTATTTTTATTTCCAGTATTGAAGGCGAATTTGTTCTCAAGGCTGGAGATCGAGTGAAATATCGTACTGTACCCTTGCCACCAAAATGTACAGAAAAACAAGCGGTACATGTTGTTATTACAAATGCAAAAGGACCTCATGACACTTGGACTCCATTGTCTCACTCTAACATGTCGTTTTGAACTTGACCATGTAAAATTCTTGATGATCTCCGTAATAATTGATTTCAGAACCATCACTGATCTTTGAGCTTATGTGGGGGCTCCTCCATTGTAATGAACGAATAATTTTGATTGTAATTGACTATAAACATATTGATTAGTTTTAACATTGAAAGGTAAAACTGAAATAACACTTGACAGCAATATTTTATGATATTTAATTACTTTCATGGCATGCATTATTGAAGGAATAAAGATTTCCTCGAATACTGGCCAATGGCCAAACACTATGAATGCTAATATATTTTTGTGTTCATGTTCCAGGCTAGTGTTTAGTTGTTTTTGTGAAAAGTTTAGTTTTCGAGAACTTCAACCTTCAAACATGTATGCTTGAATAGTGAAACTGATGTCTTATGAAGAAAAACTTGTCATTTATGTAAAATTGAAGCCATGGTTTCATGACTTGCAGTTGGAAAGTTTGATGAAATGAAATATTTTTGAATACTCTATTAAAAAATGAATTAAAAAAATAAATTATCATTTATGATTATGAGACAACACAGCACAGCAAATCTATAAATACTCCATCATCGTTATTTTAGTATGGTTCTTAGCTAATTCATTCAGGAAACCACCGCACAAATTTATAAATTGATAAGTGCGACCCACAGAAATCGATATTTGCATTATATTTCCTTAGAATTCAACTTCATTACACAACGCTTTTCATTCTCGGGGTTAAAACTTACGATTTTTACACAACCCGTGACGTCATATTGCAAAATAACGGTCGCCGTAGAATTTCAAAAATCATTCCGTTTTCTGGAAACTTGAAACATGTATAAACAACGAAAGGAATTCTCCTTGGTTGAAGAAACTTATTAGCAAACATACCTGATAGTTCAAGATTACAAGCTTCATTATGCAATTCGACATCAATAGTTATGTAATCTGATTTTTTTAATGAAAAAGACCTGTATAAACTGTGTTAGTCTGTCTGGGAAAATCTACAGTCATCTTAAAAGCTCTTTTCAACGAAAACATGATCTATTCGTCTGATAGACACATCAATAGGTCAATGTGTCTGTCGTTACGTTACAACAACGTGTAAAAAAATTAAAACATATCGTTGAATTCATAACGTTAGTGACGATTGACCAATAAAATTTTGAGTATACTTTCAGCATCATGTTGATTTGGAAGCTCTATAATGAACATGGATCATGGATGTAGTATTTCTATCCCCATTTTTGTTTTAAACTCTCAAATGGTACATAAGTAAAGAACTGGTGCTTCAATTTCGAACGATAAATTGCTATATGAGAAATTATTCGATGACCCCTACTAAAATGATATTGACATAAATATCTTTGCAATTAACGATAATGGGCATTCTTTTTGGTAATGTCCACGCTTTAAGGAATTTTTTAATAAAATACATAAGAACATTAGTGTTGATCATAAATCACTACGCGACGCAGTGAACGGGCATAAGTCGGAAGTTTAATAATATTTGATGCGCGTCAAGCTAAAGTGAAGATTGTATTCGTGGAATCATTCAGTCTCGTAGATCTTTTGCTTTTCAGAATGCAATATACACACGTCGATTTCCGTGAGGTGTAAAAATATGCATAGAACAAAAAAGTCTTACAGGTCCTTAAAAAAAAGGGAACGAAAACATAATATGGCATTTGAACTTTCAGCAACCTTTTTATTGTGGAGTTGGTTTTTGCAAGGAAAAAAGCTGTCACGAAAAGCTAATCCGATTACAAACTCTGACACTTCGTACACAAAAGCTTTGATTCGCAATCACCGTCAATAAATTAGGCGGACAGGAAATTGTCCAGCATTTTTTCATTACAATTAGAGACGCGTGATATTTGTGTATGCATCGTGGTTGAGACGAGAAAATCAGCAGCATCAATTCCTCTCTAACCACAGCGACCACAGCAATCATTGGACTGTAAAATTGGTTTAATTGGGGATAAAAGGTTTCCAAATATAGCTAGAACGTCTGGACAATAGAATCATTGACATAAGACACGTTGTCTTTAACTTTCCTGGTTTAAAGTTGGAACTTTTCGTGGTGGGTCCAATTTCGAGTCCAAGTTCGACATTTCGTGCGTCTGTTTCGCCGTAAACAAAAAGGAATAATACCGCTTGCTCATTGGAAATAATCGCATAATTAATATCCTCAAGTCTGGAGCAAAACATCAAACGAAAATTGACATAAAGTTCTTTCTTCAAGTACCATTCAAGTGTTCTCATCTCTCAAGATAAATAACTTCGATGATGTACTTTGGCGTAATTTAATAGTGAAAACTCACCTTGCGAGAGGGGTAAAGTGAAATTTCTCGTTATTTATTTTTAAAGTTGCTCTGTTATTGCTGAAGAAATCTGGGGGCGCAATCAACTGTATAAGGTATAGAGGATTGTTTTGAGTTCTTTATAAGGTCTATGTAATTGATACACACTCTTATTACAAGACGCTGTTAGTCTTTCCTTACTATTGCAATTACCGGACCAGCTGTGAAGATCATTTTGTACATAAAAGGTTAAACATTTTGCGTTTCAATGTCTCAAACAATCTTTCCTTCCAACATAATTTTTCGTGTCGACTTTCAAACGCAACCATTTGTCCATTTTAAATAATAATATCGTCCAGGAAACAACACAGAAATAGGCTCGAGGAAATTATTTGATTTTTGTGACTAAACGCTCCAATTTAATGTCATATGGCAAAGCAGGAGAGCTATTAGCAGACTGAGGAGGGGGGGTGTTTAGTTCCGAACGATGGTGTAAGCGATAAAAATGTTGTTTTCAAATTCCAAGGCATAAAATGTCAGTATATTTATGGAGAGGTTCGCCAAGATGACATAAGAAGTGTTAAAAACCAAGGGTTTGGGGGCCAGACTGACTGACTGACTAACTAAAAACGGATTATTTCGCCGACGAGCCTCCTCGCAATCTTTCTTTTATACAAAACGCCCTCATTGTTAACAGCTTTTTGGCATTTTTTGGATATTTCATGTTTTTATTGAAGCATTATTTTATAATTCACGTTGTATCCAAATATTTGAAATTTCCCATGACTTGCTTCAATTTGCCATCTCTTTTCAACACTGGAAGAACATTTTGAAACAAACTGTGCCTAACTACAAGTCAGCAACAGTTTCAATATGTTGCCTACAGTATCAGCACATTAAAATTGACGAAACTGTCTTGTGCGTTTTAAAACTAAAAATTAAAATTTGCACAATTGATGTGAAGTTTTCGCCTCGAATTGATCACCTTATTAAAAAATTCCTTTATCTTCCCAATCATTCGAGAGAGATTGCCAATTCAATAGAAAGTCACTGGACTATTTCTGTCAAAGCGGCGCTCAAAGGCTTCTTATCAAAACTACCATTGTAAATTTCGACATTTCGTATAGTTTAGTGTATGTCAACAATTTCCGGTGTTGTGTGTTAATGTGGTCGAGGACGACGCCAATTTTCTATGTACTGTTTTGTCCATATTGTTAATCCAGCAAGATCTTTTTAACAAACACATAGACATTTGCTGTTGTCGATTTTTGGGCGTTAAATGCTTTTAGAATATTTTATGGGAGAAATTTCTGAGGAGAGATAATTCCAGGATTTACCAATACTTAACTAGGCGACGAAACAAAATTATTTAAAATTAAATGAACTGTAAGGGAATGCTTTTTAGGTTATATGATTAGAAGATGAACGTTAATGAATGCTCATTGAATAAACACGAAAGAACGGTGTTAAGTTAGTTGGTTTAAGTGTTTACAACAATTTATAATATAACAGTCTGTATGGTTTGTGAAAATTCAAAAGAAATATTCAGAAAGAATTTCGATATGAAATAAAGTCGATAGCACATTAGCAATTGCTCATTTGATCATGAACAACGAACGGTTATACATATATCCTACTGAGTCCTTTGTCTTTTCTTATTATCCTAAAGATCTAGGGACAATCATTTTAATTACTTATTGTTTGTATTGTATTTCACTCTGCATTAAAAAAAAACACACCGTACAGCCAAGAATAGTCTGTGCTAAGACTGTGCCCTAAACAGGACATTCTAAACGTTATTATTTTTGAGCCTTTTATGGCTTGTGCCAAGTGGTCATTTAGCACATATAACAGCAAGAGACAATTTGGTTGAAAGTTATATCAACACACTACAAGAAGCACGGAACTGAACTAAAGGATACGACTCTAAGCAGATCTCTTCGTATAAATTAACCACAGTTCTTTAAACTGCAGTGTTCACTAAATTTCTGGTAACAGCTTAGTAAGTATTCCAATGAAAATACACATCTTGTTGTCAATAAACATGTAACCGACTTTCATTAAAGAACTTTTAACATTTTCTGTGGAAAAAAAAATCGTTAAAAATAGTCAAAACCCCGACGTTTTTACAGTCTCGTAAATCATAGTTACGATTCGCTGTTTCAGTAAGTAATTCTGGCGCTTTTTCATCTAACTTTATAATTCGACAACATGGTTTGTATTTTATAGCAGCTGTAGAATAAAGAAGAGTGCAACGAAATTCTTCAAGACGAAAAATGGACAATTCAAAACTCATTATGATCACCTACAGCATTTTCATCACCATTGATGTGATGATTTGGCGGCAAGGGAAAATTTCAGCAAAAACAGTGACGATGTTTTACGATCAAGAGATCACGTCAGATGCCTGCTACAACCGTTATGAACAAGCTCACAGATGTCTGCCCGAATTTAGGAACATAGCTTACCAACAACGCATTAAGGTCTCGCATACGTGCGGGTTAGGCGGAGCAAAAAAGTTCTGTAAATCACCACGTCATAAACGCTGTGAAATTTGTGACGCTATGGATCCGACCCTAGCGCATCCTCCTCAATACCTGACTGACCTTAATAACCCAGCAGATCCTACATGTTGGCAGACAGATCCGTTAGATAATCCTAAAGAGAACGTCACACTTACTTTAAGTCTTGGAAAGAAATTTGACATAACGTACATTAATTTAGAATTCTGTTCATATCGACCTCGTGTTATGGTCATTTATAAATCGGACGATTTTGGAAGAACATGGACTCCGTACCAGTACTACGCTGATAAGTGTATGGAGATCTTTCACAAAAGAACAAGAGGAACTGTAAGCCTGAAGAATGAGGTAATGGTCAGCGGAATGGATAATGCAATGTGCGCATGACCACAGAGTTAGTTTATGAAAGATTTAATTTTAAGTCTAAAAGAGTTTAACGAAATGCTACAAGCTTCTGCACAAGTCTTATTTCTCAAATCTCTTTCATAATTTTCCCATTAAAGTGGAATTTTCCGTAAAGATTGCAGAGTACTAAAGTGAACTGACCACTATACTTGTACCCAGCTGTGATAGTAATGAGGAAATTTTGCTTTTAGGTTGAAGTATTATGCACTAATGATCATCTTATGCGACCTTTGAGAGGAGGTCGTATAGCCTTTAGTACTCTGGAAGGCCGACCATCAGCTCATAAACTAGAAAGAAACGAGTTACTTCAAGACTGGGTAACAGCTACAGATATTAAGGTACATGTATATACATATATGATATGATCAGTCCACTGAGCTGTAAAATAAATTGGAACGCTAACCACTGAACTGAATATAACTGGAATGCTATCTCCCGCCAAAATTTGAAGCAAACAATTCAACCAGTCCCAATCTTTCCACGCACGGCCCAAAGAAAGTTCATTTCAGTGGTTCATTTACTCAAATAAGATAAATTGCGGGATAAGACCCCCAGACACGCGTCTTTGGGGGTAAAATATGGCTTCACACAAGTACAGCATATTTATATAAAGGGAGGTAGCATTCCAGGTACATATTTAGTTCAATTACACAAACATTACCGCCATCTTTGAAGCCGAAAGTGAAGTTAGTTTTTCTGAGTTTTTAAAAGTTTCATGATATTATTTAAAGAAATTAGCAACGATATATAAATAATACAGTAGCGCAAATCCCCATGATAGGTTTTACCACACAAGCTCTTATAATTCACCGGAAGAAAAACTCGAATGAAAATATGTTTTGAAGCATCAGAGAGAGCGTTCCAGTTTATATTACAATTTAAATGGATCAAAATTTGATGACGGAATATTGACAAAGTCTTAGCTTTGGACGTCTTCATTTCGGAGACAGTTCGAAGACCGCTCTTATTTTTTAAGGTCGTGTTCATGAAGATAGGAGGTAACAGAAAACATCGACGAAGAGGCAAGGATGTGCTTTACTACGGTATATCAGACTTCTCCATTGGAGGTCGCTGTCGATGTAATGGGCATTCGTCAAAGTGCTCGAAAAACGCGCGTGGAAGAATGGCGTGTGAGTGTCAGCATCACACGAGTGGCGTGAATTGTGAAAAATGCGCAGATTTCTATCAAGATAGACCGTGGTCGAGGGCGACTACATACTCTGCTAACGAATGTAGAGGTAACAAAGTTATTTTTACCAATGTACAGTAAACTTAAATATCGACGGTAAAGTTGTCGCCATTTTGAAGCCGAAATTGAGGTAGTTTTTCTGTGTTTATAGAAATTCCACGATCTATTATAAAAACCAACAACAACCATATACAAAAAATAAGGCAGCAAAAACTGTCAACATAAGTTTTACCACAGAAGATTTGATAACCCAAAAACTCAGACGTCCAACACGTATTTCTTCGTGCAACCATTTAGCATTCCAGCATGTATTACAGCTCAGTAGCATTGACTGTCGTGGATTATATATTTGCCCTTCTCACTCTCTTCAACACCTCTATCTTTTTCCTTTCGTTACAACAGCTTGCAACTGCAGTGGTCACGCTAAACAATGTCGTTTTAATCTGGAACTATACAAAATGGACGGCCACGGTGGAGAGTGTTTAAACTGTCGTCATAACACAGAAGGAAGATTCTGTCATTATTGCAAACAAGGCTATTACCGAGATAAAAGCAAAGACATCACACACAAAAAAATTTGCATCAGTAAGTGATTGTTTTCTTTGTCGACTACGAGTATATGACATGATCATATACCACGCGTGTTGTGTATGACGTAAACATATGCCACGCGTGTTGTGTATGACGTAATTATATATCACGTGTATTGCGCATACGACGTACTGCAAACCGCGAGTAATATATTGAACGTCGTAAATTAAAAGATGGGTAAAGTTACATTGTTCAAGGTCTTTTCGTTCATGATTTATAATGACAAAGCATCTCCAAATTACAGGATGTATTATTTCTAAATTATTTGTAAACGGGCGTCGGCGCAGTGGCGACCAACAGCCTCTGGGAGCCAAATATTATGCTTCCGAAATCTCTTGATGGCGATTCCGCGCCGATCCGTTGCCAGACCAACGTACTATTTACAGTAAAAGCCCTTTTATCAAACTGGAGAACCTTCGCAGTTTTAATAACTAACACATTGCTCAGGCTTGTGGTGAACGCTTACCTGACATGCGCAGTAACGACCTTCACATTAAATTAGGCTAAATAAGTGCTAAGAGTTTAACATCTGGTACGGTGATGTGGTACGAGAAGCTGCGAAAGTAAAGCATCCTTTTTACTCAAATTGAAAGCTCATGAAAGATTTATTGTAAAGCTACATGGCTACAAGGAAGTTTTAATGACGTCGATAATTCCTTAAAGTTTTATTGTAAAGCTACACAGCTACAAGGAAGTTTTAATGACGTCGATAGTTCCTTAACGTTTTATTGTAAAGCTAGACAGCTACAAGGAAGTTTTAATGACGTCGATAGTTCCTTAAAGTTTTATTGTAAAGCTAGACAACTAGCGGAAGTTTTCTTTTTCTAGAATGTGATTGCCATCCAGTTGGATCACGAGGAAAGATGTGCGATCAAATAACCGGACAATGTCCTTGCAAAGAAGGTGTGACCGGGAAAAATTGCAATGAATGCAAACGTGGATATAGGAAAACGAAAACAAAAGCTGCACCTTGCATAAGTAAGGATACACTTTCTGTAAATACAAGTTTGAATACTTCAAGAAAGAGCATACACTTTCTGTAAACACATGTTTGAATACTTCAAGAAAGAGCATACACTTTCTGTAAACACATGTTTGAATACTTCAAGAAAGAGCATACACTTTCTGTAAATACATGTTTGAATACTTCAAGAAAGAGCATACACTTTCTGTAAATACAAGTTTGAATATTTCAAGTAAGAGCACACACTTTGTGTAAATACAAGTTTGAATATTTCAAGAAAGAGCATACACTTTCTGTAAACACATGTTTGAATACTTCAAGAAAGAGCACCCACTTTGTGTAAATACAAGTTTGAATATTTCAAGAGAGATGTTTGCTTCTGCTTCAGAAGTAAACGCGGTCAACGATACATGAAAACTGCAAAAGTACAAACGATCAAATTTTCACAGAATAATTTCCTTTTTTTTAGAAGCTAAACAACCAAAGAACATAAGAAGAACAGGTAACCCAAATTTCTTACTAACAACACCATTTCGTCCATACATTCATCTATGTTCAATGTGTTTTAGATTTGGATTGTACAAAATGTCGACCAATGTTGTTATCGGTTACAAAATACTGCAAGCGAGACTTTGGTAAGTATTTATGGCATTCCGATGAATTACACCCTTAGTTTTAGAGAGAAAAATCCTTAAGCAAGAAATTTCAAGAATGACAAAAATTTTGACTTACCACAACAGACAAGAGAAGTGGTTTTAAGGAAATTGCACAGTTGCCCGATCTTACTAATTTCTCAGTAAATAATTATATAAAGCGAAACTTAAACTTAAAACGCCGGTAATATAATTTGTGTTCTAATAAATGTTAATTCTACTAATTTGAGACATGGTCTTAAACTTATACGTCGATTAACACCCAAGGCAATATTATACAAAATAGTTTTGGCCTTTAGAATTTTTAATTTTGACGACAAATTTTCACCTTTGGCAAAGTGACCTTACCAAGTATACAAGCATGTATTGTAATAAAATTCAAAAATATTACATGAAGTAAAGTTGGACTTAGATATGACCTCTTCTCTCACTTATTTGTCAGCCATTAGAGTGAAGATAGAGGGGCGAACACACGTCAAATCTTGGGTAAAGTTCAACGTAAACATCGAGCAGGTTTACAAATGGACTGGGGAGACACGATTACGCGAGGGTGAGCAAGCGGTATGGGTCTTAACACGTGACCTCAAATGCAGTTGCCCAAAAATAAGAATGAACAGGCGCTACCTGATCGTGGGTTTCAACGACATTCACGAAATCCAAAAAGGCATCGTTGTTAATCAGCGGACTGTTGTGACACAATGGTCAAAAAAAGTAGCCAGAAGAGTGACAAAGTTTAAAAAGAGACAAAGAAAAGGCGCCTGTTTCGCGACCAGTGTGGAAGAAAATGTCTGAGATAGAAAGCGGCTGTTCAAGAAAGCTGAATCATAACATATTGATGGCAGTGTTCAGAGATAGAGAGAGAGACAATAGTCGATATGCGTTCATAAGCAGGCAGCACAGTCATGGATTTTAAAGAACGCCTAATTTCACATTACTAGTTGATATGGTAGCTTATATGCCAGCTCACTGTACATAGTCTTATAAAACATGAACTTATAACAGTTCTAGAAGCAGAACGTTGAAAATAGACTGTTTCATTTTTGAGGATTGATAAGCAGACAGTAAAATAAGCTTTGAAAGACAACGAATCATTGTTCCGTTAAACTAAAGCAATTTAATTCATCATTACAACAGGAATAAGCTAGTTTGTGAAAAAGTAGAATTTCGTTATAAGATTGTAATATTACAACCCAAGTGCAAAGGGCAAACTCTCTAGAAATTAGTTTGGTCATGCGCACAAATGCATTTAACAGATGAATTCAACGCTTAGTTTTGGGTTTAAGCAAGAAAAAAACAATTTTACTGTTGAAGAACATAATTGACCGCTTTGTTTCGTTGTCTTAGAGTATGTTTATAATATTCTGATTGTCTTAAAAACTACAAGAAAAGCAAGTGTCTCTCATTCTCCTATTCATCGAGATATTTAAGTGAAAAACCGTATCTATCTATTGACAACAACTATGTATATAAATAGCATTTGCGTGGTTCGTCCGCGTTTTGGATGCAGATTTCAACGTTTATATTAACGATAGTAAAACTAATTATTGAAAATTCGCCTACTATTTCTTAGTAAATAGTATTTCGTAGACTTCGTATGAAATTCTAATTTCAAAATCGCCAAGTAGAAATCTTTTTTCCACCGATAATTATTCATCATGAGAAATGAGGCCAAAATTTATTGGAGTGCTGTGTAAAAAATGAGATACTTTGTTTACCTCAGATTCGAAGTCGTAAAAAGTACCAGCAGGAAATTTTCATTTGGGAACCACACCAACGACAATAATGGCGATTATTAATAAAACAATAACGACCATCATTACTAAAATTTCGATAAAAATGGAAACGTAAATGTTTTGAAAACAATATCCTTACTTCAGGTACATATTGCAATGTTGTCCGCCTACAAAGGTTGAGCATCTTGACAAGAACTTCTCTTCTCCAGATCTTGGAAAGTTCATGCCAAGAACTTAGCATGAACGCATGAAGTAGCGAGTTTTCCCACTTTGAGATTTATTCCCTATTGTTTACAGTATAAGCAGTGCAGTAGTGGGGCGCTTGGGGAGGATCCTCCTTCTACCTTTGAAATGGGTGATTTTAAAAGGGTCAAGAGAGCCCCCCCGTCTGATAAATTTAATTCTACACACTGAGTAGAAGCTACAAACACAAGGCAGGAAATGCAAAAGCTAAGAAGCGTAAGAAAAGCAAACGTCGTCAAGAAACTAAACTTATTGGAAGGAATAGACATCACTTAAAGGTCCACTTTGGCTTGCCAACGTCCACAACTTTGTCATAGCATAAAGGCCTTGGAGTTAGTAATCCAGCACTGCTGATAATACACTTTGTATATTACGCTCGCTGCGCTTGCGCAGTTTGAGCGCTCTCGGATTGCGTAGAGAGTCTCATAAAGAGACGTTCACCGCATTCGCTTTATGCAATGCTCACCTATATAGGTTTGAGCGCTGTGGTGACTCTACAATACAATCCATACAATGTATAACCGTACGTCCTGTGTCCCAAGTGCAGGAGTCACCATTTTAATATGGTGATAGCCGGGAGGGCACATTGTAATACACTTTGTATATATATATATATATATAGATGTATATAGTCAGCAAATAAAATATTATCTGTCAGTTGCCTGAAGATCGCCCTACGGCGTGAAACTCCGAGTAGCGACAGCAAACAATTGTCCATTTTATTTTACTTCATTTTATCTTACGCTCTTCTAATATATAGAATATTGAGCGCTCTTTTATCCAGGAATATTATCCGTACTATATATATATATATATATATACCTACCACAGTTGGAAGATTTTGCTGTAACTCTTCTCACGTGAGCATCTTCTCGTATCAATTTTCTGTGAGTATTATCAACGCTGTTAGATAAATCGTCAATTATTTCTAAATAGTGAAGAAGGAAACACGATTTACAATATGCATGCATAAAGTTCACAAAGCAATCAATATATATACAATGAAGGCAAAACTATTCTCTAAAAATCATAACGAATGCAAGTTATCGAATAACGATACCATTTTGATCGTCAACTTCGTTCATAATGACATTGCCTATGACTTTCTGTCGTTGAATTGCTTCCGATAAAGCGTCCAAGCCACGATCTTGCTCTAAGTGTAAGAAAGAAAGCTTGCTGAACATTTTTAACTGGCGAGTCAAATTAGTGGTATTCACAAAAAAAAACTTGCAATAGTAAGCCCTTATTGACCGAGCTCGAGGTCTTTAGGAGAAATATCGGACTAAAATTTTTTTGTAAAAAATAAATCGTTTCGAATTGTATCGTCTGGATAGTTAAACCGTTTTCCAAGTGTTTTCCCTTCGACTCACATTCGTAAATGGTTTTTGATTTCGTTTTTTTCTTGCATTTTGCTGTTTGCTTTACGAAGTTTGTTTACATTTGACTGTAAAATTACGCGTTTTGAACCGTGGTCGATTACGGGAAAATAATGGACCGGCAAAAATAGTTCTGAGCCAATCAAGGCGCGCCATTTTGTGACCGGAAGTGACGCTTGCATACATAATAAACCAGATAAAACCACGAACCTGCTATCATTTGCTGTTGTTGCTGACGAAGTTCGTTTATTCCTTTGTTCCTAGTGTCATCGGATTCCACATCAGTTGACCAGGGATCTGATGGGACACTGAAGGACGATCCAGTACCAAGCAAGGATCCTCTATGAAAAACATATGGTCGACTTTTTAAAAGCTGTTTGTTTGTTTTCGTTATGAATTTTGCGTAAGTACACATTTAAAGGTCAAAATATTTATCGTTGACGAGATTACTAAACAACTTGAAAACAACAAAAAACCACAGCTAGAATTTGCTACAGGCAATCACAATCCAGGAATGGATATTGCAATGTTATTTTTTCCAAAATTCTACACATCCAGATGCATTTCAATATCCCATTTCTCAATTAGAAAATTTTCCCACACTCTGAAAAACAGATAGTGGCCCCACTTTTGATATTAAACCCTTTGCCAGGCAGTTTTCTTGCAAAATTGCCATAAAAACCTGGATGAAAATAAAACCAAATAATTTACTACCTTCCATAATCAGACTGAGCAGACTCTTGGGAAAATGCTGCTTTTAATCTTTTCTCTCTGTAATTTTATTCAGTTTCAATCAATTTGATATTGGACATATGGGAATTGTATTTCAAAGCAATATTTTAGAGGCAATATTTTACCTTGTAACAAGCTGATCAATCATGTCCTGACGTCGTTCTGCCTCCCTGTCTGTTCTAAGTCAGTGTTAAATCATACTAACATTTATTTGAAATTTCAGAACATTTAAAAAATCTTTTCATAACAGTATCATGATCAAACCATGTAAAAGAATAAACAACATAGGATCATAGGGTATATGTTAGGACACATGTAATAGGATGATACTCATGATCAGACAATGCAAATAGATAAACAATGAACAAAGGATAATAAGGGATATGATGGGATATATGTAATAGGATGATGCCCATGATTAGACAATGCAAATAGATAAACAACAACGGGGATCATAAGGGATATGTTAGGATACATGAAATAAGATGATGACGCTCGTCTGAGTTCATCCTTTAATCTTTGAAGTTCTTTAGTGTAATTTTGAAGCATGAGACGGCACTGCGTATCAACCTTAAATAAGCAGAACATCAATGAACATCTTACCCAGCAAAGATTGTCAATATGTTGCATGTACTATATACTTAAAGCCAGTTTTATTTGTGCGACTTATAAAATTTCTTGGCATTTATTCTCAGTGACATACATCTTCTGAAACCATGTTTAACTCTGGACTGGGGTTTGATAATATTAAAAAGCTTGCTTAGCATAGGAGTTCAAACTTCAAATAAGTCTGGACCATAAAAGTTTCATCGCAGCAACATTTCACTGTGAAAGATAAGATACTACCTTGGAACAATTCGCTCCAGATCTCTTTAAACGGTTCTTTTCGTTTAACTTTTCCATAATATCACAGGCAAGATCCTCTGCGGACTTACACTCCAAAACCCTACATTTATTTTGTTTAATTTACGTTATGATAAGTTTAAAACAAACGAATATCTAAGATACTGCCAAAGCATACAGATAACGAATAGTGAGAAAATTTGCTCCCTCTTCTTTATATATGGAAGAAAAATGCGCAAAAACTTAAGTTTCGAAGAAAACGGGTTCTGAAATCACTTTATATTTCGTCACGATAAAGTAAACATGGTTCATTAACGGGAACTCTTTGACTCACTATCAGTTCCTTCTCACACATAATACACGTAATTTATTATGAAAAAACGATACGACTTGAAAGCCATGTAAGATTTACTTCATTAAACATTCCAACACACCATACAAGAGAGAAAAAATGGCTAGATAAACAAGTAAAACAACAAAAATCTCACCAAGTATCGCCGGCCATTTTGAAAATCTTGTGATGTTGTCAGAAATTCCCACCACAGCCAGGTGACCCAAGCCTGTGTAATTAACAACGGCTGACTGAAGATAATATAACAAAATTTTGACAACATTAGCAGAGGAAACAATGGTTGATAAACTTGACAGGAAGTAACCTTAAGTCTAGGAGTAACTTCTCTGTCTCCTATCCTGTTTTCCCTGGTGGCCAGCTGAGGAGTTGAATCCGAGACTCAAGAAACAGATTTTGTGCCCCAACTAGCCCATCCTCCAACTAGCTAGAACTTAACCACCTTGAAAGGAAACTAGTGAGGTGAAGGTGAACTGATATTGACAGTTGAGTTAACCATTCGTCAACTCAGACAAAAACTGCCGAGCATGTTGAGGGGGGGGGGGGCAGAATAGCACACAAATAAAATTTATATTAATTATATGTGAGATTCCCTCATCTCCCAGGTCTATGGTTCCTGCAATTCAATAATAAATGTGATGAAATGGGAATTGAGAGTACATAAAAGAAATGCAGGAATTATGGCAAAAAATTTTCACACTTCATCACACACCGAGGCTGTAATTTGGAAACAAACATAAAAAGGTAAAAATCATTTTGATGATGTTAGTATTTGTTTAAATAATCACAGTACTATAATTAAAATTAATCTAAAACTGCTCAATGTAGACAATGAGAAAAATCTATAAGTTTGAAATAGTAAATCAACTATTTAGCATCGCCTGTTAAGCCTACTGAAGCGCAATTTTTTACAGCACACAAATCAGACATACCTCGAATAATGAGGCGTAAATTTATCATTTTCAAGAAAGTTCTCTATTTTGAACTTTTGCCAGAGTTATTTGCTGCCTTATTAAAAAAGTTACGTATGATTTTCTAAAGTTGCTATGCAAATGTCCTAACAAAATCAGGATTATATACCTATGTACACATGTATGTACACGGTCACAAGTGCAAGTACACTCTATCATTGAACAGCCACATAGTTCGATGGAAACAATCCCTCTCTACCCTGCAGTCGTCCCTTCCACCAGTTTGGATCATCTTGTTCAACAACTTCGATAATCTCTCCTTTCTTAAATTGCAGTTCATTTTCTTCTTGAGGATTGAAATCGAACAATGCTTTTACAGAAAATAAAACCTAGAAACAGAAAAAATCTCGAATTGAAACTACAGTAAACCAAACCTTGCTTCAAGCCCTAAGTCCTAGAATGACATTAAAAAAAGAGGCAACAAGGAGGGAAGGGGGAGGGGGGAGGGAGGGAAAAAAGAACCTTATAATTAACATTAAAAAAATTGAGCCTGCATACTTGGTTGCCAGACGACACTGTGTTTGTGTCAGTGAGAAATATTTTCTGTGTTCGACTAACTGAACATTTTCGATGATGGTCAATAAGCTCATTTAATGATTTAAATTTCACAACCCAAAGAAAGTATTTGCCTTCGCCATCACGAAGAACTTTGAAGTGTTGAACTGCTCCGTTGAACCTGACAATACATAGAAATAATGTTTATCTTTTTGAAAAACAGTCAACATCAACACGTCATTTCTCACATACCATACTGACAGCGAAAAGTCACCTGTAAAAAAGTATTGAGAGTATCAATGTTTTTGTCAAAGTAAAATAAGAAGATGTTGTCTTCCTCACCTTGTGTTTGAGAGCTCTCCGACTCACGAACAAGAAAACCTCCATCAACTGCTTGATGCATCAATATCTCCTCACTTTTTGATCGTGTTATCTTACCATGAAACCAGCTGAAATTAGAAATATTTTGACACTAATCATCTGTAATGAAAATTAGAAAGCAATTTATCGTGACTTAATAAAAAATTGTAAATTAGAACGCAATGGATTGAAACTTATTACAATAATCATAAATTAGAACGAAGATGATTGTGACTTATTAGAAAAATTGTAGGACCGATAACGGCATATGCAAACGCTCATAGAAAGGTTCAAAAGGGTCATAAAACAAGTGTGATCCGTTTAAGATCATTTCCTAAAAAGTTCCGGGGAAAATGTTCAAATAGAACACTTCACAAAATGAAAATAAACGTTAAGATATTTACATCAAACGGTCAGCGAAGCTCTTAATTTGCTACGGTATGATTTAAATCATTATATTAGGATGTTTGAGCTTCGCTAACACCACAAGTGGGAACAATTTTGTTATTCATAGTGAACTATTCGTTTCTTACTCGTGTGGTTTCATCTCGATGTAGTTCGCAGGTATAAAACCTGTTTTTCCATTCTGTTCAGCTTTAAACCAATTTGCATCAGTGTCCATGTTTAAAATCTACGGAGCAACGAAAACGTAAACAAATCAACTACATGGAAAATTCAGTGACGAAGAACGCAGTTAATGTAGTTTATGTTTACAATGCTTACTTTTACAATGGAGCCTTTCTCGAATGAAAGTTCGTCATCTGCAGTGGCTCGAAAAGCGAACTTTGCCACAGCTTCCATTTCTGGTGGTCAGTTATTCGCACAGCATAAATAAACAAAACATTTACAAAAGCTTTACAGAATATTCAACAATTTCGTCTTCCTCTTTCTTCCAAATATGGGAAGCACGCGGTCGGCTACATGTTAGAGACTGGCACTGGACACAGATAAAAGATGGTTAAAATCATTGCCTTTCACTGGTTACAATTATAAATCGTTATGAATGTTTACTGTTTTGGATGTTATACTAATAACTCCATAAATTTTCTATTTTCATGTTTGGATAGTCGGGTGTTTTGAAGAAATTTTTTCAAACATTGTTCAATATTGTTAATTAATCCCGGGTTCGAACCGTTTACTTTATTGTTAATTAATGTTCAATATTGTTAATTAATGTTCAATATTGTTCCTAAATTATAGAGGAATATTGTTCATTAAGATTAATGTGCCATATTGTTTAGTTAATGTTCAGTATTATTAATTAATTTTCAATATTGTGAATTAACGTTCAATATTGTTCCTGAATTATAGTAAAATATTGTTGAGATTAATGTGCAATAGATTGATGTTCAATATTATCGCTCAATGTTGTTTGAAATTGATCAACTTCCGTTAGATGGATGACATAAGATTTTAATTAAAAATATTCTTTTTCATTTATTGACCAAAGAGTTTCGGTGAAAAATCTTCAGTATTCGTAAAATATTCAACAACTTTTTGACATATGTGTTAATAGAAAGTTGTAGTGGAAGCAAGCCCTTAAAGAGTTCTTTGAAATCACTTTTTCTGCATGCTGATGCAATTTAATGGCATCTTTTACAATAAAAACATTTTATGCATTTTCAACACTGCGTCATTTTACTTTTAAGAATGCGAACACATTAATTTCACCAACTGATAAAATTGAGACTTAAAGATGCATGAATAATTTGCAGACTACAAACAAGAGAGTAAAAGTCACATGGAACATATATACTTCAGTACACCAATTTACAGAACAAAACTTACTTCAAAAACATTGAATGATAAAATGATTTGATTTCAGTTAAATATAACCAAGAGGTCGGTAATGGGCAAGAGGGACGTTCCATGGGACCTGAGCTCCACACATCTCAGAATAATTTGGACAACAAACACAGCTTAATGATAACAGGTTAGTAATCACAACATTACATGAAAGCTGTCATTTTTTTATATGCATATTAAAACTTCAACACTTGTCAAATGTCATGCAGACAGGTGTTTATTAATATAGAATTTAAGAAGAATTTCCATAATATTAAAACATAACTGACTCCTGGTGATCTACATAATTACAGTACACAAAATTAAATCTAAACATTTCAATAAATCATGATTTCACTAACTACGAGAAGAGAAACATTCTTTCCCAAAACTGTACAGATTTTTCAGTCGAAACTTGTAAAGTGCATTAAGACTATAATTAGGAAGAAATATCTAATCAATATATTAAAGTTGAGAGGTTCTCCACAATGTTCTTATTTCAGTAAGCATAGAAGCATAAGCCTAATCAAAAATCACATAACTCTAAGCCCATTGGAAAATGTGAGAGATCTTTTATAATTGAAGTTTGGTGAAATTTTCCAGATTGATAGCAAGTTATGGTTGAACTTCAACATAATTTGACGGGGAAAAGTCCTTCATTGCTGTTTAGTTTTCCTTTCCACCAATTTGGATCTTCCTTTTCAATAACTTCAATCATGTCACCTCTTTTGAAAGCCAATTCGCCTTCTTCTTGTGGAACGAAATCAAATAAAGCTTTCACAATGGTTTTTTTCCCCTAAGATAAACAAAGTTTTTACAATTAAGTTAGGAAACTCTCGTTACAACATAAAAGAACATAAAAATCAATAAGTTCACAATTATGAAAGCTAATACTTCGCATACTTTATCATTATTCAAATCACGAAGCATTATATTCTGTGTCCTGCTTACAGATGACGTTCGATGATACTCAACAAGTTCATTTAGAGAATTGAACTTAACAACCCAGAGAAAATACTTCCCAGAACCATCGCGAAGAACTTTAAAGTGCTGTACAGCATTGTTATATCTGAAATGAACGTCAACAGATTGGGGTTTGCAACAGATTGCAAAGTCTCAAAAGTAGCCATCCTTTGCAGCCCTGATACTCCATGGTACATGGAAATTACTTCAAGCAAACAATATAAGATGCATACCTTACAGACAACGAAAAATCACCTAAACAAACACAATAAGTTACAGCACAGTGCAATAATACCATTTATGCTATAAAATGATAGCAAAACCAGTCTCTACCTGGACTTCTCTCAGATTCTCGAATTAAAAACACCCCATCTATATTTTGTCTCATTAACAGCTCTTCAGCACTAGATCTTGAAATTTTACCATGGTACCATCTAACGTGCAATACAAAAAATATATTTGATAAAAATTTTCTTATAATCAATAACTGTCTTAAATTTACGTGTTTCTACAAGAAAACCAAACCTTTTCCTGTACAGACAAGTGTTAAAATTTACATTTTGTAAGCATGTATACAATTATTCATGGCGAATGGTAAGATTATTGTAAGGAAAACATACGACCGGTGAACTTCGAACACACAACTCAATAAAAACGTATTTAAAGTAAATGGTTTGAACCCGGGAGTATCGTTATATGTTTGTAAATGATGATCGTCAATAAAGAAGGACTGTTTTGATGATGACGTAAAGCGGTAGTCATCACTCTGAAGATGACTACCGCTAAGTTATCAATATTAGGACTATTTAAGTCTAGTAAAAAGATTTATAGTTAGGTAAAGGATAATGATTTTTATCAAAGCTTTAAAATAAGCGTTCAACTTACTGATGCGGCTTCATTTCTATATAAGTCGCAGGAATATAACCATCGCGTCCGTTTTGTTCCGCTTTATACCAATTTTCGTCGTTTTCCGTATTCAATATCTACATATATATCGAATGGCAACAAAAGCACAAACACACAATAACATCTTGTCAAAGAAACGCTTTTGTTTTCATACCTTGAGGATAGATCCTTTCTCGAATGATAGTTCATCGTCTGCGGTAGCTTTAAATGGAAATTTCGCCACAGCTTCCATCTTAGAAACCCTATGAATCAGCCTTTTTTTGAGATATTTTTAATGACGAAGTACAGCGTCAAAGCCTTCTCAAGCGGCGCTCATCAAATTGCACTTGTCGATGCAGCATTCCGAAGGCAATATTTACGTAAAATGACGGAGAATAACGATTATGATACGACGCACGTCAGAATCAGATGGCGAGAACGGGTGGACACTTCAGGAAGGTTTTTTTTGAAAACAAGACGTCTATCAGTAAGAGAACATTTTTTACTCGGGTTACTCAAGCATTTCCTCTACATTTATGTATTATTTAGTTTGAGCTGAATAATATCAAATAGAAAATGACCGAACATCATTAAAATGCTTGTGCAATTATCGGGTATATCCAATGGATACGTCGCATAGCAATAAGGACTTTAAGTTCACACAAGAAAATGAAATGAATCCCACCTAAGTTCTTCACGAAAAATATCTTTTCAATAGCATTAGGTAATGTGCGTGACAACCACGCGTGGCACGTCCAAGGAAGATTTTCATTGGTTGGAGCACTTTTTTGCCACGCGCGCGTGTTTTTGGAAAATTTGAGTGCGTATGATTGGGAAATGGCAAAATCAAGTTCAACGTATTTTTAAAAACAGGCATCTTTACAGTAGATATTTTATCGATATGAACAAAACATTCAAGTTGATTTGTTGTGCACTTGCTGCACATACTTGTTTAGTTTTTGGAGCTGAAAAAACAAAGGTATCGACGACACGAAAAAGCTTAAATATAGCGAAAGTCTTACACATTGTGCGTTTATTGAAAATTTTTTTGCAGAATGAAACTATGAAAAGGCGCCGTTCAAAATGTGGTTTCTATCGTTTTCTACCGCATCCTTCACTTGTTTTAGCAGTAGTAGAGGCCAAACTGGCCAACAAAAAACAGGTATTTCAATTAAAACCACGACAGAATATTTACTTAACTAATAAACATCGATTTTTTAGACGAAAGACACATACAAAGTCACATTAAATTGTCCAACGATGAAACTTATTGACGAACCTCCGATGTCTTATACTCTGAAACCTGTACGTTATTTCAGCTATAGATTTAAATGCGTATTACAAAGAACGGTAAGAATCGATTTCTCTTAACAACAGGGGCGGAAAGAAACAATCATTTTTAAAATGGTTGTCAAAAAAAACGAGATACACATGGGAAAAAAGCTTGCCACACATAAATGTGTTATAACCAGATGGTCAAAAAAGTCCAATTCATTGGATTTGTGTAATTTTGATGTATTCGTTTGGCCTTATGGATTATTTGACTATCCTTGTGACGACTGTAAGTACGAAGAATATTAAACTTTCTAACCACACACAAACCACAAAAGATCTTCATGTTCACTTTTCTGTGAGTAAAATTACTTCATTGAATATCGATATTACAGACAAAGAAGGACAGTCGACTTTAGTTAGAAAACCCGAACAAAATGGAGTGGTGATTTTCGAGCTGCAAGATTCCACAAGCAAGGTTCATTGATATAGTTTGATCAAAACTATGAACATAAATAACACAACACTCACATAAGCGAGATAATTTGTTTCACAAAGGAACGTAGTAAAAATGCCAGATAGAAAAGCTAGATTCGTTAACCTAATTAAGAATTACCATCTCTAGATTGGTCTTTTTTCTGTCTACATGGTCAATTTGACGTGTACACCACGAATGAGAATTATAGAAAAGATCAATTTTCTTAACAAACTTCGCGAAGACAAACCGTGGAGGATTGAAATGCCAGGAAACTGGTGAGTTTTCAAACAACATTTCAACAAAACAAACCTATGATTTTAAATGCAATTTAGCTCTTTATAAACAGTGACTGGAAGTCATAGAACAAATCACTCTTTATACAGCTCTGGTGCTCTTCGACAAAACTATATCGGCATTTGTCATTTAAAAGTCTTGAATCTATGTCATATAAAATTCACTGAGGTCTTCAATACAACAGTTCAACTTTATGACGGTAAGACACACGATCACATTGTAAATATGACTGATGACGTCATAGTTTTGATGACGTCATTTTGAACGCTGTTTCTAGGGGAGACTGACGAATGTGAATATCTCAAAGAAAGACTTGGTGATCTATCCCGTCATCCATTGGCAGCATTTTTTGGTTTAAATTATGTTGAAACAGGTTACCTGACATTGGTTGTGCTCATACAACTTCTTCTCATTCTTGTTACAGGAATAATACTTCATGTTAGAACAATGCAACTATCAAATGAAAAACGTAAATAAATTGTTAAAAAGTTTCTATATTTTCTGTGCGAGTTTAAAACATTAAAATTCTTCACCAGTCCCACCTCACAATCCTTCGCGAATGTCTTCATCTTGAATGTTATAATTTCTTATCCTGGCCTTTGGCTTACTCAGTTTGTGCTTACCGGCAACTTTTGCTGACAGAACAGGTCTGCTTATCTCTGGTTTTACCAAAACTTCACTTTGATGACCTTTCACAGTGAAACCATCTGAGCTACTCTCTCTCGCTTGTTTGTCACGAATCACGCGTGGGGTCAATCCCGCGGGACTTTCCTCATCCAGTAGTTTCCAGACTTCCTGCAACGATAAGCGGTCGTCCGATGAGAACGACGGTTGCCATGGTGAAGTGACGTCATCATCTTTAGTCAACTGTCGTTTATTTTCCTCTTGTGTCATGATATTTTGGCGGGAAGAAGAAACAGTCTTTTGTGAGTTGTTTATTGAAGGATGTTCACCGTATTGAGGTTCGTTTTCTCTAGTTTCATATTTTAAACGTCCAACATTCGCGAGGTTCGATGCGCTCGTGAAACCTGTTGCTTGATGATTAACACTACTTGCGTAGCCAACATAAAACACAGACGTAAAACATCGAGGAAAGTTGTTTAAAGACCATAAGTAAAAGACATGAAAGAATATGAAAACACAGACGTAAAACATCGAGGAAAGTTGTTCAAAGACCATAAGTAAAGACATGAAAGAATATGAAAACAACGTAAAACATCGAGGAAAGATGATCAAAGACCATAAGTAAAAGACATGAAAGAATATGAAAAACACAGACGTAAAACATCGAGGAAAGTTGATCAAAGACCATAAGTAAAAGACATGAAAGAATGGACGTAAAACATCGAGGAAAGTTCAAAGACCATAAGTAAAAGACATGAAAGAATATGAAAACACAGACGTAAAACATCGAGGAAAGTTGTTCAAAGACCATAAGTAAAGACATGAAAACATGAAAAAGGACGTAAACCATCGAGAAAGTTGATCAAGATAAGAAAACATGAAAGAAGTAGACATAAACAGACAAACATCGAGGAAAGTTGTTCAAAGACCATAAGTAAAGACATGAAAGAATATGAAAACACAGACGTAAAACATCGAGGAAAGTTGTTCAAAGACCATAAGTAAAGACATGAAAGAATATGAAACAGACGTAAAACATCGAGGAAAGTTCAAAGACCATAAGTAAAACATGAAAGAATATGAAAACACAGACGTAAAACATCGAGGAAAGTTGTTCAAAGACCATAAGTAAAAGACATGAAAGAATATGAAAAACAATAAAACATCGAGGAAAGTTGTTCAAAGACCATAAGTAAAGACATGAAAGAATATGAAAAACAGACGTAAAACATCGAGGAAAGTTCAAAGACCATAAGTAAAAGACATGAAAGAATATGAAAACACGGAGGAAACATCGAGGAAAGTTGTTCAAAGACATAAAGTAAAGACATGAAAGATCAAGGAAAGTTGATCAAAGATAAAGTAAAGACATGAAAGAATAAAAGCATCGAGGAAGTTGATCAAAGACCATAATAAAGTGAACAAAACATCGAGGAAGGTTGTTCAAAGACCATAAGTAAAGACATGAAAGAATAAAAACAGACAATAAAACATCGAGGAAAGTTGATCAAAGACCATAAGTAAAGACATGAAAGAATATGAAAAACAGACGTAAAACATCGAGGAAAGTTGATCAAAGACCATAAGTAAAAGACATGAAAGAATATGAAAAACACAGACGTAAAACATCGAGGAAAGTTGATCAAAGACCATAAGTAAAAGACATGAAAGAATATGAAAAAGACATAAACATCGAGGAAAGTTGATCAAAGACCATAATAAAAGACATGAAAGAATATAAACCGTAAAACATCGAGGAAAGTTGATCAAAGACCATAATAAAGACATGAAAGAATATGAAAACTGGAGGTAAAACATCGAAAAGTTGATCAAAGACCATAAGTAAAACATGAAAGAATATCAACATCGAGGAAAGTTGATCAGACCAAATAAAGAATATGAAAACACGGAGGTAAACATCGAGGAAAGTTGTTCAAAGACCATAAAAGACATGAAAGAATATGAAAACGGAGGTAAAATCGAGGAAAGTTGTTCAAGACCAAAGTAAAAGACATGAAAGAATATGAAAAGACAATAAACATCGAGGAAAGTTGTTCAAGACCATAAGTAAAAACATGAAAGAAAGAACACGGAGGTAAAACATCGAGGAAAGTTGTTCAAAGACCATAAGTAAAGACATGAAAGAATATAAACAGGTAAAAGAGGAGTTGTTCAAAGACCATAAGTAAAAACATGAAAGAATATGAAAAACACAGACGTAAAACATCGAGGAAAGTTGATCAAAGACCATAAGTAAAAGAATGAAATAAACAGACGTAAAACATCGAGGAAAGTTGATCAAAGACCATAAGTAAAAGACATGAAAGAATATGAAAACACAATAAAACATCGAGGAAAGTTGATCAAAGACCATAAAAGAAAGACATGAAACATAGGAAAAATAATCACATAAAGTTGAAAGACGGAGGTATCGAAAGTTGATCAAAGACATCGAAAGAATATGAAAACAGAGGTAAAACATCGAGGAAAGTTGATCAAGACCATAAGTAAAAGACATGAAAGAATATGAAAAACACAGACGTAAAACATCGAGGAAAGTTGATCAAAGACCATAAGTAAAAGACATGAAAGAATATGAAAACAGGTAAAACATCGAGGAAAGTTGATCAAAGACCATAAGTAAAGACATGAAAGAATATGAAACAGAGGTAAAACATCGAGGAAAGTTGATCAAAGACCATAAGTAAAAGACATGAAAGAATATGAAAAACACGGAGGTAAAACATCGAGGAAAGTTGATCAAAGACCATAAGTAAAAGACATGAAAGAATATGAAAAACACAGAGGTAAAACATCGAGGAAAGTTGATCAAAGACCATAAGTAAAAGACATGAAAGAATATGAAAACACAGACGTAAAACATCGAGGAAAGTTGATCAAAGACCATAAGTAAAAGACATGAAAGAATATGAAAAACACAGATGTAAAACATCGAGGAAAGTTGATCAAAGACCATAAGTAAAAGACATGAAAGAATATGAAAAACACGGAGGTAAAACATCGAGGAAAGTTGTTCAAAGACCATAAGTAAAAGACATGAAAGAATATGAAAAACACAGACGTAAAACATCGAGGAAAGTTGTTCAAAGACCATAAGTAAAAGACATGAAAGAATATGAAAAAGACATTACTTGTGTTTAATATAATACCTTTATACTTCATCAACTCAGATCTCAGTTTATTTCCCATCTTTATCAACTGTTCCCTTTCCTTTGTCAAATCGTTAATACGTTGACTGGCTTCCCATAGTTTCTCTTGAAGAAATGCGCGAGATGCGTTGTTGCTCGTTCTTTCTTCTTTATTTTCATCGAGTAAAAAGATGAAATTGTAAAAAACATTCAAAGAAAGTCGTTCAACGAAAATCTGTAATACTTACTTACATCTCGTTCTATCATTGGACGCTCGTCTTTACGGTAAGGATCTCTCACGATCTGGATGGTTAAAAATTAATGAAACATCTCTATTATATTTGTCGTTCAGGGGCCGGTAGCACGAAGCCTGGATAGCGCCATCCATTGGATAGCATTTTTTTTAACTTCTATAAAACCTTTTAAAAAGAAAAAAATGTAGTATTCCAAATGAGCAATCGATGAATTAAAATATTATTTCGAAGATTACGAAATATCGTTGTCGTAAGAAAAATATAAACACCTTTTTTACAAGTTTGAAAATTTTTGCTATCCAATGGATAACACTATCCAGGCTTCCTGCAACCGGCCCCAGCATGATGGTAAATAGTCACCTTATCGTTCATATAATTGACACGACTTTGAACACGGACAGGCTCATTCCCACGTTGCAGCGTTTTTATTTCTGTTTTTTCTTGCCGAAGATCTCCTAACATACATAAAGATTTTATCAACTCCCAAAATATCACTATTATCGCACACATTACACGTCTGCGGACAAATATTTTTCGTAAGTTCAATGATTTGATGCCTTTAAACACGTTGACATTCATGATGTCGTTCTGGAAACGTGTCGAAATACCATTTAACCCAATAGCGGATTCAACCGGATAATTATTGATCGAGCACGTGATTTATATCCATGATGCTATTGGACACCGGATACTGGTAAGGCATATAATTAAAATATGTAAAGTTTAAAACTCGGAGAATTGGATGAGAAAGATCGTGATTGTTTTCTTCGTGATTACGGTAGTTTGAGTTGTTGCTGAAGTTAAGAAAAGCGGTGCAAAATGCTCACCTTTGGCTTGTGTTGATTTCCGCGTGTTAGGATCAGGCCATTCGAACACAGTAACCGTTAAGTAAATGTTAAACATTAAATACATATTGCCACTTGTAAGCGACCGTTTTCCAATATTTTTCGCCTCGTTTTCAGGCTCAAACGTCACGTTTTTCGCATCAAACATACTCGATAAAATGTGCCAAGTAAATAGTTTGGACTGTGAGTTGATAAGGTTTGACATTAAATGTTTGTAAATGTAGATCGTCCAGGTTGGTATAGTCCTGAGAAGGACTGTTTTTGTTGTTGTTGACTGACGTTTCGACAACCTTAGCGGTAGTCATCTTCAGAGTCAAAAAAATGATCTACATTTACAAACATGTAACGATACTCCCGGGTTCAAACCATTTACTTTAAGGTTTGACATGTCACGTCTGCATGTTAAACAACATTCTTGATAACATTTTCGTCAGGGATAGTAGCAAATGTAGGAATGAATTACAGCTAAGGTTGTCGAAACGTCAGTAAACATCAACAACAACAGTCCTCAGGACTCTACTAACCTGGACGATCTACATTTACAAACATGTTATGTTTCTTCATCGTCATCAATCTCGCTATATTGGAGTTTCTAAAGGACTTTTTATGACAAAACTTAACACGGAGGACAGTCTTGATCTGACGTTTAAGCCGGAAAACAAAGCGCAAAATAGTTTGTGCCTAACGGTCGCTCAGAAATGGCAGCTATAAACATATAGACAAAATTTTATCCTTACCAATCAAATCACTCAAGTGTTGTACAAGTCCTTTGATTTCATTTTTATAACCATCCGTCACATCGACTCTTCCCTCCGTTTTTCCATCCATCACGAGGACATTTCCGTCCGTGTCATTTGCCTTGGTTCTAAGATCTTTCATCGCCTCATTCAACTCTCGATTTTTTCCCTTCACTTCACGAATTTCCTTTTCAAGACTCGCTACGTAATCTATTCGTAACAAAAACGATTTTTTCATTTGAAAACTAGACAAAAAACAGAAACAAACTTTTGAATTATCTTAATCAGATGATCGGATTACCTTCGGATATAAAGGATTTATAATCCCGAGGTTTTGTCGACGTTTTACTTGAATCTTGTCGATTTAATTGTTTAGTTAACTCTTCCATATCTTCTCTCATTTGTCGAATGATTTGTGTCAAGATTTCATTTTGTTTTTTAAGATCAACGTTCGGCAAATTGTCGTCGCCTTCTGAGGGATGTCCGTTCGCCACAACACTAACTTTGATAAAAAAAAATTCATCATAAAGAACTTTTAATCATCGGGATTAAGTAGGAAAATCAAACCTGTATACAAAAACCTTTACTAAGCAACCACCCTACACTAAGCAACCACCCTACACTAAGCAACCACCCTATACTAAGCAACCACCTTATACTAAGCAACCACACTACACTAAGCAACCTCCCTACAATAAGCAACCACCATACACTAAGCAACCACCCTATATATTAAGCAGCCATTTACGTTCAAGGCAGTTCTATTTAACCATAATCTCCAAACTCAATCCCAGTTTTTACGTTCAAAGCAGTTCTATTTAACCATAATCTCCAAACAAATCAGTTTTTTACGTTCAAGGCAGTTCTATTTAACCATAATCTCCAAACTCAATCCCAGTTTTTACGTTCAAGGCAGTTCTATTTAACCATAATCTCCAAACTCAATCCCAGTTTTTACGTTCAAGGCAGTTCTATTTAACCATAATCTCCAAACTCAATCTCTAGTTTTACGTTCTATTAACCATAACCATCATCTCCACTTCACTCTGCAATCCAAACTAAAGTCTCTTAAATTAAAATTTCGTTTGGCGTTCTGCTTCCCCTTACGCAAGCTCAGCTTCCTTATAAAATTTGGACATGTGTACTTACAAGTTGCTGGTGTCGGTAAGTCAAGACCATTGCTTCTGAGAATTGCAATAACATCGTCTCTCTGCGACATTACATGACGTACTAGCCTGTCTTTATCTTGTAAATCGCGTTCTTGTTGTCTCACTCGAGATAAAGCCTAAAGAAATATCGTCGTAGTAACATAATGACAACTTTGTATAAACTTAAGGATATGATTATTTAATGTCTTTGTACTTCATCCTTGGCCCGAGTTAAACTCGTCACCAGTTCCTCTTGTTTCTCGAATCCAATCCTCTCGGCTTCTTCACATCTGCGCTGCCAGTCCAATTCCAATTGAGTTCTAGCTCGCTCCAGTCCTCTCTCCTTCTCTAGTGATGCTGTAAGATCTTTCTGACGTCTAAATTGAACGAGAAACTGTGAAGTCCAGGAATAACCAGGGCAATGAAGGATACACAAGGAGGAATATCCAGGACTTTAAAAGATATACAATAGAGAATATCCTGGAATAGGACGATGTACAATGAGGAACAACCAGGACTGTGAAGGATAAACAATGAGAATATCCAGGACTTTAAAAGATATACAATAGAGAATATCCTGGAATAGGACGATGTACAATGAGGAACAACCAGGACTGTGAAGGATAAACAATGAGAATATCCAGGACTTTAAAAGATATACAATGGAGAATATCCAGGAATAAGACGGTGTACAATGAGGAACAACCAGGACTGTGAAGGATTAACAATGAGAATATCCAGGACTTTGAAAAATATATAAAAAATCATCGTATCCAGGGTCCATTTATGATTTGATTAGAAGAACATAGATCATAGGCGTTATATATGATGAATCGTATCAATAGTATAAGCATCGAGGGTTTCATCAACGTTTATAAGGATTGTGCTGTAATTACAATATGTTGAGCAAATTGAGATATGCGAGAAATCAAAGAATGTTTGTTGAGATAAAACATAAGATAAAAACCTTTCCAATTCATCTCTTCTCTTTGCAAGTTCAGTTCTTAGTTTTGACTCTTGTTGAAGTAATTTCTCGATTTCTAAATCTTTAGCAACAGTTTGTCGTGAGAATTCCTCGTTTTCTTTCTGCAACTTTACCTGAAGGTCGCTAACAGATTGCTGCAATCTTTAGAAGAATAAAAAAAAGGCAACAAAATGAATCAAAAATATTTAATCATTCAAAACAAAAAAAGGTGGATGCAGCCATACAGCCTCGAGAGCGTCACTTGAGTCTCATGACTAAGAAGTACATAAGGACTTAGTTTTCTCATTAACCCCACCCCCCCCGGTCAAGGTTCACCCCCCTCCCCCCCGATGGCCTTACCTTCCCATGGTGACTTCATTTTCCTTTAATTTATCAACATATCGCCATTCATTGTCTCTATGTTCTTTCATTTTAGATTCCAACTCTTTTTCCAACTCCTTAATCTTCGCCTCCAGCTTTCTCTCTTCTTTGGAAAAACCCTGAACACAAGACATTATGTGAGATAAAAGCATCCAGAATTGCAAACCTTATCATCTGGGTCACCGAGAGAGAAGGGGGGGACTCATAACTGTGACTGGGCACAAGTTTAGCAAAGTACCCTAAAAATGTGGTCGGTGTAAGGAATCATTTGCAATTGAGCATCCTTGCATCCTTTCTAAATTTCATCTACACTCAGTAGCGGATGTTTTAAATCATGACGTCACCGACACCCCGGATATTTCACCCCAGGCCCAAAATTTCTCTCGTCGACCCTGCTTATCATTCATACATTTTTGACATCATCCAGCATCGTCTCTTTCTCACGGAGTGCACGATCAAGTTCGGCATTCTTTCTTTGAAAATCTTCACGTAATTTTTCCTCCGTCTTTTTTGCTGTCTCGAGTTGCACTTCAAGATCGGCAACAAAATATTTGTGAGTGTTTTCCATGTCGGAAATTGTCCAATCTTTCTCTTTTATTACTTTCTCCAATTCACGTGAAGTCACTTCAGTTTTATTGAGTTCAGTTTTACAACGATTGCCATCCGCTCGAACTAACTCGAGTTCCTTAGTAAGACTTCTTATCTATATACAATAGATGATTAAATTTATCGATTTGAGGCAAATTGATGAGTGAAATACACTTTATTTTACAGATATATGAAGAGTGAAAAAGGCGAAGTTTAGCCAATACCACAACTTTATCAATACTGTTACCTTCATCTCACCATTTATCCATTTCTATTCCTAGGTATACCTTTATTGTATTCCAGTATAAAACAAAAATATCACAACTTTATCAATACTGTTACCTTCATCTCATTGGAAAGCTAATATGGTTAGTCATCAAGTTTGGCACGATATTCCTGGTCCACGTTTTAAAGTTTCATCAAAGTACAAGTTCTTGACGACCTCATTCCAGCCATTCTTTAAAGGAATGATAAATTACGCTCAGGGATGGATTGGGGAGTAATGGGCAGGGGAGGGTTGGGGTTAGTAAGGGAGAATGGGAAGGAATAGAGGGTGGAATGGAAAGGATGAAATAAGGTGAGTAGAAATTGGAAGGATGAAGGATCATGGGTGGGGAGGAGGGAGGAGGAGGGTAAGTGAAAGTGGTGGGAGGGATGTGGGGAGGAGGTGCAGTTGAACCGTCAATGGGACCGCAAAATCTCAGTAAAGTGCTAAAATCTGATATGGTACGACAACAAGTAGCCACTGAAATCAATACAACTAGATAGAACACTAAGCTTATCATGGATAAAGTATCCACAATAGTGATGATGGCATTTACGTAATTGCTTTCTAAATTTCACGAAGGAGGCTCTTCTGAAATCGATCTTTGGACTCAAAATACTTTGAATCATTTTGGTACTCTTGTAACATAAAGAAGATGATGGTGAAGATGATGGTGAAAGATGACGGTGAAAGATGATGGTGAAAGATGGTGAAGGATGGTGAAGGATGGTGAAGAAGATGATGGGTGAAAGATGATGAAAGATGATGGTGAAAGATGATGGTGGGGTGATGATGGTGAAAGGATGGTGAAAGATGATGGTGAAAGATGATGGTGGGATGGTGGTGAGGTGATGGTGAAAGATGATGGTGGGTGGTGAAAGATGATGGTGGATGATGGTGAAAGATGATGAAGATGGTGAATGGTGAAAGATGGGTGAAAGATGATGGTGAAAGATGATGGTGAAGATGATGGTGAAAGATGATGGTGAAAGATGATGGTGATGGTGAAAGATGATGGTGAAAGATGATGGTGAAAGATGATGGTGAAAGATGATGGTGAAAGATGATTGAAAGATGATGGTGAAATGATGGTGAAAGATGATGGTGAAAGATGATGGTGAAAGATGATGGTGAAAGATGATGGTGAAAATTTGAAAGATGATGGGTGAAAGATGATGGTGAAAGATGATGGTGAAAGATGATGGTAAAAGATGATGGTGAAAAATGATAGATACTACACAAAATTGAAATCTTGCACAATATCTTGAAATTTTATAATCATGAAATGACATTGAAAGACATCAAAGGCACACATCCCCTTATCCCCTTAATGATACAAGTAATGCTAAAAAGGCCACCATGTTAGAATATAGTTTTATCCTATTCTTACTGAGAGATGTTCTATTTTGTGCTTGAAAGAACAGCCTATAATAGCCTGAACACTTTTTCACCATTTCACATTTTTGGACCAACATTTTATGCACAAAGCTTTGGGGTGGGGGATGGTTACAATTCACCCACCCCACCCCTTAATGCATGACCTTGTATTGAATATACCAAGGTTATAAAATTGTCATACCTTTTGATAATATTTTTGCATTTCTTCTTTTGCTTTTTGTTCATTATCTAATTTTAATTTCATCTCATCTAGCCGTGCGTATAATTCACTTATTTGCGCCGTCTTGCTATGATCTGTCTCTTTAACTTGACCAATAACTGAATCATATTTTTCTAACTCTTCATCTCTTTCGTACAATAGTTTTAAATTATACTCAAAATCCTCTTTTAATTTTTTGAATTTCAACTTTTCCTGTGTCAGTTCTTTATCTCTTTGAGAAATAGTCTCTTGCAAAGATTTTATGTGAGCTTGAAAAGCTTCCCGCCATTCTTTCTCCTTCTGGAAAACCACTGAATCCAGTGAATTATTTGTAGACATTTAACTCGTTTTTTTTGTGTACAAAATGATCTTCGTTAATCTATTTTCATAAAAAAGAAACGTGAAAAATTGTAATAAATACAACATGACAACCATTCTTACAAAAACCATTTATACGAAATTACCCGCCATGATATTTCCTCGCGTGTGTCACGCTATCTGCGAGGAAACCCACGAGGTGAGAATAAATTTCTGAACAGATCATTGTACAGTACCTGACGTTTACTCCTCATTTGTACAAAAATTTTTGAACAAAAATTTTCCAGGTTTTGCTAACTGCTGATGTTTATTTCAGCTGAGCAATTTCTACGTTAATTTTACCAACAAAGCGGTTGAATTTCCTCACTTATGCATGTAGTGGAATGGATCCGAGTGGGGCTGTCTACCGGGGTCCCGGGTAATGTTCTCCCTGGGACCCGGACTTATGCAAATTTAAGTAAACAGAAAAGTATTTCGCTTTTTGTTTCAGAAATTGTCAGTTTTTTTATTAAAATATTGCATTGAAACACACCGTATGAATATTTCATGGTAAGAAGTTTGGCAAGTTTAAAAACCTCTTACGAAAAGAGTTCACAAGAGTGAAGAATCAACCTTTGTCCTTTCGACATCTCCGAGTAACGTAGTCAAGTTTATATTTGAAGATTTACGTACATTGAGCTGTCAAACGTTAAAACTTCCTCAGAAACTTGTGAACTGTTATAAAATGCCGAGTGTCGATGAGTTGGAATGCGGTTGCTGTTGTGAACTTCTCTGTAACCCGACAACATTAACGTGCGGTCATAGTTTTTGTCGTTACTGCTTGGCAAAATGGTTTGTCACATCTAACAAGCCAGAATGTCCTTTATGTCGACAAACCTGGAGTGGATTCCCGCAAGTCAATATTACATTAAGGTGAAGTAAGGAGGCATTAAATCCTTGACATTAAATACATTTGTGTTATATTGTCTTCATTGAAAACCATAGACGTGTCATTGACAAATCGTTTCCCGTGAAAATCGTTGAACGGCAAAAATCACAAGAAAATACGGCGGATTATCACGAAGTTTTGCAAATGTTTGAGGAATATGGAAAGAACAAGGATCCTGATCAGGTTTTCTCTGAGGAATACATAAAGACTGTGATTGGTGCGATTTTGTTGATCATTGTGGCTGCTGTAGTCATTTTGTTGATTGTAAGAGTTTGTTGTGCACGTATATTAGTCAATAGTAAATATTTTGATGTATATTATCATGATCTTCTTTTCATAGGCTATTTTATATTGGCTATTCTTCACAGGAGATACTCATAGTAACTCCATCTACTCCAAGCCTGCGTACTTGTGGTCGGTGAACGAAGTGGAGACCTGGGCCGAGGCATTCAGCAAGCAGTTGGGTCATGATTATTCCCGGCATTTTCAAAATTTGAAGATTGATGGTGAACTGTTGTTATCGTTGAATGAAGAGGATCTCAAAACTCTCCCGCTCAATGTGACCATCAATCTTCATAGGAAACTCATCCTTGCTGAGATCAACAAACTCCAAGCAACTGGTATAAGGACACCAAGGGATCTATGGGAATACAAAGTACATTACCCTACATTTTATCTAAAAGATTTGATCCTTACATACAATTTGTGATGAATAAGCATTGACTTAGGATGGAAGTACAACCTAATGTTTTTAAGAAGGCATTTTGTACATTTTTTCATTGCCTGCCCAACAGTCTGAAGGGGGGAGAAAGGTATTCAATGATGGAGTTAAAGTCACAAACCAAGGTTTCCAGTTTGGCATTTGCCCAAACAAATAACTTCATTTTCACAAGCTTTGGTTGGAAAAATAATAGGAAGACAAAGTGATTTTCACGTTTTTAAATTTTGTCAAAATCACTTTGTCAGGCTTACTGTTGCTGTGTTTCGATATGCCTCTAAAGGTACTTCAATCACTTTCAATACTATTATTTGTCAAATTAATTTTTTTATTCAATTTGGCCAATTGCATCAAGAGTTAACTGGTACCCTTGTTTCAAACTTTCTCATTAAATAAGCACAGAAATATTTATATGGCAAGACGACAAGTTGAGGGCAAGCCCTTGCCAGTGGTTATTTTTCTTATGAAAAGAAAAAGTAGTTAGCTTATGAATTACATGTTTTTCTTTATTTTTCTTACAGAATGCAAACAGAATTTCATCAGTTTTCCTCCTATTCATGTTACAAGAATTTCCACGTCTTACATTATTTTGTTTTCGCTGCTTCAATTACAACCATTTTTTTCGACCCTTCATGGAAACCGTGATCAGTGAACCGCAGGACTGTAGTTCATTAAGTGGCTATAACATTGATAATTTGTGTGTAGAGGTTAGTTGATTCAAAGAACCAGTTATTTCATCCATCTCGCAAAAACCTGACATGAACTTATTTACATTTATTGCAGAAAGAAATCACATTGGTGGATAGATGGTGGTTTTATCTTGAATGTCTTCTATTGCCATTTTTGCCTGTAGCAAAGTTTTCTTATCATTTTGTGAAGATTCATTTCTATACAGTGTGGATGATCATTGCCCATTGTACAATGCTCACTGTTCATGAGATTGTACAATTTTTCAATGCTGAAAAAAGGTACGTATGTATGTCAGACATCTTCACAATAGCTTCTTGTGCTAACTTCCATTGTTTTACACAGTTGGAATGCGGCACTTACAACTTACACCGAGGCAGTCTTCTCATTTATCATCAGAAGTGTAATGTACAAGATTGCAACATGGTTTGCACCATCCTTCATCTTGGATTTCTATTTTATCACTAAACTTTACTATGGACCTTTTGAAACAGCTCACAGAGTAAGACTTGAATATTTGAGGAGAAGCATTCTCCGAGGACTTAATGTTTTGGTAGCTGCTGCAACGCTGGAGAGATCTCTAAGAAACCTATTCAACATTAGACGAGGAAACCACAGGAGATGACTATTATATCTTGTTGGAAATTACTGGGTTACTGATTTTTGTAATTTTTAAGTAAATTTCTGTTTGTAGTTTAGTTTTTAAGTTCATGTTTAGTTTTTTATTAACAATCATCACAAATTTTATGGTTACGATGTTTTATACTAGAAATAGATATTTTTAAATAAAACTAATTTAGAAGCCATGCCAGTTATGTCACTTGAAAAATGCATTGTATCAGTTAGCTTTGATTCTGCGAATGAGAAACAGAAGGCCACAAAGAGTAAAACAAAATATTGCGACAAGAGTCTTGTCCCATTACATGTTTAGGATGCAGATCATCCAGGTTAGTGCTGTCCTGAGAAGAGTTGCTCTTGCTGTTGGCTTTCTAGAGATAAGGATGTTGAAATGTCAGTCTACACCAAAATCAACATGTCTCTCGATTGCACTAAACTCTAGTGAGCTGTCTCAGAACTAGACCTACCAACATATATGTCTAAAATTAAGACAATTTTCATGATGGTAGATTTTTGTATGAAACAACACGAAAAAGGTGAAATGTATCAATAAAATCTTCTTTACTCCATTTTTACAGAATATATGAATGAAGTAAAACATAGCTCATTGCAGTGATACGAATGCTGACTATGAAAGACATTTTGCAGCATGACAATTGACAAAAAAAATTGACTGCAAAAGTAGGATGCAAAATTGACAAAATGATTTTGATGACCTAAGGTTGAGAATTGAACATTTTACGAATGTACAATTTTTTATTAATTTGCACCATAATGAAATGCTATTTAGCAGCTAAATCCAAGGGGCTAGGCTCTCCCAGTATTGAGAAGAGGTGGCTTTTTGGGCAAGTAAATGACTAAGATTTAAAGTGCTGTTTCCCACACATACCAAAAAGCCTTTTGTCAGTTATTTTCAATGCCTTTTTCACATTTTCTTGTACTAAAGTGTCCTCAAAAATGCAGTAAATAGCAATTTACAGGTTTAAGAAAAACACTCTCCAGACTTCAATCTCATGCCTTTAGGGCTCGTGACTAGCAGCAATTGAATCATTGGCTATGATCTTGAACGAATGTCAGTTTACTTGACCAATTGCTTTAAAACAATAACTTTCATATGACTACAAATTACAACAATGGACAATGCTAAAAAAAATTTGGTTGGGTAATCTGCCCTCAACAAGAAATTGAATTTCCTGTATGCCTAAATCCTGAGCATTCTACAATAATGCAGCCTATAGTTAAACTAGAGCATGAATTAAATTATCAAAAAACAAATGCTAAAACTATAACCTAAACTAAAACTAAAAAATTAAGGTTTTACAATTAAAACTACCATGCACAATCCTAAATTACTCCAAACCTACAATAGATGGGCATTAAAAGGTTGCTTAAATACTTAGTTGGATTTTGTCAATTTCATTTGCTTGAATACTAGTGTCGGCATCATGACCACATTCACGAAATATGAACTCTTCATCAATTGGGATTCGATACTTTTCTTGATACGTATTTTTGCCTCTTTCGTGAGGAGATACTTTAACATAAGGACTACGTCCCCAAAGAGCCAAAAAGCAGCCTTTTAGTAGATCTCTCTTGTGAGAAAAGACAAGATAATCAATTGCGTTACGATCAACTGAAGAACATTTCAAATCCCCATACAATTGCTGACCACCATTCAAATGCATCACATCCCATGTACTAACATTCTTCAAAACTGTAACGACTTTACTTTGTAATTTCTTAGGTAGAGGTTGATCATTTGGAAGGAGGGAACCATTTAGAAACCCGTTAATGAAATCGTTTCGTTTATTTGGAAGGATAACTTCAGGTTTGCTTCCAATTCTCTCATCAATATGAATTTTATTATTCATAAATATTACTCTTGGCTTCAAGTAATCTTTACGAATTGTTATGTTCTTTTTGAAAAGATATTTACGAAGTACCTGTGTTTTATTTTCAAGACTCGTCAAAACATTTCCATACTCAACAGATTCTCTACCTCCAGACCTTGATTGGATCCATTTTTGACCATCTGCACTTAAACTAAGATTCCCAGACCAATTTTTTATTTCCAGCGTGTATATACCGCTAACGTGAATCAAGATAAAGTCTATCTCTCGTTTCTGATGACCTTTAAAATCTGGTATCCGTAAATTAGGAAAAATTGATTCCCTTGGCAGACCGCTATCATACAAGAACTTCTCAAATAATTTCTCCGCATCGCGCCTGCTTTATCTTTTCATCTACGCTGTGTTGTCCTGGATTGGAAGAAAGATGAACCTCCTGAATACGTTGCCATAAAGAAGGCATCTTTAGCGAGTATCAACCGACTCGAATGCTTTGTTTTCTTCTTTTATCCTTCTTTTGATATTGTTCTTTCTCGTTTGTAAATTTTATTTTGAAAAACACGAATTTGATTGGTTAACATAAAGACACTAATTTATGAGAACACTGCAGTGAACTCCATATATATATATCTGGAATGATAACGACAATACATTTTATAGATATAAAATTGAAGCCAAAGTCCTAGTCTCTTGCGCGGTTTGTACGTCAGTTCCAGTCCTTCAAAGTCGAATATTCACGCGGTTTGTACGTCAGTTTCATTCCCCTGAGTGCCAAACATACACGGCCACTATAAATTTGAATACAAATTGCAAAAGCATAAACATATAAACAAAATCACGACAAACAACACACGAGGCCAACTCTTCGCAAAAGATTATTTTTTACAGCTAAAACTTTACTAGTGAGTTCGTTGTAGCACAACTTGTAACGAGGAAAAAGCCAACTGAAAATTACTTTATGCTCAAAGGCAATACAATATATAAAACATGATGAGAAAATATTCAAGCATGAATTTTCTTTCGTCGGAAGGTAAATTTTCAAACGGTGTCAGACGTGTTTGTCTTTTTTGTCGTTTCAATGGATTTAAAGATCTTGTTTTTCCGAAGAAAAAAGCGAATATCCAGGTTCATAAAAATGTTGAGTCTATAACTCGCATTTCACTTTTTACAAGAAACGATTGTATCTTTCATCGATTTTGATAGTGCTTGAAAATACTAAATGGTTGTCATCGATATCAGTAATTGAATATCCTTAAAGACTTTGTTTTAAAGGAAAACCGCAGCGTAAAAGCAGATCGACTAAGTTCACCTCACCCTGCTTCTCGATTTATCACTTTGATTCACTTTCCGTGAACCTTTTCACTCCAAAAATTTCCTTATTTTTACGCTCTGATCAAGATCCGAACTCTACCATTACCAAGGGACAAATGATTGAAAAAAATTAAAATGAACACGCGAGAGACGTGTGATGACGAATGATGACGACAAATATTTTTTTGGCTTCAATTTTTGGCTTCGGTTATCATTCCAGTTATTCAAATGTCGAGTTCACTGGAACACTGTTTTCGTACAGACGGGGCCCGGAAGTACGAGATTTGTACCGTGTGATATCATTGGTTTGCACTAAGACATGCAGTCCAATCAATGGCTTCAGTCAGGCAAGCTATTTGACTTGAAACAACACTTTCTTGCTTTTTCTCTTTCGTGTTGGTTCGCAAGGTTGGTTTTCACTTCTCTGGTTTTCCTCAGCAAAAAAACTCATCACTGTTTTCATTATTAGGATTAAGAAATGGTGAAATGTACAAGTACTTTAAAAATTTGACTTTTGCTTTGAAAGAGCAATGTCTGAAACAAGTGGAATATTGAGGTATTTCCGCGAGCGACAAACTCGAATTCAAAGAACTTGCGCCCGTATCAATGCAAAAGATAATCGTTTTCTTAGTCAACACATTCACTTTCAGTTTGATTTTTGCAGGTAATTTCAATGCAAGACTTGTCGATATGTTACAGTCAAACCGGATGTTGTGTTCCACTCAACATTGCAACATACCTGTCAATTCATTGGTTGATTCCAAACACAATTTGCAGTTTGAAAATTCAAATTGCAAATTGAAGTTTAAAATAGTAGCGAGAGAGTTGCCGAGCGGAAATCGAATTCGTGTAATAAAAATTAATGGACAACATAAAGTTTTAATTAGAGGCAGAAATATACCAAAAAATTGTAAAATTGAATTTATTGTAACGTTTCGTCTTTACTCATGAGATCTTCAGACAATTAATAAATAGGACGTTAAGGGGGTGTTTATATGAATCCGGAATGAGTTTCGATCCGAAATGAGTTTCGATCCGAAATGAACTCATTCCACTGTAAAAGAAATCCTACTGCATGTTTACATGAATACGGAATGAGTCACAACTCGATCCGGATCGAGTTCATTCTTATTTTCATTCCGGATCGAAATTTACTTTTTATCTCATGTAAACGCGAATTGAGTTTCATTCTGGAATGATATTGTGATTAATGACGAAGCACGCATGTGCCATGGGTATTGTCTTCTGGCAAATTGAAGCTCATAAGCAAATAAAGAGGCTAAATGGGTTAAAATGAGTGCGAAGAAAAACAACAATTAGCTTCATGCAAGTGTTAAGCTGTATTAACGCAGGAACAACAGAAAAAAAAGGGTTGCTATAATGTTTATTTTCTCCATCTTCAAATTTCAAAATTCCCGCGAAATGTCAATCCTTGTTTTGATTTCCCATGTAAACACGGATTGACATCACGTTTTGATCGGGATTGAAAGTCATTCCGGATTCATGTAAACACCCCCTAAGACAAGAGAAGTAGTAATTTAACACCTTTTTGTATATATAATATCTTATATTCTCCTATATCGGGGAAACTGGCAGGAACTTAAACATAAGACTTACTGAGCACAAACGAGCTACTAAGAAACAAGACAAAACTAATCACATTGCCGAACATCACCGAATCACAAAGCACAACATTGACTGGGACTCGGCAAAATGCATTACTTACAGTGCTGACTATAGACAACGGCTTACATTAGAAAGTTGGTATACCAACTTGGAACAAACCCCTGTCTGAAGATGTCTTAAGGAAAGACGAAATGTTAAGCCCGCCGCACACTGGTAAACTTGCCGCGCGTACTTGTTATTCGTGACAAGTGTGATCGACGAAATTTCCTAGTGTGCGCGGAGGTTTTGAACATTGTTATTGGTAGGCCGACAATATCAAACGCGTTGATATTGACTCGTTTGTCGACCATTATCATTCAAAAGCTGCACTGGAAGTTGAAAGAATGTTATATGCAGTGCGGTGTTTGAAATTAAGGCCCAGTTCAAACGTCGCATTTTACATGCGCCGAATCAAATGCGAGAATTATGTGCATGTAAAATGCGACGTTTGAATCAATTAAATTCGACGGATTTTAATTTAATGCGACTTTAGTCGCATATTCGTGAGTTAGTCAGATATTCGACAATTCGATGTTGATCCGTCATGAATTTATGCATAATTTTAAGATATTTCTAAGGCAAAATAATTATTTCATGCTAAATGCCATGCGCAAAGTTGTAAAAACATGGCGGCGGCAGTGGGGTAATGGCCTTGTATTTCGTGCACATTTTAACAAAATACACTTGTTTAAAGTGCAAAATTTATATGTACAGGAAAGTTTCATCGGATAAATGTTTGAATCAAATAAATACTTCAAACTTTCTTCCACCAGCCGAATTTCTATCTTGTCTTCGTGATCGATAAGGGCTACGTATGAAGCTTTTTTGACCAATTAACGGTAGAAAACATGGAATTTGCAGAAGCTGCCGTCTCGTTTCTAAATAGTTTATTTGCTGTAACATGCATAATTTCGTCTTTTCCTATTAACACGAATCATATTGAAATGCATAAACTCAACATTTCTGTTCGCCATTTTAGGAAATGGTACAAGAAAATGAATAAACTATGAAAAAAAGTGGAAGCATAACTATAATAAATGCGACTATTAAATTCGACGTCTGAATCAAACTACGCATAAAACTATTTTAGTCGACTAAAACTCAGATTTGATTCGGCGCATGTAAAATGCGACGTTTGAACCGGGCCTAAATGACGATATGATCTTCGCACTTTTGCTGCACAATTTAACTAGGAAATTTTGTCGATCACACTTGTCACGAATAACAAGTACGCGCGGCAAGTTTACCAGTGTGCGACGAAACGTTACAATAAATTCAATTTTACAATTTTTTGGTCTATTTCTATGGCTCTAATTAAAACTTTATGTTGGGCATTAATTTTTATTACACAAATTGACGTTTTTCCAGTGCGGTACTGTTGGTATGTCTCATTATTCCATTCACATAGAAAATAAAACAATCTTTACCAAGTTGAGAACGTGCGGTAGCTATACGGGGGTAAGGCGAAACATTCAAAAGTATCACTTCCAAATTGGACATTTCAAACAGAGCATCCTCGAAAATTATATCAAGTGCAACTGAAAGAAGTCTTTTACTGGCATTACGACCTGGAGAAAAGGACAGGCTACTTGCCAACCCTAATGTAGTGGAACATGTCGAATATCAAAAGCTTCAAAAGTTGAGTACGGTTACTGCAGAATTCAAACTGATGTAATGCTGATGTAATGCTGATGTACGCTGATGAAAGGTACCAACAATAGCGCACGGGAAACAGTTCAAATTGCAATTTGAATTTTCAAACTGCAAATTGCGTTTGGAATCAACCAGTAAATATTGCTAAATTGACAGGTATGTTGCAATGTTCATGGGAACACAACATCCGGTTTGACTGTAACATAACGTTTGTCGAAATGTAACATCTACAGGTTGGAAGTTTCGTTTCTTATCAAAATATGCTCCTAGACAAAAATACACAAATACTCTAATCAAAAACTAAAATTTAATTAAAGTAAAATCTAAATAGTTATCGTTGAAAAAAATCCCAAGATATTGTATTAATGTTTAAGCAAAATATAAATAAAATTAGTAAAAAACAAATGCTGAAACTATAGTCTACTAAACTAACTAAACTATAGTTTACAAGGTTTTGAAAATAAGACTACTTACGTAATCATAAATTACTCTAAACTAAACAGACTCTGAAAAAAGCTTGTCTATATCAATGGTACATCTCTATGTGCAATAATCGATGAATGAAATCAAGTTAAAACTTAATTCAATCTTGTTAACTTTAAATACTGACGTCATTATTACCACCATTCATGAAATTGAATCAATACATCAGAGAGTTTGAATCTTCACGATAACCTTTCTCCGGGCATCTGTGTTTTTCTCTCATTTCATGGTGACTTTCACAGACAGTTTGTCCAAATAAGGCAGAAAAAACCTATTATACAACTTCGTTCATGTGAAAAACAAGGCGTTATCTTTCTATCAACTTTATGATACATGGACAACCTTTGAAATCCCCATGTAACTGCTTACCACCATTCAAATACATCACATCCCATGAGCCAACATTCTTCAAAACATCCTTTACTTCATGCTGTAGTACTTCCGGTAACCGTCGGGCATTGTCTGGAACCCTCTCGAAAACATAATAAACTTTTTGATATTGATTTGAAGAATAACTTCTGATTGGTTTTGTATTATCTTGTCGATGTAAATATTTCTGTTCACGAATACAACTCTTGGCTTCAAATATTCTTTACGAACTATAACCTTGTGACGAGACAAATGGTCATGAAGTAATCGCGTCTTTTCTTTTAGACACTTTAAAACATTGTCATATTTGATTTGAATGTATCGACTACCTCTAAGCCATTTTTACTAACATTTTCTGCGTCTTTACCAAGATAGTATTGTTATCACAAATTGGAAAATTGCGGCACCTTGGTAGACCGATCTTTAGCAAATACGCAAAATTGCCTCTCCGCAAATCCGACTTTCTGCTTTGTCTTATTTTATCACGACGCATCAATGATACTGTGGAAAAGGATGAAACGCACAGGTACCCGGAGGAAGCAACTCCTTTAAAAGTAGACATCTTAAGCGAGCAATTTATCAGCGTGTAAACTGATCTCAAAATTGAGCATTAAAGAAAGTCAGTCGGCTGATTATCTTTCGGGAAAAATGGAGAACGAGTTTGGCTGACGCAATAGTTTCCGGTTTGCTACCGTGAAATTGGCACCACATTGGGCACCACAATCAACACAACATTCATCACAACATTCATCACAGCATTCATCACCACATTCAACTAAAATTTATCATTCAAAATGATAAATCGAAAAATCGTCTTTAAAACACGTTTTCTATCAAATACAACAGTAAAAAACAATTAACTACTTATTACTATTTTCTGTCCTTAAACATCACAAAAAGTATAAAGTCGAAATTGAAGAAAACACTAAACTTTATGTTACAGTGTACTTTCAATTCTCTTATTGGCATATAATTTAAAAAAAACTGTACAGTAGGAATTTTTAAACATTGTTAGATAATTAAATTGTCTAAATAAATCCAAAATCTAGAGAGTGCACAAAAAAAAGGGATGGTTGTGAAAGAAATCATCGACAAAGGATAAGAGTGAAAACTTTTTTTTGAATGTGTAAATATAATTTTATCTATTTGAGTGGATTAAAATTCTGGTTCATTCCTAAACAAAGGCATAAATAAAAACTACACGGTAAATTTTTAAACTCAATAATGTAAATATTCTTATTTGTCTTCACATCCAAATCTGGAGGTGGCTGTGAAAATAAAGAAATAATATTCAGCAGAATATTTCTCTGGTAACTGTAAAAGTTGGCACCATTCGACAAAACATCTATAGCTAAAAAACTACGGTAGAATTTTTTTTTACTAAGCTCAAGTATATTTAGAATTTTATATTGTCACAGAAGATGCTGAAAATATAAATGGTAAATCAGTGAAATGTGGGTGACTCAAATGCGCGTAATATAATCTATGAATAACTGCATTCCTGTTTTGACATGGTGACGTGATTAAACACAGGAAACGGGCAGGCGTTTGTAATCAAATCTGCCAATATCGTTTCAATTTCTCTATCTGAAATCGTCGAAATAAAAAGTAACTTCATATAGTTCAGGCAGAGGAACATTTTTAGAAAAAGTGAAATTGTTAATCCGATAATTTATTCTCATCGTATTAACAACATGGAAAAAAATTACCAAAAGATAAATAAATACATGATTTGTAATTTTGAATGAAATAAAGTGAACTAATTATGTCACGTTACTTTACTAGATTCACTAAATTCAGAAAAATTAAAAGCGACATCTAGAACAAGGGTGGCTGGTGGTCGGATACAGTCGGCAGGCAGTCAAAATTTTAACTAACACCTTTTTATGAATATATCAGTCAAGTCTGAACGGACAATTTGCATGGTTTATAGGAAATTTTGTCGATCACTTGTCACGAATAACAAGTACGCGCGGATTTACAGTGTGCGATTCTTAATAAATTCAATTTTACAATTTTTGGTCTATTTCTGGCTCTAATTAAAACTTTAAGTTGGGCATTAATTTTATTACACAAATTGAAGTTTTCGCGTGCGGTACAGTTGGTATGTCTCATTATGCCATTCATAAACAATCTTTACCAAGTTGAGAACGTGGGGTAGCTATACGGGGGTAAGGCGAAACATTCAAATGCATTACTTCCAAATTGGACATTTCAAACAGAGCATCCTCGAAAATTATATCAAGTGCAACTGAAAGAAGTCTTTTACTGGCATTACGACCTGGAGAAAAGGACAGGCTACTTGCCAACCCTAATGTAGTCGAACATGTCGAATATCAAAAGCTTCAAAAGTTGAGTACGGTTACTGCAGAATTCAAACTGATGTAATGCTGATGTAATGCTGATGTAATGCTGATGTACGCTGATGAAAGACCCTGCGCAGCAAAACAGACAAATTGCAATTTGAATTTTCAAACTGCAACGTTTGGAATCAACCAGTAAATATTGTAAAGTGAACAGGTATGTTGCAATGTTCATGGAACACAACATCCGGTTTGACTGTAACATAACGTTTGTCGAAATGTAACATCTACAGGTTGGAAGTTTCGTTTCTTATCAAAATATGCTCCTAACAAAAAAAAACCTTTCTAATCAAAATAAAATTTAATTAAAAGTAAAATCTAAATAGTTGTCGTTGAAAAAAATCCCAAGATATTGTATTAATGTTTAAGCAAAATATAAATAAAATTAGTAAAAAACAAATGCTGAAACTATAACGAAGCTCTACTAAACTAACTAAACTATAGTTTTACAAGGTTTTGAAAATAAGACTACCCCACGTAATCATAAATTACTCTAAACAGACTCTGAAAAAAAACTTGTCTATATCAATGGTACATCTCTATGTGCAATAATCGATGAATGAAATCAAGTTAAATACTTAATTCAATCTTGTTAATGTCATTTGCTAAAATACTGACGTCATTATTAACACCACATTCATGAAATTGAAACAATGCATCGTGAGGGATTTGAATCTTCGTCCGATAACCTGTGTTTTCTCGTTCATGTAAGGTGACTTTCACAGACGGAGTTTGTCCAAATAAGGCAGAAAAAAAACCTATTATACAACTTCGTTCATGTGAAAAAACAAGGCGTTCAGTTATCTTTCTATCAACTGTAATACATGGACAACCTTTGAAATCCCCATGTAACTGCTTACCACCATTCAAATACATCACATCCCATGAGCCAACATTCTTCAAAACGTCCTTTACTTCATGCTGTAGTGCTTCCGGTAACCGTCGTGCATTGTCTGTAACGGAGCCCTCTCGAAAACCGCCAATAAACTTTCGATATTGATTTGGAAGAATAACTTCTGACTGGTTTTCTATTCTCTTGTCGATGCAAATATTTCTGTTCACGAATACAACTCTTGGCTTCAAATATTCTTTATGAACTATAACCTTGTTACGAGACAAATAATCATGAAGTAATCGCGTCTTTTCTTCTAGACACTTTAAAACATTGTCATATTTGATTTCAATGTTTTGGCTACCTCTAAGCGTTGACTGAATCCATTTCCCACCATCTTTACTAACGGAAAGATTCCCAGACCAATTTTTTATTTCCAATACGTATATCCCACTATGGTGAATCAAAACAAAATCTATCTCACGTGTATAAGGTCCGTTACGACATCCCTTGCGTCTTTTATCGGATTTTTGCGTCTTTTACGAGAAGTCGGTATCGTTGGTATCCGCAAATTGGGGAAAATTGCAGCGTTTGGTAGACCAATGTTTAACAAACTCTGCGCAAATTTTTCCTCCGCTGGCCTGCTTGGTCTATTCTATCGACAGGGTGATATCGTGGAAGGATGAAGCGCACAATTTGAAGACGCTCCTTTAAAGTAGACATCTTAAGCGAGCAATTTATTAAGAGCATTAAAGAAAGTCGGTCGGCTGATTATCTTTCGGGGGAAATGGAGAACGAGTTTGGCTGACGCATTTCCGGTTTACTACTGTGAAATTGGCACCTTATTGGGCACCACAATGAACACAACACACACACGGCATTCATCACCACATTCAACTAAAATTTATTCAAAATGATAAATTGAAAAATCGTCTTTAAGAAACGTTTTCCATCAAATACAACAGTAAAAAACAATTCTTAACTGTTTATTACTACTTTACTGTCCTTAAACATCACAAAAAATGTATAAAAGTGAAGAAATCGAAGAAAACACTAAGCTTCAATTTAAATTGTACTTTTCATTTCTCTTAATTAGCTTATAATTTAAAAACTACACGGTAGAATTTTTTTAAACTTGGCCAGAATATAGATAATTATATTGTCTAAAATATATCGAAAATCTGGAGGTACAAATAAGTTGTAGAAAATGACACATCAAAATCTGGAGTACACAAAAATATAAGGAATAACATTCCGAGAGAATACTCTGGTATAAACTGTGAAGTTGGCACCATTCGACAAACAGCTCTATAGCTAAAAAACTACACGGTAGAATTTTTTTAAACTCAAGTATATTATAGAATTTTATATTGTCTAAAATATATCCAAAATTTGAAAAGTGCACAAAAATATAAATGGTAGAAAAACATCGACAAATGTGGGTGACTCAAATGCGCGTAACATAATCTATGAATAACTACATTTCTATTTAGCTACAAGTGACGTGTTTAGAAAGCAGAAACGGGCGAGAGCGTTGTAATCAAAATCTGCCAAAAATCACGTTCAATTCTCTATCAATCGTCGAAATAAAGTAACTTCATATAAGTTCAGAATGCAAGAGGAACATTTTCAGAAAAATTGAAATCATTTATCGATATTCTGATCGTGTTAACAACGTAAAAAATGCGATAGAAAAAAAGTACTAAGGTAAATAATAGCCGATTTGTAATTGTAAGATAATAAAGTGAACTAATTATGTCATTTACTTTACTAGATTCACTAAATTTTGAAAAAATTAAAAGCGATGAGCATCTAGAACAAACTTTCAAGAAAGATAACCAGCACTGTTACGTCACTGCATAATTAATTTGGCATAAACAACCAAACAGAGTTTACTACTTTGAAACAATTTTGTAAAAAGTGAATTGTATTAAAAATTTTTTGTTCACTCTCTAGATTTTGGATATATTTTAGACAATAAAAACATGTGTAATATGCAAAAGTTTAAAAAATTCTACCGTGTAGTTTTTTATTTATAGGCCTTTGTTTAGTAATGAACCAGAATTCTTAACTTAATTATATAAAATTATATTACGCGCATTCGTGTCACCTAACTTTGTCGATGATTTTCTACAACTTAATTTTTTTGTGCACTCTCTAGATTTTGGATGTATTTTAGACAATTTAATTATCTATATTCTGGACAAGTTTAAAAAAATTCTACCGTACAGTTTTTAAATTATATGCCAAATAAGAGAAATGAAAAGTACACTGTAACCTAAAGTTTAGTGTTTTCTTCAATTTCTTGACTTCTATACTTTTTTTGTGATGTTTAAGGACAGTAAAGTAGTAATAAGTAGTTGAGAATTGTTTTTTACTGTTGCGTTTGATGGAAAACGTGTTTCAAAGACGATTTTTCAATCTATCATTTGAATGATAGATTTTTAGGAAGTGTGGTGATGAATGATTGTGAGAGATGTTGTGTTGACTTTGCCAATAGCAGTATGTCGATTGCATAAATGTCAAAAGACGTTGATTTAACATAAGTCGATTTACATAGTAAAATAACGACTTTGTCGTTGTGACAAAATCAAAAATTGTCTTAAAAATAGCAAATACCATTGTGAATAGTCAAAATAATAACGTAATAGTTGTTAAAAGAGCTGTTTGAACCCAGAACACTAACCTAACAATTCTAAAACAACTGTTTTTGACGTTTATGTACATAAATTTATGTTGAAGTGGAAATTCGCCTTCATTCGCAGCAATAAGGTAACTCACTCTAATTTCGCTACACCATCACCATATACTATAAGCTTCTGAATAGTAACTGACCTTACATTTACTGGATGGTGCTCCATTCAAGAGACACGAACTTCAATGAAAGCCAAGATTTACAAGACCTGCATAAAAACACTTGTCAATAAACTATCATTAACCAAAATGTAAGGTTTTTGCAGAGAAATAAAGGAACGAAGTGTTTTTGTACAGACAGAGCCAGCAGTGCAACCTTTGTACAAAAATACAGAGGTCCGATATTTCTCCGTTATATACAAAGCACGCAAGGTTGACGAAAACTTTATCATATGGCATAGGATATTTATACTTTTGATGTTTTTTGCGGGCATTTAATTTATTTGTAATGGTCCGTTTGTCCTTCATAATGGAGCCAATCAAAGCGCACTTTTTCACCGGAAGTGACGCTTGTAATAAAATAACATAATATAATATAACATAATATAATATAATATAATATAATATAATATAATATATTATAATATATGAATAAATTATTTATAGTCATGTGTTCAATACGACGAGAATACCTTTTTGTTGTGTATCATTAATTGCCCAGCAAATGCAATAATGATTTAGCAATTGATAAAACAAGTTTACTTCATCAAGCATTTCGAGTTTTTCAATCCTAAAATTATTGATTTGTGTAAAAACTAACATAGAAAGTTTTACATGTTTGTAAATGTAGATCGTCCAGGTTAATATAGTCCTGAGAAGGACTGTTTTTGTTGTTGTTGACTGACGTTTCAACAACCTTAGCGGTAGTCATCTTCAGAGTCAAAAAGTTAGAGTTGTTGTCTCTGAATGACTACCGTAACACAATCCTATAGGCTTCCCTGGGCATCATACAAACATGTTATTCTCGGGTTCAAACCATTTACTTTATAGAAAGTTTTATTCAACAACATACTTAACCTTTCACGATCTTCATATGGTAATTTTTGATAAACAGGCGACATATCAAGAACACCAGCGGTGCTCCATGACAGATTTTCAAAGCGTTCAACCTTAAAGGAAATATGCCTGAATAAAGCTAAAGTATAAATGATTTGCTAGCTTTTGTTTATCGGTTTACCTGTGATTTAAGGGTTGGACAAGCTAAAGCACCATAAAGAAAGCAATTACGCACCTGAAATGAAAATATGATTGCACAATCAAAAATTCATGATCTACTTGAAGATGATCATTTGATGTTTGCTAACACGTATCATTGGTGAAACTAATGTTTGAAAATCAAATCCACAACAAGGTGTTAGTAATGATGTTTTTAAAATCACAATCTAATGATTGTTGTATTTTATGGCAAGCTCATAAAATTTGAATTAGCACATATATGATCAACAAAATGCAAGGATTATTCTCTTGATGCAAAACAAGCACAGGCAGATAAAATATGAGGCCTACCTTGAGATTATCAATCATAACTTGACCAAAGGTATCGTTCATATTCACTTGCTCATAGTTTAAAAATAAAGCAGTAGGAAAATTCTCTCCTGCCCATTTAATCAGAGTCTCAGACTCTTTAGGATGAAGATATACCAAGACGCACTCAGTAATAAACACCGTAGGAAGGCTGTCCGGATGAGCAAAACAAAAATAAGCAAAATGATAAGGATGTGTGTTTCAAAAGTAAAATACCTTTTGTCAAGTGAGTATTTCAATAATTTCTCTTCTAGTTCAGTAATATTCCTGATATCAGCAGCAAGCAAATGATAATCCCTAAAGTGAATTTCCTCATGACCTACAATGAGACAAAATGTTTCACTATAAGTGAGAAAAATTGCGTTGTTTCCTTCTGCAACAATAAAATGATGAAGCTTTTTTGGTTAAAAAAATCATTTCGAGATAAAACAAACCATATTCAACACTTGCATCAAAATACAACTGCAACGCTTTCTTTTGTCTAAGAGTTAGAAACCAAGACAATTTAAGCTTCACATCCCTTTTACTGTCATCATTATCAATTCTTTTCACCTGGCCATACATTTCTACTTGTAACGGCACCAAAGTCCACATCATAAAACATCATTGGACAAGTGCCAGACTCCTTGAGTTGCCAATAGCGTGTATCAAATCCAGCGCCAAGATTGATAACCTGACAACCGTTGGATGTCATTTCAGGAATTGGTTGAGTATAGTTTCCATTCCTTTTACGAGCATAATAACCTGTGTAGAATATTGAAGAGAAAATTTTCCACAAGATCTTTTCTCTGCACAATGAAAGTATTATGTACCATAAATGCACGAAAAACAACCAATAGTATGCTATTTATGAGTGATAATAAAAGTGTAATATATACATGTCAAGCTTATACTATACTTTAAAAATAAAATATATGATACACTTTGCTGATGTGCAAATAATATATGTACAAAACGGAACCTATACCAAGTATAGCAAGTCTCATTATTCAACGAGTTACCCAGCCACATACAAATGTTTCTGGAGTGCACTATACATAATAAATGCTGAGACTACGAGTGTATAACTGCTATGAGTTTGTCTGCAAAAAATTCATTATTTCACTTCATATAAACGATTTAAAGAACGAACCTCTATTAATCTCAGGCGTCTTTCTTTCTGTTTTCTTCACAAAATATTGTATATAATTATCTTGCCAGTACCCCAAGTGAACAGCAAATCTAAAAAAATATGAAAACAATCGCTGAAATTATCAATTCTTTTTCAATGAGCAAAATATAAACAAAATATGGACAACCTTTTACACATAGATGCATCGTCATTTGTGGCTATCACACCTCGTCTTGCGAAAGCATCGCGTTTTAATTGAACAAAAGTTGAAGAAGAATAACGATGAAGCTTCGTAGAAAAAGCTTATATTTAAAAAATCAGTCTTATCGGCCATATTGAATTCACGAGCCTTTAATATTTTTAACAGCGGCATATTATTGACTAATATATTCGAAGGACCATGCCCTTGTATCAAACCTTGGCCCAAACCTTTGGTCCTTGCATTGGATTCAGAAATTGGACAAAATGATTGGACCATGTCATTATCACTAGAACCCAGCTCTCTTATCTACCTGCAGAAATCCTTCCTCACACCCCGCATCAGCAATGGTATGAACAAACTGTGAATTTCAAACATAAAATTTTCATATTTGTATTAAAACATCTTTTAGTATATACAACATCATAATCATGAAATAAAACAATTATTTTACAATGATAGACCATTTGATTTTCTCAAAGTTCATAGAAATAATTTTTTAACTTTACTATAAATTCTTCATACAAGAGGGTTTCTGAAGAAGAAATGTCTTTAACATCATTAGGAACTGTCACATTTCAAGAAGTTTCTGAAGAAGAAATGTCTTTAACATCATTAGGAACTGTCACATTTCTACAACACTGCTCCAAAGATGTAAAAATAAGTCAAACAACATACAAATGTTGGCATGTTGGCTATTTACATCTTTATTGCATGACTCTGAAATAGTAAACAAATGAAAGGTAAGTGAGAGAGACAATAATGAAAACAAAAATGCAGTTTGAAAGTCACCTTGTGAATCTGCGAAGATCCATTTGGTAAACCAATGGTTTTAATTGTCCTTGGTTGATCCTTAACAAAGTTTCGACATGATGCCAATTTGGATTCAAGAGCCTGATGTAAAATCAATAAAGAAAATAAGTTAAAAGAAAAATTTGTAATGTAGCTACAACAAACCACCCTCAATATATGAATACAATCTTAAAGACAGTCAAAAGAAAAGACTTGTAATGTGGCTATGATAAACTAACCCCAACTTTACGTAGAAGATCTCCAACAATGTTTAGTGCTGAAATTCTGGCTGAAGGTGCAAGAGGCGTTCCACCATTTTGAGATTTATGCGGGGATGGTGTTAAATGTTCAGCTTTCACATCTCTTCTGATATGTGGCTTCGCTTTATCATCTTTCTTTCCATCTGTTGTTCCTTCTGTATCTTCTAATTCTAAACTCTTTTGCGTGCGAACAGCAAGTTCTTGATGAAGATCTAAACAAACATCAATAAAATTTTATAAATTATGTTTCTAAGAAATAAGTCAAAACAAATAATGTTCTTAAGTTACAAATACATCCTTCACAATAGAAAGAATCAAAATATCCTAACCTCTGGCTTCATCCTTTAATCTCTGTATGGTTTCAACTAATGTTTCTTTCTCGTCCAATTCATTTTCTAAGATGGCATTTCTTTCGATAGCCTAAAGTGAAAATAATAAATGAATAAACAAAGCTGTGATTTATAAAAATAACTTTATACGTGAGCATCGCAGTACCTCATTTAGTCGCTGCTCAAAATCTTCAAGTGAACTTACTGTCACTCTAGAGAAGGAGTAAAAACTTGAATGAATTCAAAAACTGCTAAAATATCAACACTAATTTTTCACCATGGTAAAAAAGATATGAAATCAGTCAAAGATTTTCAGATTAATCATCAAATTGAATGTTATTTGGACTATACACAGACACACAGCACAATGGCAACTAGTCAACCGTTTTCACAATACATTAACATAACACACAAGTCATTAACATTTGTTAAATTTTCTTGGTCTTTATTGAAAGCGAGCAGATATATCTATGACTAAGACGATTAGACTTGATTGCCAAATAACGACGCGACGAACAAAGAACTTTTTCCTGTTAAAGACGCATATTAAAGGAAGGAATCTCGAATACTCGGAACTGTCTCCTCTAGCTAATTATTGATAAGGGGACAAGAAACTATTCAATTAAACAAAATAACATAAACTTTACCATAGCGAAGGCTGTTTAACGAAAGGAAAACGAGCGATTAACAAGTAACACTTCATCGTTAAAAATTATGTTAAATTAACCATCGAGTTGATTTACATAAACAATTCGTAAAGGATTCGTCGTTCTCAAAAGAATGACACATCCCATCTGTCTTTAATCAAAATGTCAAGATCTTCAGAACGAAAGCATTTAAAATATGTTTACTTATGTTTACTTTGATTCGTTTCATGAAAGGTGTCGTGTATTAAACTGAGTATTGACATACTTCCTCTACATTAAGTTAAACTAATATCAAATAAATATATAAGATACCGTTTTGCTCGTTCAAGATCATCATTAGACTGTTCCAATTCTCTGACATATTTCCTGAGTTCGTCTTGAATCGCTTTCAGCTGAGCATTTTCATCTTGTAAAGATGTTATGGTTATATATGATTCGTTTTGACTCGCTTCCAGCTTTTCCTGTAAAAGGCAGACAAAGAAATAGTCATCGCTGGTCTATATTAGTACATATCTTGCTTGTATAGATTTGGCGAATTGAATACTCGAGAGCTTTCGCATGTATATACCTTATAAGCAGAATTTTCGGGCATTCATAACGGCATTGAAATATTTATGCGAAGTTTACATTTATCTTTGATATGTAATATTCGCTGTTTCAATACCTTTAAATTTTCATTGTCAGTTTCAAGTCGTGTTTTTATTGATAACAGTTCGCGTTGACGAACTTCTGCTTGTTCCAGTTGAGCTTCGAGTTCAGCTTCAAGCTCTCTGCTACCTTCTTGAAATTCATCGAGTTCCTCTCTTGTTTCGCGCAACCTTGAGAATTTGAAAGGAGAAGTTTGATTACATTATGTTCATCGTAGCGTTAAACAAAGCAACATTTCCCTAGTTTTTAACAATCGTATAACGCCATCAGATAACGTTAAATGCATAAAAATACCTCATGGAGTATTCCTCTGCTAACTTTCGCCAGTATTTTGCTTCCTCCTTCGTATCTGCGAACTTAGGAACCTCATCGTTTGAGTTCATGCCTGGCATAATAAAGTGTTTACCACGCGGCTACAAGCCAATGCAAGCACTACACGAACAAGAAAATATCTGTCACATATGGCTTAGTCTCTTCCTACGTAATCAATACCGCAGTGAGGACCTAATGAAGTAATGGAAGAGACATTTCATCAGTACAGTGGAATTTGTGAAATGTAAATTTTGTTACTGACATATGAATATAATGATGGCTTCTTCTCTTTCAATGACATCATGCTCGCAAAGGAGCTTGGGATGGGAAACAAATCGTACTCCAGTAATATATATGCTCAGTTGATATCGGATGTATGATATATGATCCACGTGTGCACGTATGACGTAATAATTTGAAACGTTTATGAGCCAATAAGTGTAAGTTACTGTTTTTAAAACAGTAATTTACTAACACTGATTGGCTCAGAAAATGTTACAACACTGCTAACAGCCTAATAGTAGCGTAGCAGCCTGGCAAGTTTATTCCCAAAAGGTAAATCATTAGATTATCGTCATAATTTCTTTCGCAATATACAAGGACTTACTAAAGTCCCTGACAGACTGCCACGACACCACGATCCAAAAGTGCAACAAAAGCAGAACTATTGTCAATCTACATTTGCATTTCTTTTGTCTTGATTGGCGGATATTTATGCATTCATAGCTCCAGTTACTCATTGAGATCAGTTTTTCTTGTACCCTGTGAAAAATGGCGTCCAATAATCCTCCGATAAGTGACGTTAAACTTGGTGAATTACCGGCGTATTTCAAGAAGTTTAAACTGAATAGTATTCCACGTGGATTTATGGGAATGGTATCTCGTTATCAGCAGAAGTACTTGCTTTGCAAAATGGGAAAATCACCCTTTCCTTCACGTTATTGGTTTAGCAATGTTTCTCAATTATTGCATCGAGTACAAACATTTGAAGCGTAAGTTGATTTAGCATTTCTCTTCAAGTACAGACAATCTTCATCACTATTCTTAGTGATGTACTCATAGAACAATGGTGAATTGTTAGCAACTACCAGAAATGCAGGGTTGACTTCAGGTTTGAGTGGCTAAACTTCAGGTTTTGACTTGCTAAATGAATTTCATTTACTTTACAGATACCAGTATGATGAGAAAGTATCATTGATGAAAGAAAAAAACTGTTCTTGGTTTGGAAATTTTTGCTGTCCTGAGTGTTGATTGAACTACTATCATGATGAACATTGAAAGTTTACTTAAAATATAACAAAAATATTTGTTCTTTGTTATGAAATACATATATTTTCCCAAGTTTAAATTAATTTTTGAGTAAGGTTGTGTATTGTGCACTTCAGTGTCTTTCTTTTGAAACTTTCCCAATTGATCTTATTCTGAAGACTTTTCTGCAAAATTTCGTCATTCGGGTAAGCTTGTTCCTGTGACATCAAATTCAAGAAAAGAATGAAAGAGCACGATAACATCAGAGTTGCCATAGTTACTTGCCTCAAGAAGTAATCTTCGTTTCATTGCCTCATTACAATGTTCAAGGAAGAACTTCTTTGCAATAACAATACATTCGGCACCATTGCTAACCTTCATTAAGAATACCACCATTACATACCATTCAACCAACATTTCAAGATATTTCAAAATATCAAGATATTAAATGATTGCCCACCAAACTTAGACTTGGTTGTCGTTCGAACACCAAGTGGTTTACTCCCTGCAATAGAATTATATGACCTTGTTAAATAGATGTAAGAAAAGAGATGCTGACACTAAATGGTTCTGAAATTATTTGCTCTGGCACTGTTGTAGCTTTTAGCACAAAATATATTGTGCTTATATATGTAGAATAAACACTACACAGACTTTAAGGAGCAAGGTTGGTGGCTCTCTAGCTACAGCCCATCCTTCACATCAGTAATTTAAACACCATTCTGAATTTTTAATGTTTCTCTCCAAATTCCCTACTTTCAACCAACACCTCAAGTCTATACCACCCCCAATAAAAAATATGCTCTGTGTTCCTAGTTGAAAGGTCCATAATACAATATAAGAAAGGGTTAAAATTCTTAAGTTATCTCAGCTGATATTAATTCTGCATCAGACTTACAAAGGTATCTCCTTTAGTGAGACTTGCAACTTCGACAAACACCGACTTGGATTCATCAAATGTCACCGAATTATCTTTCTAAATAATTTTAAGTATTTAAAAGGACCATTCTTACCAAGTTACTACAAATAAACATCATTAGCACCATCAAATTAATTTAGTGCTAAAACAGCTAGAAGAAAGACATTTTTAGTACCTTTGTGTCGTCTTCATCAAGAAATGACAATTGATTCAAAGGAAGTACATCTTCATTATCTTTTTTGTCTAAGTACAATGCAAATTATCTTTTGTTATCCACATGCATCAACTTGTTAACCATTTTACCTCTTAATATCCATATGCATCATCATATGTTATGCATTTTATCTCATGTTATCCCCGTTCATCAACATTTAATTAAGAATTCACATAATGTCAGTATTTGAGAAAATAAACAGACTTTTTATCAGGAAATTTTCGTAGTTTCTTTGAGGAGAGCGAACTTTCAATGACGAATGATTGCCTTTATTTGAAAGACTTTTTTGGGACTTGTCCAATGAAGGCAAGCTGAGGGTATGCTAAAGCAAATAGCATTTCTGATTATATGCAATGACTTAGCTCAATCACCTTCTATGCACTTGGGAATTTTACCTTGTTGTTGACATTATTATTGAATTTCTTCCTAATGGATTCTCCAAGATACTTATTGTCATCTACATGCTCCACCTCTGGTTCTATCCAACCAGTAATAGTACGTTGAGCATGCGCTACCTTATCAATGACGTCAGTTTCACTTGTACTATTTTCACTTGTACCATCCGCGTTGTCACGTGCTTGGTTGCTGACGTCATCGATAAAGCTTCCTGGTTCGTCACCCTCAGTTACAGTTGAGATTTTCAGTTGTAAATTGTTACATTGTTTTGAGGGCTTTCTAATACGACTGGAAACTAAACAAAGAAAAAATGGATTTCTCGTCAGCCCTCTGAGAAGAATGTTTCTGATTTGGTGATAGTTTAACACACGCAATTAAGACAATAATTCCGAAGGGCTCCGGGAATGAGATGACTTTCTGCGAACATGAGAACGCCAGCCAGTCACAAACCTCGCTCAAAACCAACGACTCGTTTCTGATGTTGCGTCAAATGCGAGTGAACCTTCTTCAATTTCTTCAGAACGCGACAACTTCCCTGCGAAGAAAATTACCTGTTATCCGAACTTGATCTTTTAGTCCTACTTGCATTCTTTGCATTGCATGCATAAAATCAGTGCTGTAGAAGTGGGGGTGCGCTTGGGGGAGGAGCCCCCTTCTACCTTTGAAATGGGTAACTTTTCATAATTTCATGGCTTCAGCTTCGTCAAGAGAGCCCCATCTGATAAATTTAGCTCTACAGCACTGCATAAAATCATACATTTATATTCTATGTTCTGAAGAAGGCTTGAAGCACCGAGTTTAAAACATTAATAAAATTAATACTTCATTCTTTCAATCCAAATTTTAAAGAAATCTCAACTCTAACAAATACCCTGGACTACCGATATAAAACAAAATTCTATATTTTCTATTTACTGAAATGCGTACCGATTTAATAATGTAGATCCACTCTGAATGATTGCTATCTTTCACTAACACTGAGCCACGTCTAAGGATGAAATAAAATAAAGACGAAGAACTTGTTTAACAAAAAGAAGAGAAAAAATTGAAATAGACAATAGACAAACCCGAAGAAGTGAAATAAACATCGCTTTGTGTTAAGGGAAAGAATCTCAATTGGCCAGTCTTTCAAAAAATTAATATTCCTTGAAAGAAATATATTGTGTTAATTGTTACAACTATGTTTCATACGTTAACCACATGGAAAGAGTTGGTTTGAAAGGTACAACTGTGGTCGCTAGCGTTGTTTTGAAAGGGTACAACTGTGGTCACTAGCATTGTATCGAAACGTACAACTGTGGTCATTAGCGTTGGTTTGAAAGGTACAACTGTGGTCACTAGCGATGGTTTGAAAGGTACAATTGTGGTCACTAGCGATGGTTTGAAAGGGTACAACTGTGGTCACTAGCATTGTATCGAAACGTACAACTGTGGTCATTAGCGTTGGTTTGAAAAGTACAACTGTGGTCACTAGCGATGGTTTGAAAAGTACAACTGTGGTCACTAGCGTTGGTTTGAAAGGTACAATTGTGGTCACTAGGGTTGGTGTGAATGGTACAACTGTGCTCACTAGGGTAGCCACTAGTCAGCAAAACTTTTTATATCAATCAGTAAATATTTTTGTGTTCATTTATAACTGTAAAAACGACAAAATTTCTAAAGAAATCAATAACTGATAATGTTTCAAAATATACAAGGAAGAAGTGGATATAAATCTTATGGATGCCGACGTTTCACACTCCACATATATTCGGGTCACGTGTTGTCTTCGTGGTACAGATGTGGGTTGAACACTGACGTACATGAATGTCATGATTGATTGGATGGGGCGTTTTTATTGGTTTGCGAAAGTAACTTACTATCAATGCAACGTCAAACATCTGTGTTAGACAGCCATTGATAATACAGACATTGAATCATGGGATACGTGGTAATTTATAGATCATGATGCTTGTAAATGTAGATCGTCCATGTTGGTATAGTCCTGAGAAGGACTGTTGTTATTGTTGACTGACGTTTCGACAACCTTAGCGGTAGTCATCTTCAGAGTCAAATGAAGATGACTACCGCTAAGGTTGTCGAAACGTCAGTCAACAACAACAAAAACAGTCCTTCTCAGGACTATACCAACCTGGACGATCTACATTTACAAACATGTAGCGATACTCCCGGGTTCAAACCCTTTACTTTATTATAGATCATGATGCCTTGCTTTTACTCATAAATATTATAAATATTAAATCTTACCTGATGAAGTCAAGATGATCGGGATCATTTACCGTCTTGACACCACTACTAGTCATGAATATATCAACAAAATCCTAAGGAATTTGAGAAATTTTCGTAGTCATTTACTCAATACAATTGAATGGAAATTTAAAAAGCATCCAACTCCTATTTTCTTTAGTAATGTCATCTAACCTCTTTTGAAATGACCAGTACTTCGCTAAACTCTCTCGTGATAATGGATGACTGTCTTGTCGTATCATGAAGTATAGCGAGTTCCTATAAAGTTTCAGAAGAAATATATGTCAGTCAGTCCTGGCTAAAATATCCACAATGACTTTTAAACGGAAAGCTTTTACGAAGTTTATATATAAAGTAAATGGTTTGAACCCGGGAGTATCGTTACATGTTTGTAGATGTAGATCGTCCAGGTTGGTATAGTCCTGAGAAGGATTTTGACTCTGAAGATGACTACCGCTAAGGTTGTCGAAACGTCAGTCAATAACAACAAAAACAGAAGTTTATTTATGTCACTTACTCCAAAACTATCGCCACGCTTTAAAAAATGAACGGTTCGACTGACTTGAGTATTTTTATCCATGACAGTGACCACAGCTGGATATAATGAAAAGTATAAATAGATAGAAAAGTACAAGTATACAGTATCGATGTTTTCTGACGACAAAAGTTATTCACCATCATATACTCTAATGTACATAGTATCATTTAACTTTACATACTAACATGTACTATTATATCTCATAATATACCTTTACATATTATCATCTCACCAGTCACGCTCATTTACCAACATGTATATAATCATCAACCATTTCATACTGTCCTCTACTATCCCCTACTATCCCGTACTATTATCTACTACCATTATAATGTCAGAGTAAAGATTTCCTAGTTTATTAAATAAAAATGTACGAGTTTACCTGAACCAGAGAGAAGAAAATAAAATGCTTGTGGTCTGTGACCTTGTCGGATCAACACACGTTTTGCAGGATGCCTGTAAAGTGTAAACAAACATCTAAAAATTGTTTTCTACATTAAAATTTTCCTCATTAAGTCAGAAACGTTCACGACTGAACAGACTCGCTTACCCTTCATACCAACCGACTTGGATCATTTTCTCTTGAATGCGACAAGGATATTCGGCAAAAGCTCGAATATGACCAAACCAAAATTTCACCTTATTTATAAAATAAAATTATTTGAAGAATACTTCGAGCGCAATGAGTAAAAACGACATGAAAATTGAACAAATGTTAACTTGTCTTTAAAGCCCGTTTCACACATCAAAATTTCCTTTGTGTATAAGGCATTGGAAACACAACGATAAAAAAGGATTTTAACTCGCTGTTTTCTATCTGTGTCATTCGTGACATGAAACGTTTAATTGGAGTTTTAAATAGACGTAAAAACCTTGGCTATTTGTTGCTCTGTCCTTTCGCTTTTTGCTAAAGATAGCACAAACTTTGCTTCAGAAGAGACATACATCTGAAATACAATTATTCATTCACTCATCCAAACAATATAAATTACGAACAATCATTGATTTAAAGATTATGAACGAGGAACAATAATCATGTACCTTACGACTAGCTTTGAAATACGAAACATTAAAATGTATATTGCTTTCCGATTCTTCATTTACTTTCTCCTCATCTTGAAGGTATTCTGTAAACGCTGTGTGTTTTATATACTCCAATTTTGATTTTTCTCTGCGGAAGATGTAATAATATAAAGTTTTCATTCGAAAAGAAGCAGTCTTTAATTACAAAATTAACAATCATTGACGACTCTCCATTAAAACATACTTCTGATGGCAGTACAAGCATATCGATGCAAAAAGTTGAATGATTTTACTCGCTCGACGAAAAATTTCCAATTTGGATAAATTCTGAAAAGAAATATAGATCCAAGATTGACTAAAATGGTCTTATTTTTTAAATTTCCAAGAATTCATCAACAAAAAGGAACTTTTACGTGTGGCAGTGGCATTGAATAGTTTTATTCTAAAAATTATATAATTATGCTCAATAATTCAGTGTTGGATGTATATTTACTAAACAGTTGAGTTCCTTGATTTTACTGTGTTTTTGAACTCAATAATGTAGAATTTATTCAGATAATTCGGGAAATGACGAGCATACCATTAGAAGAACAATAAATAGATTATTAACAACAGCCTCACCATGTCAAAATAACACGAATTTTTTTGCTTCGTGTCCAGTTTCTTGACCGAGTACAAACTTTGATCACGTGTTTCGCACACACCTTGCAAGGCATGTCGGGATTCTCTATGTCTACGAAAGGTTTGACTCACACGTCTCTGGACCTGTGAGAGACTGCGCTGTCTTCGACCATCTACAATTTGCGTCGCCACTTGATAGATTTGGGAACGAGCTCTTGGTCGCGTAACGAGAACGTCAAGAGACTGGAAATGAATTTCTTGCAATCCATTTTTTTGATTGCTTTTTTTCGATTTGGACATCTTCTGGGTTTTTTTCACAAGTAGAAATAATCAAAGTATATATGAAGAATAAGGGCTTTATAAGTGATAGCTTCGACGGCTACATCAGAACTAATCGCTGTAAAATATTACTAAAGACAACCCAAAGCATAAATCGACTTAAACCGCAACTTTTATTGGTTTAACGTGATCCAGAAATATATTTCTTTCATAAAAGATTTGAAGATAAAAAAAAGTACAAGTTACCTTTAAAATGCAGTGAAGCTGGAGAAATGTTTCGAAGAAAGACGATATCTTTAAGTTTAATCAAATAAACGCGTAACCCTCGCTGCAAAGGAATGCAGGATTTAATCCTTACTTGTTGACCCAGTTTTCCTGTGTAAACAGTTTTGAATATGTTTATCATGATAATGATTAGTGATCTATTGAATATTTTTTCCCTGTTAAGTAAAAATATTACAGTTTTTTTTTTGTAAATTAAATTTAAAAAAATTCAAAGTCATTTTCTTTTCGAATTCGCGCGACATTTAGCTAGAGAATTTCCCACGAGTGACGTGGGAATGCTTCGCGAGACACGCACGTAGCACGCGCGACACTAATGGCACAATTACTGATGTCATAATGATTGCGCGCAATTAATTAATTCATAAACTCTGTTGAGTTAATTGACAGCAAATGTAACGACATAACGCACCATTCTGAAGCAAATTACAAGGCAAAAAAACTGTTTCACAGTCAATAAAAGATAAAATAATGGGACAATACTGTTGCACCCTTGGTTCTCGTTCAGCTAGAGTAGCACCTGAGGGTCCCAGACCAAAAACTGCGCGCGGTAGCGCTACTTTGAAGAAGGTCTCTAGCACAATGAACACAGTCGATTAAAGGAATAGGATGAATAATTTTCCTTTTTTTTCACAGATATTCCAAGAATGAAGAAATGTCAACTGAAAATCAACAAATTGAAAACGATTCTTCCACCCCTCCGTACTGCTGGTTTACCTCCACCCCCAATACCACCTCAGCGCAAACCGCATCAGTTTATTCCATACGTAGAACATCATCAAGAAAAAAATGGCGCTAAAAAGATACGGTGGAAGGAAAAAAAATTTGTTGAAGACGAGAACACGATTCAAATTCGCACCACGGAGAGAATAAGTACCACCTTTTCTCGGAGTTTTCAATCATATCCAATCAAATCGACCTACCTCCTTCCCACAATACCTTATGAGAATGCCATATCAAAATCTTTCCTTTTTTTTTGTAGTCTTTCCAGCTATAACGACGCGCGACGTTTCAGATGACCAGCAAAAAAACATCAAAAACATTCACAGTCAAATAAGAGTTTTGTTGAGACCAGATGAGAAAAAACGAACACGCTACACGGCATTTAGTATTGGCAAGCCGAATGAACTCAAATGCAATTTACGACGAGTGCCAATTGGAATCGTAGCGCGCGACAACGATCGTTATTATAACCGGGTAAATCGCGACATTTTGTACGGTTTCAAACACTTGATGTACAGATCGTAACTCCAATCAAAAATGCAAAGAAAAACAAGAAGTTTATTTCTTGTTTTCCTATCCAAAACAAGCAACAAGTTCCATACCTTTCAATTTATTCCCACAAAATCTTTGGTTTCCACCTTGCTGTTTACAAATATGTTGATTTCCCGACCAGACAATGATAAAAAATAAGAATAAAAAATCACTTTTTGGAAGTTTATAACCGAGAATAAGGATATTCATATATTACAAAAAGTTGTAGCAACCATCTTCAGTAGCTTGACTCGACATACCTGCATTTTCCATTTGACATTTCAGCCAAAACCTCCAAGCATCGAGGAGAGACAAAAAGAGGCAGAGCGACGCAGAAATATGAACATTGCGAAGAGAATTCAGTCCGCAAGACGTCATTCTACAGCCAAAGTTACTCCGGCTAAACAGGAAGAAGTTCAACGGTGAGATATGATATTGCAGGAAAATAAAACTGACTTATATGATATGAGTGGCGTAGAGAAATGTATAGGGATCTCTGGGGATCTTTAGGAATGTGGAGAAAGCCGAGAAGTGTAATGAGAATGGAAAAACAAAAGGAAGTTGAATGTTAGAATGAAATCCAGAAAGTACGACAGTTCATATGTTTCCTTATTTCACTCACTAATCTTTCATGAAGTATTAATTGTGTTAGAAGAAGAGCCCGCGACAAAATAGTCTTTTTCATTTTCTAAACAATAATTTCCAGATAGTATATGAAAAATCGTGTAATACAAAGTAGGCTTCGTCTCAGATGACAAAGCAATCATTTTGTTACCTCCAACCAGAGTAAAAAATTCAAACATTCTGTATTATTGCAGTGAACTAAGCCAAGAAATTCGGACAAGTGTTGAGAGAAAATTGAACGCAGCCGAAAAACGGCGCAATGAAATCCTCAAGCACAGAACTTGGGCTGCTAAAAAAGAAGGTAAAAATAGACACAACAAAGCCGGACATGACGTCATTAAACATACGTGACGTAATATACTCACAATTGTTCTGCAATTAGCTTCGTTCATTTAGACAACGAATCAATCAACCTTCAACTCTTTATTGCAAAACTTCATACGAAACTTCATTACTTTAATCAATTTATTATTAGATAATCATAAACTTGTGAGCTACAATTTTAACGATTCTTAGGTCGATCAACCATCGTCAACAACCGTTATAAACACACGGCCGACGCTCAGAAAGTGAAGCAAGAGGACAAAATGAAAAAAATCAACGACAACAGAGAGCGCAGGATGAAGTACCGGGTCAATTCATTGCAAATCCAGGAGAAAAGGCGACAGCTAGTTCGTCGACGGGTAAATATGAATTTATTACTAAATGTTTGTGACCAGAGATATACCGGGCGGAAAGCGAATTCTTAATATAAATATCAAAGCCCAGCAAAGTGCTTGTAAAAGAGCCATTTAATGCATAAAAAGAAATATTTATTTAGAAGCGATTTACACTTCTAAATAAATATTTCTTTTAAAAGCACTTTGCTCGCCTTTGATATTTATATTACTAAATGCTTGGGTTGTTTTTTATCAACAGTCATTTATCGTGGATTGGCATCCTTGAGAACTGAATTGTAGCAGACGACAGCCATTTTTTTTAAAAAGGACGAATCTTGACAGTTTAATCGTAATTCAATAATAGATTTAGTTAAGAACAAGGGACAAAAATTTTGCATCAGACAGCGACCCTACTTTGTGAAATACAAACGTAAGAAATGGAGCTCAACCTTGCTGTTTCCAACTCTTCATAATTTACATTTTTTCATACCAGTATTTCCTCAGTCACAACCATTGAACTAAAATACATGGAACGCTACCGAAGCTAATATTTGAAGCCAAATCTTACACCAGACACGCGGGATTTTACCCCAGACTCGCGTGTTTGGTGTTTCGAGATTCTCTCGCGGAGTAATAATTGATTGATTTCACACGCGTGTCTGGGGTAAAATCTCGCGTGTCTGGTGTAAAATCACGTCTTCAAAAAATAATTAGAGTTTCGTATTACAGGTAGCGTTCCATGTATTTTAGTTCAATGGTCACAGCAGCTCATTGTAAATTTCAGCTTGTCCAAGTACATGACGACCATGAAGACATCGTGCATACCATCATTGAAACTGAAACGTACAGTGATGAAGATGATACAGGGGAAATGAAATGGGAATGACCTAAAACATTGCTTCGGTTAACGTTTTAATCTTACTAATAATAACTAAGGTATAAGTAGGATACTTTGGGGATGGAGAGGGACAAAAGGGATCATTACGTAGAAGTAGGAGAAGACTTCCAAGAAACAGAGGAATGTCATGGTCTTGGAACAAAAATCACGTAGAAGTAGGATACTTTGAGGATGGAGAGGTACAAAAGAGATTATTACGTAGAAGTAGGATACTTTGGGGATGGAGAGAGACAAAAGAGATTATTATGTAGAAATAGGATACTTTGGGGATGGAGAGGGACAAAAGGTATCATTATGTAGAAGTAGGATACTTTGGGGACGGAGAGGGACAAAAGGTATCCTTACGTAGAAGTAGAATACTTTGGAATGGAGAGGTACAAAATGGATCATTACGTAGAAATAGGATACTTTGGGTATGGAGAGGGATAAAAGGGATCATTACGTAGAAGTAAGATACTTTGGGGATGGAAAGGGACAATAGAGATCATTATGTAGAAGTAGAATACTTTGGGGATGGAGAGGGACAAAAGGGATCATTATGTAGAAGAAGAATACTTTGGGGATGGGATGGAGTATGACAAACGGGATCATTACGTAGAAGTAGGATACTTATAGGATAGAGAAGGACAAAAGAGATCATTAAGCAGATGTAGAAGACCTACAGAAGGACATCGTGGTCAAAGCATGAGATAATCACGTGCAAGTCTTGACTGACATAGAAAGACATTGTGACCATAAAAAGAAATGATAACAGAAAAAGTATAGACTGAGAAAAAGTCTTTCGAGATACTATACGCACAATGTAATACGGTTGCCTTTCATAAAATATTTTTAATGTTATTTTTAGTGTAAAATTTAGCTCATAAGACGCACTTCGTTTTAAAGTTATTGGTAGTCGTTGGTGTGTCTTGGTGAAATATTTTACATGTTACTGAAAGCATTAATTTATATCACGAAAAAATTCTCACAATTTACGTTTTGTTTAAATTTCCATTCATCAAACCTTGTTTCCTCGTACTTTCTAAGCTTCCTTCACATTGGAGATTGCTCTTTTTCTTTGTTCGAATCATTTTTAACAACTACAACTGATGATTGTGATTTATCAAGGCGATCGCTAAAACCTTGCTCTTTTGTTTCGGGAAGACATAATGTGACAATGGAGCTTAGCGCGGCGAGTACAGCCAAGAATGCATAGGGAACAAACGGTGCTACGATGGATCCCTAAGGATAAAAGATATCATTATTGACAAGTTATTACAAACAAGGATTATCGAGATTTTGTTGATGAAATTTTACATATCATCTGCCATTATCTTACCAAAAAGAAAACCTGTGGAGACGCCATTGCACCAACTCGAGAAACTAATGTGTTTAATCCGAGACTCAAGTTTCTAATAGAATAATAAAAAATATCAATAAATTATATCTTTGTAGATGTAGATCGTCCAAGTCGAAGCGCCAGTCAACATCAACACCGAATGTCTGCCACTGGACTCTACAAACCTGGGCGATCTACAAACATGTAACGATACTCCCAAGCTCAAACCAATCACTAGTAATAACAGTGGCGGCGGAAGATGTTTTGCATTACGGGGCTGAATGACAAAAAATGTCAAGGCAGGGGCATGCATTTTGACCTTTGTAGTTGTAGTTGTTGAGAACTCACACATAATATAATTTTTTTCTTTTTTCTTTTCGTTCCCAGACTAGTGAAAAAGCTATTTATCGTAGACTGCGATTTTCTTCCTGTCATTAACTTGCAGTACTTCAAGTAAATAAAAGTCTAAAGGAGAAGCAATCTTTCAAAATGGCTGTCAGTATTTAAGAGTCCATCTATGTCGATGATTTTCCCTTGTCAAACATAAACATATATTACGGGGAGGGAAAATATTGATGAATGTAGCTCTTTGATGGGGGCTCGAAAAATTGCACAAAAAAAACAAACTCTGCAGTATTTATATTTGAATTAGCAATCGTGAAAAAAATGAGCACTTCTATCTCTTATTTTGTCATTCAAAATACAATAAAATTCTATCTAAAAATAAAAACGACAATCTAAGAATCTCATTTGTTCACAGAGCGAAATTTTCATTACAGGACTTAAAGGCAATGGCTACCCTAATGTTTGTTTGGTCCTTCAGAAATATTTACTTAAGAAATCTGCCAATTACAAAAATATAAATTTATGTTACAATTTAAAACTACAAAGAGGTCTCTTGAACAAGATGCTTCTCTTCAGTGCAATCCTTAGCATCAACATCACAGAAATCTTCTTCAACGAGAACAGAAGATCGTCGGTGTAAAGTATCCGTCAACGCTTTATTGTGAGTTTCGGGAAGATAAAGGACTAACACACAACTTATGACTGACAGGACTCCGAGTATACCAAAAGGAACATAAACTGCTGTGTAAGATCCCTATGAAAACATAAAGTTTTATTTATTTTATTCGTATTGTTATTTTAGGAATGATGAAGAGTAGCGATATCATAACTGTTTTAAGGTCTTTCATGGGGAGATATCATAACTGTTTTAAGATCTTTCATGGGGAGATGTCATAACTGTTTTAAGATCTTTCATGGGGAGATGAAATAACTGTTTCAAGGTCTTTCATGGGGAGATATCATAACTGTTTTAAGATCTTTCATGGGGAGATGTCATAACTGTTTTAAGATCTTTCATGGGGAGATATCATAACTGTTTTAAGGTCTTTCATGGGGAGATGTCATAACTGTTTTAAGATCTTTCATGGGAAGATGTCATAACTGTTTTAAGATCTTTCATGGGGAGATGTCATAACTGTTTTAAGGTCTTTCATGGGGAGATATCATAACTGTTTTAAGATCTTTCATGGGGAGATGTCATAACTGTTTTAAGGTCTTTCATGGGGAGATTTCATAACTGTTTTAAGGTCTTTCATGGGGAGATGTCATAACTGTTTTAAGGTCTTTCATGGGGAGACCGGGGCAACACTATACTTATGAAAGAGCTACAGATTCTTCACAATAAGGCTGCGCGAATAGTTTTAGATCTTCCCCCTACTGCTTCCGCGAGCGATGCACTTTCAAAGCTCCATTGGAAACCTCTAGAAAGGCGGAGAGCCGAGCATCGTGCTATTTTCATGTTTAAGGTAGTTAATAACCTTTTTATGCACACTTTTCACTGCTGTTTTAACAGTAACTATCATAACTATAATACACGATCAAAGAAAAATATCCGCAAATCATTCGCACACAGAAGATGGGGGCACTGGATAACAATAAATTTTGCAGCGGACGTTTGGAATGCCTTACCCCTTTCCCTAAGAGATGTGCCCACCTTAAGCCAATTTAAGCGTGGTATCAAGAAAGCACTCTTTTAATTAATTTCGTTTTTAGCATGTTAATTTTCAAATGATGTAGTTTTATCTTCATATTTTTCGATTTGTGTTCTTTTTCCTTTTCTTTTTAAATAGTTATATTATATTTAGTTACTTTTAGAGGACCCCTCTGTAAACCACTTTTTAGTGATGTTGGCATCCTCAATGAAGATTAGCTACTACTATAACTTTCACATTTCTTTTATTGATATGTTTTACTATCTATCGACAAAAACAACAAACACAAATAACCGCGTCAGAATTGCTTGTCAACAGTAAAGTATGTGTTTTCATTTTGAACAGTTTTAGAGCAAATGTTTGATTTGAAACGATGAAAAACATTGAAACAACATCATTTTCACGATGACTTTAAACGCATATTAATCGCAGATGATTGCTAATTCACCTCAATCCATTAGATAACTGATCAATCCTTAAACAACAAGTCAGTAGCGGATACAGGGTTGAACAAATAAATTATAAACGCTGAATTTAAATTTAAAATACCTTTACAAGAAAGCTGGTAATGGATTTTCACACAATAAAATCTCACAAAAGAATGGGCATATGTAATATATTTTACCCGAGGCAGGATTCGTTCCAGAAGCTAGCACAAGAACTTAATTTTTTTTAAAAAGTGGTAAATACTCACAATTAAAAATATTTGTGATGCCAGCATACCACCCATTCTTGTACATGCGGAACAAAATCCCACAGCAGCATTTCTACAATATAAATAAGCAATAAAATTTTGTTCAAAAAACGGAGTAATTGTGCTGTTGAAAAGTCACTTTTTCAACATATATTACACCAATACTTTTCGTCACACATCCAACATAATTGATGATAAAATTAGCGGGGGTAATCTAAGGGTGGAGGTTCTTCCGGGGAGTGAATATGGGGGTGGGTTTAATCTAGGGGTAAGGGTTCTTCCGAGGGGCATTGTGGGGTGGGGTTATTCTGGGGGCAGAGTATTGGAGTATTTGCACGCCCATAAAATTTCTAGCATCGCTCGGAAATATTTGAAAATATCGAACCTACTGTAGGTTATGATTACAACACTATTTTTATGCTAGAAAGTTGTACATTAAAGCCTGGTTTCCACAATCGGTTTAACGCGACAAACGCGACAGCGATTAACTTTAATCGCAATAATCCCATATGAGAACGTGGTAGTAATCGCAATAAACGGCGACTGACAATCGCGACAAACGCGATTAAATATCAAAAATTTTGATATTTATTCACGTTAATCGCCAAAATGACGTCATCTTGAATGAAAATTTAGGAATTCAAGATGGCGAATCAAAAAACGTTGTTTTCTTTTCTTCGATGCCTTTCTACGGCGTCTCCGTCGCCTCCATAAAACATAAGCTACTGCAATTACTACCAGATCGTGTTTTTTTACTGACGCCATTTCACAAAATAATCGCCATCCGACATAATGTAAACAACACGTCTAATAGCGCAACCATTGCAAATAAAAGCCAATAGTGGAAAGCAGGTTTAAAACTGAGAAACAGTTCAAGTTAACTATGACTAACACAAACAACAACCCTGGATCATTAACATCTCATTGTTTGTACAATGATGTACCCGTCCTGTCAGATGAGCTGCCTTTGGATATAATCTGCCCAACGATTAAAAATCAACAAAAAAGAAAGTTCACAATTTACCTTATAGCTGTAGGATAAAGTTCGGCTGTGAATATCGACAAAGCATTCAAACTTGCAATGGCTGACGATTTTCCAACAAGAGACGTGACAGTTCCCAGCAATTTAACAACTAGTTTATCTGCAACGAGTTCAATCGTCTCTATGTTTTATTAATCTAATATATGCAATGTCTTAAACGGATCAAGAGTCGTGGAAACTACACATTTTTTGGATCGATTGTCTCCTTTATACATACCAGACTGAACAGCAGTTGTCGCTACTGAAACAAAATTTGCAATTCCACATACAGCAAAAAGTAACACGATAGGTCTGCGACAGCCAAACCTTCAAAAGAAATGAAGAAAATATTAGATATATAAAAACATTACTGCAAAACGAAACGATGCAAAACAAACACAGTCAGTTTAAGTGTTAATTTTTAATAATACGTGGCAATGTTTACCTTGGTAAGGCCCAAAACGACGCAGATATAACTAGCGTATCCATGACAATACCAACGCCGAAATTGAGATATTTATCACCAAAAAGAAACGAAATGTTAAAAGATAAACCATAATATGCTGCAGAAACAGTGAACCTATGAAAAATAAAACCCACGACAGATGAATATCTTTGGAAAAGAAAGCAATATATTTTTTCTCTCTCGCAGATCGAGTTCATGAAGACAATCATCTCCACAAGATATTGTTGGATTCATTATCTTGTGGATACAATGATCTTCTCGACAGATTCATTGAAATGTGAAAATATCATTAGGTTTACAATAATTTATGAACTTTTAATGATCAAAATAACAACTATGTAATAGACAGCAGTATTTCCTAGCTTTGTAAACGTTCTCTGTTTGAAATCAGACAACGATTTACTAAAAACTACTGACTTATGAGTTTACAATGGTAACAGTGCAGTTGGCACAATACATAGAGAGAAATTAGTTGCACAAAACCCGGGTCCATTGCACGAAGCTTAGGGCCTCTTGCACGAAGCTTGGGTTCTCTTGCACGAAGCTTAGGTCTCTTGCACGAAGCTTAGGGTCTCTTTCACGAAACCTAGGCTCTATTGCACGAAGCGTGGGGTCTGTTGCACGAAGCGAGGGGTCTATTGCACGAAGCGTGGGGTCTGTTGCACGAAACCTTGGCTCTATTGCACGAAGCATGGCGTCTATGGTACGAAACCTTTTTGCCGTAAAGAGATTCTTTAAATAGTCAAACTCAAAAGGTTACCATTCAATCAATGGCAAAATTTAAAATTTATGTAAACGAGCCCTAAGATGATGAAAAATCTCGCGCTTTGCAAAATTGCCAATGAAACGTTTTAAAAAAAGTAACGTGAAAAATGAAACGTTTTAATGTTAAATTTTCGGCGAAAAAAATGTTGCTTATATACAAAAAACGATGAACAAACAAAGCAGTAGTGACAAACACTTCAGATAAAAGTTGAAAAAAGGACAACTAACCATCCAAGTAACAATAAAAAACTTCGCTTTCTTAATTCTGTTGACTTGAAGAGATCCACAATGTTTCCCTTTCGTGCCAAGTCGTTCATTCTTCGATCTTTCAACATCTTTATTTCCTGTAGTACGTCAGCAGATTGTGGAAGATTATTAAAACTTTTGATGCGTTGGATAGCTCTCTCCACTTTATCAAACTTTTCATGAAGTATTAACCAGCGAATAGACTCAGGCACAAACCTTAAATAAACGCATTCAGACAGAGACCATATGCAAGTTTTTGTCATAAAAATACTTAAGTAAGATACATAGATAGTTATTGTTTCAATAAAATCATTTGCCAGCTATAAAGCTGAATAGCTTGACATGAAGATAGAACTGTAAGGGGAAGAGTTAACACTAAATGCCCCACACATGTTGTCACTGGGGAAGGGGGGCCAGTAAAAAGTGAAGGGGAGCCATGAATTTTGAATTTTGCCAGAGGGTGTCAGTCCCCCTCTGGCTACATCACTGGGCTAACACTAAATTTCTACTAACCCCACCAATTTTCCTTGATATGAATTGTGTTATCACCCACAATGAATTTCTCATGCACATAAAGTTTCAAGTGGAAGCTTACCATAATAAACAAAGTTGAATGAAAGGGAAAAATGATAATGTAAGCTGTATATATTTCCAATCACGTATGAAAAATGCTATCACTCCAAGAATACCTCCACCAGCCATACTAAAAATCCCAAAAGCTACACCCACTAGCCCACGATACTTTGTCGTGCACATCTCCATGCCAAGAACGAAAGATACCATGACTAAAGCCTAAAGAATCAGATGAATGAAACACAATAAATGAAAGAGAACATACATAAAGTTTATCTAACAGTTGCAGATGTAATTAAAATGCCAGCTCACACACAGTTCCTTTATCCAAGTGGTTAAAGTAGACTATTAAGGTTTTGGCACAATTACTAAAACCCTTCAACTCAAACTCCCAACAATAATCATGTGAAGGTAAAATTGGAGTTGTGGTAAAAGTCAGCGTTGGAGGTAGTATAAGTACATGGCACGGTATATGTAATCATTGCTGAATGCTGTTTATAAAGGATGTTGTGAAACCATAACATGAAAAGGAAAATAAACAAGCTCTTCACCTGCAACTGAATCCCTAGGAAAAACCTTAGCACAGCATAAGCGTAAAAATATCTGATGAAAACAACTGCAAAGCTCAACACTCCAGATAAAACCTGAGCTATTGCAAGACAACGTTTTCGTCCATACTTGTCAGCAAGACCACCATAAAGCAAGGCACCAACAAGAACACCACCAAAATAGAGGGTTGTTGAAAGTTCACTTTTATATGCATCACCACATACAAGATTAAACTGTAATAAAACAACACAGCTATGACTCACTTGTGAACTTAAAAATACTTTACCATCACCAGCAATATGATCATTTAAAGATAATGTACCACCATTCATGCTTTAATTTGACCAGACCACCCCCCCTTGCTATAGATGTTGCAATTATTTAAAACAGGTAGGGTTATCTAAGCGCATCAGGGCAAATTTGGCAATAAAAATCACAAAATCTTGTCACACTGATTCTCAAGATAACTAGAATTTTAGGAAGCAAGCACTGATCTTATAATAACTCTGGACATGAGCATCACACAGACAAATTTTCGCTCACTGAGATTGTCAGTGAAATTCGCCTATAGTCCCTCTAAACAACATTTTTGTTTTCAAAAATTACATGAACAACACATTTACTTATCTACTCAATCTCCCCACTACATATATACTTAGTTACCTCAGAAATTATAGTATTTTCTCCGTGTTTTAAACGATAAATCCATCCGTTACTACAGGGTACCGTCACTGAGACATTATTTTTTAAATACTTAATTGAGCATTCATCTTTTTCATGATTGAACTGTGTCACATTACTTTCATTATAATTCGCACGACAATAAAACTCGGTCTTTGCGGTGTAAAATACCGCACTGAGATGATTGGATATCACACAAAAAACGTTCGTGACTAAAATAGCGTAAGAAATCACTTGAAATTTTCCCGGATTACCAAGCTTTTCCAATAATGAATTAATTCCATCTTGATCACCAACTGACATAATGAATGAAGGCCAAAGTAGGCAAACACTCACACAGAATATAAATAATTGAATAATTCAACAATTCATTAAATTCAAAAATAGCAATTGCTAAAAATAGTATTTCAGTTTCCAAGTTTTAAAATTTACAGGTACTACTATTTGTTAATAAATGGAATTTGTGTTTCTTCGACGCTTGTCTGTAGCGATGTATAACTTATAACTGCACAGTGGCTTTGACATTGTTTTTCTGTCAAATATACGTTAAATATTAACTGGGCTAGATGTTTCTTACGCAAAGATGTGCTGGCTTCTTTTTCTTTTCTACAGTTTGTAAGAAAAACGTTGGTAATTTACAACGCTCAGAAACACTTCTTCGTAAACAAATGTTAAAAAAATGAGATTGGCAATTTGGCATAGTGGAAAAAGTTTGGTGTATGTTTAGAACATCACAGATATGGGATCTTCAGTATTACACTTTTGTAAAGCCTAGCTTTAAGGTATAGCTCGTCAGAGTGGTGTCGCCATCCCGATAAGCGAAGGGGATTTTATTCATGTTTTTCCGCATTAAGTGCTTTTGAATCAAATGCTTCTTAGGGATTAAAACATGAATATATGAGTATTTCCCACCTATTGCTCACTTATAGAGCTGACGACGCCACCGGCTCTTCAAAATAAAATGCTTACTTAATTACCAGTAGTAGATCTAGGGTTCTCTTGACTCAACAGAGTTCCCTTACACCAAACTTAGAGATATAATTAAAAGTATTTCTACTTCTAGTTGAAGATGTGTTCTCCAATATAATCACAGAATATACGCGCTTCGCTACAGTCATGCGCAGTATGTATGGGTAAGTGTTCTTCATATGATGTACCTTTAGCTTGTGATTTGTATCATCAACTGATACAACAATTCTTTTTGAATTTCATTCAGGTACGGGCTAAATATGAATGAAAATACATGGATAACACGAAAATATACAGTGTGTATGTAAAAAAGGCGACTTGTGGAAGTTACGTAAGCTATACGACAGTCATTGGTACATTACTGCGCATGTTTTGCTAAGAAAAGCTGTACCAAGAAACAGGAAAACTTTTGTGCTAGCAACAAAGATATGTAATAGTACATGCACATAGTTGAAAAAACTTTACCAATAAATTTAGTAGCTAAAGTGATAGGAATTGAGATTATCGAAATAGGTTAATTTCCAAACGTCTGTGACATATTTAGAGGTCTATTACACGAACCCTGATAGCCGGGATTCATCGAAGCGTTAAATGATTTCGGTGAATGGAAACGATTTAATATTTATCGTGGGATAAATCTTCTTGAGTAATTTCACAATATTCTGATTTCATAAGTACACAAAACGTTTAAAATGAAAACAATTAACTTGGCCCAGTTTGAGAATTAAAAATCCTCGAAATCATATTACGTCTCACTGAATCCCTGTAAGCCGAGGTCATGTTGACGGCGCCTTAGGGGCTGTTCACATGAGCCCGCGATAGCCGAGATTCAGTGAGGCGTGAAATGATTTCGAAGGATTGGAAGGGACCAAAACTTTGAGGTTAAAAGTTACAACTGTTTGTTGAGCGCCACAAGTCATTCCTGTTGTAATTCTCAAATTAGACCAACTTGGTTGTTTTAGTTTTAAATGTTTTGCTTCGTTATCAAACCAGAATATTAAGAAATTGCTCGAGAAAATTTATTTGATGTTAAGTATCGAATCGTTCCCATTTGCCAAAATCATTTAAAGCTTCGCTGAATCCCGGCTACGCGGGCTCATGCAATCAGCACCACAGACTTAGTCATAGACATTGTATAATATTATTCTGAAACAACTCACTGAAATTGTTAATATTACCATAATTTCTAATTAGCAGCAATTTTAAAAAACACTTGAGAAAAACGACGATTTTTTTGAGAGCAAGTCAGTAGTCCTGTAGGCAGTGGAAAACACAGGAACTTTGGAAAAACTCCAAGTGAATTGCAATCTTTAAGGAAGGCGACATCAAGTTCAGCCTTGCGTTTCTTTTCTCAAAAAAATCGTCGTTTTTCTCAAGTGTTTTTTAAAATTGCTGCTAATTAGAAATTATGGTAATATTATCTACGACTTAGCACAAAATTATCATGGAAAGGTTTCCTTGTCGGATTTTCGAAATTATGAAAAGCTTACAACTAAGAAACGCAAGGCTGAACTTGATGTCGCCTTCCTTAAAGATTGCAATTCACTTGGAGTTTTTCCAAAGTTCCTGTGTTTTCCACTGCCTACAGGACTACTGACTTGCTCTCAAAAAAATCGTCGTTTTTCTCAAGTGTTTTTTGAAATTGTTAAGCTGTGACATAATTATTCAATTTAAGGCCTTACTTTCATCATTTTCATCTTACCCTAAGTCTTTCTCCAATTCTTGTAAAGCATTGCAATCTTTTTCTTGACAAGACATCTAACAAAAACAAAGTTATTTTCCATATCGTAAGTGATCCAATAAAAAAACATATCTCTATTAAACGCCCAGACGTGAGTCGTGACGTCACTGCCATGCATACGTACGACCTCGGTGATCTGATTGGCTGAAGCTTGCTATGCACATCCCCTAATAGGACAGCGTGGAGGGGCCAAAATCTCCCACCGGAACGTTTACATGCAACGCTCCAGTGCTCAACAGGCCAGGGGAGGCATGGAACGAAAACGGGATTTTTTTATTTTAATTTTTATGCTGAAGTTTTTCTCATAAAATACGTAAAATTTTAATATTCAAGGATACTGCAATGTTTCAAAAAGCTTCTGCCTTTATTTGACTTATATTAAAGCCAATCTTAAACATGTTTTATACGCGTAGATTGGTTTGAATGTTTCATGAATTCACTCTTTTATGTATCGTGAGCGAACCATCTTTGGCATCGTTGCAAACAAGGATTATCTGCTTCCCTTGTCTCGCTTAATGTCCAAATAAATAATTGAGTACAGAAGTTTAAAGTTTTTTAATTCATCAAAATAGTTAATATCGAGTTTGAAGTTAACATCGTTAAAAATTCGCAGAGTTTCAACATCGAATTTATCAAATTCGAGATATATTTACCACTCCTTCAGAAATATTTACCTAAGAAATCGGCCAATTACAACTTTAAAAGCCACGCTGGCTGGACCGAAAGTCCCAAGATCCTATCGTCCCACCTATCTAATCCCTATAAATCCATCTACATATTCGCTAATCCTTCCATAAATTTATGTTACAATTTAAAACTACAAAGATGTTTCTTGAACAAGATGCTTCTCTTCAGTGCAATCCTTAGTATCAACATCACAGAAATCTTCTTCAACGAGAACAGAAGATCGTCGGTGTAAAGTATCTGTCAACGCCTCATTGTGAGTTTCGGGAAGATAAAGGACTAACACACAACTTATGATAGACAGGACTCCGAGTATACCAAATGGAACATAAACTGCTGTGTAAGATCCCTATGAAAACATAAAGTTTTATTTATTTTATTTGTATTGTTATTTTAGGAATGATGAAGAGTAGCGATATCATAACTGTTTTAAGGTCTTTCATGGGGAGATGTCATAACTGTTTTAAGGTCTTTCATGGGGAGATGTCATAACTGTTTTAAGGTCTTTCATGGGGAGATGTCATAACTGTTTTAAGATCTTTCATGGGGAGATGTCATAACTGTTTTAAGGTCTTTCATGGGGAGATGTCATAACTGTTTTAAGGTCTTTCATGGGGAGATGTCATAACTGTTTTAAGGTCTTTCATGGGGAGATGTCATAACTGTTTTAAGGTCTTTCATGGGGAGATGTCATAACTGTTTTAAGGTCTTTCATGGGGAGATGTCATAACTGTTTTAAAGTCTTTCATGGGGAGATGTCATAACTGTCTTAAGGTCTTTCATGGGGAGATATCATAACTGTTTTAAGATCTTTCATGGTGAGATGTCATAACTGTTTTAAGATCTTTCATGGGGAGATGTCATAACTGTTTTAAGATCTTTCATGGGGAGATGTCATAACTATTTTAAGATCTTTCATGGGGAGATGTCATAACTGTTTTAAGATCTTTCATGGGGAGATGTCATAACTGTTTTAAGGTCTTTCGGGAGATGTCATAACTGTTTTAAGATCTTTCATGGGGAGATATCACAACTGTTTTAAGGTCTTTTATAATTCTTTTATTGATATGTTTTACTATCTATCGACAAAAACAACAAACACAAATAACCGCGTCAGAATTGCTTGTCAACAGTAAAGTATGTGTTTTCATTTTGAACAGTTTTAGAGCAAGTATCTGATTTGAAACGATGAAAACATTGACACAACATCATTTTCACGATGACTTTAAACGCATATTAATCGCAGATGATTGCTAATTCACCTCAATCCATTAGATAACTGATCCATCCTTAAACAACAATTCAGTAGCGGATACAGGGTTGAACAAATAAATTATAAACGCTGAATTTAAATTTAAAATACCTTTACAAGAAAGCTGGTAATGGATTTTCACACAATAAAATCTCACAAAAGAATGGGCATATGTAATATATTTTACCCGAGGCAGGATTCGTTCCAGAAGCTAGCACAAGAACTTAATTTTTTTAAAAAGCGATAAATACTCACAATTAAAAATATTTGTGATGCCAGCATACTACCCATTCTTGTACATGCGCAACAAAATCCCACAGCAGCATTTCTGCAATAAAAATAAGCAATAAAATTTTGTTCAAAAAACGGAGTAATTGAGCTGTTGAAAAGTCACTTTTTCAACATATATTACACCAATACTTTTCGTCACACATCCAACATAATTGATGATAAAATTAGCGGGGGTAATCTAAGGGTGGAGGTTCTTCTGGGGGGAGTGAATATGGGGGTGGGTTTAATCTAGGGGTAAGGGTTCTTCCGAGAGGGCATTGAGGGGGTGGGGTTATTCTGGGGGCGGGGTACTAGAGGATTAGCACGCCCATAAAATTTTCTAGCATCGCCCGGAAATATTTGAAAATATCGTGCCTACGGTAGGTTATGATTACAACACCATTTTTATGCTAGAAAGTTGTACATTAAAGCCTGGTTTCCACAATCGGTTTAACGCGACAAACGCGACAGCGATTAACTTTAATCGCGATAATCCCATATGAGAACGTGGTAATAATCGCAATAAACGGCGACTGACAATCGCCGATTTTTGATATATTCGCGTTTATCGCCAAAATGACGTCATCTTGAATGAAAATTTAGGAATTCAAGATGGCGAATCCAAAAACGTTGTTTTCTTTTCTTCGATGCCTTTCTACGGCATCTCCGTCGCCTCCATAAAACATAAGCTACTGCAATTACTACCAGATCGTGTTTTTTTACTGACGCCATTTCACAAAATAATCGCTATCCAACATAATGTAAACAACACGTCTAATAGCGCAACCATTGCGAATAAAAGCCAATAGTGGAAAGCAGGTTTAAAACTGAGAAACAGTTCAAGTTAACTATGACTAACACAAACAACAACCCTGGATCATTAACATCTCATTGTTTGTACAATGATGTACCCCCCTGTCAGATGAGCTGCCTTTGGATATAATCTGCCCAACGATTAAAAATCAACAAAAAAGAAAGTTCACAATTTACCTTATAGCTGTAGGATAAAGTTCGGCTGTGAATATCGCCAAAGCATTCAAACTTGCAATGGCTGACGATTTTCCAACAAGAGACGTGACAGTTCCCAGCAATTTAACAACTAGTTTATCTGCAACGAGTTCAATCGTCTCTATGTTTTATTAATCTAATATATGCAATGTCTTAAACGGATCAAGAGTCGTGGAAACTACACACTTTTTGGATCGATTGTCTCCTTTATACATACCAGACTGAACAGCAGTTGTCGCTACTGAAACAAAATTTGCTATTCCACATACAGCAAAAAGTAACACGATAGGTCTGCGACAGCCAAACCTTCAAAAGAAACGAAGAAATATTAGATATATAAAGACATTACTGCAAAACAAAACGATGCAAAACAAACACAGTCAGTTTAAGTGTTAATTTTTAACAATACGTGGCAATGTTTACCTTGGTAAGGCCCAAAACAACGCAGATATAACTAATGTATCCATGACAATACCAACGCCGAAATTGAGATATTTATCACCAAATAGAAACGAAATGTTAAAAGATAAACCATAATATGCTGCAGAAACAGTGAACCTATGAAAAATAAAACCCACGACAGATGAATATCTTTGGAAAAGAAAGCAATAAATTTTTTCTTTCTCGCAGATCGAGTTCATGAAGACAATTATCTCCACAAGATATTGTTGGATTCATTATCTTGTGGATACAATGATTTTCTCGACAGATTCATTGAAATGTGAAAATATCATTTAGTTTATACTAATTTATGAACTTTTAATGATCAAAATAACAACTATGTAGTAGACAGCGTATTTCCTAGCTTTGTAAACGTTCTCTGTTTGAAATCAGACAACGATTAACTAAAAACTACTGACTTATGAGTTTACAATGGTAACAGTGGAGTTGGCACAATACATAGAGAGAAATTAGTTGCATAAAACCCGGTTCCATTGCACGAAGCTTGGGGCCTCTTGCACGAAGCTTAGGGTCTCTTGAACGAAAACTGGGCTCTATTGCACGAAGCGTGGGGTCTGTTGCACGAAACCTTGGCTCTATTGCACGAAGCATGGCGTCTATGGTACGAAACCTTTTTGCCGTAAAAAGATTCTTGAAATAGTCAAACTCAAAAGGTTACCATTCAATCAATGGCAAAATTTAAAATTTATGTAAACGAGCCCTAAGATGATGAAAAATCTCGCGCTTTGCAAAATTGCCATTGAAACGTTTTAATAAAGTAACGTGAAAAATGAAACGTTTTAATGTTAAATTATCGGCGAAAAAAATTTGTCTCGCAAAAAAATGTTGCTTATATACAAAAACGATGAACAAACAACGCACTAGTGACAAACACTTCAGATAAAAGTTAAAAAAATGACAACTAACCATCCAAGTAACAATAAAAAACTTCGCTTTCTTAATTCTGTTGACTTGAAGAGATCCACAATGTTTCCCTTTCGTGCCAAGTCGTTCATTCTTCGATCTTTCAACATCTTTATTTCCTGTAGTACGTCAGCAGATTGTGGAAGATTATTAAAACTTTTGATGCGTTGGATAGCCCTCTCCACTTTATCAAACTTTTCATGAAGTATTAACCAACGAATAGACTCAGGTACAAACCTTAAATAAAAGCATTCAGACAGAGACCATATGCAAGTTTTTGTGATAAAAATACTTAAGTAAGATACATAGATAGTTATTGTTTCAATAAAATCATTTGCCAGCTATAAAGCTGAATAGATTTAAAAAGAAAATAGAACTGTAAGGGGAAGAGTTAACACTAAATGCCCAACACATGTTGTCATTGGGGAAGGGGCCCAGTAAAAAGTAAAGGGGAGCCATGAATTTTGAATTTTGCCAGAGGGTGTCAGTCCCCCTCTGGCTACATCACTGGGCTAACACTAGATTTCTACTAACCCCACCAATTTTCCTTGATATGAATTCTGTTATTACCCACAATGAATTTCTCATGCACATAAAGTTTCAAGTGGAGGCTTACCATAATAAACAAAGTTGAATGAAATGGAAAAATGATAATGTAAGCTGTATATATTTCCAATCACGTATGAAAAATGCTATCACTCCAAGGATACCCCCACCAGCCATACTAAAAATCCCAAAAGCTACACCCACTAGCCCACGATACTTTGTCGTACACATCTCCATGCCAAGAACGAAAGATACCATGTCTAAAGCCTAAAGAATCAGATGAATGAAACACAATAAATGAAAGAGAACATACATAAAGTTTATCTAACAGTTGCAGATGTAATTAGAATGCCAGCTCACTCACATTTCCTTTATCGAAGTGGTTAAAGTACACTGTTAAGGTTTTGGCACAATTACTGAAAACCCTTCAACTCAAACACCCAACAATAATCATGTGAAGGTAAAATTGGAGTTGTGGTAAAAGTCAGCATTGGAGGTAGTATAAGTATATAGCACGGTATATGTAATCATTGCTATATGCTATTTATAAAGGATGTTGTAAAAGCATAACATGAAAAGGAAAATAAACAAGCTCTTCACCTGCAACTGAATCCCTAGGAAAAACCTTAGCACAGCATAAGCGTAAAAATATCTGAAGAAAACGACTGCAAAGCTCAACACTCCAGATAAAACCTGAGCTATTGCAAGACAACGTTTTCGTCCATACTTGTCAGCAAGACCGCCATAAAGCAAGGCACCAACCAGAACACCACCAAAATAGAGGGTTGTTGAAAGTTCACTTTTATATGCATCACCACATACAAGATTAAACTGTAATAAAACAACACAGCTATGACTCACTTGTGAACTTAAAAATACTTTACCATCACCAGCAATATGATCATTGAAAGATAATGTACCACCATTCATGCTTTAATTTGACCAGACCACCCCCCCTAGCTATAGATGTTGCAATTATTTAAAACAGGTAGGGTTATCTAAGCGCATCAGGGCAAATTTGGCAATAAAAATCACAAAATCTTGTCACACTGATTCTCAAGATAACTAGAATTTTAGGAAGCAAGCACTGATCTTATAATAACTCTGGACATGAGCATCACACAGACAAATTTGCGCTCACTGAGATTGTCAGTGAAATTCGCCTATAGTCCCTCTAAACAACATTTTTGTTTTCAAAAATTACATGAACAACACATTTACTTATCTACTCAATCTCCCCACTACATATATACTTAGTTACCTCAGAAATTATAGTATTTTCTCCGTGTTTTAAACGATAAATCCATCCGTTACTACAGGGTACCGTCACTGAGACATTATTTTTTATATACTTGATTGAGCATTCATCTTTTTCATGATTGAACTGTGTCACTTTACTTTCATTATAATTCGCACGACAATAAAACTCGGTCTTTGCGGTGTAAAATACCGCACTAAGATGATTGGAGATCACACAAAAAACGTTCGTGACTAAAATAGCGTAAGAAATCACTTGAAATTTTCCCGGATTACCAAGCTTATCCAAGAATGAATTAATTCTATCTTGATCACCAACTGACATAATGAATGAAGGCCAATGTAGGCAAACTCACACACAGAATATAAATAACTGAATAATTCAACAATTCATTAAATTCAACAACAGGAGTTGCTAAAAATAGTATTTCAGTTTCCAAGTTTTAAAATTTACAGGTACTACTATTTGTTAATAAATGGAATTTGTGTTTCTTCGACGCTTGTCGGTAGCGATGTATACCTTAAAACTTCACAGTGGCCTTGACATTGTTTTTCTGTCAAATATACGTTAAATATTAACTGGGCTAGATGTTTCTAACACAAAGATGTGCTGGCTTCTTTTTCTTTTCTACAGTTTGTAAGAAAAACGTTGGTAATTTACAACGCTCAGAAACACTTCTTCGTAAACAAATGTTAAAAAAATGAGATTGGCAATTTGGCATAGTGGAAAAAGTTTGGTGTATGTTTAGAACATCACAGATATGGGATCTTCAGTATTACACTTTTGTAAAGCCTAGCTTTAAGGTATAGCTCGTCAGAGTGGTGTCACCATCCCGATAAGCGAAGGGGATTTTATTCATGTTTTTCCGCATTAAGTGCTTTTGAATCAAATGCTTCTTAGGGATTAAAACATGAATATATGAGTATTTCCCACCTATTGCTCACTTATGGAGCTGACGACGCCACCGGCTCTTCAAAATAAAATGCACACTTAACTACAGTAGTAGATCTAGAGTTCTCTTGACCCAACAGAGTTCCCTTACACCAAACTTAGAGATATAATTAAAAGTATTTCTACTACTAGTTGAAGATGTGTTCTCCAATATAATCACAGAATATACGTGCTTCGCTACAGTCATGCGCAGTATGTATGGGTAAGTGTTCTTCATATGATGTACCTTTAGCTTGTGATTTGTATCATCAACTGATACAACAATTCTTTTTGAATTTCATTCAGGTAAGGACTATATATGAATAAAAATACATGGATAAACATGAAAATATACAGTGTGTATGTAAAAAAGACGACTTTTGGAAATTACGTAAGCTATACTGACAGTCACTGGTACATTACTGCGCATGTTTTGCTGAGAAAAGCTGTACCAAGAAACAGGAAAACTTTTGTGCTAGCAACAATAATACGTAATAGTACATGCACATAGTTGAAAAAACTTTATGTACCAATAAATTTAGTAGCTAAAGTGATAGGAATTGAGATTATCGAAATACGTTAATTTCCAAACGTCTGTGACATATTTAGAGGTCTATTACACGAACCCTGATAGCCGGATTCATCAAAGCGTTAAATGATTTCGTTGAATGGAAACGATTCAATATTTATCGTGCGATAAATCTTCTCGAGTAATTTCACAATATTCTGATTTCATAAGTACACAAAACGTTTAAAATGAAAACAACTAACTTGGCCCAGTTTGAGAATTAAAAATCCTCGAAATCATTTCACGTCTCACTGAATCCCTGTAAGCCGAGGTCATGTTGACGGCGCATTAGGGGCTGTTTACATGAGCCCGCGATAGCCGAGATTCAGTGAGGCGTGAAATGATTTCGAGGGATTGGAAGGGACCAAAACTTTGAGGTGAAAAGTCACAACTGTTTGTTAAGCGCCACAAGTCATTCCTGTTGTAATTCTCAAATTAGACCAACTTGGTTGTTTTAATTTTAAATGTTTTGCTTCGTTATCAAACCAGAATATTGTGAAATTTCTCGAGAAAATTTATTTGATGTTAAGTATCGAATCGTTCCCATTTGCCAAAATCATTTAAAGCTTCGCTGAATCCCGGCTACGCGGGCTCATGCAATCAGCACCACAGACTTAGTCATAGACATTGTATAATATTATACTGAAAAAACTCACTGAAATTGTTAAGCTGTGACATAATTATTCAATTTTAGGCCTTACTTTCATCATTTTCATCTTACCCTAAGTCTTTCTCCAATTCTTGTAAAGCATTGCAATCTTTTTCTTGACAAGACATCTAACAAAAAAAAGTTATTTTCCATATCGTAAATGATTCAATAAAAAACATATCTCTATTAAACGCCCAGACGTGAGTCGTGACGTCACTGCCATGCATACGTACACCTCGGTGATCTGATTGGCTGAAGCTTGCTATTGACACCCCCTAATAGGACAGCGTGGAGAGGCCAAAATCTCCCACCGGAACGTTTACATGCAACGCTCCAGTGCTCAACAGGCCAGGGGAGGCATGGAACGATCACGGGATTTTTTTATTTTAATTTTTACACTAAAGTTTTTCTTACAAAATACGTAAATTTTAATATCCAAGGATATTGCAATGTTTCAAAAAGCTTCTGCCTTTATTTGACTTATATTAAAGCCAATCCTAAACATGTTTTATACGCGTAGATTGGTTTAAATGTTTCATGAATTCACTCTTTTATGTATCGTGAACGAACCATCTTTGGCATCATTGCAAACAAGGATTATCTGCTTCCCTTGTCTCGCTTAATGTCCAAATAAATAATTGAGTACAGAAGTTTAAAGTTTTTTAATTCATCAAAATAGTTAATATCGAGTTTAAAGTTAACATCGTTAAAAATTCACAGTGTTTCAACATCGAATTTATCAAGTTTACAAGTTTAAGCAAACTGTAAAATATCGATAAAAAGCTAACGTACTCTGACATGTATCCTTCCCAAATAAAGCAAATTTGATAAAAGCGTACATACCACCAAAGATTGTAAAAGAAGAAACAACTCTTCACTGAGATAGTCTACTGTAAACGAGAAAATAAATATTAAAATATACTGTTCAACAAACAAAAATGATAACATATTTTTCACAAGGTGCTTTCAAAATGAACGTACATAATATTGTAGATGGTTTGACCCCGGGAGTATCGTTAAATTTCTGTGGAGGTATACCGTCTGGGTTAGCAGAGACATGAGAAGGAATGTTGTTGTTGATGTTGACTGACGTTTCTACAACCTTAACGGTAGTGATCTTCAGAGTGATTCTGAAGAAGACTACCGTTAAGGTTGTAGGAACGTCAGTCAACAACAACAAAAACAGTCCTTCTCAGGACTATACTAACCTGGACGATCTACATCCACAAACATGTAGATAATATTATGAACCTGGTGGATTTGTTGAACTCAATTCCCAAGCATATTTTTCCAACATTTGCGCGTGTTCTGGACGAATCTTCTGAGCTGTTGGCTTGAAAACAAAACAGAATTTTTATAGGTGAGAATGCCTTATATCATTAAGGGAGAAGTACGGAGTGTGTATATGTAGCAAGGGTAGAGGGATGGATAGCAAAGGATGGCGGTATGATTGATAACTAAGGGATGCAGAGGGTGAGATTAGGATGCATAAGTGTGAGTGAGGTACATATAAGTATATGGTATGGCAAAGATAGGTACTAGGGTATAGTAAAGGGATAATGTATGATAAAGATTTCACCTTTAATAGTAGGCAAGGTATACAGAGAGTGACACTAGGAGATACAATACATCCGTTCAGAGTATAAAACATAGTAAACAGGTTGGGAGGGGTATGGTAGGGTAGAACAGGGATAAATATGTACCACATTTGTTACCTGTAATAGGAGCAATATAAGAACCATGGTGATATCACATTCAGCCAAAATATTTCTATATCCATCAGTAGCTAAAGAAATAAGAAACATCAAACAAAATGTGCACATGTCATAATCTGTGATGACCACATTTCTTTAGTAGTGACCTCCAGCCCTCCAGACTCGATCTTCAATAAACAAAAGAAACAGCAGACAAATGTCAACCACAACAAAAAATGTACACAAAATCACCTCTTTCTCGAATCAAATGAACCATTTCAGTCAGCAATGCAAGAGCACCATCGTAGTCACCTACAACAAAAGATCGTTGCTCTTGAAGTTTACAATACTGCACTGATTTTTATCACAACTAGTCTGCTAGTGAACGACAACATCACCTACCGATCTTCAGCTTGCATCTGGCGGCTTGCTTTATGGATTGCAATGAAATCAACGGTGTCTAAGAAATTATAAGTTAACTGAAAGGCTAGCAAAATTAATGCAAAGATCTTCAATCAACTTTTGCTCTTACACTCCACCGACAGGAATAACATATTTCTTCCCACAAACCTTGTGCTGAAGTTCTGAGGCTTTTTGAAAATAGCCAACTGCTTCTGAAAACCTTTTTATATTCTGTAAATGTAATAAGTATATAAATTACTTTCCCTCGAGTGATGAACAAAAAAAAGAAAATTTCTTTTGCACACTCCTCAAAGCCTGTTTTGTGAATCATAGTAAGAGTTGCTGTGGGCTTACAAAAGCACATTTTATTGTTGTATTAGAGTGGAAGCCACCTGTATGGATAGATCACTGTGGTCATATATTGTGTTAGTATTCATGAATGTTAAGTTAGGGCAACTCATAGTAGCATCGCGTTAATACCAGTGTGCGAATTAACGGTGTGCAATGTGCAATTTGCACATTGTTTTAGCTCAAATGAAAACAATTGCACATCACTTTTTAAAACGATGTGCAAAAATCAGCGGTTTTAACGAAATACACTGTCGTAAATCATATGAATTCGTTCACGTTTAAATATATTAATTTAACAATTAGCGCTATATAATAATCAACGTAATATCGATTTGATTATGCCTCTAAAGAAACACTTTGTCAAAAAAATTGCACATCGTTTTTTCTGAACTAATTCGCACACTGGTTAATATTCCAATGTAATCTTAAAGCTCTATTAGTTGTTAACACAAGCAATAAAAGTCAAGTTTGTTGCAGATTGGCTGCAAGAGCTTTCAGTTGTTTGCAAAAATAAATATTTTATTTCTTTGTTTAAACGAAAAGAGCAAAGACTTACAGCAAGGTTTTGCCCCAACTCTAAACACAAACTTGCCGCTAGGTTCAGGTTGCCTTGGTTACAATGTAACTATAATCATAAAATATCAAAATAGACGTGAAAATAAAACTGAACAGTATCGTCATTGGACGTTGATGTTACCTTAATAGCTTGATTAAAACAATGTATGGCTTCCGTTAAATGTTCTTCAAAAACTGGACATTTGAGACGAAGCGACTCCTTTTCAGCATTTAAAAACAACCTTGCTAAAAACATTGAACAAGACACAAGCAATGAGAAGAATTTTTCATAAGACATTATGTAGCAACTTTGAGCCTTGGATAAAACTCAAGCAATGTATTGAGAAATTGTAATTTGCACATATCCTCAAAAGACAATTTTTCAAAATTTCATACCAGCTTGTGTTAGAGTTTCAACTTCCCACATGAATTACCTAGGGTATTTTCACATCTAAATATACATGAAAAATTAAGTCAAATCAAAGAGATGACGGAAGAGTCGATAATTATTCTTACCTAGCTTTTGCCAAGCAACAAAATCCTGCATATTGAAGACAATCCTGCTGTTGCAATGCTTTGGAAAGATGGTCTAAAATAATATAGGGTTAAAAATTTCAACAAGGAATCAGAGTAGCAATGATTACATAAAAAAGTTACACGAAGATTACAAAAACAATAACAAATGTTTAGCAGGGCTCAAAATTTACAGTATCCCGATGTCCACAGGATAGTTGATGCTACATATCACTGGGTTTGGATCCATATGGGATACTGAAAAACTGAAGCAAATGGCAGAATGCTGTTGTAAGGTGTTAGCAAGTGAAAAACTTATTAAAGTAAATGGTTTGAACCCGGGAGTATTGTTACATGTTTGTAGATGTAGATTGTCCAGGTTAGTATAGTCCTGAGATGGACTGTTTTTGTTGTTGTTGACTGACTTTTCGACAACCTTAGTGGGAGTCATCTTCAGAGTCAAAAAAATGACTCTGTAGATGAAATTATTTGACTCTGAAGATGACTACCGCTAAGGTTGTCGAAATGTCAGTCAACAACAACAAAAACAGTCCTTCTCGGGACTTTACCAACCTGGACGATCTACAATTACAAACATGAAAAACTTATTAGTATAAAAACATGTGAAATTGATGAGAAGTCAGAGCTGCACGACATCTTAGCAATGTTTGATTCTGAGTCTGAAGAGTCTGAATCTCATAGGTTTTACCATCATAAATTATCATTTTAAATGCACTTTTTAAAGTTAATTCATCAAGAATAAATGAATTTCTTCTATTTTACCCTACTTAAACAATCCATAGTTGCTGTATAGCTTAAATGTACAGTGTATTTGAAAATCATACGTGTCCTGTGACAATTTTCATGACATAGATACTGCCCATAAAATGTCCATTATGATATCAAAATTTCACATGCAAAATTTTAATTTTGGATACTAAATTTTGACACCTTAGTATCCATTTGGATACCGGTTGAAACTATTAATTTTGACCTTGTTTGGTGAGTGATGTTCACCCGAAGAATATTGTCTTAACCACTTAACCAAAGAAAAACTGAAAAAATGTCACAATATGTTGCTAAGAAACATTGTATCAACACAGGTATAATAAAACCAGAATTTTGGGGCAATTACGTTACAATAAATAGGAATAAAGAATTTGTTCAGCTATTTCACAATATTTGTTCAGTTATTTCTTTTTTTTTATGTTGATGGAGTCCGCAAACGAGGTAGACCGAGAAAGAGATGGTTGGATGCTGTGAACAGTGATATGAAGGCGATGGCTATAACGATAGATATGGCGAGAGATAGAGACGTTTGGCGTAGAAAAGTTCATGGACCGGTCAACCCCCCTGGCAGGGATTAATACTGGCCGGTATACAAATGTTGTTTGTTTGTTTGTTTGTATTTCACAAAATGAGTAAAGACCGCAATGGGCTAGAAGCAATTTTTTTGCGGTACTACCAGCAAAGTTAACAAATAGTAAAGGTATGCTGCATGGTCTAAAAAAATTTCAGAATATGAAATTCTGCACAATCTTGTAAACATGATGTACACATCTAAGAGCATCGAGAGTGTTTATTGATATTTCTAGGTACTAACGTCCAATTTTTTTTTATTTTACAGTGCTATTTATAAAGTACTGTACGGAAGGTATCATTTAGTTTTTTAGAGAAATTCACGAGTGAAAACGTACATACAATAAAGTTAGAAATTGATAAGATCATACATTATCTCACCAAATTGTTGGCTGGCTTCAGCTACATTTGGCTTTCGAAGAAATCGTCTAAATATTAAAGAAAGTAAAAAGAAGCTGACAATAAATTTTCACTGTTTCACATCAGCAGACAGAGTACCTTCTCAATTTACCACTGATGGATTTATATCTTCCTATAACATCAAAATCGCGGTCCATTTAAAACAAAATTTGACAATTTCAATGCAAGAGAGACATGTTTACACATTTCTTGCTGAACGACCTTTCGTCAACTTTCGTCATTTTCGTATTTTGCATGTCTGTAAAAATGGGAATCTCCGCTGACCATATATACAGACTGCAAATCAATTGTCTTTTTTATTTATTCGGAATTATTGAAGTTGAAACTTGAAACTATCCATTTTTGGTGCTAGCCTGCCCGAAAATATGGCTCGAATCTTTAGAAATTGAAAAACTATGTCTCTGGCAAATTTTTTACGAAAAATATTTCTGAAGAAAGTTAGCTATCCCCAGTCCTTTTTATAAGGTAAGGCGCGTGTAAAATTGAAACAAAAATTTAAAAGCTGGCAAATACTTCAGACAAAATTTCATCTTCAATCTTAAAAAGCATTTAAAAGCATTTGTCATTAAACATCAAATATGTTACTATTAAATTTCTTTGCTTCACTTTCAAAGATATTCTTCTAAATTCTTCTTGATTTTCCGCTGACCAAAAACACAGAATGAAAACAAAATCAGATCTGACGAGATCTGCAATCAGGTTTTCTGAATCAAATGACCAATTTCAAAATTGGTAATGACGTACGGGCCTTGCGTAAATATGATTGGAGTTACTATGGATATTAACGGTCAAAAGCATCCAAACCTGTCAAACTGGTTTTTGGTGACGAAAGGTTATCCTTTTGTGACTTCACGACAGCGCCACTTTTGCAAATCGCGACGGTTCACGTTACTTTCAAACCAGTGATTTGTGGGGTTTTTTTCATACTTTTAATACTTTTCTAGCTTTATTGTAGCTTTGAAATAGTTAAAAATGGTGAGTATCAAGCTCTTGATCGACAAAGATATAATTTAAATGAACGTTTCTTCTTTTTTTTCACGAGTTTTTCAATGTTAAAATTGTGATAGATAACGACAGCAAAACAACTTGAAATTTTTAAAACGATTTGAGATAGACTGAAACTCTCTTTTTTCGAATAATTTTAGCAATTTTTTGCTCTTTCTTATCAATTTACAGCGCGAATGTATTTCAGTACACGTTGGTCAAGCTGGAGTCCAAATAGGCAACGCATGTTGGGAACTGTACTGTCTTGAGCATGGTATTCAACCTGATGGCCAAATGCCAAGTGACAAGACTATTGGCGGAGGAGATGACTCCTTCAACACCTTCTTCAGTGAGACAGGAGCAGGAAAGCATGTTCCAAGAGCTGTTTTTGTAGATTTGGAGCCAACTGTAGTAGGTATGTCTAAACAATAATTGCTTTCACCATCATCACAAAAGCGCCATTTTTTAACTTATATTTCCCTATTTGTCTAGATGAAGTTCGTACAGGAACGTACAGACAATTATTTCATCCTGAACAGCTCATCACCGGTAAAGAAGATGCTGCAAATAACTACGCTCGCGGCCATTACACCATCGGTAAAGAGATTGTCGACCTTGTTCTTGATCGCATCCGAAAGCTGGCCGATCAATGTACAGGTCTTCAGGGATTCCTGATCTTTCATTCCTTTGGCGGTGGAACAGGTTCAGGATTCAGCTCACTGTTGATGGAACGACTTTCTGTTGACTACGGCAAGAAATCAAAACTGGAGTTCGCCATCTACCCAGCCCCACAGATTTCAACTGCTGTAGTTGAACCATACAACTCCATTCTTACAACACATACTACCTTGGAGCACTCCGACTGTTGTTTTATGGTTGACAACGAAGCAATATACGACATCTGTCGACGTAATCTGGATATCGAGCGACCTACATATACCAATCTTAATCGTCTCATTGGTCAAATCGTCTCTTCAATCACAGCATCCTTGCGTTTTGATGGTGCTTTGAATGTTGATCTTACCGAGTTCCAAACCAACCTGGTACCCTATCCACGTATTCATTTCCCATTGGCTACCTATGCGCCAGTCATATCTGCTGAAAAAGCCTACCATGAGCAGTTGAGTGTATCTGAAATCACCAACGCTTGCTTTGAACCTGCCAATCAAATGGTAAAGTGTGATCCACGTCATGGTAAATATATGGCATGTTGTCTTCTATACAGAGGTGATGTTGTACCTAAGGATGTGAATGCTGCTATCGCTACTATCAAAACAAAGCGCACAATCCAGTTTGTTGACTGGTGTCCAACAGGTTTCAAAGTTGGTATCAACTACCAACCCCCAACTGTGGTACCAGGTGGTGATCTTGCTAAAGTCCAACGAGCTGTTTGTATGTTGAGCAACACAACAGCAATTGCTGAAGCCTGGGCTCGTCTTGATCATAAGTTTGACCTGATGTATGCCAAAAGAGCATTTGTTCACTGGTATGTAGGTGAAGGCATGGAGGAAGGCGAGTTCTCTGAAGCTCGAGAAGATTTGGCAGCATTGGAAAAAGATTACGAAGAAGTTGGTGTCGACAGTGTTGAGGCCGAGGGTGAAGAAGAAGGAGACGAGTACTAGACTCATAAACATTGATCAGTTTTGTTATTTGCAGAGTTTAGGAGAGAATTAAAAATTTAAAGTTGCATTAAACTTCATGTGTTTTTCTACAACACATTTTTTCATTGATTCACAGTAATAGAGATAAACACCAAAACCAAAAGTTTCAAAAGTATTTTTATTTTATCAAAATTACATTCTTCAGTTTTGAACCATTTGCGACCAACTTATAAGAGTAAAACAGAATCATTTAACATTTAAACAGGAGAATAGAACTAAACTTCCTGCATTGCTCGTGATAAATGAAGCTGTGTGGTACTGTCAAAATGATAAGACACTTCAGTTGTGCTACCAATTTGAATTGATCTAGTTCAATTTTATACATTTACAAATCAAAATAAGGAGAAAAGTCTAATGAGCAAAGTTCACCATAAGAAATGGGAAATATGTCTTCAATGCAAATAATCAAATTTTTAACAAAGCTATGTTCAAAGGTTTTGTATCATCACATTCCTAAGCTTTCTAGATATTCAGCAATCACAGCCACGCCTTTATTTGTATTTCCTTGTTGACATCCTTCAGCTGTGTGACCAATAACAATGGCTGTTTTGCTAGCTTGAAGAGTTAAGGCACCTTGATCTTTCTTTTTAGCAGCGACAAGTTTACCATCTTCTTCTCGCAAAAATTGATATTTCACTCCTTCAGCCCAAACTCCACCAGCCTGAAATGAAGTGAAATCTTTGGCCTTAAATGCTTTGGCAATATTTGCACCCTCGGATCCTTGAAGCTAAAGAAAAACAAAATGTTAAAATGGCAAATTCCACCATTGAATTTTAAAATACAGTGAAAAAACCTTTAATGCATTTGCATGACCAGCTGTTGTCCAGGCTGCACCACCATCTAACCCAATAATACATGCCTTATCAGCATGCGCTGTACCACTAGCATCTTTGGTCTGGGCGATAAGATTATCAATATAGCTATCCCAACTCATTTTTTTCTGTAGACTTGCTATAAATGAAATAATATTTGACAAAACTTAAACACTTGTTGCATACAATCAGCAACACAATTGAAATTTTCCCTAATTGCAAGAAACGTGACCTCATACAATGTGGAAGTCAAAATAAGGAAGCAGAGTTATGTGATGATGGTTTCATAAATACTAAATATAAATAAATGTAAAATTTGTATGCACTATATATACACTACATATATTTAAATCGAACTAGGCATAACTATTTTTGCAGTTTGTTTACAAATAGGCCAACATATATGTTTGGTAAAAGTAGATTTTCGAAACAGAGCTTCCGTTTAATTGTTCACAGACACAGGTCATTGAGAACTTGAAGTTTCAACTCAAGTATCTTAGGACAGTGAAATATAATCCAACCATTTGTCCTAACGCCATAATGAAATTTGTCTTCTTAAAAACGTTACACAAATCTCTGGTCGAATTTGAAAACGCTATTTTGCGGAAACGTTGTTTCATTTTTGTGCTCATGTACATTCCGATGAATCAATTAACGGCGACATCTTAAAAATTTTTGTCTGTGGCGAGACGATGAAACAAGAAGGGCGGACTGTTTAGCCATATATTCTATACACATGAATTCTCAGTTGAAATAAGGAAATATCAATATTTAAAAACAAAATCCACCCACATCAAGTCAAGCAGCGTAAGATAATGCAAAGGACAAAGTTGTCGCTGCGAATAAGGAAAAGTAGCCAGGAAGCAATTTTGAAAATGACACAAACACGAAATTCCAGCAGTGTAAACGATTAAAATACCGACGATCCACCCAATTATTTTCAAGTTTCAAGGCATTTATTGGGCAAGTTGTAGAACTTTTAAAAACTTTACCAACGTTATTACAATATTCATACAATACAACATTGTCAGGTACATTGGTTATCAGCAGATGCTGTCAAAATCGACCGAAATAAGAACTTTGGCCGGTCTAACGAGCTGCGCATCCATGTTCACAAAATTCATCCGTTATAAACACGAAATGCAATTCATAAAACGTGTACAAACCTTTTGAGTGACTCTTCTTAATCCACGAAGGTGTTGTGTGCTAGGTTGGCAGGATAGAAACTGACTAAACTGCAGAAGCAATTCAAGTTGAAGAGTTTGTCAGTATGGTGCGAACACGTCAGGAAAAAGGAAACGCTGCTTATGGCTAACCAACGCCTTTCCATGCGCTTTATCATCAAAAATATTTCGGGGGAGGAGTCTGGAAAGAGTAAATGAACCTACCTTTTTGAAATGCACTTTTTAGCGTTTGCATGAATTAACATCAGGGACAAATGAAATTACTTCTTAATAGCTTCTACAGACAAAAAAAGTTTTAAAAAAACCAGTAGCAATAAATATAAACGAAATTACAAAAGTACATCTTCACCCCTCCCTTCAAAGTAAGAATATAAATCCGTTCTATTATCACGTGTAAATTAACAGCGCATGCGTCATCAGAACGGAATTGCGTAATCCTTGTGTCGTTTTCGCCCACGCTCCATAGACCGCCATAAGCAAGAAATACCTTACGATAAAAAACAAGTTTAGATATGTTTCATATTCGTTAGTGATTTCGATTAGACTGTTTATAACAGCAAGAGCTTTTGCTGTCTATTGATTTCGATTTCTTTGACCATTTTATCCAGGCGATTTTGCCTTGCGACATTGTAATTTATAAACAATTTTGCTGTGTAATGAAGAAATTATCGAAAGGAATAAAGCACTTGTTTGTTTATGAGAAAAAAACCCCATCATTTAAACGCTTTGGTGTTGGGATATGAATTATAGTGGGAACTGTATTGTAATATATGGAGGAAAAATGAAAAGGAAGACTCTGTAGCCGCAATAGTTGTAAAACATTTCTTGCTTCCTGGTCAAAATATCTCATCCTGCGTCATAGCCGAGGTCAGTCGTCACAAAACAAAGAAAAGTCAACTTTACGACAGTATTTTCTTAATACAATCCAATTCAAAGTTATCAAATTTACCATTCACATTCATCAACCATCTATATTCTTCTATCAACCAAAGCTAAGTGGCTGACTATTCAAGTTAAACATTATGGGTGTTTAAGGTTTTAAACCACTGTCGACGTTCAAGCAAAATACAACCATCACCAAATAAGATAGTTACAAAAACAATGTTGCCATGATGGCACTTTCAAAAGGTTGCCTTTCAATTATGGCCAGCCACTAGTTATTATTTTGATTTAGTAATTCTTGGAGAATTGGTTTAGCCCATTCTGCCACATTCACATCAGCTTCTTCATAATACTTGATAAAAGCATGTGCCTAAAACCACAAAAGCGTTGTGTGATGATCTTTGATGGATCTCTGAATGGGAAATGATTGAGATTGAGAAATGGAATGGGAAGATGATGTTACCTTAAGTTGTAGGTAGTCTGGTCGATCTCCCGGTGTTTTTTGCAAGCTAAAAAAGTATAGATGTATTTTAGTTTACCGAATAGCAAATTTCAGACATGTAAATACCATAAATAATTGACTTGTAGTGACTTCAACAATTCATATAATACTTCAATCAATTTTCTTGAAGTTTTTTTCAAAAACAAATCTTCACAACATTCACACTATAATCTTACCAACTATTGACAAAATTGCAAAAATCTTCAGAAAGGAATTCGTTGACTTCCAGTCTCGGCGGGGGTTCATATACCACTTGTTTTAACTGTTCAAATGGTGTTGGCCATTCTGCGTAGGGAAACTTGCCTGTAGCCAACTCAATCTTTCAAGAGAAAAGGTGAGGTTTTAGAGTGAAAACAGTCAGCCTTATCAAGATTTGAAAAAAAGACAAAAAAAAAACAATATTTGGCCATCTTACAATTGTAATACCAAGACTCCATATGTCTGACTTAACATTATACCCAGTGTGTGCTGCATCTGGGTCAATTCTTTCAGGCTAAGAAATACAAATCAAAAATACAATAAAAAACAAAAAAATCAATGTGGTTTGCGACAATTGTCAAACTTCCATCCAAATAAAGTTTAAATTATGTTGTTCATAAATTACATATGTCATACATAAATAATCTATTATACTCACAGCCATATATGGCTTGCAGCCTACATCTTTGGTCTTTGCCAAGGAATTAATGAGGTGACCACTTATACCAAAGTCGCAAAGCTTGAATTCGCCTTTGTCATTAATGAGAATGTTTGAAGGCTTTACATCTGTAATAAAAATGCCAAATAAATTGTGTCTCATCTGTCAAATGTTCAAGGAAAATACTTTAGATTGTATTACCTCGATGAATAAACTGTAAACTATGCAAATGATCCAAAGCTTTGACAACCTTTATTAAATAAAAGCATTAATAACAATGCATTTTTCAACATGTTTTTGTCAAAAGAAATTTGAACTCACTGCACATGATAGTTTCCCCAAAACAGTCTCGGGTATTCGTCGACCACTAATACTGTATACATGTTTGTACACTTTATCCAATGATGCTCTCATCAGTTCCATACATATCCACACATCACCCTAGAAAATACCACAATCCATTTGTGAACACACGAGATGTATGACCTGTAGGCAATCATTGGATCAAACCTCTCTGAACAAAGCACCATAAAATTGAACCGTATACGGACATTCGCTGACACGCATTGATACATCAAGATCCATCAAAGTCCTCTTCTGATCCTTGTCATTGCAAGAATAAGGTATGCGCTAAATAAATAGTTTCAACTTCAGTAAAACATCGAGATCCTCTCATATTTAAGCTTGCAAAGATACCTTCACTGCCATCAAAGTGTCCGTTGATTCTAGTTTCATCTTTTGAACCACGCCATAACCACCTCGACCTAGTTCACCAAGATCCTCCAAGTCTTCTGCCTTGCAATCATATTCCTAAGCAAATTCAAGAGAAAAGTTAACATAAGTGCACTATGAATCAATACTGTTTTGCAATACAGTATGTAATACATAGTGTTTAAAACTTATTTTTGACAACAAACCTTTCCATTAATGGTCAATGTAGTTTTGTCCGTTAAATTTCTAGGTGTTCTACAACACATGATAGATGAAGAAATGGTCAATTTTAACTTTCTAAACACATCACTCACAAAATATTATGACACTTACATTGGTGAAATTGGATTGGTTGGAGCATCATTTTTAAAGACAAACTTCGATGGACGGTTTTTATTCTTTTCTACAACAGGAAGAAAATAAAGTCGCCTTCACTAAGGACGAATCATGATTCAGTGATTTAACGTCCATAAGGCAACAGCTATCTTGTCTAAACATCTGCGTAGATATTACTTGAGACCAAACGGAAAATAAGTCAATACATGAAGCTTGAGAGGTTTAAAACTCAAAGCAAAGAAGGATAAACTTACTGCCGTCTCGTCTACCGCCTGACATCTTTAGGTTCTTCTCCAAAATGAACAAATGTCCCTTGGGGAAATACCCTAGGCCTGTAGCACAGCAAAATTCCCCCAAAAAAACTTCGGAATTTTACTATCTTTCGGAAAATATTTGATGCATAGATGAAATTTTAGTTGTTTAAACAGCGGGTTCAAAAGACTGCAAGTAGAAGTATGGAAAGAAAGTTGATTTTGTGTCAAAAAATTACTAGAATCTCACAGATAAAACCACACTTTAGCGCAGCCGCTGTACAAGAAAAACTTTCATAAGAAAAACACTGTCGCGTTATTGCAGGGGAAATAGCGACATTTAGAATAGATAATTTTTTATTTTATTTTAACACGCTTACCATTGTCAACATACAAGTTGTTTTCCACATGGGGCGTGTGCAAAAATGAAAATTACAATAGAATAGTGAACTTACTTACATTTTAGGATACACAAGACACTAAAATGTACATTAAATGAAGTATAGCTAGGTTAGAAAGCTATTTACAATTAGTTGAGTACATATTTGTTTTGGGAAAGTGGAAAGCGATTTTCCTTTGAAAGGTCGCTAGAGAACTTATTAAGTTCATTTGGCAATGAGTTCCAGACTTGTGGCCTATTAAATGCAGGCTTTTTTTCATGCTATTGGTTCGTGGCTGAGGTAAGCATAGTGTTTTTTTAAAACTGATCACAATATCCAGCCATCAGAGAACGTCATGATCCATTTTCAAGCCTCTAGTTTTAGGAACCAATTTAAAACAGGTAGAAAAATCGCTGCCACATTTTCTTATCTAAATTATCTGGAGTTTGAACCAAACAGTCCACGTTCTTCGAAATCAGCTCCTCGTCTTTATTTTGCACATTACACACAGCTGTGCAGAAAGAAACTTTCGTTTCTCGACATTTTTTTCTCTCTACCTTGGCACCACTGAAAGAATGGCAAGTAGATTTCCCTCTAGCTGCCCTTGAGATCTTTTTTGGGTTGATATGTTTGACCACAGTCCAGCTGGTTTCTTCTTCTCGGCGCTTTTTCTCCGAAGCTTTCTTTGCAGGCGGCTTCTTCCGCAGGTGACTTCTTGGTTTTAAATGGTTTCTTGGCCGCTGGCTTCTTAACGACTGCCTTCTTTGCCTTCTCTGGTTTTGCTTTGCCGGCTTCAGTGAGGGCAAATTTGAATGGTCCACCATTCAACTTTGGTTCATCCAAAGATTCTGAAGAAGCGTTCCATTCGTTGGACATTTGATAAACAGGGATATTTTTCAATGCAACAGGCGATACGACCTCTTTTAGCTTTGGGCCAAATTCAGAATCTTAACATTACCAGCTGATTAACCGAAAAGAAGCAAAAAGCAATTTATTCCTGAAGTTTTACGTATAACGCTTTCACTACTTTGGTGTTTAAGTGAGTGAAATCATTCGCAAACTTGAATTGGAGTAAAATTAATCTATTCTATATCAAGAACGAGCCCAATGTCATTTTGATGGATGGATAAATGGCAGTTCATTAATGTCATCGCGACTTCAGAGAAACCAACAAACGACATAGTTCATCGTAAATACAAGAATCAATGTATCCTTGTGTTAAATTTCAGCGCGCTTCCTCAAACTTGGAATGTTTAACACCAGGAGATATTTCACAAAGAGAAAAACGAGCGAATAGTGAAAATCTATCTGGCGTCGAAGCTCGGGAATTTTATGAAAGTTTGATGGTCGAAACAGATAATTGTACAAACAGCAACAATATAAAAGATAGCTCTGAAAAAACTCTCACTGCGAAAACCTCTGAGAGGTTAAAAAAAGACAAAAAATTGAAAGAATGTAAAAAATCTCATTCTTTCAACCCTAAGAACACAAATCATTTTCTTAAAATGGCACAAGAAGGGGATTATGATGGACTTCGAAGGATGATCGAGGATGAAAAGATCAATATTGATACAAAAGATCAATTTGGTTGGACAGCTTTGATGTGTGCAACTGCGAGTGGTCACAAGTCATGTGTGAGATTACTACTAGATTTGGGTGCGGACACTGAAGTGAAAAACATCAAAGGTCAAACAGCTATGGATATTGGAAACTTAGTAAACATGCAAGAGGTCTTTTTGGAAACTTCTGAATTTAGTAAAAGTTCAAGTTGGAAGTCTGCAAAATTTTCCAATGATCATTTGAACTATTGTGATATTTGCAAGTCGACTTTTCTGGGATCAAAAATTAAACATGATACATCGACTTCTCATTTATTTAATTGTCAACACAAGACAAATAGGACTGTCTATTACATTCCTGAAAATAACATTGGATTTAAATTGATGAAACAAAAAGGATGGAACCAAGAGAAAGGTGTTACATTTTGGTATAGTTTGGTTTTGGAGAAGAGTAATTTGAGGTTGATTGACTGTGAAGATGACTACCGCTAAGGTTGTCGAAACGTCAGTCAACAACAACAAAAACAGTCCTTCTCAGGACTATACCAACCTGGACGATCTACATTTACAAACATGTTGAGGTTGATTCTTAGAGTGGATTAGGCTGTTGCAGTATTTTGAAATATCAATAAATATTGGTTTATGGCTATTGGTTTTGTGGTATATCCATATACCAAAACTATAAAAAAAAATACTTAAATATTTGGTGTTACGATATATTTAATTATTATTGATAGTTTTAATGGTTTTAATGGCTTTATAGCAGTTTTTAAATGGTTTTGTGAACTATTAGACAATCTTGTCCCTATCACACATGCGTTGCAATTGTTGGCTAAGTTTCAACAATTTGATTTATGAGTCATAAATAGCACAGCAATTGTTGGCTAAGTTTTAACAATTTGATTTATGAGTCATAAATAGTGTGTGGCAATTGTCGGGTAAGTTTTAACAATTTGATCTAGCTATGAGTCATCGCCATCAACACTATAAATAACAAAAAAAAATATCTGAAAAAATATCGATACTTTATTTGATATAGCAATACCATTTTTTTAATACCGCAACAGCCTAGAGGGATTTAATCTTGTGGCATGTTGGTTAATGTAGAATACATTCATGTATTTAAAATTTTTTTTCAAGGTCTTGGTCCCGAAGGTTCAGGTCGAAAATTCCCAATAAAGACAATCCTTAAGCTAGATCGTGAAGGACTAGGTTGTAAATCTAAACACAAAGCAAAGGTGACGCACTTCAGTGCTGGAGATACCAAGGCAGTGGTGACTAAACAACACGAGAGGACTTGTTCAAGGAAAGGGAAAATTAGCTGGAAACAAAAATATATTAAACAAAAAAATCACGAGAAACAATGGGAACATAACTTGAGATTGTATATGAACACCGAATAAAAATTTTCTGTTTCATGCTTTGTAATAGTTCTTGTTTGAACTGTGCCCTTTGGGAGGGGGGTAAACGAGCCATTTAATGTGGTTTTGCACTGTGGCATTGGTTGAATAAGCTGACATCTTTTTTTCTACTAAGTGTAAAACCACCTTCCTAATGCTTCCCAAAGGTTTGTTATTTAAAAGTTTGTTATGTTTGTTGTTTGTTATTTGGGAGGCTACTGTCCCCCCCCCCTGCCTGTACGCTTATGTTAAGACAACACATGTTTAAATTTTATTTTGTAATATACCAGTCAGGTAAAAATTCATCTCTTTCATTTCTCGATATTTCAAGTTCAACATGAGTGAAAGGTTCTCGCCAATGCAACATGTAAATGACATTTTCATCGACTACAAAAGACTTCATCCAACCAAGCATCTCATTTGTAAAGTTTAAACATACATTACCTGTCCACATGTCATAACTTTGAGATACCAAATGAGGAATTTCTAAAGTTTTGAAACTCTGCAGTTTCTTCACCACACCATAATCATCACGAAATCCACAGATAATCCTAGGAACACCAGCTAGGAAGGACTGCCCCCACCATTTCAAGAGCTTGTAACGCTCAAATGACCTTTGCATTTTATTATTTTCAATCAATCGACTTGTCTTTAGCTCAATGTAGTTCAATGGAGGATTGGACGGTGCTTTCAAACAACAATCCACCTCGGCACCAAAAACAATTGAGTGCCTATCAAGTCGACAACGCATCACAGAGCAAAAGGCTTCTTTGTTGTTTATGGGTTCATCAATGTTTTTCAGTTGATTTTTGTCAATTGGACATGTAACGTAATCCTCAAATTTGTAGCCCCAATAACACATCTCATCTTGTCGAGCTGATTGGTTTAATCTACGCTCACGAGCCTGCCATGTTTCTACCTCACTGAGGTAAATTGTTCCTTTGTGACGAGACAACGCCATTTGCCATGATTCTTTATACTCGTACGGAGTGCAGAGAAGTTTTGTCACATGACCTCGCCATGTCACAAAATCTGTATAAAGCCTTAAAAAATAATAAACTTGAAAAAAAAACATTTCAAAAATGGAGACATTTACATCACATGAAATGGCATATTATGTTTGAGAATCTGGCAAGATATTGCAATGGTACCAATGCTTTGATTTATTGTAAAAAAGCCAGACACTAAACTCTACCAAAGTGACTAGAAAAGTGTAGATGTAAATATTTCAATCTAAGATTATCATTCATCCACAACCGTTAGTTCATATTTGAATTGGAGAGATTGACTGACTGACCATAAAACATTGTTAATTAATAAGATTTTGACCACGAATATGGCTACTATTATAACCTGTCAGAATCTCTTTCTCCTTCTACGAGAAACTTCTCCCGATGTTTATTGATCCAAGTTAACAAATCATCCAGTCTGTCTTTCTTTTCTTCATCTCGTCGTATGAAATCTTTATATCCAACTCTCAAGTCAAAATTGATATTTCTGGAGGGTCGTATAGCCGGAGTTTACAATTATTGTCAAGAAACTGCCGTTTTTCATCCAAAGAAAAAAAGCCTAGCTCTCTTGGCTGCCTGAAATACGGGCATTCTCGGTCAAATTTATGAACGGGGAGAACGCTAAATTTTGATAAAAGTTTATTTTCGGCGGCCATTTACAAATGCAAGCCCTTCTCCCCCTGGAGAAATTCTCAAAATTTAATGAAGAAGGGGGGAGACGGATTATAGACACACGTTCAGAATGTTTAATGGCAATATATATATATATTAACTGTATAAACTATGATTATAAAGTCATTTTTATCTTCTCTCATCATTTTTAATCTGTGTTTATCTCCGTAATATGGATGGTTTATGACCAGATTTATCTTACTTTGGTAATAATGTCTTCAACTCAACTTCTCATCCGACTTTACTCATGGCATCCGCCTTCTTTGGACGAACGCTCTACACTCCATCACCTCTATCTTCATCAACGTCTTGCTTCTTCGTCCTTTCTTTCTCTCGCCCTTCACCTTAAACTACAAAGCTTTGCTTTAAATTTACCACTATCCTTCCTAAACACACATGCTTAAGCCATAATCATTTTCCGTTCGCATTTGCAATATTATCCATTCTTTTATTTAGGATTTTCATCAAACTCTCTGTTCTTTGTTTTTCAGCATACAAAACACACCACACATTGCTGTCATCATTATTTTCCCTGTTTTTCTCATAACTGACATTTTATTTTCTATCGGACCGTCATCTCTATGCATTTCACCAAACATGGTCGAGCTCACAAAAATCAGACGAACCATTCCTTTCAGCTTCAGCGAAAACTTTTTCAAACAACATCCCGTACACCTCCCTGACCTTCACCCAGCTTATTCATGCTCTTGCTGTCACAGCCGCCTGAAAACTACCATCTGAATTTATCTTATCCTATAAACAATCAAACCATTTAAGTATCATCATACATTCTCAAATGTACACACTACTATTAAAACAAATTCCGAAGAAGCAAGACATCTTGAGATTGCAAAATATGAATCAAAACAAGACGAGAAGTAAACTGCAAATTTTCGACTTTGAGGATGACTTTGAAATAAAGTCGAAAATTTACAGTTTACTTCTCGTCTTGTTTTGATTCATATTTTGCAATCTCAAGATGTCTTGCTTCTTGGGAATTTGTTTTATATTATACTTCTTTAAATTGTCGGCTGGTCATGGTTTTTGTACACACTACATTCTTGAACTGAATACATCAACCCGTACCTTCTGCTCTTTGCTTCGTTGACACACAAAATCTCACATCCTCCGCGTCACTCTCTTTACTTTTGTTCAACTTCCACTGATCTATTCCCTCTAGTCTAGACACAACATCAATTTTGACATCACTTTCTGATGAAGAATTTCTTCATGTGGTGAACACTGAACACTTGGAGTTTGTACCAACATTTTATACCACGTGATATATATTCTAGGAAGTCAGAAGAATGAAAATCGCAACAAATATGGCGGGTGGCCTCAACCCAATCCTTTATATTGCAAGTTTCATCGCTATAATATATCATTTTAATTTTCTCAATATCGCCAATAATATTATACAAAAGATTTAGGTCTTTAGTGGTCTTAATTTCAACCATTTAACACATAACATTTGAGGTCGACGACTTATAATTTGTCGCTAATGATGCCAACCGCTGACACATGAATTCAATACGGCGCATTGCCCAACTACTCACGTGACACCTATCGTGTCCCAGAATCAACTGCGGTCGGTTCACGATCGCGTGGTGGCGGGCTCTATCAATAAAAATTTAACATTTCCAATAACGTTACAGCGCATTACTTAATGCAATGAAATTTCACCTTGACAAAAATCTGGTTGCTAATGACGGCAGTTCGAATGATCAGAGACTAAAGTGAAATAAAAACAGCACGAATTAATGTCTTTTGATTCACATGCTGAGATTGTGGACATTCCTTGCAAACCTTTGCACGTTTCTCGTAATCGTTTCCCATTTTAATCGCTTTCTCATACGTCGTTGTTCTTTGATCAATCTGACGAGCATAGAGTATCTACGGAAACAAAATGACAAAAATTAAAAACGACAAATTTAGCAAAAACAAAGTCAACGATCTATAAGAAAGGCAAAGAGGAAAGAGGAAATGTTTAAAAAATTCTAAATAAACTCTAAAGAAGAAAAGTCTCGAAAAGATACACAATCCACTATAGTTTAGGGTTTAGTTCGTACAGTTTAATGCAGTCTTAAGGACTTAGGCAGCAGACACATTCAAATATCTCGAAACGTCAGTCGACACCAGCCATTGAACTAAAACACATCTGGAACGCTACCTGTAATACAAAAGTCTAATAAATTTTTGAAGCCAAATTTTACACCCAGAACGCGAGATTACACCCAGACAAGCACGTGTAGTCAATCAATTTTCAAAATCTCGAAATGTTACACACGCGTGTCTGGGTGTAAGATTTGGCTTCAATTATTTGCTTCAGATAGCGTTGCATGTATTTTAGTTGAACGACACCAAGTATCCTTTAAAGACTGCCCACTAACATGAACGATCTACATTTCCAAACATGTAATAATACACCCAGGTTTAAACCTTTTATTTTATATGGAGATTTTGTTTAAACTTCTGCTTACTAAACGGTATTTATAAAGTATTTATAAAGTTTTAGTTAAGTTTATGTTTTTATCTTTCTCAGTAACTCAATAATAACAAGTAATTATTTTGTTTGAATCTTTTACAAGGAAAATTCTGTGCTTTTATCTGACAAGAGGAGTGCTGATTTTCCCCGGGGGTGAATCAATGTGCCAACTAAGTGTTGCCCTGGGCTGCGGTAAAATTGAAATTACAAGTTGCACAAGATAAAATCATCGGTTTTAAACAATTCTTTGTCAAATAATATCTAGAAAGAAATAGTTTTATTAATAAGAAATTTATTGAAGTAAGTTTAAAAGAAAATGATATAACACTGACAGAAAGTCGGTGTTCGTTATGGCTGATGTTGTTTACCTTGTTATGGGAGTCAATTCTCGCTTGGATTTGATCGTCAAGAATAAGCTTAGTAAGTTCATCTTCTAAATCTGAAACGGTCGTATTAAAACTGGTCGCCATCTTTCCCATATCCGCAGAAACATAGGGACTGAAATACTGTAAAAATTCGAAAAATCCATTTTCGTTTTCTTATAAAACCGTACAATGAGTTCACGTGAGACGATAGATGAATGTTCAAACGATAGAAATTCATACCTGAATCAAAGCACGGTTTCTTATAAAACCGTACAATGAGTTCACGTGAGACGATAGATGAATGTTCAAACGGTAGAAATTCATACCTGAATCAAAGCACGGTTTCTTATGAAACCGTACAATGAGTTCACGTGAGACGATAGATGAATGTTCAAACGAAAATTGTCCTAAATACAACAAATTAAAAATAATTATTTTATATGACCTTGTAAGAGAAAGGCCTGGGACTAGCTAGTGTGAAAAGTAACATTTCGCGATAGCAGTAAGAGAAAGGCCTGGGACTAACTAGAAGAAAGTAATATCTCATTGTGCAGTAAGAGAAAGGCCTGGGACTAGCTAGTGTGAAAAGTAACATTTCGCGATAGCAGTAAGAGAAAGGCCTGGGACTAGCTAGAAAGTAACATCTCGTGGTAGCAGTAAGAGAAAGACTTGGGACTAGCTAGAAGAAAGTAATATCTCATTGTGCAGTAAGAGAAAGGCCTGGGACTAGCTAGTGTGAAAAGTAACATTTCATGATAGCAGTAAGAGAAAGGCCTGGGACTAGCTAGAAAGTAACATCGTGGTAGCAGTAAGAGAAAGACTTGGGACTAGCTAGAAGAAAGTAATATCTCATTGTGCAGTAAGAGAAAGGCCTGGGACTAGCTAGTGTGAAAAGTAACATTTCGATAGCAGTAGCCTGGGACTAGCTAGAAAGTAACATCTCGTGGTAGCAGTAAGAGAAAGACTTGGGACTAGCTAGAAGAAAGTAATATCTCATTGTGCAGTAAGAGAAAGGCCTGGGACTAGCTAGTGTGAAAAGTAACATTTCGTGATAGCAGTAAGAGAAAGACTTGGGACTAGCTAGAAGAAAGTAATATCTCAGAGTAGCAGTTAGAGAAAGGCCTGGGACTAGCTAGTAAAGTATAACATCTCATAGTAGCAGTAAGAGAAAGGCCTGGGACTAGCTAGTAAAGTATAACATCTTATAGTAGCAGTAAGAGAAAGGACTGGGACTATACGTACGTTTGTAACTTTATAAAAATCAGTCATTGTGTAATCTTGTAAAAATTTAAAACGTGTTTAGGAAGTCGACACAAACCTTCACGTCGTCCAAAATTTTGAGACAACTTGCGTACTGCGATTCATAAAATTTGTGAAGGATGTCTCGCATTTGAGGATCCAGCTCCAGAAACAGTTTGAAGGAACTAAAGAAGAAAAACAATAACATTAAAAGTAAGAAATTTTTTAGTTTTTCGTGGAAAACCTGCTGACGTCATAATGATGTCATAATGATGTCATAACTTTCCGACGTCATACGATAGTTGCTCACATCCAATAATAAATTTTTTCTATTTGTGAAAGATTTTCGTAATTCCACATTACTTTCTAATAGTGATCCCAGGATAGTGCAAAGATTTAAAAAAAAACACTGCTTTTTGCAAAATATCTAGTTCAATATTCAACAAAACCCTACAGCAAAAAGAAGATGACACTTATTTTGCTGTAAGTGTTGTTACAATAACAATAGAGATCAGTCAGGGACGTATTGCGGGCGCATCTTTTAAACAAAGCAAAAATTTATACAATTATGAAAAATAATTCATTACTTCATGTTAGAACAACAAGAGTTACCTGTTAGAGAGAACTTTATTGCGTAATTCTTGTCGATCAAACGTTGCCAATGCACAAAGACCGCCATAGAGAGCAACATCGTGAGCAGAAATTAACTAAATCAACAAGAAATCACTATAACTTTACATTAAAAATAAAATACGACTTTCATAAAAAGACAACGATATTTCGAGACACCGAAGTATAACTCATGAAAACAGGGATCAAGGAGCATATTTTTAATGTGGAGGGAGGGGAGGGGGGGGGCAATGTTAACCGCAGAAGGTAGAGGACAGGAAATACGAATGGCAAATCTGATCATCACTTCGCACAATCGGAAACTAAAGCCTGTTCTCCACTAGCCACGTATCGTAACGTATCGTAGCAAAACGTAACATGGCGCATGCGTACTTGTGCCTATTGACCATCAAATTCATAAGCACGCATGCGCAATGTTACGTTTTACTACGAGGCAAGTGGAAAACAGGCTTAACCTCGATATTTCTGAATTCGATATGGAAAAATTTTAATCCTGCTGCGTAAATTTTAGAAGAATATCAATTTCTTTTGAAAACTATTGCTTCCACAGTGAAAAAGCACAGAAGAAATTACATAAAAGGATAAAATATATTTCAGCAATGGCTCAGCTACTGGTTTCATCCTCAAGATATGTTCACGATAAAGGTGGACATTTACCTCTTTGTAGTCAAAATGATCAAATTGAGCTTGTAAGAACTGTCTAGCGGCACATTTATATTTCTTCAATGCTAACTCCGCCAGACCTTTTGATTAAAAACGATACAAGATTTCCCAGAAATGATTTTCTATCATAAAACGATAATAATACAAGAAAAATTACATACCAGCAGCACACTTTAGTTTTGTCGATATGAAAAGATTCGCGGGCTTCTCGGGTTGCTGAAATCAATACAAAAAAAAAACAGAAATGAAGGGAAAAATAAAGCCTTGATCACAGACAAAGTTAGGTTCATAATGGAGGAGTAGGGACAATCTTCACGTATTCATGTTATAATCCAAAAGAAATAATTGATATCGAAGGAAATTAATTTAAAAAGAACTAACCTCCCTCAACAGCTCCACTGAACTCTCGGCCTTGTTGACAATATTCAGTACGTGAGCCCAGTTCTTTAACAACACACTGACCTATAAAACATCTTGCACTGTATTATTGTATGGTTTGGATAAACTCATGTTTTTCTGCTCAATATCCAGAAATTGACATTTTAAATCCATTCGATTGGGACAAAGTCAAAGCTTTCTGGTCAAAGTAATTTTTGCTTTTTTTGTTTAACTCGATATTCGAAAATCAGTAACTCTTTTTTCCAATTAGTCAGACTTTCATAGCGAATTGTACACAATTTTCATCGTGTTCGTTACAGTTCGCCTGGTCTGTTGGTGATTTAGCAAACATTTGGTAAAATTTGCGTCATTTTGCAATTTTCAAAACAATTTCAACAATTAATTTAGTCATTACGTTAAATTTGACAACACCGACAATTCCCGTTTGTCCCTAAACTTATGTAATAATGAACTATAACAAACTCAACATCCATTGCATTTTAAAACCCATCTGTTGAAACTTTAATCAACACAGCTATGTAACGACAAACGTGAAAATATAGTTGACAAACCTTTATAACATTTAGACACATACTGATGACATGTTTTGGCATTGAACAATAATCTCTTGATTTTGAATAACATTTGAGCGCATTACTAAATAAATGAAAGTGATCTTGAGTAACATTTGAGGGCATTGCTTAATGAATGAAAGTCTTCGTGAGCAGTGACGTTTTGTCGAGAGAAAAATACTGTACATTTAATGATTGTGAAAGTAAAATAAAAACAAACAAAGATAAATATTGAGGAAAAAGTTTACTTGAGGGAAGAACAGCAAAGTGCGATGATGGTAGAAGTTGAAGAACACGACGAAGAGCAAAGACAAATGTTGAATAAAACTTAAAACATAATTTTCTATAAAACAGCATAAAAATTTAACTATTTTCACATTACTTCAGATCTCCACAGTCCAAATGATGATCACCAAGATCATCGTGACCACGTCTAAAATATCGTAATGTAGATAACTGTTAATGAAAATCAATCATCGTAAAGTCTAACTACAACAATAAGCACCGTTTAGCAACACTTTTCTCATCTCTACACACCACCCCCCAACCCCGCAAAAGTAAAGCATGTTTTCTCACGTATAAACAACAGAGCAACAAAAACGTTACGCGGTCAATCGTTCACTGATATAATATTTTATCAAACAAGTTTTCGGCTAGCTGTCTGTCTACAGCCTTCGACGGGTCATAAAAAAGAAAATCAAGAAAAGCTGAAGACAGCTAGCCGAAATCTTGTTTGATAAAATATTATATCAGTCAACGTTTGACCGCGTAACGTATAATCCTGATATCGGATCACGCATTTTTTCAAAAGCGTTACTTTAGAAAAACAGTTCACATAATACAACGCACAGCCTGCGCAAAAAATACAACGCTAAATGAAAGGGATGTTCATATGTTCAACTATTCATGTTGATGTTTTTTTGTGAAAATGATTGTGCTCTGCAAGCAAACGCGATCCGCATGCGGACACTAACTATAGAATTGAAATCATCAAAATTAAAAAGTTACAATAATCTTGCTCTGACAATGATCTTACAAGGCTTTTCGTAAATACAACGAACAGTTGATTACTTGTTTCCTTTTCAGTTATTTGAGAATGGAACTCATGAAGGAAAATCACAACTTCGTTTTAAATTTATCAAATCTAAACTGTGTTCGTTTATGTTGAGGTTTCTCAGTCAAATTTTAAAATAACCAAATGAAAACATTAGCTGGCAGCAGGGCTGTAGAGCTAAATTTATCAGATGGGGGGCTCTCTTGACGAAGCTGAAGCCATGAAATTAAGAAAAATTACCCATTTCAAAGGTGGAAGGGAGCTCCTCCCTCAAGTGCCCCCACTTCTACAGCACTGGCTGGCAGCCATATTGAATATTATAGTGACTGAAGAATTTAAGAGATTACTTGCATGTCCATCTAACATTACTAGCAAAAACTTTCCTCAAATTAACAAAAACCTGTGGATTAAAACTGGTAAGTAAAGTGTTCTAGTCTCCAGTCATCACAAAATTCACTTTTTAATGTCAGGATTGCATCATTTGCTAGTTCCACTCCCCTCCCCAGGGAGAAAAATACAAGAGCCATGCTATTCATTAACCTCTTCCCCCCCCCCACCAGACGTATGTTGAAAGGTGCTGTTGTTGCATGTTTCAAGAAAGAGATGTGACATTATCGAACCTTATACTTTCTTTGATTGTGTTGGCCTTGTGTGTCTTCAAATCTGAGTCCAGGTGTTCCAACTTAAAAGATAATTATATGTTTAATAACTCTCTAACACTAACACTAACTCACTATTTTCCCCTCATATAAATAACAAGATGCCTGTCGTGCATTTACTAGAAAACAATGTTTTGCTATACTTACATCTTATAATAGTTGCCAAATAGCAACAAAATTCATGAAAATGCAATATCACAATATTATATATTATGCAAGTACATCATGTTTCAAAAAACTTTGAAAAAAAAATGTTTTATTTTCAGGAAACAATCCAAAGAAGATTTTGTTTGGTTCTAATAATTTCAATCAAACATGATTTTGGAATCTTGCAAAAAATACAAGAAAATCAAAATTTTAAAATCTGAGTAATGAAGAAGAGAAAAACCAGGATTATATAATTACTACACAGTTAAAACGTTTTTTAACTAAAACTATGTATAATAAAGGTAATTCAACCTTTACAGCCGCCTTTTTATTGCTTGTTTCAACCCATTTTGTATCCACTTGAACATTCTCATGGCTTCCCAACCTTGCACTAGGAAATACGATCAAAGTTGATAAGCCCTACACAAAGTGATCAAAAGCTATGAAAAGGGAGTGGAAATTTTATTATATATTACCTTGCTTCGCTGAGCTGAGTTATGATCTGGGAATAAAGTTGAGTGTTGTATGTCTGTTTCACAATACTGTGGGCAAGTCTGTGGATGAAAGATTGAGATTATAAACAGCTGACAAAGAGCCTACTTATAAAATACAAACAGTACTTACTTCAGGGCTTCAAGCTCTAGAGCAGGACAATGTTTAGCGATGAAGAGCAGACGATGAAGCCTTGACAATCCAGTGTAATTCGTCATGAAAGTCTCGAGTTCCTAGAAGATTTGCGGCAATCTTCAGGATATCCGATCATAATGAATTAATTCAATTACAATATATCTTACAAGAGTGGTTGATTCCACTGTAAAATCGCTATCAGCTGAGCCATCACTACCAGATACGAAATCCACATGCATCGGCTCAAGAAATCCCTTTTTAAATAAAAAAACGGACTATTAATGCAAGCCTTGTTGGGGGATAAAAATCAATACAAAAAGTACCTGGTCAACAGCTCGTACCACCAAAGGCATCTTAAAAACGGTAATTTATATGATGATTTTTAAACACAGTTACACAATATATTTTAGAAAACCTCCATGTTGTAATTATGCGCCAGCGATATTTCAGATAAAATTTAAAACGTCATGTTATTGATATAATGTTGTTCAATAATGTTATTCAAATTGATGTATGTAACTTTTAACTTAAAGTTTTAAATTCTTGATTCGAAGAACAAAAATTCAACAAAAATCGAATGTTAAACAATTTATTGTCATGGTCATCCACGAGTCGCTTTCCTATCCATCTGCTTCGTACAATAAAGCAGAGACTCGAATTCAAAGAGATTTCAAGAGTCGTTTACGCTTCAGGACTTCACTTTCACACACAGAGAAAAGTTTTAATCAACAGTTCAACTTCAACTTCGAAAATATCGTGCTATTGTAGATTTTTTTACGCAGGAAATCCGGGTTTCAATAGCTACCACAGCTCTGTCAACCACTGGAGCTTAAATAAGCTCAAATATATTAACAGAAATTGGATGCTTAAGTACGATGTCAGAAGATATCGTTCAAATTTTACTCAACGAAAAAACCAAACAACCGCCATCTATACTGTTGCTCTTGTTATAGTAGTTCTTGGTATTTCATATGCAGCAGTACCTCTTTATAGAATGTTCTGCCAGGTAAGACAACCTGTCTTTTAATTTGTACATATTAAACAACATGTTACATGGATATTTGACGTATTTCATTGCATGCTTGCAGTAAAATTGGCATGTCGTAAACTTTAGTTATTCCATTGTGGAACAAACTGGAAAGTTTGTAAACTGTGCACCTGTGCTACAAAGATGTCGGGCCCGCTGTACAAACTTTCCAGTCTGGCTGGTGAATTTATGTTGTAATTCACTTTGTGTAAACATGGGTGATGTTATAGATTGGGCTTGCATAAAATGCCTAGCAAACCAATAATTTCACTGTGCGCATCAAAGATCTTACTGAAAGTGACATACTATCCAAACTAGCATCATTACAAGTATCTAGGTTTACTGTAGTTTTGTGATAACATATTTATGTATTTACGGTCATTATTCAGGCATCAGGTCTCGGAGGTACAGTACAACTTACAGATGCAGGAGAGAAAATAAAAAATATGGAGACGAGGAAAGAACGCTTGTTGACTATAAGGTTTAATGCAGACAAAAGTGCCACAATGCAATGGTCATTCAAACCACAACAAACAGAAGTGAAAGTGAGACAATAGTTTTGATTTAGTTTTGCAATCATTAGGTTGTAAATGTGCTGTATTTTAGGTGTATGCTGGTGAAACCGCCTTGGCATTTTATACTGCTAGAAATCCAACTGATCTACCAATCACAGGAATTTCGACTTACAATGTCATACCTTTTGAAGCCGGACAATATTTCAATAAAATTCAGGTTAGTCATCAAGATTTGCTCTTGTTTACATGAAGTAAAATAAAATTCAAACATAGTAAATTAACAAGAGCATAGAAATGATCCCTCATCTTTGTTTTACTTAGTGCTTTTGCTTCGAAGAACAAAGACTTAATCCACATGAGCAGGTGATGTGTAAGCAAGATAAAATTGTCGTGTTTCTCTTAATGAGAAAGTCAACAGTGTGTGTTAAAAAAAATGGAAACTAATTCACTGTCTCAATGTCTTCTCATTCTTTTAGGTTGACATGCCTGTGTTTTTCTACATAGATCCAGAATTTTTAGATGATCCAGCGTTGTACAAAGTAGACACAATAACTTTGTCGTACACTTTCTTCCAAGCGAAGGAAGCACATGATTTGGGAATACAATGAAGAGTAGCAGAAACAAAATAAAATTTCTGTACAAAAGAAAACTTTTTTACCAAATGAAAACTTCTGTGAAATAATGCATCAAAAATTCCATCCAATTCCTAAAGGATTTCACTTTTGTAATTAGTTTAAGGAGTAATACTTTTTTAATTTCTGTCTAACAACTTTTTATAATTTACATACATATTTTTTAGGGGGATGTAATATTTAGTAGCAAAAATATGTCATGTCTATGTTCGTCTCCAAACCTTTCACCCTCGCGAATCAAGGGACAATTTACCAAGTAAAGTTGCTATATCCGTGTTTGATTTTCCTTTTCTTTTTACATATTCATATGTTCTACCCTGCAAAGTTTAAAGCAAAAGAATGCAGTAAAACATTGGTTTTTGTCATGAATATTGTCATGATACATTTACCATTAATCTAGAGTCATTTTCTCCGTTATTTTGCACCAAGTTCCATAGATTCACTGCAAATTTACTCATTTCTGCATCTGATAAATCTCCACAATTAATCACCCTGTAATTACATAACTTTCCTTACATTTATTGTTTAAGTAAAGGAAAAATTTTCTACATAAGTAGACAGACAAGTGGAGAATCTTTGATTTCATTTGATACAGCATCTCAGTTGTAATTTACAATAACTAGGATAAATAACATTCTTTGGTATGTACATATTGAACAAGAACTTCACATTTTTAAAATCACGAGTATTTTTCATCTTACCTATTAAAAATTCCATTGCAAGTTGTCCTTGACGCTTCTTCATCTTTTTTTATGAAAATAAAGTGTTGAAGCTTGTTTTAGTTTTAGAAGTTGAATCTTTTTATGGAAAATAAAGTGTTGAAGCTTGTTTTAGTTTTAGAAGTTGAATCTTTTTATGGAAAATAAAGTGTTGAAGCTTGTTTTAGTTTTAGAAGTTGAATCTTTTTATGGAAAATAAAGTGTTGAAGCTTGTTTTAGTTTTAGAAGTTGAATCTTTTTATGGAAAATAAAGTGTTGAAGCTTGTTTTAGTTTTAGAAGTTGAATCTTTTTTTATGGAAAATAAAGTGTTGAAGCTTGTTTTAGTTTTAGAAGTTGAATCTTTTTATGGAAAATAAAGTATTGAAGCTTGTTTTAGTTTTAGAAGTTGAATCTTTTTATGGAAAATAAAGTGTTGAAGCTTGTTTTAGTTTTAGAAGTTGAATCTTTTTATGGAAAATAAAGTGTTGAAGCTTGTTTTAGTTTTAGAAGTTGAATCTTTTTATGGAAAATAAAGTGTTGAAGCTTGTTTTAGTTTTAGAAGTTGAATCTTTTTATGGAAAATAAAGTGTTGAAGCTTGTTTTAGTTTTATAGATTGATGGAAATACGAAATACGTAACAAAACAAACCGGTCTTAGACTCTCTGAGTGCCTCAACGTAATAAACATTTGTCCCTTTTTAAATAATGTGCAGTTACTTTGCTAGCCTACCTCTGGGTTAACCAATGTCTTTAAATGTTGAAGTATGTCATCAATAACAGTAGATATTATTTTATGTACTTCAGCAATGAACTTTTTGTCACTGCCATACAAGTCATCATTGGATACAACTAAAAGGAGAAAGTGTCAAGTTGCAAAAAGCACGGAATACAAAGAAGAAATATTAAAACATGGCCGACGAATATGGTTTTTTCCCTGATAAACGCAAAGGCAATTTGACACTTTTATTTCCTGAGTATATCAAACTGAACGTGGCGTTCTTGTCAGGGTGAATTACATTACAAAGTGTTAGAATATCCAACATACCGTTTTCCATATGATAAAGATACAAATCCTAAAAAACAAGATGCTTGAATGGAATAAATGTTCATAAGCAATGTTCTAGTTTGTCATGTAATTGAAAAGGACGTATGAAATCAGAAAGTTTTTCAAGATTGTAGATTTGTAATACCTGAGTCATGGCACTCAATAAACAAATCACGTTAAGATAGATTTTGATTTTGGAGTCATTTTGACTGTCCCACACGAAATCTTCAACGACATTAAGCAAACCACGTACTAAATACAACACGCCTTGATCAGGATGGTCCTATATAAACGAAAATGTACATATTAAAAGAAAGACTATAAAGAAACCTAAAAAAGACACTTTTCTGTAAACTGGACTGGTCTAAATTGATGTTTTTACTGAGATAACAAATAAAGGTAATTTCCTGTTCCTCCAGTATTACAAATAAAAAAGAAATCTCAATCCAAACTGGATAGTTCTATAAGTTCTAAACTCGTCTTCTTCTTAGAGATCCGGTAAAGACGTCTTGTTCATCTCGTGCAACTATACAAAAAATCTCAACTAAACTAACTTCATCTAAACTAAATTGTTCTTTAAGTTCTAAGCGCTTCTTCCTAGAGATGCAGTAAATATGTCTTACGACCCAATGTTTCTACAGGAGAAAACCTATGAATTTAACTGACCACATCTTATAACCACATATATATACGTTGTAAAGCTGATATCCTAGCTCGATTTTTAAAAGGTCAACACCACGAACTCACCGGCACAACCAGCAGAAAAGAAAGAAAATTATTAACGTATGAAACAAGATAAGGTTCGCTCATTTTCGTCTTGTTGTCGATTTCTGTACAAAACAAGATAGATTGTTAAAACAATTAAGATCAAAGTGACCAAAACAATATTAATAATGACACAACAAACCAATCGTTTTTGGCACTTCAACAATAAGACTAATAGCAGCTTTCAAGAAAGCATCGCCTGCAATGGAAAGTAAATAAAAGTTCATTCGTTATCATACAATAATTCCAACAGATGGTATTCTGGCGCGTGTTGAAGACTCGCCTTGACTGAGGGCTTGATTGGCAAAAGCGACTTTCCCAGATTCCAAGTATAATGTCAAACGGTTGAAAATTTCTTCAATCGACGGTATTGTTATAAATGAATAAGCGACACAAGCCTGAGTTACAAAAAAATTTAACGACTTCAGTAACCAAGAACAGCACCAGTAAAATTTTTCAGATAAAACTTTACTCGTATAAAAGCAGCCGTTTTTCTCGAATGTTTCCCTTTCATAATTTTCCTCGTTTTCATTGACAACAAGTTGACGCACTGGAAATGTCAAAGAACGAAAACATGAATGGATAATATAGTATAAAGCAAATTCTGAAAAAGGAAGACATCTTGAGATTGCAAAATATGCATCAAAACAAGACGAGAAGTGAACTGTAAATTTTCGACTTTATTTCATTCTGTCTGAGGATGACTTTGAAATAAAGTCGAAAATTTACAGTTCACTTCTCGTCTTGTTTTGATGCATATTTTGCAATCTCAAGATGTCTTTCTTCTTCGGAATTTGTTTTATACTATATTTCTTTAAATTGTCGGCTGGTCATGCTTTATGAATGGATAAAGTATGGTTTTCAAATAGTTGTTGTGAAGAAATTTCAGTACTACAATCTGCATGGGAAAGATACATGAAATAGTTAAAAAATGAAAAAAAAACCAGAAAAAAATGCGGAAGGACAGAACTCGTCCCGTTTAGTGAAGTCCTGAGAAGGACTGTAGATGTTGTTGTGTTAATAAACGTTTAAACAAAACAGCAATAGCCATCTTCAAAGTCAATTCTAACATTAACAATCCTTCTACGGACACCACTAATCTGGACCATCTACATTTGGCCACAAAATTGTACAATACACCTGGGTTGAAACAATTCACTTTAACAGATGATTTAGGTATGCTAAACCATAAATACAATGAAATATGTTGCGTGATAAAAGGCAATGAGCAGCATAGGGGAGGCTATAGCAATGTTACAGGGTTTAGAGACAATTCAATAACGAAAACCAAGAGAAAGAGCTGGAGGTTGCAGAGATGATGATGTCGAGGTTCTTTTTAGGGGAGACATAGTTATGAAAGAATCAGAAATCACTACATCAAAGATAGAGGCACATGTTAAATATCTTAGAGACAAGACCATGGAGGCTAGGCTTCGATGGTTTGATCAATTACGGTGGAAGAAGAACAAATATGTAGGTAGAAAGATACACAGTTTAGAACTGCAAAATAATAGGCCTAGAGGAAGAATGTGAATAGATTAAAAGACGACATGAAGGTAGTAAGTTTGAGACGAGGATACAATACACAGAAATAGATGGAGTAGGTTATATGCTGGAAAGACAGAATAGATGGAGGCAGAAGACCGAAAAGTTTAATAGGAAAAAAAATAATTAGTCTTGCCTGTACAAGGCAAACAAGGACCGCATCCAAGTTACAAAACATGGCTCGCGCTTCGACGTAGAAATTGAGCTGTTTTTCAAAATCACGACCATAGTCAATTTTCCTCACGAAACCAGTGACTAACTGACCAATGGCTCGCTTCTCATCTGTCGTACTCAATGAACTATCAAAAAGAAAATGTATTGTAGAGGCAGAATTCTTTTTTATACATCACATTAAGTATTTATGGACATAACATGAATTGTTATACCGATTGGATCAAAAACATCAAAGCAATAAACACTAAATCTATAATTAAAATTTCTGGAAATCATATATCATGTTAAGCCGACAATTTTGAAAAAGTAGAGTGCTAAACAAATACCGCAAAAAATAAGATTTCATGCCCTTGCAGAATTCGTTTTTTTGATAATTTGTAGATGGCGTTTTGTACTTTATTGTAGTTTAAATAAATAATCATAACGGTAAATACAGGCCATTACAAGTTGCATTTTAAAAAGAGATGTAAATAACAGAAAAAATGGCGTTTGGTTTCAAGTTGTTTCTCTATATCTCGTTATTGAAAGTTATTTTATTTTCAATTCACCTCACGGAATCGTGAAGAATCTTGGAAACAAACATAAGACCATTTACAATAACGGGATCATCTGTTGTTTCCTTTTGATATCTAAAAATATCCAAAGATATCCACTCAAAACACATAAACAAATATCCACAAAAATCCACTCAAAACACATAAACAAATATCCAAAGAAATCTACTCAAAACACATAAACAAAATTCAAAGATATCCACTCAAAGCACATGAAAAATAAATCCACTTAAAACACATAAAAAATATCCAAAGATATCCATTCAAAACAGCGTGCATAAACTCCATTCTTCATCAGAAATGAATGAATTATATTTCATTATGCATTATAAAAAAGCGTTTGAAAGATTCAAAAATGCACACACGAAACAAGTGATTACCTGCAAAATGACTCCATGATCAAACGACAAGCATCTGCCTTTACAGATTCCTTTTGAAACATGTCCAAAAAACTGTGAAAATTGTTCTAGAAACAAACGAAAAGCATTTCTCTGATTTCAATCCAAATTTCCGGCAGTTTTCAAGCATTTTTCTTACCATTGAAAACAAAACGGAGAAATCGTGAAGACCAGCGAGAACTTTTGATAGTATAGACAACAACTAAAATATTAAATTTTAAATAACTTGTTTTGTCATCTGACAACTAAGAACAATATGAAAAAAAATATATAGCTAACTAAATGTCACCTGTTGGTAATACTTCTCAAATAATCTGTCGACATTAAGATGTTTCAATATATCACCCAATAAGGTATCAATTTCCCTTTTCTATGGAAAAAAATGTATATTATTATTCTTCATTATCCTTAGTTTCAGATACTGTTAAATCATATATTATCCTTTGTTCACAATATAATGTTAAGATTCTTCATAATCCTTTGTTTACAATACAGTAAGATCCTTCATTATCCTTTGTTTACAATACTGTAAGATCCTTCATAATCCTTTTTTACAATACTGTAAGATCTTTCATTATCCTTTGCTTACAATACTGTAAGATCCTTCATAATCCTTTGTTTACAATACTGTAAGATCTTTCATTATCCTATGTTTACAATACTGTTAAGATCCTTCATTATCCTTTGTTTACAATACTGCTAAGATCCTTCATTATCCTTTGTTTACAATACTGTTAAGATCCTTCATTTTATCCTTTGTTTACAATACTGTTAAGATCCTTCATTATCCTTTGTTTACAATACTGCTAAGATCCTTCATTATCCTTTGTTTACAATACTGTTAAGATCCTTCATTATCCTTTGTTTACAATACTGTAAGATCTTTCATTATCCTATGTTTACAATACTGTTAAGATCCTTCATTATCCTTTGTTTACAATGCTGTTAAGATCCTTCATAATCCTTTGTTTACAATACTGTAAGATCCTTCATTATCCTTTGTTTACAAAACTGTTAAGATCCTTCATTATCCTTTGTTTACAATACTGTAAGCTCCTTCATTATCCTTTGTTTACAATACTGTTAAGATCCTTCATTATCCTTTGTTTACAATACTGCTAAGATCCTTCATTATCCTTTGTTTACAATACTGTTAAGATCCTTCATTATCCTAAGTCTCAGACGCTTATAATGCCCCGTTTTACGTGCACATACAAGAAAAAGAAGTTGAGAACTTACTCCAAAATATTTAATGGGATACTCAACCCAAATCTCCGCACATGAAATGTATTCCTGCAAGGGAAAATACATGTATAAAACTAACAGAGAATAAACAAAAAGAGTACACAAGCCATTGCAATTACAAAAAGCAATAGCTGGTATAAAATAAACCAGAAAAGACATGAAATCAAAACCTCTGGAGAGTTTAATTTTGTAACGACTTTCCAGACTTCGTTCAACAATTGAAGTCTGTGTGCTTCTGGTGGTTTCTCAAGTATGACATTTAATCCCAAGGAACGATAGAGTTGATACTGAAACATATTAACATGTACGTAGGATTAATAAAAGAAAAACAATAAAACGCGTGTGCTATTCGTCTATAGCTGTGTTTGTACTAGCCTGTGCACACCTAGCTGAGCTCAATCAATTAAGTCAATTATTAAAAAGAATTTGCGAATCAATCATAAATATATGTTTAAACGAAAAATTAAAACATTTGTTTCAAATTTATGTGTTTTGCATTATTATTATTTCATAAAAGAAATAATTGTTTACACAGGCTTATGCAAGCCTTGGAGACGTTTGTGAGAACGCTCACCTTCGTTCTCAGGATTGCACTGATCTGCTCTCGAGTTCTCACAAAGGTCTCCTCGGTTTGCATAAGCCTGTGCAAACACAGTAAACATCTTTTATTTCTTAAATGTTCTCATGCAATCAAACAGTCTCGATGTAAAAGGTGATACAATCCATAATAAATAGAAATCTTTTACAAATCATCTTGTAAACCATTCAATCAACTAAACTAAAAATGTAAAAAAATCTAACCTTTGGGAAACCGGCATCTTCGCATTCTGATATAATTTTAACAAACTCCAACGCTCTGTAAAATACGCACATTGGAATACATAATCTTTATAATATCTAATGGTTTTGAAATGTTTAAAATACTTCGAAATCAAATGATACAACAGACTTGGAGGTCGCATGAGAGAACTATGTCATTTATCCCAACATATATGCCTACCAATGAGAGTGCTTTATCATTCACTGTTACAAGGCAACTAAATATTACAATTTCTTTAAACCGCGAGCCAAACACATAAACAACAAAAGGAAATGGTCTATTTTTACCTTGCACTGGTATAAGAAGGACGAAATGCCGATACAATCGAGTTCAAAATAAGCGCACTAAAAAAGATCAACAAAGATTTTGTTTCCAAAAAATCCATAAATGGTCCACAAATGACAGACATGGAAGGAAAAAACACCGCCTAACCTGTTACAATCTTTACGACAATGATTTAAAATCTCAGTCAGGACTTCCTGAAACAAAAATTAAAAATAAAGTTAAACTCTAGTGCTGTGGTAAACTCTAGTGCTGTGTTAAACTCTAGTGCTGTGTCTCTAGTGTTGTGTAAGTTAAAGTCTAGTAAATGGCATTTGACTCTGAAGATGACTAACGCTAAGGTTGTCGAAACGTCAGTCAACAACAACAAAAACAGTCCTTCTCAGGACTATACCAACCTGGACAATCTACATTTACAAACATTTAAAGTCTAGTGTTGTGTAAGTTATTTTGACTCTCAACATAAGACCAAAAAAGATGTCGAACACCAGCAGTCCTTCTCAGGACTCTACTAACCTGAACAAGCTACATCTACAAACATATAACGATACTCCCAGGTTCAAACTGTTTACTTGCAACTGTAGTGTTGTATAGAGTGATGACAACAGATCAAACTGTATACCTCTGGTGACTTGAAAGCAATACACTGAACAATCCAGTCTAAGGCTGGTGTATAAAGTTGAAGATATTCGGACGGACCTGAAACGCAAAATGTTTTTAGGACGACAACCAAAAAAAAGTTTTAATTAAGTGAGCATGCGTACTTATGTTCTGTTTTGCTAAAGTATTTTGAACCACGTCTGTTTGCAGCTAAAACACGTTTAATAAGAAAAGAATGTTTCAACCAACACGAATCTGTGCAGAATGTCAACTTCTCGTAAATTGATGTTATTTTCAAGCCAAACCTGTTTATAAGTGTAGAAGAAATCCAAAAGACTTCCACGTAGATGACTTTTCGCTTCTGGAGCGACAAGAATTCCGACCTAAAGATAATGAATGTTCGCAAACAGTTTCATAACTCCGAGAGAAAATTAAACATCGCAACATTCTCTACTCAAATGCTGAGTCGTTTTCAAATTTCAAACGTTGCTTGTTAAAACGAACGATGAAAGAATGTCCTCTTACTCTACAGATGTAACAGCGAGCGTATGTAGCCACCAAAGGATCTCCTATACCACGAATCATTTTTGTCAATCGCACCACTGCATCTTCGTATTCTCTGTAAAATACATTTACAAGCGAATGGTAGAAAAACAACTTGGTTTAAATCATTCATTTGCCAATTTTGATTCCGTGGCCACTTGTTGTGACCGCGAAGCAAGCGAGGGAACCTGGGTACCAGTAATTATTTATATGTGTTGTAAATATCGTTATGTGTAAAATGCCGGCATAAGTCCAACATTGTCGACCAAACATCACCTTTAACTTTCCTGATAACTTTGTTTCCACATTCCCTCCATCTGTCCTTGTTCCCTCCCTCCTGCATCTCCCTCCATCCTCCATCTCCTCCCTCCTGCCATCCTTCCATCCCCTGTCCTCCTCCTGCATCTCCTCTCCTCCTCCTCCTCCCTCCCTCCCATCATCTCCCTCCTCCCTCATCTCCTCTCCTCTCCCTCCATCCTCCATCCATCCCTCATCTCATCCTTCTCATCTCATCATCCTCTCCTCCCTCATCATCTCTCCTCCCTCCTCCTCATCTCTCTCCTCCCACATCTCCTCTCCCTCCCGTCTCCTTCCCTCCAGGACATGCTAAAGCATTTTTGAAGAGTAAATTGAAATAGTGGTGATCTAACAAGTGGAATATTTCTAAAAAGTATCAATTGTTTTATTGGTTACCTACCCAGTAGTGAGGAAACGTAGACATTTTAAAATTGATGTTTCAACATAACTTGAGAAAAGTCAAGGAAACGCAAAATGAAACAAAATACAAACAACAAGATGACAAAACCATGATGAACTTAGGCCATTAAAATTTTACACCTTCAGAGTTTCATACAGAGAGATTTATGACTGGTTGAACATTTATGTTGGTAAAACTTGTACCAGTTTATAGTGGTGAATGTTGGTAGAAACTGTACCAGTATATAGTGGTGAATGTAGGTAGAAACTGTACCAGTATATAGTGGTGAATGTTGGTAGAACTTGTACCAGTTTATAGTGGTGAATGTTGGTAGAAACTGTACCAGTATATAGTGGTGAATGTTGGTAGAAACTGTACCAGTATATAGTGGTGAATGTTGGTAGAACTTGTACCAGTATATAGTGGTGAATGTAGGTAGAAACTGTACCAGTATATAGTGGTGAATGTTGGTATAAACTGTACCAGTTTATAGTGGTGAATGTTGGTAGAACTTGTACCAGTATATAGTGGTGAATGTCGGTAGAAACTGTACCAGTATATAGTGGTGAATGTTGGTAGAACTTGTACCAGTATATAGTGGTGAATGTTGGTAGAAACTGTACCAGTATACAGTGGTGAATGTTGGTAGAACTTGTACCAGTATACAGTGGTAAATGTTGGTAGAAACTGTACCAGTATATAGTGGTGAATGTTGGTAGAAACTGTACCAGTATATAGTGGTGAATGTTGGTAGAAACTGTACAAGTATATAGTGGTGAATGTTGGTAGAAACTGTATCAGTATATAGTGGTGAATGTTGGTAGAAACTGTATCAGTATATAGTGGTAAATGTTGGTAGAACTTGTACCAGTGCTCAACATAACCTTTACAGTAAAGATACAATCGTGGAATCAGTTCTCTAATTGAAGCAATCTTGTAAAACCAGTTACGACAGGTTTCTTTAGCAACATCGGTTACGTCTTCAGATATGAAGTTTTCTAAAACAACGAAAAGAAACGTAAGAACATACACAGATCACATGACTAAGGACATTAAATAAAGCAACAAATTACCTGGCAGCAACTTTATTATCTTCGTTCCAGGAACGATCGTTGCCGACTTGCGCAACAATCTTTCATAAACAAGGCGACCTAATGAAGACATTACATGGTGGAAGCATGCTATCCATCTATGTTCTCATTGATCCTCTATAGTCTGCTGAAGTACTATGTTGTACTGCAACATACATGACCTTAATTGTGCAGATTTTGTTCCAAAAATCTTCTTATTTAGAGAATTGGATTAAATGCATTGCAACGCGGGATGTCATCCCTTCAAATCAAACATACGTATTTTATAAAGATCGAAAGTTGGAAACTTGAATAACATAATTAAAGAACCTAAACCATTGTGATAAAAATTTCCACAATAAACAAATCTTTTGGCAAAACAAAATACGACTTTAATTTTTTACCAAACGTATCCAAAACATCCGTGATAAGAACAAATTTACTGGGATAAAATCCAATAACATTCACGCTGGCCAGCATCTTGGCACACTGAAATAAAACACAACACAATTAAACATTGAATAACTAACATGAAGTATAGGCCCTTATAACCACTGTTAGTAAAAGCATTGAATCGAATATGAACACAATAGAGACGCAACAAAATAACTTCTGGAAAGTTAGCAGTCAATAGGCGAACAAACCATTTTTTGTCACACATCCCATCTGGGTGTATTGAGGGTAAGCCCACCTTGTTAAAATTCTTTATCAAGATGGAAGGCTCAGCCCCCACTCTATAATTTTTCAACATTGCATGATTTCAAATTTTGAAGCATTTATTTAAATAATTCAACTCCAATAGACTTAGGATGTTGTGACTTTACTCAGACAATAAAGTGTACGTATGATAACAAAAAAAACCTTTAACTGTCAGTCATTTCTAAATTTACATATCATAAAATTATTTTTTAAATGTTAAAGTTTTGCAAGAAAACTTCACTTCAATATGTTTTTGCCTTGATAGTTTATGACAGAGAGCCACCCCCCCTTCTAATTTTGGCAATACACCTCTCCATCCCACATTTCTGGTTGTAGAACTAGTTTTGTTAGGTTTAAAATGCTTGGTGACAAGAAAGTTTGGCCAGACAAATGCTCATCTTAGGCAGAAACTGTACTTTGACTGGCTGTTATTTTTATCTCCAATGAACTATCCATAAGTATCCACAACTATCTAATGAACTATCCATAAGTATCCACAACTATCTAATGAACTATCCATAAGTATCACAACTATCTAATGAACTATCCATAAGTATCCACAACTATCTAATGAACTATCCATAAGTATTCACAACTATCTAATGAACTATCCATAAGTATCCACAACTATCTAATGAACTATCCATAAGTATCCACAACTATCAAATGAACTATCCATAAGAATCCACAACAATCCAATGAACTATCCATAAGTATCTACAACTATCCAATGAACTATCCATAAGTATCCACAACTATCAAATGAACTACCCATAAGTATTCACAACTATCCAATGAACTATCCATAAGTATCCCCAACTATCCAAATGAGCTATCCATAAGTATCCCCAACTATCCAATGAACTATCCATAAGTATCCCCAACTATCCAATGAATTACCCATAAAGATGTATAGTCACATGCAGATTAAACATTAGTGACAGTACCCTTCAAGTATGCAAATGTAGTGAGCTACCATCTGTAGGTAGCAAATGTAGTGAGCTACCATCTGTAGTTAGCAAATGCAGTACATTAGGGAACCACCCCCCTGATATGGTTCAAACATCTTTGAATTCAAGAAGACAATTTTCTCATTAATTAACATTTACCTGAATAGCAATTTTCAAAGCTTTTACTTTCTGTTCGCTTTCCCATGCTGCAATCAACTCCTACATACCAACAAAACAATTGTCTTATTTTTAATGAAATATAAACTTCTATAACATGAAGTACTGGTAGACCTGATTGAATTGTTCAATTCTTCTCACAAACTCCTGCTGACTCAAGTTTAACAGTTCTTTAATGGAACCCTAAAACACAACAAAACATTTATAAGCCGTTCAATAGTATTGCTGAGTATAGTAAATTATATTCAACACAATAAAGACCAAAATTTACATATAATAATGTGCATCCATCTAAATACATATATATCTATAGGCATCCCCACAATTACTCCACATTACCACATGGGTACCTCTTCCAGATCTTGTAATTCCCCAATTCTATGTACATATAGATCTATAGGCATCCCTACAATTACTCCACATTATCCCATGGGTACCTCTTCCAGATCTTGTAATTCTCCAATTCTATGTTTTACTTTATCACTCATTGTTGTCTGTTGTTTCATGATCACTACAAAGGAAACCTTTGAGTTTAGCTGATGGGCTTCATTTGAATTACATAATGTATAACATTATTCCTACTTTTGGACTGTATTATCTATTTGTAAATTCTTTAACACAAAAGCAAACATTCAAATTTATCCCTGGGACAGATACAGAAAGAGGTGCAAAGGGAACACACTCCCCTGAGCTAGGATATTTCAATAGTTTCTTAATGACAATATTGTGGTATTACAACATTTCCTATTTATCTTTTCGAAAATTCAACGAATACTTACCTTTGTCGTTATCCGAGAGGAAACTCTATAAAAGTTGAAATTTTCAAAAATTTATGGATTTTTTTACAAGAAATTAAAGTCCTTGTAGAAGGCAAATCTTACAGTGGTTATCGTCAACTTTTCTGATGTCGTATACTTGCTTAAGATTCCCAATCTTTTGCTTGACCATGGTTCAAGAGCAAAATCATCCAAAGCAACTTCCACTGAATCATTTTTATTTAATGGAGACACCTGAAAAAATAAAACAAACACGATAGTTCAGTGCACAATATCACTATATCATTAAAATTCCACAACACATTTGGAAATGGTTTCAATACGTTTGTTTTGCCAGAACTTCCTGTATTTGCACTTTCTTCAGCAAACATTGATAGCGGATCCAAGCTTCTGACTGGGGTAAAGTCGTTGACAATGGATCAACATCTTTGGATTCCTTTTTCTTACCAGTTTTTGTTTCAATGGAGGACTATAAAAACAGTCATAAATTAAGGTTTTTCATATCATAATTTTATCATGCATTCAAATATTTGAGCTCAACACCGGTCTGGAAAGTATGTCATGTACACTTTAGAAATGTTCATTTCATTGCATCACTGCACACCAGGAAGCTTTAGGTGTGTCAAAAATATGAAGTGGCTGACAATGTGCAGTTGCAGATGTAATCATAAAGATTGATTACTTGGTATTCAGGCTTAACAGTGCTTGTTACAGCTTAACAGTGTTTTGTTTTCATTGCATTGTTTGCAAAGACAACATGCATTATGATTCTGCAAATAAATTCATATACTTCTAATACTTCTGAAATGGTCTTAGGGGCCACGTCCATATTGATATTGCCACAGATAGCATCAATTCAACGTTCTCTTTTCAAGCCCCCCACACCCCACCCCCCCCCAAGATAATGTCGAATTGACGTTTCTGTGGCAATATGAATATGGACGTCGCCCCTTACTTGTATAACATGAGCAAATCCGTGGGTCTATATTAAGACATATACCTATTGAGTTATGAGGATGTTTCTGCATCAGTTTACCCAGAAAATTTGCTCAAGAAAACAATGTACATATCTTCATACATTATGACAACTGATATTAGAGTTGCTTTACGAATGAGAAAATTTTATTGTCGTGCAAACAATTCTTGGTTTTGGTCGAAAGGTCGATAGTCTACATACTTTCCACACATTTGCACATACAGCCTGTGCTCTACGCGAAAACAGCGAGTTGACGACTACATACAGAATGTTAAATCACAAACCGATACAACGAGAGACAACTTCAAAGGATGATTGGTTACAATATCCCTTGGCATCGAGATAGCACCAATTTCTTTAACATAATCGCGCCGTCTTGACTTCCTGCAGAGTAAACATCGCACTCAATGTGATTGTACAGCTTACAATAATAACGACAAAATTGCTATGTTGTAAGTCACAGTTTTACAGCATAAAATATATGCCAGAGTAAAGAATAAATGGTCAATCTTATAAATTTAGAAACTTACCATTGTGGAGACGCCATTTTCTTTACAACTAAGTTCTCACGAGACAAGCACGTGATAGTCGAAACCTCCTCTACTCTCCCCTTGAATACGGCAAAATACTCTACATACTCCCTCTTTGGTGGTAGAACTTGTACCAGTAATATAATGGTGAATGTTAAATATAAAAGTAAATATTATGATCTCATTTTACTCTAAATTGTAGCACCTTAATAAAACAACCACTTTTGACAAGCTAATGTTGCCTTTAATGACTACAAATGCAACCCACTTGGCCATACTTAATACAGATTGGTTATATAAAGTCAGTGATGGTGGTTATAATACATAGATTAATATACTTAATAATAAATACCACAGAACAAAATGCTAGAATAAAATCGAAGTCACTAAATTTCTACATTATTTGATAGTTGAATTGGTGAACTTTATATAGTCAGCTTTCCTCATCAAAACATCAACAACCAAATTCTTCAAGAAACTAATTTCTTGCTTCCTGCTTTCAATAACTTGTTGGAGTTTGATATTTTCCTCCTCAAGTTCAGATACCTTGGCATTTAGCGTTTCTTGCTCACTTCGTTTCTTTGATCGATACCTCGTGGCCGCAGTTCTATTTTGCAGCCGTTTTCTCTGTTTTTGTTCGGGAGTCTTGACTTTTGATTTTAGTCCGTGTTTTACAGGATCACATGATTTATTTGTTTCAATGCCATTTGCAATGTTCACTGAATCATCATTGAACACTTCATCGTCAGCATGATCAACGTATACATGATCTTCCTTTGAGATTATTTGGACCAAGTTTAGATATGCATCAAGCTGTGATTTCAATTTCCATTCCACATTAGGGACATGTTGTTCTGGTGATGAAGGAGTAGGACTGTCCTCAGCGATGTCATCAGAATAAAAAATCTCCCTGTGAACTGACTCTTTATTCAGTAAAGCCGAGAAAAAAGGTGATGCAGTTTCATAAAATGAACTGGTGGATTTCTCTGGCAGATCCAAACTAGACTCTTTGGAATCTTTAGAAGAATGCCCCAATAGAGCGGACACAATGGCAGGAGACTCGACACTTGACAAGCTATTGTTGTTTAAAGTCACATGACTTAAGTTCTCATTCAATGAATCTGGCACACATGATAAATCTATTTTTGAGTTCATCCATTCTTCACATAACACCTCGCCATCATCTCTGAATGAAAGAAAATAAAAAGTCACAATGTCAATAAACACAACTATTACATGTTTGTAAATGTAGATCGTCCAAGTTTGTATAGTCCTGAGAAGGACTGTTTTTGTTGTTGTTGACTGGCGTTTCGACATCCTTAGAGGTAGACATCTTCAGAGTCAAATGAGGAGTAAACATCAGGTTAGCCGTATTTGTAATCTGGTTCTTACGTCATAGTATTTGTGTTGTCTGTGACAGCCGTTAATCTGTGCTTGTATCAGTCATCTGCTGATGGATTTGACAATCTGAATAGCCTCTTGTGTGTTCAATCTGAATAGCCTCTTGTATGTTGCTTATAAAATTGACAAACAGTGCAACTTGTATATAATTTGCAAGAACTATATTTACTGACAATGAGGTGCTTTTCCTGCAACAGATTACTCCGAATACAAATTAATGTACAATTAATGGCACAAGTCTTTATTTAGATAATTAAACTCACAAATAATAAATAGTTTGCAAGATATTTCTTTAAAACTTGCTAAGCCTTGCAATCTGTAGAAGCAAAAGGCCTGAAACTAATTTGTTTCTGACTACCTGCCGCAAGCGCAAACATGTTTTCTGTGAAAGAGGTTCTCACAAAAACAGGTTCTCTCCCAATACAATCATATTTACAGTAACATAGTATTAAGATGGTAACCTTCAATATCAGGATAGATGTCTGAGTCAATGTTGATCTCATCACACTCAAGGAGCTTTTCAACAAGTACATTTTCTTCATCACCAATATGACTTTTCACTGCTTCATCAAATGAAAAAGGAAATTCATCTTGGCCAAAGAATGTGGTGAACATGCTTAAATTGTCGGATTCGATATTCATGTTTTGCAATCAATAATTGATACTGCAACTGGTTATCATAAGTTGAAAAAATTCTGAAAAAATACATGGAAAAAATTAAACGCAATGACCACACAAGAAAAGAGCCGGAATCATTGACAAGGACTTCACTTCATAACATACTATTTCAAGAACTATGAGCTGGTATTTTAAAAAGAGAAGTTGGCAGTCAAATCATGAATGTGAAACGACATGATTTCAAACTAAAAATTTCTTCCTTTCACACATCAAAATCGAAGACAGTCTACGTATAAATCCTAATAATGTCATAATAATGTCTTCCCTATGTAATACCGACATTATACCAGCTAAAAGCTTTGAATAATCGTATGAAATTGTGTTATTGTTTTAAATGATGCCATTGCACTGAAGTTCTTGATCATATATAATCATACTTCGCTTCTATAGATTGGAAACTAGTTCCAAATACGAAATTCTTGTTAAATTAAGGTTATACTTACGCCATCTTTGTGAAGATTTAAGTCGTGCAAAGGCACGAAGATTTATTTAGCCATAGCGTCCAAAAAAGCACTTCTTACGCGGCATAAACTATACAATCAACGAAAGCGTGTGTTCGTTACGCTGCGTGAATTTTTGGCTGATGCAAGAGCATTTGAACAGGATATTGATTTTAACCAATCAGAGGGTACGATACATCAGAAATAGCCAATCAAAACAAAGAGAAAACTAGTTTTGCAACATTGTTAAACCTGTATGGTTTGTAAAGCACGTACTTTTCTTTTGTATGTTGGTTTCTATTTTTGTATTAATAAGATTAAAGCCTGGTAAAATCACTAGTAAAATAAGCACGAACGTCGAGACTTTTGCTTCTTTTGCTCTAGAGGTTTATAAAGACAAAGACATTGGGATTTTCTTTACATCTTCTTTTTGTTCTTCTTTTGTTCTTCTCTTAAACTTATGCTTGAATGTTTTTCTTATGCTTGCGCTTATGTCGATGCTTATGTCACATTGATGCTTCGTTGATTATCTTTGTTTTATATTTTGTCTACGCTTGTGCTTATCCTTATTTCACTCGTGTGAACTTGGCTTAATGGCTGTCGATGACCTTTCATGAAACAAGACATCAGTAAATAGTTTTAAATAATTTATAATGCTAATTATTACTGTTGTTTGGCAACGACGGATAATAATGTACCTAAAAAAATAAAAGCTCAAAGCCAAGTTTTATATTAGTTTAACTATTTTCAAAAAAAATAGCACTATTTCTGACAAAGCTTTATGAGTTTTTGTTTCAGTGGCGAAGCCAGCCCGCTTCTTACTCCACAATGCAACTATTTTCGTTTTCAATAATGGGAAAAATGATGAATGAAATTAATTTTCTAAAGAAGCAAAGAATAATTTTCATGAAAAATTTTATTCGTAGGAGTTGACTTAGGCACTATGGTTTGCCCACTACTAGCACTCACATTTTTTCGAGAAACTAAAGATCTTCAAGTCAGTTAGTACCAAACGCTTTAGTGCTAAAGTTAAAACCACGTTCAAAGTTGCAATTTTACAAAAACCCTTAAATTGACTTATTTTATGTAGTTAATCAATGAAAACAAGCAAAACAAAAGCTTTCGGCTTCTACCATGAAAACAGACACCCAACAAAATAAATATTTTATGTTTACATAATCTGGACAACGTATATAATTATTCAATATATTTTAGCATAATTTCTTATTTCCCGTGCTGTCTTCGTATACAAAACCCCTTCGGATATTGTCACTTTCTTAGAATTTGCGTGGATTCATTTCTGCTCGACAATCGTTTACTCTCATCCAGAAAGGTAATTGTTTTATATTTTTACTTCATGATGTTAAAGAAACAATCAAAAAATTGTATAATAAGCGAGTAAAATCACAAATTTCAACGATGGCTTTGTTGGAAAATGAAAGTAATTTGTTACGTCCTATAGCGCCATGCTCAATTTAGCGTTAAACATTTGTGTCATGGAAACATTTTCACGACGAAGATTGCTCACGAATTACCAAAAATACATGTATACAACATGCTTCAAAGATAAATTCGATTGCATATCAGAAACTGTTTGTAGTTTCATGTTTGTAGTTCAACTTCCACGTATTTAGTTTACTGTCCAATACCAAAATGTACAATCCAATGTCGGAACCAGGATATAATGATAAAATGGAGGCCCCTCCACAATATAACCAACCCCCTCCACCTCCGTCACAATATCCAAACTATGGAATGCCAGGGCAACCTATGCAACACCAGCCAATGCCACATCCTGGCTTCATGCAACAGCAGAGCACTAACAACACAACTGTTGTGGTACAGCAACAACCTCAGCAAGTTGTCATCCAAGGTCCACGTGATTGGAGCACTAATTTATGCGGATGCTTTGAAAATATTGGAGGATGTAAGGGATAATTACATAGTTATATATAAAATGTTTTATTGCTGTTGTTAGGTATGAGTATTTAAGATAAAATTTTTTGTATTGTTGAAGGTTTATTTGAGATTTTTTGCCCTCTCATTTCTGGTTGTATACTGAGTAGCAAAGCTGGTGAATGCTGTTGTGTTGCACACGTTTGTCCTGTTGCTCTGAGAACCAAGATCAGAACAAGGCATAATATTGCAGTAAGTTAGACTTATCCATTTTGTGTCTACCTGTTGTTGGTTTCAAAAGTTATTTTATTAAAAATGTGCCACTTTAAGGTTGCTGTTTTTGATACTCTTGTATTCCTGACTTGCAACAGATATCTTTTGATAAATTTACCAAACTATAACATTTGCCCACACCTGTTGAATTCCACAAATAACATTGATAAAATATTCTTTGTATTCCAAAATAGCTTACATAAAAAACATCAGTAGCTTTTTAAATTTCTTATGTTGAAATTGCATAACAAATTCATTTTTCCATTAAATAGGGAAGTATAGTTGGTGATTACTGTATTGTGTGGTGTTGTCATCCTCTTGCCATGTGTCAAATGGAACGTGAAGTACATAATCATGGCATTTAGAATGAGGAACTTTCAACTTTTAAAATGATTTAACGTGATTTAACAACCTCTCTATATAGCATTTGTAGCTTGAGACTTTTTATGGCTTTTATCGTTTGTAGTATCGTATAATCAATAAAATGTTTTGATGCATATGCAAACTATTCCTGTTACTCTAACCAACATTGCACCTACACATTTTCAATCATCAAACGCGAGAGTTAAACTTGTAAAGTTGCCAGCTTGTGCAAAGTTTATCGAAAAGATTTTACTTTAATACAAAAATCTTTATTTAGATAATTAAACTCACAAATAATAAATAGTTTGCAAGATATTTCTTTAAAACTTGCTAAACCTTAAACCTTAGAGCAAAATAAGAGCAAAAGGCCTCTAACAAATTTGTTTCTGACTACCCGTCGCAAGCAAACATGTTTTCTGTGAAAGAGGTTCTCAAAAAAAAACAGGTTCTCTCCCAATACAATCATATTTACAGTAACATGGTATTAAGATGGTAACCTTCAATATTAGGATAGATGTCTGAGTCAATGTTGATCTCATCACACTCGAGGAGCTTTTCAACAAGTACATTTTCATCATCACCAATATGACTTTTCACTGCTTCATCAAATGAAAAAGGAAATTCATCTTGGCCAAAGAATGTGGTGAACATGCTTAAATTGTCTGATTCGATATTCATGTTTTGCAATCAATAATTGATACTGCAACTGGTCTTCATAAGTTGAAAAAATTCTGAAAAATACATGGAAAAAATTAAACGCAATGACCACAAAAGAAAAGAGCCGGAATCATTGGCAAGGACTTCACTTCATAACATACTATTTCAAGGACTATGAGCTGGTATTTTAAAAAGAGAAGTTGGCAGTCAAATCATGAATGTGAAACGACATGATTTCAAACTAAAAATTTCTTCCTTTCACACATCAAAATCGAAGACAGTCTACGTATAAATCCTAACAATGTCATAATAATGTCTTCCCTATGTAATACAGACATTATACCAGCTAAAAGCTTTGAATAATCGTATGAAATTGTGTTGTTGTTTTAAATGACGCCATTACACTGAAGTTCTTGATCATATATAATTATACTTCGCTTCTATAGATTAGAAACTAGTTTCAAATACAAAATTCTTTTTAAACTAAGGTTATACTTACGCCATCTTTGTGAAGATTTAAGTCGTGCAAAGGCGTCCAAAAATGCACTTTTTACACGGCAAAAACTCTACAATCATCGAAACGTGTTTCGTTACGCTGCGTAAATTTTTGACTGATGCAACAGCATTTGAACAGGATATTGATTTTAACCAATCAGAGGGTACGATACATCAGAAATAGCCAATCAAAACAAAGGGAAAACTGTATGGTTTGTAAAGCACGTCGAGACTTTTGCTTCTATTGCTCTAGAGGTTTATAAAGACGAAGACATTGGGATTTTCTTTACATCTTCTTTTTGTTCTTCTTTTGTTCTTCTCTTAACTTATGCTTGAATGTTTTTCTTATGCTTACGCTTATGTCGATGCTTATGTCACATTGATGCTTCGTTGATTATCTTTGTTTTATCTTTTGTCTACGCTTGTGCTTATCCTTATTTCACTCGTGTGAACTAGGCTTAATGGCTGTCGATGATCTTTCATGAAACAAGACATCAGTAAATAGTTTTAAATAATTTATAATGCTAATTATTACTGTTGTTTGGCAACGACGGATAATAATGTACCTAAAAAAATAAAAGCTCAAAGCCAAGTTTTATATTAGTTTAACTATTTTCAAGAAAACCAGCACTATTTCTGACAAAGCTTTAGGAGTTTTTGTTTCAGTGTTGAAGCCAGCCCGCTTCTTACTCCACAATGCAACTATTTTCGTTTTCAATAATGGGAAAAATGATGAATGAAATTAATTTTCTAAAGAAGCGAAGAATAATTTTGCTGAAAAATTATATTCGTAGGAGTTGACTTAGACACTATGGTTTGCCCACTACACCACTAGCACTCATATTTTTTCGAGAAAATAAAGATCTTCAAGTCTAGTTAGTACAAAACGCTTTAGTGCTTAAGTTAAAACCACGTTCAAAGTTGCATTTTTACAAAAACCCTTAAATTGACTTATTTCATGTAGTTCATCAATGAGAACAAGCAAAACAAAAGCTTTCGGCTTCTACCATGAAGACAGACACCCAACAAAATAAATATTTTATGTTTACATAATCTGGACAACGTATATAATTATTCAATAAATTTTAGCAAATAAATTTTCTTTTATTTTTTCGTCGTGCTGTCTCCGTATATAAAATTCCTTCGGATATTGTTATTTACTTAGAATTTGCGTGGATTCATTTCTGCTCGACAATCGTTTACTCTCATCCAGAAAGGTAATTGTTTTATATTTTTACTTCATGATGTTAAAGAAACAATCAAAAAATTTTATAAGCGAGTAAAACGAAGAATTTCAACGATGGCTTTGTTGGAAAATGAAAGTAATTTGTTACGTCCTATAGCGCCATGCTCAATTTAGCGTTAAACATTTGTGTCATGGAAACATTTTCACGACGAAGATTGCTCACGAATTACCAAAAATATATGTATACAACATGCTTCAAAGATAAATTCGATTGCATATCAGAAACCGTTTGTAGTTTCATGTTTGTAGTTCAACTTCCGCGTATTTACTTTAGTGTCCAATACCAAAATGTACAATCCAATGTCTGAACCAGGAAATAATGATAAAACGGAGGCCCCTCCACAATATAACCAACCCCCTCCACCTCCGTCACAATATCCAAACTATGGAATGCCAGGGCAACCTATGCAACACCAGCCAATGCCACAGCCTGGCTTCATGCAACAGCAGAGCACCAACAACACAACTGTTGTGGTACAGCAGCAACAACCTCAGCAAGTTGTCATCCAAGGTCCACGTAATTGGAGCACTGATTTATGCGGATGCTTTGAAGATTGCGGAGGATGTAAGGGATAATTACATAGTTATATATAACATGTTTTATTGCTGTTGTTAGGTATGAGTATTTAAGATAAATTTTTTGTATTGTTCAAGGTTTACTTGGGCTTTTTTGCCCACTCATTCACTCTTGTGTTGTGAGTGGCAAAGCTGGTGAATGTTGTTGTGTTGGTTGCTGTTGTCCTATTGCTCTGAGAACCAAGATCAGAACAAGACATAATATTGCAGTAAGTTAGACTTATCCATTTTGTGGCTACCTGTTGTTCGTTTCAAAAGTTATTTTATTAAAAATGTGCCACTTTAAGGTTGCTGTTTTTGATACTCTGGTATTCTTGACTTGCAACGGATATCTTGGGATAAATTTACCAAACTATAACATTTGCCCACACCTGTTGAATTCCACAAATAACATTGATAAAATATTCTTTGTATTCCAAAATAGCTTACATAAAAAACATCAGTAACTTATACATTTCTTAAACTGAAATTGCAATAACAAATTCATTTTTCCTTTATATAGGGAAGTATAGTTGATGATTGCTGTATTCTGGCGTGTTGTCATCCTCTTGCCATGTGTCAAATGGATCGTGAATTAAATATTCATGGCATTTAGAATGAGGAACTTTCAACTTTTAAAATGATTCAATGTGATGTAACAACTTCTCTATATAGCATTTGTAGATTGAGACTTTTGATGGCTTTTATCGTTTGTAGTATCATATAATCAATAAAATGTTTTGAAGCATATGTAAACTATTCCTGTTACTCTAACCAACATTGCACCTACACATTTTCAATCATCAAACGTGAGAGTTAAACTTGTAAAGTTGCCAGCTTGTGCAAAGTTTATCGAAAAGATTTTACTTTAATACAAAAATCTTTATTTAAATAATTAAACTCACAAATAATAAATAGTTTTCAAGATATTTCTTTAAAACTTGCTAAACCTTAGAGCAAAATAAGAGCTAAAGGCCTCTAACAAATTTGTTTCTGACTACCTGCCAAGCAAACATGTTTTCTTGGAAAGAGGTTCTCAAAAGAAAACAGTTTCTCCCCCAATACAATCATATTTACAGTTACATGGTTTACGATGGTAGATGTCTGAGTCAATGTTGATCTCATCACACTCAAGGAGCTTTTCAACAAGTACATTTTCTTCATCACCAATATGACTTTTCACTGCTTCATCAAATGAAAAAGGAAATTCATCTTGGCCAAAGAATGTGGTGAACATGCTTAAACTGTCTGATTCGATATTCATGTTTTACAATCAATAATTGATACTGCAACTGGTCTTCATAAGTTGAAAAAATTCTGAAAAATACATGGAAAAAATTAAACGCAACGACCACACAAGAAACGAGCCGGAATCATTGACAAGGACTTCACTTCATAACATACTATTTCAAGGACTATGAGCTGGTATTTTAAAAAGAGAAGTTGGCAGTCAAATTATGAATGTGAAACGACATGATTTTAAAAGAAAAATTTCTTCCTTTCACACATCAAAACCGAAGACAGTCTACGTATAAATCCTAATAATGTCATAATAATGTCTTCCCTATGTAATACAGACATTATACCAGCTAAAAGTTTTAAATAATCGTATGAAATTGTGTTGTTGTTTTAAAGGACGCCATTACACTGAAGTTCTTGATCATATATAATTATACTACGCTTCTATAGATTGGAAACTAGTTCCAAATACGAAATTCTTTTTAAATTAAGGTTATACTTACGCCATCTTTGTGAAGATTTAAGTCGTGCAAAGGCACGAAGATTTATTTAGCCATAGCGTCCAAAAATGCACTTTTTACACGGCAAAACTATACAACAACGAAAGCGTGTGCTCGTTACGCTGCGTGAATTTTGGCTGATGCAACAGCATTTGAACAGGATATTGATTTTAACCAATCAGAGGGTACGATAATCAGAAATAGCCAATCAAAACAAAGAGAAAACTAGTTTTGCAACATTGTTAAGGCTGTATGGTTTGTAAAACACGTACTTTTCTTTTGTATGGTGGTTTGTATTTTTGTATTAATAAGATTAAAGCCTGGTAAAATCACTAGTAAAATAAGCACGAACGTCGGGACTTTTGCTTTTATTGCTTTAGAGGTTTATAAAGACGAAGACATCATGGCATTTTCTTTAAATCTTCTTTTTGTTCTTCTTTTGTTCTTCTCTTAAACTTATGCTTGAATTTTTTCCTTATGCTTGCGCTTATGTCGATGCTTATGTCACATTGATGCTTCGTTGATTATCTTTGTTTTATATTTTGTCTACGCTTGTGCTTATTCTTATTTCACTCGTGTGAACTTGGCTTAATGGCTTTCGATGATCTTTCATGAAACAAGACATCAGTAAATAGTTTTAAATAATTTATAATGCTAATTATTGTTGTTTGGCAACGACGGATAATTAATGATACCTAAAAAAATAAAAGCTCAAAGCCAAGTTTTATATTAGTTTAACTATTTTCAAAAAACCAGCACTATTTCTGACAAAGCTTTAGGAGTTTTTGTTTCAGTGGCGAAGCCAGCCCGCTTCTTACTCCACAATGCAACTATTTTCTTTTTCAATAATGGGAAAAATGATGAATGAAATTAATTTTCTAAAGAAGCGAAGAATAATTTTCATGAAAAATTTTATTCGTAGAAGTTGACTTAGACACTATGGTTTGCCCACTACACCACTAGCACTCACATTTTCTCGAGAAAATAAAGATCTTCAAGTCTAGTTAGTACCAAACGCTTTAGTGCTTAAGTTAAAACCACGTTCAAAGTTGCAATTTTACAAAAACCCTTAAATTGACTTATTTCATGTAGTTCATCAGTGAGAACAAGCAGAACAAAAGCTTTCGGCTTCTACCATGAAGACAGACACCCAACAAAATAAATATTTTATGTTTACATAATCTGGACAACGTATATAATTATTCAATATATTTTAGCATAATTTGTTATTTCCTCGTGCTGTCTTCGTATACAAAACCCCTTCGGATATTGTCATTTACTTAGAATTTGCGTGGATTCATTTCTGCTCGACAATCGTTTACTCTCATCCAGAAAGGTAATTGTTTTATATTTTTACTTCATGATGTTAAAGAAACAATCAAAAATTGTATAATAAGCGAGTAAAACAAAGAATTTCAACGGTGGCTTTGTTCGAAAATGAAAGTAATTTGTTACGCGCCTGTAGCGCCATGCTCAATTTTACGTTAAACATTTGTGTCATGGAAACATTTTGAAGCGTGTTGTGTACATATATTTTTGGTAATTCGTGAGAAATCTTTGTCTTGAAAGATAAATTCGATTGCATATCAGAAACCGTTTGTAGTTTCATGTTTGTAGTTCAACTTACGTGTATTTACTTTAGTGTACAATACCAAAATGTACAATCCAATGTCGGAACCAGGATATAATAATAAAACGGAGGCCCCTCCACAATATAACCAACCCCCTCCACCTTCTTCACAATATCCAAACTATGGAATGCCAGGGCAACCTATGCAACAACAGCCAATGCCACATCCTGGCTTCATGCAACAGCAGAGCACCAACAACACAACTGTTGTGGTACAGCAGCAACAACCTCAGCAAGTTGTCATCCAAGGTCCACGTAATTGGAGCACTGATTTATGCGGATGCTTTGAAGATTGTGGAGGATGTAAGGGATAATTACATAGTTATATATAACATGTTTTATTGCTGTTGTTAGGTATGAGTATTTAAGATAAAATTTTTTGTATTGTTGAAGGTTTACTTGAGCTTTTTTGCCCGCTCATTCACTCTTGTGTTGTGAGTGGCAAAGCTGGTGAATGTTGTTGTGTTGGTTGCCTTTGTCCTATTGCTCTGAGAACCAAGATCAGAACAAGACATAATATTGCAGTAAGTTAGACTTATCCATTTTGTGGCTACCTGTTGTTCGTTTCAAAGTTATTTTATTAAAAACGTGCCACTTTAAGGTTGCTGTTTTTGATACCCAGGTATTCTTGACGTGCAATGGATATCTTGGGATAAATTTACCAAACTATAACATTTGCCCACACCTGTTGAATTCCACAAATAACATTGATAAAATATTCTTTGTATTCCAAAATAGCTTACATAAAAACATCAGTAGCTTTTTAAATTTCTTATATTGAAATTGCATAACAAATTCATTTTTCCTTTAAATAGGGAAGTATAGTTGATGATTGCTGTATTGTGATGTGTTGTCGTCCTCTTGCCATGTGTCAAATGGATCGAGAATTAAATAATCATGGCATTTAGATTGAGGAACTTTCAACTTTTAAAATGATTCAATGTGATGTAACAACTTCTCTATATAGCATTTGTAGATTGAGACTTTTGATGGCTTTTATCGTTTGTAACATCATATAATCAATAAAATGTTTTGAAGCATATGCAAACTATTCCTGTTACTCTAACCAACATTGCACCTACACATTTTCAATCATCAAACGCGAGAGTTAAACTTGTAAAGTTGCCAGCTCGAGAGTTAAACTTGTAAAGTTGCCAGCTTGTGCAAAGTTTATCGAAAAGATTTTACTTTAATACAAAAATCTGTGAGCCCGGCGTTGGAAAGCTCAAAAAATGACAAATACTCAAAAAATGCAGTGTTTCTATGGATACTAAATCAATATTTAAGATTTAACAGGAACTTGTTTCAACTTGTCAATTTGGCGTCGTTCTCGTTGTGTATTATAAACGTGGGCGAAAAATGTATTGAAATAATTTTACGTATTTTATGCGGCCCGTGGGAGACCAAGCCTCTGTTGAGAGAAACGATTTTTAACCTAAAGGATTTAGTTATGCGGTTGTTGACGAGCGAGACTTTTGTGCCTTGAACAATTACTTTTTAGAAGAAGATATGCGCCGTTGGTTTGTCCGTTAAACTGCAGTTTAACCACAAAATCTTTACCAACTGAAAATTTGAAGCAACACAAAATAAAACATACTTCAAACAGAATCAATTTTGAAATCTCAAGATTTTGAAGCAATATTCATGCTTGCTCAATCACGCCTTGTATGACAACGTATATTTATTCAAACCACAGGCGGCCTTTGAAATCAAGTTGCTTTTCCTATAGAATCAATTTATGTAAATACATTCCTTCGTATTCCTTGATTGATTGCTGTAAACAATGTTTGTCATTGCTGTGGCAAATTGTTTATCGACAAGTTGTTTATTGAGAAATGAGAAAAGTTCAGCGTTCGTGGTTCGGTTCTACTATTAGAGTATTTTCCTACGCTATTCTCCACCCTCCCCCCCTCCCCACACACGCACTTTTGAACAGGTTCCGCAATCCTTGTAATACCATTCATTCTACAATTTTATAATATGGCCGGTCATTTTGTGGTGATAGACCAACAACCACATACTTGCATCTGATCGTTTCGATGAAAATACCGAAAAAAACTAATTTATGACCAGCTTTTTGGACAATGACCAGCTTCCTCAAACTTAGTCACTCACATACTTCATCTTACACGGTCCCAGGCCGCAAATGCTTCCTCTGATGTTGACCTTGGTTACAATGTAATCTCATCATACAAACTATAGATATAGAGCCGAATGATGAAGGAGGTCAAGCAAGATCAATGATAGTCATTGTCACATTGTCAACTACCACGAATCAAAAGAAATGAAAGTCTATATTTACACTAATGTCTAGATACTACGGCATGAAAGTCTGGTCCTGTAGGCTGGAGATTACTTAGCCTACTGGATAATCCGCTATTGTATATAAATTGACTGTACAAGAAAAACCAACTGACTTCGGCTGGATAACTTAGAGAGCTGTAAAGTGTCGCTCGTTTGGCATCATGGCACACTTTACAACAACTGAAATTTTACAGAAATATTTCGCCTTCATTTCATTTAGGAAGTTCCAGTCAACCAATAAAGTAAAATCTTTTTTTTTTAATATTAATTTGCAACAACACAAAAACTCTACTGAGATAACACATTATTTCTAACAATGAAATACCGAGATCCGACCTAAAAACCCAATGGCCATTTTACACAAACTTTTGTCGACTGAAAATTTTGCAAGTTTTCAAAGACGTCACTTTGAACATATGATCAACATTAAGAAGTTTGTGTTCATCTTTTTTTAAAAAAGATACATGAATTCAGAAACAATACATTCATGGTTTTGCTGCCGCTTTAAAAATGTTGTTTACGGTGATTGGTCATGCAAAATTCCGGTTATTTTAATTTGTGCTTTATTCTTCCTTGTTTCTGTTTTTTAATATGCACTTATATGCGAAGATAATTACTGTAAGTACTGCATATGTACGACGAAGGTGAAATTATCGTTAACTTGCGAGAAGAAATACTTCGTGACAGTTGCCTGAAAGATTTAAAAGAAGTGAAGAAAATCGACGGTAAGATATAAAGGTATTTCATCTTCGTATTGTGAAAACGATGCAAAGGCATTCTTTGCACCCAGAAAATGTAGTTATGTAGTTATGAACATTTCAAGATAACTGAAAATTGTTCTGAAATTCGATAAATATGTCGTAAATAATAAATGAACAATGGATAAAGACGCAATGACATTTCTTATCAGGCATCCGGATAGTTTGTGCATTAAAAACGAAATCCTCGCTAAGCAGGAAACGAAAATTATCGAATGCAAATGCTTGAAAATTATCGAAAATAAATAAAGCAGCAGTCATTTTACATGACAGTGAAATGATGCATGTTATTATATAAAAATTTGCTTTCAACATTTAGGAGGGCGATGATTGATTTTTCTGATGAAAAAGTGTGCAATAGCTTCACAAGTTGTTGCTTATTATAGCAAAATACGATTGTATTAAAAATTTTGAGATATTTATGACATTTGATAATTA